TGAATTTCTGGTAGGCTTTTCATTAAATTTATCTATCAATTTGATGATCTGATAACGAAATTTTTGAAAAAAAATATCTATTGTGGCCATGAGTCTATTGTGGACATAAGTCCGTTGTGATCATTTTCGAACACCCTACGTGACGGACACAATGGACGAATCGACACAACGGACGAATTCTTAAAATGGCCACAACGAATGTACGCCCTTTTTATCCATATTACGCAAAGAAGGGTTGCTTAGCCTATGACATCTAGAGAGTAAAATTGTCCGATCTACCAGGGAAGTGTTTTCCAGATTCAGGCTCGAGCTCTGTTCTCTCAATCTGAACTCTGTCATTCTTCAAAATACATTTCGCTGAGAAATGTCCAAAAAGAGAAACCGAATTCCTCTTGCTGATCGGAAAAAATATGCGCAGATACTTATTAACGAAGACAGTATAAATTATTCTGCGACGATTTTATCTCTTGTAATCTTAAAAAAAATAAAATCGTTTTTGGATGATCACATCGTATAGTATGACAATTTGGATGTCAAAGAAGAAGACCTGGTGAACAAGACCAACGAAGTCTTAATAAACATGAATCCGGCAATCTTTAAGCGCTCTTTGATCAATATTGGACTCATTGATGAAAAAAAGTTCGAGAAAATTGTAGAAATTGTTGACGAAGAAATTGCTAAGAGTAATTTGGAGAAAGTAGAGGAAGAAGAACTTTTCGAGCGTTTAATGGCACTTCAAATTGATAAACCGCGAGTTGCAGCTTAACCGCATGGGACAGAAGGTGCATTCCACTGTCATTTAAGTTTTTGACAGTCAATATTTCAAAAACTACAAGTCCTCATGAGTTATAAATTGTAATAGGGTTAACTTACCTACATCTTGCCTTACATGCTGAATTTCGAGTAATAATCGGTCACCAGCCGAGATTAACAACGGATTAGGCAGAGCGCTCTATCCATCCCGCTGAGTATTCATACAGACAAACCGAACCAACTGTCGCATATTTGTGATGATGAAACGTATTTATAGGTTTTCTATCTTCGAGATTTCAAAAATCAAGTTTATTTTGCAAAATAATCGTCGAAAAAATGCTTCATTTAAATTAACCAGAAATTAATTCCTACTTTTAATAAATAATTAAGTAATCAAAACGATTTCTGACAACAGATTTGAAATCTATGGCCGAGATTTAGTACTGTCTAAAATTTTTGAGTCGATCCGATCTGTAGTTTCCTTAAATGACAGTGGAATGCACCTTCTGTCCCAGCGCCTCTACCCCCCGATCTGGCCCATGCGGTTAAAGGGATGTTGACCAGGTTCCTGAAATTCAAATGACAGACGAAGCCGACGCTGAAAAGCCATGAGCTTCAAAGTAGCCGACAAAACAATCAACGATGAAAAAATTTTTTGATTGAAAAAGGTAAAACTGTTCTCTTCTTAGATTTCCTGATTTCTAATAAAATTTTTGATCAGAGTGGCCTTAAATTGATCTTGTTCATGATGATAAAATTCAGCGAAAATCCAAAAAGGGCTTTTAAATGAGGCGTCTTACTTTGGTATCCGACTGTATTTTCGATGTATAATTAAACTTTCCGGTCATTTGGGTAACCAAAGGTAAAACCCTAAAGCCTAGATTTTTAGATGATGAGGATAGAGAAACAGAAAAAAGCTCTTCGAGTGATCAAAATACAGTAGTCTCCTCTCAACCAGAAAAGTTTTTGCATGTCCAGTCACTAAAAAGAAGACATTCGGAGAGAACGCTTGGAACCCTTCCCTTTTATAATAATGGCGAGTTTATAAATTATTATTCTCATTTTAAATGTTTAAGCCTTGTAGAATCTGTGCAACAAGACCCGCTTTCACAGAAAAATGCACAAAGTATTGGCCCTCTAGGAACAAATCATGCTCCTCTTGACGGTGTGAGTCTCCAATCAGAGAGTTCACTTGGAGATTACCGGGCCCCGTCTGTCAATAGTGGTAAGTTTAATATTTTTGAAATATTATTATATCTTTGAATTTCATTTAAGAACCCCCCCCATCAAGATGAAAAATCAAAATCGTCTAAGTTTTTAAGCTTTTTTGGGTTGTTTAGACGACCAGGAAAACTTTTTATTCGGAAAAAATTTTGCTCTTATAGATAATTTTTAGTGATCATTAAGGATATACCAATCATAAAAACTATTTTTGTCATAAGAAAGAGTACAAAAACATTATTCGAGGCAATTTAGGGAATAAAAACTGAAAATATAAATCTGGAAATTCGCCTTAAATTCGACTGACTAAATTTTAAAGAGGCTTCCCTCCTTGAGTTCGTTGGCCAAAAATTTTCAAAAAGGGAACGGTCGTAGCTAAGGGCCTTAACTTTATCCTGAAAAAAGATTAAGGGTATAACCCAACTAAAAACCCGAAAAAAACCTTCACTAAGCAACCTTACCTTTAACGGCCTGTATAACCTTAAGTTTGATACCGAGATATCACCAAAAGGGTAACGGTTGCAGGCGAGGATTTCACCTAAAGCTTGCAATTGGAATAAAGGGTTTTTTCTTAGATAGTTTTCGAGAAAATCGTTCACTAAAGAGACCTATTTTCACGATTCTTGATGGGGGGATCCTTATGGAAAATTAGTCGTTACTGAAAAAAATACCGAAGAGAGGTTACAAAAAATAGAAGCGTTTCTCGCACGTTTGGAAGAAAAAATGAATGCAGCTGACAATTATTCTGCAAGTGAATCAATTGTGTAAGAATAAAATTTAACAGTGTTTTGTTGATTTTATTTACTGAGCTTTTGCTATGACAATAGCATCGTCAGAGAGACTCTCATCCAATTTGACGTTAAAACCACTTCAAAATAAAATAATTCATTTTTGCAAGATGCTAAAAATTTACTCTGAGAATTTCCGTTATTTTCCTTTAAGGGAGTCCCCAACGATTTTTCCGAAATTGGCCATTTTCGACCGGCGCTCACGCCGACACAGACTTATATTTTTCATAGATTCGTTTTTTTTATTCAGGGGACGCGTTTCGGCACTAATATTTATATTTTTCAAAATTTTTTTTACATACAAGTAGGTCAAACCTAGATCTAGTGAAGCGTATCTCAAATTCTTTAAAATTCAACAACATCTCGCGCATCGGCGCCGAGAAGGAGAGCATCTCGCAGAAAATCGCGTTTTTGGTCATTTTTTCACCTGAGATTACTTCAAAAATTTAGGTTACAAAAATTTTTCCCGCTGTTTCTTCAAGCTCTTACACTAATCTAGTGAAGCGTCTCTCAGTTTTTTCTATTTCCAAAAAATGTGAGTGTAACAAAGACGATCTAAAAATGTACGATTTCGGAAATTTCAATCATGTGAATTGCCCTCTGGGCATAACCCAAACCCATATTTTCGAGCATTTTCAGAAAGCTAAGCTCATAGCCTTTCTAAAAAGGTGCTATGTGCGACCATTAGACAACTAAAAAAAAGGGTTGATTTTTCAATTTTTATGAAGATGAAGCAAAATTGGTAACTTCAAGATCGATTTTAGACACATTTTTCTACAAATATTGAAAAAAGCTAGAGACCTTTTTTGCAGCTTTTTGCACGAGGAATTCAGATCTGAAGAGAAAAAAATCTAATTCGCAAAATCGCAAAATCGTGGGGGACCCCCTTAAACTCGTCTGTGATCATTCGCTTCTTTGGTTCTATCTTCATCTGTCGAGTTGCTTGACCATTTCATATCGCATTTCAAGCCAGCATAAATTATGCTGCATAATTCATCAGACTTTTCTACCACTTGTATTTCAGGAGTTACTGCCAGATGACCTGAGTGAGTGAATTTCAACGTTGCTTTTATCGCCGAGAAAGTCTTCAGTTGTTTTCATCGCAAGTTCAGGAATTGGTGCCATTGTTTGGTCGTTGAGAGTTGAGATCAGGGATGTAAATCACCTTACCATTTTTACCCCACAATAGCAAAGGATTTGGCTTCATTTTATCCAAAAGCTTGATTTTATCGAAATACTTCATTTCATCCAAAATTTTTTTGGATAGGATGAAACATTTGAATAAATGATGTATTTGGATGGTCTGTAATTGCAGACCGCCGGTCTGTTTTCGAAGACCGCCGGTCTGGCAGACCGACAGCGCCCGTGGGGTGGCGGGCGAATGCAGTACAAAATTGAAATTTGTACTGCCAGTACAAATTTTGTACTGCCGGTACAAAATATCAGAATTTTTACGACACCGTATACCGAATTTTACTCCCAAAAAGAAGGTATTTATTAAATAAATGCTAAGCTAGAATATTGCGGAAAAGAGAACCACAATTCTACGTAGATTTTTAGGTAGGGTTACTTTTGAAATGAAAAGAATCCCACTTCGCAATTAGGCGCTCTGGAGAAAGTGGTACTGCACTTGGCGGAAAGTTGTAACGCTTGTTTGAATCTTCACTGTTTTCAGTGTTCATCAAAAATGACAAAAATGTGTCAGAAAAAGAGTCAATTTACTTAGGATATCCTTAGTACTAGATCTGCAAATAGCAAAAACACTCGAGTAGAAAAATTTGAGTAAATCCGATTCTTGATATCTACTCCCTTAAATTTATTGAAAACTCATTATTTGAGATTTTTAATTAACAGTTTGATTTTTCCATATAATCAAAAGATGCCTTGGTAGTCGACATTCTTCTCTATCTTAAAGTCCTGACACGATGTTTTTTCTCGTGGACCAGCTGGTTCCCCGCTAGACAAAGAGAAGTGAAGGGAAAAAGAACACTTGAAAGTTTCATTTTTCACTTTTTCGTTGGGAAAAAAGCGGTTGAGAGAAGAAAATGATGCAAATAGAACACCTTAGTTTACCGAAGATACCGTATTTGTAAACAATTATTGATGATAAGAGAAATTTTTCGCAAACAATTTTTCGACCTCTCGATTGTTCAATCACTGTATTTATTCATGCACAGTCAACGAGTAAAGCATTCAAAGAAAATATTCTGTACAGACATTCTTTTTTTGTTATGGTTGTTATTTTGAAGAGTTGAGGCGTTTTATCGTGAGAGAAAGGGATGAAGCGTCAAAGTAAGTGGGTGGTTGGCGGCGGATTTGGTTGATGGAATACTTGCTCTGGATTTTGATGGTTTTCTTGAGAATCGTTTTTCGGACCTGAAAGATTTTCGTGACTTTTTTTCGAATTTTCGACTTACCGGGTTGAAGGAAGAGATTTTTTTCGATGACGATTTTGCGTCATTTTTAATGACTATCGCGTTGACAGCTTTTTTTATTTCCTGAATTTTCTCATCCTCTGTCTTTGTCGATTCTTTTTCTGCTTTTTTTGTTTTGATTTCTGCCATCACCATCTTTTTTAAAATTTTTTTTGGCGAATTAAAATTTTTTTAATCTTGATTTTTTATATATTTTGTGAAGTTAAAAACTGGCAGCGGCTGGTTTTTAAAAGAAGAAAGCATCAGCCCTCCACCTTGAGGAGTGAGCTCGCTTAGCGCGTGAGATTTATGTAATCGCCAGCGCCAGGCGCTAGCATTCTTCATCTGCGCCTCTTTTGACATCATTTCCTCACCAAAGTGACAAATGGTGAAATCCTTATGAAATCTATTTTCTTTTTCTAAACTACCTAGATTATATAATCATCCATTTCGAAGCCGCTAGTACACTTGCTCATAAGATCAGTCGATGAATTCGTGACCGGGGTTTTCCCCGGCTAAACTCACTTGACAAGAAGGAAAAATTTATTGCTTTTTTGATTGATTTTGGCAGATCGGCATTTGAAAGATTAATCATCAAAGGCCAATTCTTGATGCCCAAAGCATTATTTTTCAGATTTTTGAGCTTGAAAAACTGAAAAATGCAATCAAGAATCACTAACCTTGTTTTTGAGCATCTGAGTTTCTACACTGTAGAATCTACAGTAAGATGCTACTAGTAGTGAAAAAGACGCACGAAAGTCTCCGTCAGAAGTTTTGACGAAAAACTTGAATACAACAAGATTATCGCGATTCAGAGTTCTTGTCACGCCTTTTTTAGACAGGTTACTCTTCTTGTTTTTCTTCTGCACTTACTTTTTGGTATGATCTCAAACGTCAATGCAAAAAAAAACCGCCCAAAATATCAGCAGCGCAGCGAAGGGGGCTGAGGATTGAATAAATAAGTGACATTTTTAGTCTTTAAAAAATAAACATCTTTCAAGTTCTTGCAATTTTTTCTCATTTCTGCGTGAAAAAAGCATGATTAGAAATAATCGTCTCCCCTCTTTTATTCTAGTTTCAACCTTTTTCTTCGCGCTGGCTATTTTTACGAAGGACAAAAAGAGCTGTGATTCTCAGATTTACCCTGGTTTTGAAGGCGTTATTTTTGGAAATGGACCCAATAAAAATATCAAAGAAGATGTTTACAGAGATTCCGGAAGACTTGGAAATTATGAGCCGGAAGAAATCGATTCAGTTTATCAAATGAGCAGGCAAGAATTCACTTGGGAAGAAAAAGAGAATTACGCAGCAAAAATGTCGATTCAAACTTATGGCTTCAACATGATTGTTTCCGATAAAATCCCACTTGATCGGGTTCCAGATGATCTGAGGGATCAGAAATGCAAACATGTCGACTACCCGGAAAATCTTCCTGAAGTTTCTGTCATCATCGTCTTTTTTAATGAAGGACTAGGGTTGGATAATTCGGGGCGGCCTGGGAAAGTCGCCGAATGTCTCCGAATGTCGCCGAATGTCGCCGAATGTCGCTATTTTTTGCTTTTTTTCGGCGACATTCGGCGACTTTCCCAGTGTCGCCCGAAAATTTTTCGTTAAAAATTATACCGATCCTCATTTAGGATGGAGTACATTTCTCCGAACCGTCCATTCTGTGATAAATCAAACGCCGAAAAAGCTTCTTGGGGAAATAATTCTCATCGATGACGGCAGCACCAGAAACCATTTGAAAGAAAAACTAGACGAGTACATTCAGCGCTGGAATGGACTTGTCAAAATTCATCGAAACGAAAATCGCGAAGGTCTGATCCGCGCCCGGTCTATTGGCGCATCTCTTGCGATCAAAGAGGTTCTTGTTTTTCTCGATGCTCATTGTGAAGCCGAGTACAACTGGCTCCCGCCACTTCTAGCTCCGATAGCGAGGAATGATCGAATCGCGACGGTGCCGATTATCGACAAGATTGATGCGAATTATTTCAATTTTTCGGCGCAAGGTGGAACTGATGATTTGGGTAGAGCAATAGGTACTGTTTATGCAGAAATAAAAATTTAACAAACTAAAAAAAATATTTATATTATAAATTTGAATTCAATAAATGAACTTTATTTAAAAAAATACTTAAATTTATTATATTTTTTAAAATATATTAAATAATTTTAAAATTATTAAAGAAAATTCAAATTGATTTAATTAAATTTAAGTTAAATTAGAATTTTATTTAAAATAATTTTAAGTAAATTAAATTTATCAACAGAAATTTGTTACATTACTTGTGAGTATTTCTCACACAAAGTGGTATTTGATTTTTTTCTTCAGGTGGATGGGACTGGAGACTGACTTGGAAAAGAATACCTTTCCAAGAAAAAGGCGAGAAGAAAAGACTCGTGTCAAAAATCGAACCCTATCCTAGTCCGGCAATGGCAGGTGGACTTTTCGCGATCAATCGACAGTACTTCAAAGACTTGAAATTCTACGATCCTGGTCTTGAAATTTGGGGTGGAGAAAACTTCGAGTTGAGCTTCAAACTCTGGATTTGCGGCGGAGAGCTCTTATTCGTACCCTGCTCGAGAGTTGGACACATTTACAGAGACCTGGAGTGGAATGGAAATCCTCCCGTTTTTCGGCCGAGTTCTTCGGTGAGAAATTATCGGCGGGTTGTCGAAACTTGGTTTGATGATGATTGGAAGAAATATTTTTACGCAGATCGGCCTGAAGCGAAAAACATCGAATTTGGCGACATTTCGAAGCAGCTTGAATTCAGGAAAAATCATTGCCCTCATGATTTTGATTGGTTTATGAAAGGTTCTTCCTCAAACGAGGTTTTTATTGAGCTTTCATTTTAAAATTCAGAAATCGCTTTTGGAGTTGCTCTAGAATCACCGCCGCCTCCGATGAATAAAATCTGGGGCGCCATTCAAGTGCGAAATACATCCCAGTGTTTGGACGCAAATAGCGGTTACGAGTACACTGGGAAAATAGAAACTTGGAATTGCAATAAATTGCGGCCTTCTCAGATCTTCCGACTCACTGAAAACGGGAAACTGAGGCAAAGAGACTTGTGCGTAAATTCGGAGATAAAACTTTCCGATGACTGTTCTGAGAATGACGCTGGATGGGATTTTGATGAAACGACTGGAATGGTTTCGTTCTTATTTCGCTTTGGAGACAACAAGGAAAGAAAAAGATGTCTGAAATTCAGAAATATCACGAATTCAAGCGGAAGAGTCGTTTTTGCAGATTGCGATGCTGATGATAAAAATCAGAAATTTACTTTTGTCAACCTCTTTGTTTAATTTCTTCTACACGAATAAAACTGCTTCACATCTCATGATCACATCTCATCTAGAATTCTAGTAACGGGGGTCAAAAGTTATCCCTATTATAGGGCCTTTTTTGTGTAAAACGAGCTTCCTTTGAAGTCGGCGGGAGGATTGACGAAAGTACTAATCCGAAATCGGGCTTTCAGAGGCGTCACAAAAGGGTTTAAACTTACTTTTGGCATATAAAAATCTTGAACAACCCAAGTTAAGGTATCTCTACCAGGGTCAAAAGTTGGCTGAAAATCGTTGTTGACACCCTTAAGTCATATGATGAACCGAACCGCCCTGTACACATATAGCATCTCATATTATATGCGAATATTAATGCGAGAATATGAGCCCTGCTCGAGTCAGGTTCATTGAGGGGTGACGCTTGACGCGAGTCTTCTTTGAGAAACAAGATTTACAATTCAACTGTTAGCAGGTCCACTTTACTTTCAACCACAAAATTAAAGAAAACCTTTTCGTTCCCGAAATACCCTAAGAGAAGAAAAAGTCAAAGAAGCAAATGGCAATTGATCAAAAGTAAGATCAAAAATGAGCTTTTATAATTTTTATTAAGAATTAACAAATAAACAAAATAGAAAAAAATCGAAAAAGAGAGTTTTTTCGCCAATTATAATCTTTAAAATCGAATATTTTTTTCTAAAAATCGAATTTAAATTTAAAAAATCAGCCTTTTTTCCGTTCAAAATTCCTTAGTCGCCGCGAGTCAATCATCTCGCAAGCATATGCCCGCGCCGTCCGTTCCAGATCAATTTCCGTGCCGGTCCAGTCGGAGAGATTCCTCGTTGTTGGCAAGTTAAAACCTCCCTTTCGCCAAGTTAAAAGTTTTCCAGAGTTTTCGGAGAGATTTATTCTGCTGATGGTAATCAGCACCTTGTTCCTTCTCGCTGGAATGATGGCTCTTGGCTTGTCAAGGTGAGTGCGCTTTTGAGAAGTGTTAATTGGATCCTAATCTGATGCGGATGAGGATTTTTAGTCAAGGATTTGAACTTGTTTATGATTTCAAATTATTTCAAATTTTTACTTGAAAAAAAAAAATTACTTTTTTTTCGCTGAAATTATTTTTTAGGTCTTCTGAGCAAAACTGCACATACGAAATTTGTCATATCTTCCAATCAAAAGGGACTCAGCTTATGTGGATCCTCGTTTCTAGCTCTTTTGCCGTAAGTCTATTAGAAATTACCAAGCTGACGGTTTCTTACGGTCTCTTAGATGTCCTGCCTGGCAGTATATGTGATAGTCAAAGAAGCGAAAATTGTGCCAAAGAATGGGGAAGAAATTGAAAGTAAAGAAGGAGATGATCTGCTGTAATTTATTCATTTGCGAATCAAATATGACTGTAAATACATTCCTGGCCATGGAAATAATTGTTACTTTTCTGGTGGGAGAGTTCGATCGTCGTTTGAGTAGCAATTTCGAACTGCTGTCGGGTTCATAACTTGTTTCCTTCAAAGAAAAAATAATTGAGGTCCTTTGTTGCATTTTTACTTGAGCTCGAGCATGGTCCAGCACCCGTTGATTTTGCTCCAACTTTCGTTGTGGCGCTCATCGTGGTCGAAACATTCGAAGTTCTCACTCTTTGTGCTTTTTTGGCTTTCCAAGGAGAACCTCTTAATCAGAGATCTCGGAATAATTATTCGATATTTTGAAAACGTTCCAGGTTTCCTCTATGCATTCGCGTTCTAAATCTCCCTCTTGCAATTCTTCCAGGCCGAATCCCCACCTCGGTTTTCTCGATAAAAATCCTCAAAGTAACCTTTTATTCGTCCTTTTTCATTAAAATATCTACCATTTGCGGTTTCTCTGTCAACACCGTATGAGAAACATAAACCGATCAAAGAATAAAGAAGCTTCATTTTCAGCTTCCTGAAATTTTTGGCTCAAAAAATGATTCAGCGAAGGTATTTATTTGCTGGTACACAAGCACCATGTCAATATTTTCGAACAAACACAATTTCTAAAATCAAAAATGATAACGTGTGAACTTCATTTTTTTCAAGTTCATGCCCCGAAGGTTGGAACTCTTCGGGAAACAGCAAGATGTTGGACGAGGTTATTGAAATGTTACGCAAATAGGAGTATAAGATGGGAATCGAGCCACCTTTGTTGACAGAGCAACTCCTTAAAATCGAGAGAAAAAGCGTTTTCGAGCAGCAGAAATGAGAATTTTTGCGGCTGCTCTGGCCATTGCTTCGGGTAAGAGACAAAAACCAGAGAAAAGGGGGTTTATTTAACTTATTTTTCTAGCGGTGCCGCTGGAGGAAACCACCCTCTACGACTTCCAAAACTACAACATCGATGGCGAGCTGATCGACTTCGGCGAAAAATACCGCGGCCGAGTGACGATCGTGACCAACCTAGGGTCGGACTCCTTTCCTTTATTTTTTCCTTACTAAGGGTCCTTTTTCCTTAATTCCTTTATTTTTTCCTTACCCTTTTTCGGATTTTGAAGAAATAAAATCCTTTCCTTAATTCCTTTCTCAGTTTTCAGAGACCCTTAGTAAGGACCCTTAATCCTTAGTGATTTTTCCTTTTTTCCTTCCCTTACTAAGGGTTTGAGAAAGGATTTTTTCTGTCAACCTACGCACTTGAAAACCGATTCTTACGAAAAACCTTTTTAAAACCCTTAGTAAGGAAAGGGATTAAGGAAAAATTGCTAAGGAATCACAAAAAAATGACTTTTCCTTTTTTAAATCCTTACTAAGGAAAAAACCCTTTCCTTTATCCTTTGTCAGGTTTCAGAAAAGTCCTTAATCCTTTCCTTAGTCCTTTTTTGATTTTCCGCAATTTCGAAACCCTTACCCTTAGCGACTAAGGAATCCTTAGTAAAGGGTCCGACCCTAGTGACCAACGTCGCGTCCGAATGAGGCTACGCCAAGTACCACTATCCCCAGCTACAGGATATGTGGAGAATCTACGGAGACCAGGGCCTTTCCGTCATGGCCTTTCCATGCAACCAGTTCGGCGGCCAAGAGCCAGGCACCGATGAGGAGATCAAGGAGCACGTCCAAGAAAAGTACGGAGTTACTTTCGACATGATGTCCAAGATCAACGTCAACGGGCCGGACCAGATCCCGCTGTACGAATGGATGAAGTCGACCGAGCCCGGCAAGAATCAACCGATCAAGTGGAACTTTACCAACTTCGTGATCGATCGCTGCGGGCGAGTCCGACAGCGACACGAGCCACCAGAGCATCCAGAAACCTGGGAAGATCAGGTCGTCGCGCTCCTTCTTGAAGAACCTGCTTGCTGAACCTTCAAGCAGAAGTTGAATCGGAGCCCGGGGATGAAATAATTTTGCAACAATTTGTAGCTGGATTAACGCGAAAAGTTTCCTTCTCGGATCTTAAGGCGCTCTCTCACTTGCCAAGCTGGATAGAATGATTCTTAGCGACCAAAACCAACAATTGGAAGTTGCTTTGAGGAAAAAATGAGCTCGAGTGAGAGGGCCTTGGGATTTTGCTCCTGTTCAATCGCTATTTTGAATAAATAGAGTTTTAATATATTGTTTCTCAGTTAACAGGTGGAAGGGAAAGGGGATGAAACGGCAGCTTTAGACAACTTGGGAGGGCTGTTCGGTGGATGAATTTAGCAGGTCGTGCTCGCTGTGATAGCCCTCGTGACTAAGGATAAAGGGTTGACAAAGGAAGTGGAAGGGATCACTTACTATTTGAATCGCGGTTGGAAATGCTGACCTCTCGCGTTCTCGCGTTGTTGACCCTAAAACTGACAGTTATTCTCAAAATAAAGATCTTTTTCGAATTCAAAATTCACAAATATTAACAACAAATACTACGCCACAAAAGTAACCTCAAGTTTATCAGCTTTAGGAACTCGCCAAATCGGCATAGTCAAATGATATGCCTAGAAATCTTCAGATAGTCCTTGATTTCTTTTTTTTTACCTGAAGAATCGACTCCGATCGAACAAAAGAGGATTCAAAGTCGTCAGGCTCAATCGAGTGCGAGTCGGTTCCGCTGTCAGTGGCAGTGTAGTAGTCCATGAGCTTGGAGTTGTTTTCTTGAGGAACGGGAACTCGGTAGATGAAGTCGCCAGTATCACCAGCGCCAGAATGCGAATGACCGCCTGTCATTGTGATTTGCAAAGGCTCGGACCTTGAAAAACTCGCTAATGAAACACAAAAGTTGCTTTTCTTACCATCCAGATTCATTTTCATCTTTTTCCTTCGTCGACTTCCAGGCAAAGTGGCAAACGACGATTCCGATAATGAAAATAAGAGAGACAGCTCCGATGATAATACCAGCAAAGACTGTATATTTCTCGCGGATTTCAGCAACAGTTGCTATCGATAGATTCGAAATGGTGCTCTCAGAAGTTCCCATAAAGTTCGCGGCTTCTCAGGATTGAAAAAGAATTGCTTTTGAACTAAATTCGACTGACTGAACGTCGTTTTTCTTCTTTTTCAACCTTTCCTTTGCAAGTATAATTCAAGTTTCGAGCTCCAAGAAAGCGAATCTTGACATTTGTCTCGGCAATCGTCGTCACTACATCGTCATCTTCGGATTCAACTTCCCAAGAAATCGTCGGCATTGGATTTCCCTGAACACAAAATGAGCTCTTCCGAATATCTACGGTAGATAATCTACCTGTCCGCATGTAGCAGATCCAAAAGACCAACTCTTACCTCAGCAGCGCAGAATAAGCGATCCCCGTTCTGGACAATATTGGGCTTGGCGGGTTTGTAGGTGACATTCAACTTCATCGATTCGCTTTCGTCCGTCAACAGGGGATGAGAGAGGGAACACTTAATGTACGCGTTGTTGAACTTTTTGTCGGGGATCATTTGCAGCTCTTGAGTGTATTGATTTTCCAATCTGAATGAAAAATCTAGCTTACTAAAAGACTAAAACTGTCTTTTTACCTGGTAATGGAGGTTTTGAAAAAGTTCTGCTGTAGTGCAGCTCCGTTCAGTCCATTCACCCATCGTACTATCGCTTCAGGTTTTCCAGGATCGTAAACACAAGAGGCAATCGTCTTCAACCCTGAGTCTTCGGTTGCTTCGATGTAGCTCTGGTGCAGCTCTGCCTTGATGAGAAGGGGCTTTTTCTGGACGGTCAGGGTCGTGTACGTCGAGAAGTCCGTACTGTCGTCGGTAATGATGTTTTTTCGAACTCTTTTGGAATTTTTCAGATATTTTTTTCCCAAATTTTGTTCTTACTTGATATGGCAGGTGAATTTTCCGCTATCTTTGATACTTGTATTTTTCAGGGTCAACCCGCCAGCTTCCCAGTTCCACTCGAATTTCTCGCTCTTAGGATTTATCTCGTAATCGGACAGAATCTGTCCATTCCTGATCTGGGCTCGGCAAGCTGTGTTAAAACCTGAGTAAGGGTCCTGAAATAGACTCTAAGAAAAAGCAGCAGTTTATCAAAAAGGAAGCGGCTTTGCCAGAAGAACCGCCTTCTTTTCAGACCCTGAGTCAGGACCCTTACTCAGATTTAAACACAGGTTGTCGAGCCCTGTCCCTGACAGCTTTCTCCTTTTCGAAGATTTTGTTTTCGTTGATTTTGACGATAATCTGGATCTTCTCGCATTCCGATTCTGTTTTGATTGATTAAACAAGTCTTTCTTTAAGAAAAAAGGGTTGAAAAGAGGGTTTAATCTATTCCTGAGCAGGGCAGTTGAGCGATTGGGCAGGGAATCGTGAAGTCATTTTCGATCGTTACTGTAAAATCCACCGCGAGAGCTGACGAGGTCAAAAGGAAGATCCGAGCAAGGAAGAGGATCATTGTCTCTTATTTTTTCATTCTAAAAGGGTTGAAAAGGTGAGTGAACGAAACAGAAAAGAAAATGGATCAGCGGAGAGATGATCTTCATTAGTCGCAGAAAGACATTGAACAGGGCGACGCGAAATCCGTCGATAATAAAGTTTGACTAACGGAATAAAGAAAGAATTAAACAAGCGACCCCGCACTTGATCAATTATTCAGTTTGATGATTATGCTAATGCATTGATTTGTTACTAGCGAAACTAATGGCGAGTAATGGGATGGACAAAGATGAGTACCGAAACAAGTGACGGCTCGCTGCATAAATACAGTATTACACCTGAGGATTTGGGCTCGGCGACCTGTGAGAAAACCTGAGTCAGGTCCTTAGCGCTAAAATGAAAAGCCGCATGGCGGCTAAATTGAGAACGAGGCCGCTTCGGGCGGCTTATCATTTTTGCTATTTAGAATCTGACTCAGTTTTTCGACATAGGTTGCCGAGCCCAGCTCAGGATTCCTGAGTCAGAGAAGAGAATGAAGGGAAAGAAACTTCATTTTCTCTTCTGAACTGAAAAATTCGCTCCTGAGTCAGGTCTTGATAAGAAATCAGGACTCCTGACTCAGGAGCTTAGAAGATGAAAGAGTCGTCGCAAAAATTAACTCTTTCAAAAGGAATTATACACAGAAAACAGGAATAAACAAATCTTCAATCTTGTCATTACTTTTCTCTTATTTTCGATATCGTCATTTCGAAAACATATGTTTTCACTTTATTTCATTAAAAAAGCGATTGCGCGGAATGGACAGGTGCCGCTCTTTTTTGGCGCCCGAGAGAATTCGGGCACACGCCTCAAATATGGCACTTAGACGAAATGACATTTTTCCGTTTGTCACATAAAAAAGATACAAAATCGAAATAAAAAATTAATTGCAACGCTAAATGGCCGCGAAAATCCACCGATACTGTTTTTTCTCTCAACAATAAACAGCTTAAAGCAGCTTTTCTCCGGATTCAACCCTAATTTTAGCTTGAAAACCATTTAAATCTGAAGAAAAACCTGTCTAAAAACCTTATTAAGGACCTGTTTCCTGTTTTCAGGGCCCTGACCTGAGACTCAGGGTCGCTCAAAACAGGAAACATGCCTTAGTCAGGTTTATACACAGGTTTTACCTCAGAAAAATGACGTATTCGAACCTTTCTATCAAAAAACCGATGAATCATCTTCTTTTTTTCTCACTTTCTCTTTTTTTCTCAATTTTTTTCTATCTTTTTTTCTTGATTTCTCGATTGCTAAAAACTTCAATTCTCGAAAAAAAAGTCGCGATTATTTCTCTTTTCTTGAAAATCAACGAGAAATGATGAAATGAATCAGCGAAAATCGAATGAAGACTGGTTAGGTTAAAAAAAGCTAATTAGAAAATCTCTTGCCGATCAGGTTTTTGCGATTGCGATTAGCGCCAGATTTGCTCGCGAAAGAGAAAATCGAAAGGAAGCGATATTTGAATTTGACGCGTTTTGGTGAAAATTGAATTCTGAGTTTGCGGAAACGGCTCTTCTTATTTTCGAGCTTACTTTTAATCGTAGAGTTGAGTTCTAGAAAAAAAAAATCCTACGGAAGGAATCAGGGCTCGGCAACCTCCGTCGAAAACGGGATTTCAATCGGCAAATGCTCATTCAACAAAACATTTAAATAGAAGAAGAGATTCGGAAGCTAACGGACATTGAGAGTGGAGATCTATTTTGAGGATTATGCTGCTTTTTGCTTGCTTATTCCTGACTTTGCTAAATAAACCGAAAATGGAAGTTTGAATCAAATCATGATTTGATAAGTAATCTTTTATTCGAGTACAAATGACTCAAAGTCAGAGATCTATCAGAAACTGCAATAAAATTCGCTGAAATGAGACTTCACTTTTTTCTTGGCCTACCCTAGTCTCCAGCGTCACGAGGCTGGCCGAGGTCGCCAAAACTGACGGTTTCCAATCGTTGGTATCGGCGCGGAGGCTCTGCGGGCGCCATTTTTCTTTCGAACAGTTTGCTGAAGAACAGTTATTTTAGTAGTTATCTAATGTTAATTTGATTGAGAAGATTTAAACTTACTCGTATTGTTCGCGGTAAAAGTCTTGCATATGTTTCGCCTGCTTGTAATCCGCTTCCACGATGTCGAGTTCAAACTTCAATTTGAGTTCTTTGATTTTAGACGAGTGTCGAAATTCATAGAACCTAAAAAATCATTTTCGGCTGCTAAAAAAAATAAATTCTTGCATTTTGGCGATAAACCAGACGATGGCCGCTCCACTTAGATCAAGAAAAAGCTCGAGAATGTCCAAATTCATAATCATTTGCTTCATGTCTAAAATTACAAAAATAAAATGGGCTAAAAAATAAAAAAGGGCTTCAAGTCATTAACAGTTGCCTTTTCTCTCTCTCGCAAATCTCTATTTTTTTAAATAAAATCAGTTTGAAAACTCCTTTTTCGAAAATCAAATGAGGAGTGGAGAGAATCACCCGATGAAAATTCCGTTATCAATTTCGCCATCGTGAAGTGTTTCAGTTAGAAACCAACTTTTGAAGATAGTAGAGACCAAGTTGAAACGAGTTTTCGAACTGTGAAAATGGGGAAATTCCTTATTTTTGTAAAAATTTAAAGAAATTAATCGCAAATTCTAACCCAACGCATGTTAATTATAATTTCTTACCATTTGAGAAGACTTGACTAATGACGGTCCCTTTTTTAGTTAATAATTGAAATGCAAATTTGCAAATTCGTGGAAATTAATCTTTGTTTCCCTGCTTGTGACGAATTAGGCTAATGGGATGATCCATCACTTTCTAAATCCGATACTATCGATATGATGGCTTGGCAGCAGCTGGACGAACCTTGAACTTGTAAAGTTTAACGGACGCGCGAGAAATTAATGCCCATTTGACAGGAACATTGATTTTGGCAACTTTTGAGAATAATTTATATTTTTAACTTTTTCAAAAAAGAGTTAAAAAAGATGAAAATTTAAGGTCTTTTTTCTTCATTTTTTTTTTCTGATTGCTCCATTTCATTTGATAGGAATATACAGTATTAATGACATAGCTCTGCACACATCCATTATCTCAATAGTATTTGACAATTTCTCATGCATTTTTCATCATTTTACTTAATATAAAAAGCTCGAGGAGACCGTTTGAGACGATTGATGATGAGAGTCCTCGTTGTTTTCACTCTTTTTGCGTGCATTTTTGGCGATTCTCCGCAAAATCGCGCGAAAAAGCATTTTCAAACCCGATTACGAGTAAGTCTCTCTCGTTTAAAGATAATTTTGAATGCTTTTTGTAGACTACAGGATGCGCTACTGTATTTCAAATCCTCGCTGCCGAAAAATGATGGCTTTCAGAGCTCACAAAAACAAAATTTCTGCTTGAAGTTTTTCTGCATTTTGATTTCCAATTTAAAATTTTGTTCCTTCCTAGCCACTTTCTTTTTCATAAATAAAGACGAATTTTGTAAAAATATAAGTTGTGTATTCTTTCAGACATCTTGAACAGGAAATTCAAACAGTTTATTCTCCTCCTCCAAGAATCGTTTTAAGAAGGCAGCAAAGGAGATTGTTTCCGCCGCCATCTTTGTTGTTGTTATCTTCGGGCCGAACCAAAATAAGGAAGTAATAAGCTAGGAAGTGACAGCGTAGGAGCGAACAAGAAAGTATCATACACGAAAGGATCAAATTATAATGGAAGATCCAAGCCAGTATCGTGCAAGATTGGATCGGGCATACATTTGAAAATGATTGAGGATGGGTTTCTTATAGGCCGGTAGGCCTTATACGGCAATCTTATTGGTTCCAAAAAATTCGATCCTTTAATGCATGATCCTATTTAATTTGATACTTTCATGTATGATACTTTCTTATTTGATCCTTTCGTGTATGATACTTTCTTGTTCGCTCCTACGCTGTCACTTCCTAGCTTATTACTTCCCTATTTTAGTTCGTGCCTTATCTTCGAAGAACATGAAATCCTGAAATTGAAATTAGCACAAAAGGGTTTCGTATTTTCAGTCGATTGAAACTTACGATGAGGAAAACGCTGGCCATGAGCGTCAATTTGATATTGACATCCAAATCGATCGGGAAGTTGATTCCAAAATTGTCCGAGTCGGTAAACATTTCCTGCGCCATGCCGCTCCAAAGTTTTGAAACCTTTCCGACAACAATGTCGTCTGCTGTGACGACTTCAAACTCGACGTTGCTGCAACAGTTGATGGTGACCATGGGACCAACGATTCGGAGGACTTCTTGGTCGTACGCGTTTTGGATCGAGAAGACTGGTCGAGAGCAGTCAGCCTTTTGGCGGATTTTACCGACAATGTGGCCGCCTGTTGTCACATCTGAAATCAACAATGAGAACAAACTTAGATGATGGGTAAATTGCTTACCCATTTCCTGAAGAAAGCATGGAGGGTAGCAGAGGCCAAATCTGCAGGTAGGCTTGAATGGCCGCTGAAATCTCGCAATTTCTTGCCCAAGATTGTCAGTAATCGCCATTTAAAAATCTCGATTTGGTCCGCAGCAACATTTCGCGACGCATCCACTCTGTTCTCCAGCAAAGTAGACTTGTTGGCCATTGCTGTTCAAAACCTTTTGAAATTGAACATTTTTCTATTAAAAATCGAAACTGACCTTGTATCTGTTTGATGTTTCAAAAGCAGTGAAAGCTTCGAACAACTCCATTTGCTGTTTGACATAAAGGCTGTCGACGAAGTAGAGGTACTCGAGTCCCTGAGGAACGGAGCTTGGAACGCCTTGGGGAGCTGGAGCCCAGTTTTGCTGGATGTTGATGATCACTGGCGCTGGGGCAGCAGGAGCCGCAGCTACCGGCTGGCCATAGGCGTCGACTTGAGGCTGAGCGGGAGCTTGCTGGGCGAGGGGTTGGCCGAATGCATCTACCTGTGGCTGAGCGGGGGCAACTGGCTGTCCATAAGCATCAACTGGGTTTCCCCAAGCATCCACTTCTCCCTGGTTTGGCTGCATCCTGCTGTTAATGATTGAAAATCATGCATTTTCAAAAAATTAATGTTGGTACCTGCACTTGAAAATGAAAAAGCAAAACTGATGAATTTTCAATCAACAAAAATGGCATCAATACTAATTCTAGAAACGCCATAATCATCCTTTTCAATGTCAGATTTAACTAATAGTCGACATTGAAAATTCAGTTCTAGAATCGGTCAACCCAAAGCGAGGGAAAATCAACGGCGGAGCGCGGCGCTGATTGGCTGCGCGCTGACTCTTGGCTCCACCGAAAGGCAAAGACCGGCACTCAGAGGAAAAAGGGAAGAATACGAAAATGAGTCAAAGTTGGGAAGGTTCCTTCGAAGACGTAGGAGAAGATTCGAATTTGATGGACAGTGGTAGTGGAAACGAACCTTTATTGCTTCGGGATCGAAAAGTGCATGCTTATATTCTTTATTAAGAGAAATCCTTACTCATTATTTTCTCATTTCAATTCTCGATTCCAAAATATGCCCGGAGCTCAACCATCAAAGAAAACCTATCCTTCTTTATTCTCAATCAGTTTCTACCAAAAATGTTGGGACGTGACGACAAACGAAGTCCGCTTACGAGTAAAATCCGCGATGATGCCGCGAGAAGACTTCCTCAAGAACCTGCGCGGGAAGCCAGATCTTTACGGCCCTTTCTGGGTCGCCGTCACTCTCTGCTTTTCCACGGCGATTTGCGGAAACCTGGCGAATTTTGTTCAGAATAAAGGAGATCCTGTAAGTCTTTCAAGGGTCTTTCCCGCTCTAGAAATTCGATTCAGGCTTATGTCTACGCGCCAGAATTCGAAAGAGTCACTTCCGCTGCATCTGCTATTTTCGGATATGTCTTTGTTTTTCCCATGTTTCTTTCGGGTACGCTTTTCTATTTATCAAAAGATAGCTTTTCTTTTCAGTTGTGATGTACTATTCAAAGATCATGACTGGTTTCTCTGCTGTCGAGCTGCTCACTGCGTACGGCTACTCTCTTTCAATTTTCATCCCAATCAGCTTTTTCTGGATCATTCCCGTCGAGTTCATCAGATGGCTTCTCGTCATTTTCGCCTCAGTCGTTTCTGGAGCTGTCGTTGGGCTTCCAATTTACAACGGGCTCAAGGTAAGAGCCTTCATGTCATACCATTCTTTCTTCATCCCTTTTTAGGCCGTCACGAACAAGCAAAAAGCATACGCTGTTCTAGCTTTGGCCGTCGTCGCCAATTTGGGCCTCTCAGTCGGCTTCAAAATGTACTTCTTCGAAGCGCCTCTCAATCCTTCCGGCTTCGTTCCTCCAGTTCAGCCTCCGGTAGAAATTCAGCAACAGCCAGTGGTGCCAGAAAATCCAGTCGAGGTTGAAGAAGTTGCGCCAATTGTTGATGAAGCTCCAGCTGTTGAAAATCCAGTTGTTCCTGAAGGTAAGGACTTTGAGTGGCCGTAAAAAACGTTCTCAATTGTTTTTGTTTATTCTGGCGCTGAGATACGAAAAACAGGAAATTAAACCCTTCTTTAACAATAACTTCATTCTTTTATTTTCAGTTCCAGAACCAGTAGAGCCTCAAGCTGTAGAATCCGTCGAAGAAAGCAAAGAAGTCGCCGAGCCCGAACTCGTCGCACAAGAACAAGTCCAGGACGCTCCAGAAGCTGTGGAAGCTCCCGAAGCTCCTGTAGAAGCTCCGGTCGTCGATGCGGAAGAAGCTGCTAGAGAAGAACATGTGGAAGAAGTCCTGCATCAGCTGCCAAGAGTCGCATCTCCCGTCCAAGCAGCTGCTGAAGAACCAGCTCAAGTTCCAGAAGTTCAAGCTCCTGAGGGAGCGGAAGGTTAAGATTGGTGTATATTTTTAACCGGTGAGAAAAAAGGTGTTTTTTTATGCGATTTTTCGGTATTGTCTGATTTTTTCGTCGCCTAAATTGGCTGATTTTAGCTCCAGTCGAAGCTCCAGCAGAAGAAAATCACATCGTTTTACCACGAGTGCACAGCTAAGGCCTTCTTTTGTTCCTAGAATTCTTTTTCCTGCCTTTATTCTGCATTTATCTTTTATATTTCTGTATTACCCTCTTTCCAATCATCAGAACTTCCTGTTTCGATGTTCTACTAGTTGAATATTTATATATTATAAACGATTATAAATAAGCTCACTGTGCAATATATTTCAATAACTCGACTTCTACATATTCTATTCGACAATAAGCTCGGCAAATCAGTCTTGAAAACCTGAGTCAGGGTCTAAAAACGGCTTCGCAAGAGATATTTCAGACCCTGACACAGGTTTCCACACAGTTTGGCGAGCCAGACTCAACACATCAAGGTCCCTTAACTTATCCTAGATAGACAATGCCTCGTATCGACTCAGAAGTGAAACTCGACTTCAAAGATGTTCTTTTCCGACCAAAGAGGAGCACCTTAAAATCCCGATCAGAGGTACTTTTCATTGGCATAATTCGACAATTAGGAGACGCTAAAGAAATCCTTTTCTGCGCTTTTTGCTGAAAAGTGAGATGCCCTGGTTGTCATTGTCACCTTGGCTAATCATCGATCACGCACGCGCGCTATTTTTTTCCATTCAAAAAATTTCTCTAAAGAGATAAAAAGATGCCGTTTATTGACGCGGATGTAAAACTTGATTTTAAAGATGTTCTCTTCCGACCGAAACGGTCTTCGTTGAGATCAAGATCTGAGGTAATCGTCTTCTTTTTAGTGGGGTTTTTATTTTTCAAACATAAAATTTGTGTTTTTATTGAATTGAGCTTTGATTCGCAACTTGCTTCCATTCAAGCCCTTACCAACCCCTTTTTCAGGTCGTTCTCGAGCGCGAGTACACCTTCCGAAACTCGAAGCGCTCCTACAAAGGTGTTCCGATCATGGCCGCCAACATGGACACAACTGGTACATTCGAAATCGCCAAGGCCTTCCATGAGCACAGCCTCTTCGTCTGTATGCACAAGCACTACACGTAAGTCACAGTTAACCACCGACTGCTCTACAACTTTCTTTCTAGCGTGGAACAGTGGGAGCTTTTCGCGAGAAACAACCCAGAAGTCATCAAGAACGTCGCCGTCAGCTCCGGCACCTCCGATAACGATTTCGAGAAGATGAGTGCAATTTTGAAAGCGATTCCCGAAGTCAACTTCATTTGCATCGACGTTGCCAACGGGTAATTGTTTGGTTACTTGATTTCGCGACTAACAAGGACTTAGATATTCGGAACACTTTGTTCACTACGTCAGAAAAGTGAGACAGAATTTCGAGGACAAGACGATCATCGCTGGAAACGTCGTGACTGGGGAAATGGTCGAAGAATTGATCCTCTCTGGAGCGGATATCATCAAAGTCGGAATTGGACCAGGTAAGACAAACAAGTTTACCCCCTGCCCTCTACCCAAATGATTTAAGGATCGGTCTGCACAACCCGAAAGAAGACAGGCGTCGGCTACCCCCAACTTTCTGCCGTTCTTGAGTGTGCCGATGCTGCCCACGGTCTCGGCGGCCACATCATTTCCGACGGAGGATGCACTTGCCCTGGTGACTTTTCCAAGGCTTTCGGGTAAGGAAAAACAACAGTTAGAGCCGCTCGAAACCGTTTTTTCTAGCGCTGGCGCCGATTTTGTCATGGCAGGAGGCATGTTCGCTGGTCACGATCAGTCTGGAGGCGACGTTGTTGAAGAAAACGGCAAGAAGTTCAAGCTGTTCTACGGAATGTCTTCTTCCACCGCGATGGAAAAGCACTCAGGCGGCGTTGCTAACTACAGAGCGTCGGAAGGAAAGACTGTCAAGATTCCTTACAGAGGCGACTTGAACAACACGATCAGGGATATTCTTGGCGGAGTTCGCTCTACTTGCACGTGAGTATATCTTGAGAGAAGCTCTTTCACGCCTTTTTCTTTCATTTTCCTTCATTTTTTCTTCAGATATGTTGGAGCAGGAAAGTTGAAAGAGCTCTCGAAGCGAACCACTTTCATCCGCGTGACGCAGCAGTTGAACACGATTTTCGGCAACGAAGGCTAACTCTTCTCTCTCGCAATCTTCCAAAACACTCCAAACTTAGCGAACAAAACTTTCCGTATCTTGAGTGACTGTTTCTCGATTTACCTCCTTAATAATTAGTAATTACACGATTCTACGAGCAAGAACACAAAAAAAAAATAGAAAATTGAATTCATGCCCAGATTCAAATTTAACAACAAAAAAAAACTCATCGAGCTGCTTTTTCATCTTTAAAATTATTTATTTATTAAACTGCGCCGCTTGACTTGAATGATGTTGATGGCACCAAAAGCTTATTTAACACACTACAGACCTTTCTCTACATGACACAAAAGAGAGAACTAAAAAATGTTGAGTTTAAGGTAGTGAAAAGTGCTCCACCATTTTGTAGCAGTATAAAAAAAAACCTGTTTTTCCGAATATCGGAAAGAAAGAAAAAGAAACAATACAGGGACTCACAGATACACAAATTCGTCTTTCCTCAATATGCAGAGGGTTTATTTCTCTTCATGTTTTTTCACTTTCTTTGAGTCGATTTCTTCAGATGCAGAAAGCCGTTCTTTTTTCAGTTATTTCCGAGCAACAAATTCTCTGTTAAAAAAAGGGCTTTATAACCTTCCTTCATCTAAAACAGTAAAATCGCCGTTAAGCAAAGCACGATGCATTCTCATTGCGCTCTTCCAAATCGTCCCAGCTTGGTTCAAATCGAACTAGAAATTCCCCACCATGATCAATGAGGATTCCATACCTTGTGCTTCTGAAGAGACAGTTTTCTCTGACGATTTCCAGCTCGGTTGTAGTAGATTTTCATGATTTCGATAGCTCCTTTCAGCGAAAAAACGCGACGATACTCTCTTTCTTTCAAACTTTGCAATAACTTTTTCAACTCCTGAACTCTAGCATTCTAGAAAAGCAGAATCGCATCTTTAATATGAGGCTATGGCAGATATGGTGATGAATTTTTTTCTACAGTAGTTTTACAGAGCCAAACTGTCTCTATCGCCATCGTAATTCATGTCGAAAAGGCCGGGTTGGTCGGAAGAATCGATGAGGGACCAGAACGGAGAGTTGCGATTTCTAGGGATTTGAGGATGACGAAGAATAAAGAGGTCTTACCGGTAAGTGATGAAGGCGAAAAGACCAGTCATCGAAACAAGAGTGCAGGTTATTCCCACGAAAATGACTCCAATGTAGCTGAAGGGTGGCGGGCGGCCTCGTTCGCAAAGGCTTTTTTGCGAACGGCGTTCGCAATTTACGAACGGCGTTCGCAAAATCGAAAAAATCTCGGTCGAAAATCGAGTTCTTCTTTTCTCAAAATGTGTCCCAGCGGTAGAGAAAGACTGCTCCTGCCAACCTAATGAGTTCTCTACCAGAAAATGCACGAAGTGCATCCTCAAGACACAATTTTATTTCATTGCGAACGCCGTTCGCAAAATTACGAACGGCGTTCGCAAATTGCGAACGTGGCCGCCCTACACCCTAGCTGAATTCATGAAATAAGGGTGGTTTCTTTTGTTTTACCTGCAGAACTCATCCGGACTGATGGTATCTTCTTCGTTTTCTTTGCAACTCGATGAAAGATCCTGAATATCTTGCTTTGTCAACGAACTGATCGATCTTCCCGCGAGTTCTTCAGGCGTCTCACAGACAAATTCGATCCCTTTTCTGCTCCTTCGATCGGGAGAAAAATCAAAGTAAGGTTTCAGCGTTTCCCAATCGCAGCTTATTGGATTTTTATGAAGAAGAATATTCTTCGGAAGCTCTTGAAAGTCGATGCAGGTTAAGTTGTTGGAAGATACGTCGAGAAATTCTAGCGATGAGAGGTCGACTTCATCGAGGGAGGAGAGTTCGTTGTAACTGACATCGAGTTTTTCAAGTTTCAGCTCCATTTGCGTTAAATTTAAGCTCGTCAATTTGTTGAATCTTAAAAATATTAGTCTCGTTGTCAATTACGAAAAGTCAGCACCTTAAATTTAAGGATGTCAGTCCACTAGGAAAGCTGTAATCGACGATCTCTTCGATTTCTCTATTTTCAAAGTCGCACTCTCCATCTTTGCCCAAAATCGCATTCACTGTGTATTTGGCTGTTTCTATCGTACAAACTGCTGCAAACGAAGAAAAGAAAAAAGTTGATAGCAAAAATCTCATTTTTAGTAATTTTCGGAGTAATTTGCTTCGCGCCACTTATTTGCCTTATTCGTCAATTTTTCTTCAAATAGAATTTTGATTCTTACAAATCTTTTGAAAATGAACAGAAAAGACAGATTTTGGAGATTCTTGATATCGGAAGAAGCATCATTTTTGTACCAAAACGGGGTAATCAGCAGGTTTTTTAGTCAGCAGGAGTGACCATCAATTTTCTATTTATTGCTTCCCGCCAGGGTTGCAAGAAAAAGTGCTAGTAAGCTTTTTTTGATAACCACAGAATGATAGAAAATGATCTTTAATAACTATTTTATTGTGACCTCTCTAAAAACGATGATCAAAGGTGTGAAAGTCAAAGTCTCGGTCGTGATAATGAGCATCATCGATTCTATGTGACCTATTTAATCGCGAGTAGACACAGCATTTGAATCAAATAGTATCAGAGAATGACTCTTTCAAATTATTTGCTCATTTTTACTTTGCCCATTGAAGGCTTTGCCTTTTTCGGAACTATTTACGGTGAGTCCACCTTTCGCCAACAAAACTAACCATTTTTTTAGGATGGCCAAATCTTGTTGAAATCTTGAAATCGCTCAAAGTCTTTGAATCTTCTTGTGACACGCTTTCGAACTCGACGACAATGACAAATGAGATCATCAATTGCGAAGAGCGCGATAGCCTTTTTTCTCTGGCTGGGATCATCGGCACCTTCTCGAACAGCATTTGTGTTATTTTTGTTGGAGTGATGATTGAAAAATATGGGGTGTTTATGGCAAGAGTAGCACTCACCATTGCAGTGACTATTGGACTCTTGTGTTTTCTATTCACGCCGCAAGCCAACTGGCTGATTTTTCTAGAAACGGCCGAAAAAATTTTTTAAATTTTTAAAATATTTTTTAAATTAATTATATTTTATTATTTCAATAATATTGATAATAAATAATAATTGATTTATAAAATTTATTTAAAAAATTTGTTTAATGATTAGTTAAATTTTTAATAGAGTTGATTTTTAACCAGATTTTTCGAGCCGAAAACGTAGCAACCTTTCTATATTCTAGTGGAACCTACTCATTCGTCCTCACAAACTCGCTCATGTCTGTTTTGTTCCCGAATATCAGCGCTTTCGTGATGAGTTTCGTCGAGTTTTTCTACCTCGCTGGATGGTCGTATTTTCGCGTTTTAGCGACTCTCTTCAAAAATGGCCTTGCCTACAATTGGGTTATCCTTATAAATATCTTTTGGACGATTCCAGTTTGGCTGCGAACATTTTTTCTCTTCCCTGTCATCAGATTTAAGAGCGACGTTTCGAGTTTTTCCAGGAGCATTGTCGGGCAGACGGTTGGGAGAATTAAGAAGAAGGACACAAGGATCAACAAGCGAAGAATGTCCACTTGGAGCGAAGTGCACAGAGAATATTTGATCGAGAAAGAAAAGATCAAGTTTAAGGGGGTAGATATCAAGAATCGCCATTTTCCGTCAGACTTTTTTCCCAAAGTTAAAATAGTGACACCCTTATTTAAAATAAGTTATTTTACTACGGAAACAAAAACTTTGGACCTTTTTCTTTTTCGTTTGAAACAGGGTTCGGTATTTTGAATTCGCGAAATTATTCGTTTTTCATTTGAATTTTCTATTTATTCGTTTACGAATATTCTCTAATGAGCGAATATTCAAAGCGAATGAAAACGAATTTTCTCGGAGAATTTTTCAGAAATTCAGCGAATTTCTCAAACATTCGCTTTGCCGCGCGCTCTGATTGGTCGGGCTTTGACGTTGCGCAGCCTATAATTTTATCTTCACCGCCTAAATAACCTTATAGCTCGCGGGCGCCACCCTTTTCTCACCCGCGGCCCTGGAGTTCAGCCAATCCAGGGCTGTACGCTCAATTTCGAGCGAATATTCGCCCGAATAGGCGATTCGCGAACAATCGCTCATTCGCTTAAGAAAAGAGCATATTCGCTGCGTGTATTGGCGAATTTTTCGACGAATTCAAAATACCGAACCCTGGTTTGAAAGCCGAAATTTTGAATTTCAAAAAAATTTTTCACAAAATTTTTCGTCAAAGATCGCTTTTTTTCCTAAAGTGGTCATTTTGCCGGCAATCGAAGGTGCCCGGTTTCCATTGTAGCACCTCGAAAGCTAAAAAATCTCAATTTTTGGCTTCCATAGGAAAGAGATAATTGCCTGAAATAAATTTTAAGCAAAAAAAAAAATAAGGGTGTCATTATGTTAAAAATTTGAAAAAACACTGACAGGAAGTCCGATTCTTGACATCTACCCCCTTAAGGATATAAGAAAACAGTGCTCTGATATAAATTATATCCTCCTTGTTGTTTGGATCGTCCAAGCAAATTTCAACCTGCTCTTTTGCGTCATGACCTGGAACGCTTACACAAGACTCGTCGCCAAAGATTCCTACCAAAAACATGTTGACGACTTTGGCAATTTCGCTTGGACAGCGGCATTTTTCACGCTGCCATGTGGATGTATCTCTGATGCTCTCGGAAAATGCATTAAATCTAGACCTGCTCATTTTGGCAAACTTCTTGGGTGTCTGATTTTCGTGATTTTAAATCTTATTGTTGGAATCACAATGAATATTCTTCAGCTAGAGTTCAACAAGATAACACTTAAAAATTATTTTCATAACATTGATATCATTACATCCGGCTCATAACTCCGTTAAAGCTTTCTTTCACTGAAGAAAATCTTCTGTCGATAATTTTCTTGCTGCGAATTTTCGATGCGTGGGTATTCGCGCTCGCTCCTGTTATCTGCAGATTTCTTTTCGACGAAAAGTACTATGGCTTCCTGATTGGCATCAAACGACTTATTCTTGGAATCACCAGGTTTTTTTTATTTGCGAACAAAATATCTTAAAATCTCAAAAGCTTGTCCACTTTTGGCTTTCAAGAAATTTCGAAAAAATTTGGAAAAGAAGGATTTATCGCTGTTTTCTATTTTTTCATCGCTGTGCAAGTTTTGATGCTGGCTTTTCCGTTGTTCTTTGCAAAAAGGCTTTTTTCTATAAAAAGAAAAAATAAATAAAAAATCGAAAAATTTTCATGAGTCCGATCGATTTCAAGTTTCTTCTTCTCTTTTTTCTCAATGAAGGTTTTGCCTTTCCATACTTGAGATTTAGCGAGTTACCGTCAGAATCAACGAATTACCGACTTTCAAACCTCATGAAAAATGAGTGGACTGAGAAACTCCGTTCAGCTGTTTTACATGTCCCTGCATTTAAATAAATCAACAAATATCAAACTTTCATTACAGGAATTTTTCTTTATTTAGTGGCGGCGGATAGTAACAGGCTTGCTAGAAAGCACAGCGGAATTAGAATCGTCGGCTGATCTTCTTTTTCTCCCAGCGTCGGTGGAGCAGTCGGGCACGCAGTTTTCAATATCAGCGTCGCACAAGCGAACTTCGCAGTGGAAAAAGACTGAAAAAATTAATTTCTAGAGAAAAAAGGCCGATTTTACCGGGTGATTCTTCCGAGGCATCAAAGAGGAAAGAGTCAATGGCGAATCGTGCAGAAGTTGCTTCTCCATTAGCTAGAACTTCCAATGTTTCATATTCGTAGAGCTCGGAGTCGAGGCCACAGGAATTTTCGATGAAGGGGAATCGGATCGGGTTGTCTGCGTTGTTGCTGAAAAGGGGATTGGGGAAGGGAAAAGGAGGAAATGGTCCATTTCAAATGGACTTACTCAGGAGTCGCCCAGCAGTTGACGAGCTGAGTGACGATGTTGAGGCTGCTCTGGTTGTCGACATGCACGGCGAGATGAACTGGATCGGGAACAGTGACAACATCACCATCTTGAAAAAAAAAAGCAAATGGAAATCGTTGAAGACAACTTCTTACCAGCTCTTTCGGCACTGAAAGATTCGTCTTCATAAATCGCCATCGAAACAGGAAAGCTTCCAGAATTCTCATCAACTTCCATTTCTATGAAATGAAGTTTTGCTGTCACTGGAATGGCGCTGATGACGTAGTCGACCAAGAGATCGCAGGTGAAGTCGAGCCCGAAGTTGCGGACGCGGCTGATTTTGTTGTTGACCGTGGCGCCGACGGAGCCCATGATCGCGGCGGAATAGCTGATGTGAGTGTCGTTGACGTTTCTATTCGCAGAGCAGTCGGTGTTGTCCACGAGAAAGTAGTACCAGCCGTCGTCGCCGTCGACAGCCCTGCAAGCGGTGCTCTCCATGTAGAGATCGTCGATCGTGAAAGGAGTCGGTTCCAAGCCGCATTTTGAAATTCTGACTCCGCGTTCCATCGGATCGCAGATGATTTCAGTCGAGTTTTCAAAGACGTACTCGCACGGTTCTTCTCCAGAGCCATCGCCAGAAAAGGCATTGGCAGAAGGGCCATTCTAGAATTTTCAGATGAAAAATTTGATTATGCAAAAATTCAAAATTCAAAAGAATTATTCAACGACGAGAATTTTTTTGATTGAAAATTCACGTGAAAAAAATCATCAATCTCTTCAAAAAAAAAACTTACGGAGAAAAAGAGGAGCGCAAAGGACGAGGATTTCATCTCTCTGCTTGTCTTCTCGTAGTCAACACGAAGTTACGAATTTACCAAGGCGCGGGCATCATTTTATATGGCGCCTGATCCTATCGCAGCACCACCAACTCACAACACTGCTGACAACACAACCCAGCGCCACAAAATTAGCGAAGATAAGCCAATTTTTTATAATTTCCAGCTACCAGCGGAAAATTTTCAACTACCAAGATAACGATTATAGCAGCTTATTATTACCGTAAGGAGTCATTTAAAAACTTAGTCAGGTTCTAGAGACTAAAAATGAAAAGCCGCGTAGCGGCTTTTTTAAAAACGAAACCGCGAAGCGGCTTCGCAACATAAAAATTTACCTCCTTGATTAAATCTTTGCGAAGCCGCTTCGCGGCTTCGTTATTTAAAAAGCCGCTCCGCGGCTTTTCATTTGAGCATTTGAGCTTGAGAACCTGATTTTTGGCATTCTAGATATCCATTATGACAGAGCACGTGCTGATAGAGGCATAGTTTCTTCATGTTTCCTTCTTTTTTGGAAAGCAGAATTAATAAATAGCTTGGCTAATAGATTGCTGCCAACGTTATCAGCAGATGCGCGGCTAGAATTGCCAATGGCGGGAAAACTTCAAGTTTTGTTTAGAAATTGCTTCCACTTAGAAAAATGGACGAGACCGACTACTATTTAAGATTAGTCGAGATTTTCCAAGTACGATGGTTTGAACGACATCCGCGTCCTTAATCCCAATTCCAAAGAAAATATAAAAAACTGAAAGAACAAATAAAATTCAACCCCTAGAAAAAAGAAGAGAAAATCATAAAAAGAATAATTTTTGTTACTTTTTCAAGAACGTATTATTTTATATAGATGAAATTTTATACCCATAGCAAACAATGCACTCATCTGGCTCTAGGAGAAGATTGATTAGGCTCTAATGCGTTAATTTCTATAATAATGAAGATTAGAGGAATTATTATTATCTAAAACGGCTGTGAGCTACTATTGCGTGTCATTCTTGTTATCTCGAAGTATGAAAATACGATAAGTTCTAATTGACTCGAAAAATGACGCAAAGATAATCGTATGTACTACATACTATGTAGACAAGGTCATTTTTATCATATTCTTTAGTCAACATTTTTTGAAGGTCAGTTTATAGAAAAAACTTTAAAAAAAGCACTGAATTTTTCTTTGATAGAAAAAAACGTGGTGTATTATAGTTCTTTTTCTTGACAAAAAAAAAGGTTTTTAACAATCGTAGAAAATTGTAAAACACGATTTGTGTTCCGCCGGATTCGGAGTCCTTGAATCGGGCTCGCACGGTGGTGGGGCGCTGTTCAAGCATTTTCAGTTCCGCAGCCGCGACGGCCGAACGAATCAACAAGTGAAATCAAAAGTGAAGAAAAAAGACAGCGAAATCGGCGATGTTCAGCGCCAAACATGATAATTAACGGATCAACATCTCCTGATTAAAAATAACAAACGGAAAAAAAAGAGAGAAAAACGAAAATAAAGCCGAGAAACAAGAAAATCCGAAAATCCGAAAATCCGAAAATCTGATGATGACGAACCCTTTGTTAAATCTTTCGATAGCGCTGTTTTTTGGCATCACTTTTTTGTGCATTTTTGACAGGAAAGAGGATAAAGCAACTTTGTTGACAAGCGATTTTGGCTTAGAAAGAAAATCTCTTGTCTGGGCAAAAGGTCGCTTTTTTACTTGAAACTCGCGTCATCCTCAAAAACAGATATTCTCAATGGCACTTGTCGGATGCTTTCAACTTTGACAAGAAATCTGAAGGGAGAGGTTTGCTGACGCAGGCGACGGAGAATGACTTGACTCACGATTTTTTGAAGGTAAAGGCTTTTAAATTTGAAATCGGGGCGCCCGATTCGGGGGTATTTTCGGGCAAATTTAATAAATTATTTTTTTTAATAAAAAATTAAATAAATTATTAAAAATGATTCAAATAATTTATTTTAGAAAAATAATTAAAAAAAAATTTAATCAATAAAATTATTTATTTTTAATACAGATAAATTTAATTAAAAATATTATTTATATTATCTATTTTTGTTTCGATAATTATGAAATTAAATGTTTTTCTGGGGAATATCCCTTTTCGGAGATAAAAATATTTGTTTTCAAAACCAACAAGCCGATGCGCATAATTTGTGTGAATATAATTGGCGTTGCGCAGATGAGCAACCGCTGGGTAGGCTAGTTGCGGTCGAACCCGTGGCCTTTTTCAGAACACACGTAGTCAGCAGTTTACGAAAACAAGTATTTTTACCTGGCACTTCTTATAAAAGAGCATTATATCTAAATCTAATAAAAAACGCCCAAGCCGATGTTGCCCAAAAAAAGAGCTTATCTCGAAAATCTAATTTTCCGTCCAAAAGACTGGACTCGCCAACCTGTAAAGAAAACCTGAGTCAGGGTAAAAAATAGAAAAATGAAAAGCCGCGTAGCGGCTTTTTTAGAACGAAACCGCGAATTGGCTTCGCCAGTTTTTAAAAAGGATAAGAGTATGAAATAAATAAACTAAAAGCCGCATAGCGGCTTTTTTTAAGAACGAAGCCGCGGAGCGGCTTCGCAACATAAATATTTTTGTTCCTTTTGTTAGACTGGCGAAGCCGCTTTGCGGCTTCGTTTATTAAAAAAGCCGCTTCGCGGCTTTTCGTTTTTGCTCGTCAGAACCACAGGTTGCCGAGCCCAGAGCAAGCATGGTCATTAAAGACTGATTCTAGATAAGAAAAAGGGATCATCGAGGATCATCTGCGGACAGATTAGGGGATTTCCACAGAATTCGCGCACGTTTATAATTTTCAAAAATCAATTGTAACATGAAAAATTTCATCGAACAAAAACGCATAAAAAATTCTCTAATTGAGCTAATCGTTCAGACATGGAGCTCTTCGGGCGCCTTGATTTCGCCGACTTGTGGCGGGGGCGAGGCGCTGGAATCGGGAATCGGCGGCCAGCTGGAATTGACGCTTGCGATAAAGTCTTCCCCGAAAAATTTGGAACGGAGAGAAGCGATCAGAGCGACTTGGGGAAACCAGGTTCGTTTTTTCTCGCGTTGAACATGCTAAATTGGCCGGAAAGAGTTCTAAACTTGATTAAGACGCTGTTTCCGACGAGGAGGGCGCAACTGGTGTTTTTGGTCGGACGAGACGTGCATCCTCAAAGTGACAGGGACTTGACCTTGCTAAAGGAGGAAGCGGCGAAGTCGGGGGATCTTTTGGTGGGCAACTTTGCTGATACGTTTAGAAATCTATCTCAAAAGGTAAATTTTAAAGATTTTCCATAGAAAAAACCGGGTTGGCCCGACAAATTTTCGTGGGCGGTTTTTCGGCTTCTGATTGGTCCGTGAGCTGAATCCAGGCTTTTGATTCGTTGAAAATTTCCACTTTTATAACCCTAACCCTAACCCAGCCAGATTCGACTCAAAACCAAACATTTTTTGTCACGTTTATATTTTTTCGTGAAAACTCATGCCAAAAGGTTAAAATTAAAAAAGGTCAAAAAGGTTCTATTTTAACTTCTTACATCCTAATTGTATTTTTCTATTCGATCAAAGTGAACAAGATTCGAAAACACTTCGTTACATCAATCAAAAACAGACTCTCGCTCATGTCATAATTTTCATAAAACACATTTTTGTTATTTTTCCAAACAGACCCTTTTCCTCATTTTTCCCGGAAATCGAACTGAATCGAGCTTTATTTTGATTTCATTAATTACCGAACCAGCTAAGGAGCACACGTTACCGCATAATTATTTATTATTTATTTCGGGGTTCAACGCATTTTCGGATTAAATTTACTGTCATTTCATATACATATTTCCTCTTCTTCATAATTTTTCAGGACGCGCTGTTGCTCACGTGGTTGGCGACGTGTAGCTACCAAAGCAGGTAAATCGCCTTAGCCCGATTTTCGACTTAACCCGTGACACTATTTCATTTTCAGATTCGTCTTCAAGGGCGATGACGACATTTTTCTCAACCGCTTTTTGCTCGATGAACTGCTGGATTTGTACAAAGAAAAGGCTGATTCCGAGCTTTTGATCGGCTCGATTCTTCGAGGAGGGGAGCCAGTGAGAGACCCTGAAAGCAAGTACTACATTTCCGAAGAAGAGTATCCTCCCGCTCGATTTCCGGCTTACCCTTCCGGCGGCGGCTTTGTTTTTCCAGGAAGACAGCGAAGTCGCTTCATTCGCAATTGATGAAGATGCAGCCGATTTCTGTCGATGATGCTCTCATCGGATTGGCGATGAATAAACTTGGCTTATCAGGTTCTAACGGTTGAAAATTCTGATAAAAATCTAAATAATTTAATAATAATAATAATTAATAATAATTAAATTATTAAAATAATAATTAATATTATTCTTTATTAATAAATATATTTATTAACATATTAATTATTATTGATTTTTAAATATTTTAATAAAATCTTTAAAATATTGAAAATTCTTAATAAATTACAAAAAAATTATTATTTAAAGAATAATTAATAAATGAATAGTTTTATTCAAAATAAATTAATTGAATTTAATAAACAATTTCAATATAATTTTTTAATCTAGGAAAACTTCGAAATAATCGCGGTTTCAAAAGCTGGGGCGAACGAAGATCTGAAAATGCTCTTTGCGATTTGCTCCAATTGGTCACTTTTCACAGCGTAACACCGGATCAACTTTTGGACTTCTGGCGCCGAATGACGGACGTACCCAAATTAGTTGATCAGTGCAGTTTCAACGAGATTCCTCGAGAGTTGCTCAGTCTTGATCGAAGCAGACAGCTCTAAAAAGGTTTTATTCTGTACATAGGAAAATAATGAAATGAAATAATAAACTCTTCAAATGTCGATTCCTTCTTTGTACCATTTCGAGGCCTCTTGTTTTGGGAATCTTTCTCGACTCCTTCAGCCCCAAAATCGCATTTGAAAATTGGACTTATCGAAAAATTGCTCTTATCAGGTTTTTGATAAGATGTGTGGAAACCAAAAATTGGTAATGGATTAGTAGACGCATAAAAAGATTAAATTTCGAATCCGAGAGCTTTGAAATCAAGGAAGACTGTCACAAAATTTCGAAAGGCTTCTGATTCATTTTTAGATCGCGCGCACGCGATTAAAATCTTCGAAATCCGATGTTTTCCGCCTGCCGCCAAATTTAAAAAAAATTAAGAGAAAACTGTTAATTTATTCGAAGACTGTAACAAAATTTTAAGAAATTAACGGTTAAATTAAATTTTTATTCAGATAGAATAATGGCGCCTGTTAACTACCGCTCCGACGCTGAGATGACATGGTAAATTTTCATATTGCTGTTTCTTGTGATTCATTTTCGGTTCGTTCTATTTTTGGAGTTGTTTCTGATTGAAACTGAGGGAAAACAGTCATTGTGAGAAGTGAGAAAAAGAGAAAAAGGGGAAAACTGATGAAACTCTTCCCAAAACCTCCTCCCAGCGAAGAGGAGTACTCACGCTTGTTTTACAAACATCAAATGCACAATTTAATGACAACCGAATTACGATCCCCTCTCAGTAAAGCGGAGCCTTTTTTCTTCTTGATTAACTTTTCCGGGAATAGTTTATTAGGACTTTAATTGAGAATTAAGCGACTCTCATAATTAAACCATCCATTACGAAGGCTCTTCGTTATCAATGTAAACGATGTCATAATTCGGAAAGCATCCGTAGAGTCCACGATACTGTTTTTTCATTTCGTCTCTTATTATGTGTTTATACTCAAGAATTTATTCAAAAATCGGTTAAAACTATTTAAAACAATATAAGAAAATTGCGGTGGTCTTGTCAAGGATCCACTGTCAATAACCGTACAAAAGACATAACAGGACAACCTTTGTCTTCACCTGAAAGTTGCAAATCAGACCGCAATCAGCAGACTCAGTGATGATAATGAAATTGTCGCGTTACTTCTATCATTTTATGATGAATCAATTAAAAAAAATCACATTGTCGTTTGCCTAAGATGTCCGTCTGCCCAACTTGGGCAAACGGCGACTTGGGCAGACGGCGACTTCGGCAAACGGCGACTTGGGCAAACGGAGACCACTCATCGGGCTAGCCCGCTCAGTCATTTCTGAGAGAACTCAGCTCAGACCAATGATTTTCTTCTGAAGAATCACAAAGCCAGCTAAAATCAGCTTTGATAACACCAGCTGTAAAAAGGGTCTGCTCAGGCTGAGTAGCTCAATTTGGCATCAGTCGATGGGAATTTGCACTGAACTGATCCCCAAATCGATCCCCTTAGGAGGCGATTTGATCCCAAATTTCGCCCCTTTTCAATCCGCTAAATGCCCTAATCGCCCAAGTAGCAAGTGTAAGGCCACTTCTCTACGTACTTCTCTACGTGTGTAGCTACTTGTCTGAAAAAACACGCGCGACAATGGGAAAAAAGTTTCAAACTGGGCCAAAGTCGTTTTGTAACAGCAAGGTGACGATCAGTTGCGAGTGATTTCTGCCGGTCACCGGGATCAGACAAGAAACAAACTAACTTGATAAGAGACGAGCAAATTAGCACCTTGCTCCTAATTCGATCAGTCAGTCCCACCGTTACAAACTTTGGGGATTATTGCTAAACGACTTGATTATCCGTTAATTTGAGCATCTTAGGGAACAAAAAAATACTTCTCCATGATATCAAAAGGTATCAAAGAAATCCTTTGAATTTACGTTGTTCTGACTAGCAATCGTAAAAAACTCGCCAATTCATCTTATCCTCCTCAAAATTCCAGTCCATAAAAAATAGCGCAAGCCTATAAAACATCGCGCAAAATTGCCCTGGTACTAATTTAGCAACTAAAAGATTTTACGAATCACGTGTGGCGTCTTTCTTTGAACGCGGCGGATTTCCGGTCGAAAATTTAAGTTTGGGAATTGAACAATTTTTGGGTAGGCAGGTGCATGCGCGGTGTCACTTTTTTGGGGAGGGGCTCGAAACAATTCTGCATGCAGAACTATTCTGTAAAATATGGAACTATTCTGCGTTTCGCAGAACTATTCTGCCGAGTGCAGAACTATTCTCCAAATGTAGAACTATTCTGCAAAATACAGAACTATTCTGCGAGAAGCAGAACTATTCTTTATATCCAGAACTATTCTGCAATAAATAGAACTACAGTGGTGTGAGGAGTTTCCGCACCCCTAAAGTGCGGGTAAAGGGTGCGGAAACGCAGCACTCACTTTTGCTACTTCGAGAAGAAAATAGTAGAAAAAGTGCGGGCTAGGGGTGGGGGAACGCAGCACTCACAAAGGGTGCGGAAACTCCTCACACCACTGTATTCTGCATTTCGTGAATTAAGCACGCGACAGGCCTTCGGCCCTTACGCGCGCATTTTCTGGTAGGAAACTCATTGGGTTGGCAGGGGCAGTCTTTCTCTACCGCTAGGACTCCAATCTTTTGGTCAATTTTCTTTTTGTGAGTCTTTTTGGTGTTTATTTGCGCTTATATCCGTTTTGGCGGATGCAGAACTATTCTGCATGCAGAATTATTTCGATCGAATAAGGGCGATATTTGATCGAAACAATTCTGCATTTTGCAGAACTATTCTATACATTTTCGAAAATTTAGTCAACTTCCGGCTCTAGAATCGACCGGAAGTGAAGATTTCCAGAATTTTAAAGGGTCAAAATTCTTGAAATTTTCTGCTGATTCTGAAAAAGTATGGTGTTCTGAGGTTTATATGGCGGAATTGGGCTGGAAAACTTCGTTAACCTTAAAAAAAGCACGTCAATATCTAATTGTAACAGTCACATAATTTAGAAAAACTGATTTTTGGACATTTTCATTTTTGATCCACATTTTTAATTTCGGGTTTAACTCTCTTGATTTTTTTTTAAATTAAGTTTTTGTAATGATATTTAGGCGAGAGGACACGAACATCGGAGCCAAAAATGAAAGTCTTGGCTGTCAATTCTGCCCGCGCAAATTCCCGACGAAAACCAAGGCGGCACGCCACGAGGAAAGCCACGATTTAATAAGAAGATGGGGATGTCGTCATTGCGCTAAGCAGTACAAAGATAAGTATGATGTAAAAAAGGAATGGTTTGAAATATTAAGGGGCACTATCACGATTTTTTGAAAGTCGGAATTCCAATAATCTCTCTCCAGATGCTTGTAGGTTAGGGCTCGACAAACAAAAAAGATGTTTAGTATTTTTCATATTATTCAGAAAAAAACACCCTAAAAATATCATTGAAAATTGCCCAGCCGCACTTACTGACATTTTTCGGTCATATTCTCGGCGGAAAAAACTTTTTCAGAATGCTCTTTTCTTACATTTTAATGCATTTTTAAGGGTAGAGTAGGATCTTCGCGCGCGCCCCTTTTACACTTTTTCCCGTGCCCACAGAATCTGATGGGATAATGCTACTCGAAAATTTCTTTTTAATAATTACTCTTTAATTTTGAAAGCTTTCTAGTCGTATAAATCATTTCTTTCTAGCTAATTTAGTTGAGCTGCAATTCACTATCAATATTTTTTCTTCTTTTGCTATCTCCTCCGAGGTTATCGAGAGTAACAAAATGAAATTACTATCGTTAGAAAGACCTTTTCTCGAGCTTTTATAAATGGCCTATTACATTTTTCATTTGCACTCGAGATGATCGTAACACTCGATTATTATTTTTGCGCTGCGCGGTCCGTGATTTCTCACCTTTCTCTCTCTTTCCTTTTTTCGCTCAAGTTTATTTCATGAAAATATAAGGACTGATGCGCTATAAATTTCTATCTCGATATTCAAATTGCCTTTAAATCCATGTTTTTTTGACATGTCCGTCGATTTCCGACAATTTTGACCAGATATAAGCCTAAACAATCATAGAACCGATTAGCGCACTAATTACAATCTCTATACTGTATAGACTATACAAATACAATAGCGACTCATTTGGTTCAGTCTGACTGCTAAATTCTTAATTCCGCTTGCTAATCTTCTGTCATTCTTTTTAATTTTGAAATTTTCCATCATGAATTCATTCCAAGTGCCAAAAAATCAAAAAAAGAGGCGAGTGATTAGGTGAGAAATTGCGGAGCGCGCAGGACAAAACAAATTATCGATTATTACGGTTGACTTGAGTACAAATTTGGAATGTAATAGGCCATTTATAAAAGTCCAAAAAAAGTTCTTTCAAACGATACCAATTTCATCTGAGTCCTCTCACTGACCTCGGAGGAGATAGCAAAAGAAGAAAAAATATTGATAGTGAATTGTAGGTCAACTGTATTAGCTAGAGAGAAATAATTCACACGACTAGAAAGCTATTTAAATTTAAGGGTGATTGTAAAAAAGAAATTTTTGAGTACAATTATCCCATCAGATTCTATGGGCATGAGAGAAAGTGAGAAAAGGGCGCGCGCGAAGATGACTGAAATATGAATGTTGGCGCAGAAAAATAGAAGGAATTCTCTCTTTTACACCATTTTTCATACCTGTTAATTTTATGAAAATCATTATTTTTGGAATCACCCTTTCAAAAAAAAAAATTTTTGGAATTTTCAAGATTTCCTTCAAAACAGCCCTAGATAAGGAGGTGAACTTTCAAAAACCAGAAGTGATTCCATGATCAAATATAAATTTGTAAGAAAAATTTCAATCCTCCGAGGACCGAAAATTGCCAGTTTGTGAAAACCGGAGGAGTCTCAGCTCTCTTCTGCCAAAACTTGTTGAGTAAAATAAAATCCGAGAAAAACAGCCCTAGATATTGGTCATATCTAGTTACTCGAGAAATAATTTTTGGATACCTAAGGTATTCTCGAAATGAGAGCCAATCTCCGACCCCCCGAAAATGCTGAATGAAACTGGGTAGCTCTTATCGTTCATAATCCGCTCGATTTTTTCATTTTTTTTAAAGCCCATCGGGGAATTTAAGTTTGACGAAATGAGCGCTGACGTGAAATCCGAAATCATCAGCTTTGTGAAGGTCTCGAGCTCGCAAATAGTTTTTCCAAACGACAAAATAGAAGTTATTGCACCGCTAGCTTATTTCCAGCACGTTGCGATTCGTGTCATTAATTAAGAAATAATCGAAAAATCGATTAATTAAAATAAACTGATTTTATTAAATCGAAATATCGATTAATTTAAATAAACTGATTTCACTTTTCAACTTTCGAGTTCTTCGAGCACATTTTCAAAAATTGAAATTTCAATTGAAATTGCAGGAAAAAGCCGATGCAATGGCTGAAACCTATTGAAAATGAAAAAAAGCGTTTTCAAAAGATAAAGCTTCGTGCGGAGTTTTGAAATGAATTTGAAACTAGAGCAGCGAAATTTTCGAACCGATTTTTAAGGGTGTTAAGGGCCTCCCGGCCCCCTCAAACCCTGGCGAAAACCCGGCTTTGGGCCCGGGCTTTCTTTTGACCGAGTAAGATACCCTTAATTATGACTTTAACACCCTTAAAAATCGGTCTGAAAAAACAGCTCCAAATTATCATTCTACTCCAAATCTTCTTAACTCCTGAAATTGACTATAGCCCTGAAAATCCCGTATTTCTCAAATCGCCAATTTTGGATTCTGCCGAATGAGGATTATTGGAAATGCGGGATTCTTTTTCTTTTGAGTTAGTTGCTTTACCAAATTTTCGTTGATTGATCATATCACATTTTTTCTTGGCTTCTCCACAGTCAATCCCGGTTTCACCAGCTTCTATCCCGGCTTTAACAACTTCGATCCTTGCTATACATACGTGAATCCTGGTGGTTAAATCGTCAATTCGGGCGTCACTTTCTTCAATCCTAGCTTCTCAGATGCCAGTCCCGGCTTCTCAGTTCTCTATTTTTGTTTCTTGAATGTCGATCAGGGCTTCTCCAAGATTAGATGGACGTTGGAAAAACCAAGATTGAAACTGATGAAGCTGGGATTGACGTCGAAGAACTCGGGATTGACATTAGAGAAGCCATGATTGAAGTCGGTGACTTAAGTGACGATGAAGAAATCAGGGTTCCAATTTTCGTCGAAAGAATATTGAGCTGAGCGAGCGGCTGAGCGGTCGACCGCTTAAAATTCATGAGCGGAGCGAGCGGTTGAGCGTTTAAAAAAAAAACAAGCGTGAGCTGAGCGAGCAGACTTTGAGCAAGCGCACTGTAAGCAGTTCATCTTTTTCCTCAAAAAATACTTTTTCAGGTTTTTTTGAGTGTCGACTAGTGTCGGACATAAATTTCCCAAATGCGGATGAAAAAGTGTAAAAATCTGTAAGAAGTATTTTTGCCGAAGGGCCGTCAAGCCCCTATAAAAATCAAGGAACGGGGCTGAGACGGCCTGAAAATTAACAAATTAGGGGTTTATCGATAATTTAGAAAGCAAAAAGAGAGCATAGGCAAAAAGATCCGCTTAGCTCCGAAATAGGCCAGCTCAGCTTAGAGAAATTTTTACTCAGGTCAGCTTAGCTCAGCTCAGCAATAATAGAGCGAACTCTGGAGATATGGGCTTTATCTTTTAAGGGTAGGGTCCCCGTACAGGCCCAAAGCAGCGAGACTCTCCTCCGAACCTATCAATGCTGGGAAGGCGTGTAATGGCTCAAATTAAAGTTCAATCTTAGATCTTCTGATTTACACGAGCTTTTTTCGAAATTCTAAGAGAAAAGTCACGTACGGTTCGCTCAAAGTTGTCGTCTCAGCGAAAAATCGCGAGAATAGCCAATATTCAGGGCGACTCTCCTCCAAAGTGAGCAATGAATGCCCCCTCGATTCTTTTGAAGGGTAAAGTTTTGACCCTAATCTTAAAAATGACACGAGCTTTTTTCAATTGGTCAAAATTTTCTATGTTAAAAATTTTAAAGTACGAAGGTACCCATTTTCCGTCCCTTTGACTCCGTGAATTGCCTTGCGGGCATAGCCCAAAATGCGCCGTTCTCATCGCAAATAGATGTCCTGAACGTGGGCTTTCCAAAAAGGTATCATATGATACCCTAACATAACGACCAAAAATTGTAAAAACTTTAAAATTTCCACGTTTTAGCCAAAATGCACTAATTATTGCCATTTTCATTTGCAATTTGTGCGAAAATGGGTTAAGATAGAGAAAATACTCATACGGAGTTTTTTGCTCAGAATTTCATGGAGATTCAGAAAAAGTGGTCAAAAACCGATTCTGAGACTTGACGAAAGATTCGGGAGGATCTGTAGATTCAGAAAATATAAGATTCATATCCTGACTATGCGTATAAGCAAAATTACGATCACGTCTGAAAAAATTCTCGCCGACCTCCTCCCCCCTTAAGCTAAGCTGAAATAGCTGAAACGGCCAGGGACGTGACTTACACTGACTGAGAATTTATTTTACACAGATAAGGGCCTTTTTCACACAGAAAAGGGCCTTAATTTTAATATCAGTAGCTGAGCGTAGATAGCGAAGCTGAGAGGAAAGTTTAGCAAAGCGGAGCTGGCGAAAATTTTTTTGGCCGTAGCGGAACTGGTCAGAATTTTTTTCAGTGTAGCTTTTTTTTCCCGTAGCGGAGCCGTCGGCTCCAGTGTTTGAAAAAAGAATGTGCGCGGGCGGGCGCGCTCGTCCATCCGACCACCAAAAATTTTGACAAATTTTGCCCGCGCCCATCCGCCCATCAAAAAATCAAGCCTCATACTGCTCGCAAGCGCACGTACCGCTCATGCTCTCGCGCTCGCCCGCCCTCCCCTCCCATGCTCGCCCCTTGCCCATGAGTGAAGGTATCTCCGCTTTCTCCGCTACGCAAATTTGCAACTCTGGCAACGGTAATTTTGAGCGCAAGAATTCCTTGGGCTGGGGGTCGAGGAGGTGATACAAAGTTCGGGAGCCTGTTTCTATAATTTATGAGTCCAACTCCACTTTTTATACCTCTTCAATACATTGTGTCCCCCAGTGTCCTCCAAGGCTCAGCAAGCAAGGATTGTGAATAAATTCCGAACCATATCAGCATCTCTGCTCCGCGCACGGACACAACAACGAAAATTGGGAAGAGGGTGCGCGATATATTGGGGTTTGAATTAAAATTTTGAAAAATATGGTAAAAATATTATAGACCGACATTGAGCCACCGATGATCGGGCCGGTTAAAACACGCCGACCGAGAAAAGCTTTGGCTCCTCTGGCTCTCAATGCCACCTTGGACTCTTGTTCAAAAAATGTATGTCATGCAGATATCGATTTATAGTCGTCGATTTGGCCGATTCTAAGGGGCTATAACTCGGGACTTGGAATATGTGGGAGGCTCTTAAATAGGTCATATAAAAGATCTATCCTAGATCTCACTTTTGTTACTGCCTTTTACGATATTTTCAAGGAAATCATGGTTTTCGGATCGCTCAAAGTTGAGCTCTCGGCCAAAGAACGCGAAAATAGCCTCTTTTCAAGGCGTTATAAATCCAAAGTTTCTATATAAACCTATTTATTTTATGTTATTTTCTTAAATAATAGACCCTTATCTTAAAAATGACACAGCCTTATACTGTAATCATAAGATTTTCTTTGAAAAATTTTTAAAAGAACCAAGGTACCAAATTTTGACCTTTCACTTTGATAAAATGCCCTGCGGGCATGGCCCAAATTTACCCTACGTTGTCCTTAATAAATGCCCTGAATATAAGCTTTCAAAAAATGTATCATATGGCACCCTTACAAAACCCCTAAAATGGTCAAAATTTTAAAATATTCGGCTAATGGCCAGAATGCACTAAATTTCGCCACTTTCAAACGCAATTTGTGGCCAAATGGGTTAAGATAGCCAAAATAATCATTCTTTTTGCTCAGAATTTTATGGGGATTCTAAAAATGGGCTCAGATTAAAAATTGGAGACCCGACCAAAATCGATGACTATACCCATAAATTAAACTTGTAAGAATTCGAGCTTTGTTGTAAACGCGCCTGCAAACCAATTCGGCTTCTCGAATTCCAGTAATCAACAATCATCTTCTGGTCCTTTTTTGGAAGAAGCGGGGCAACTCGTCCTTTCTCGGGCTCAGGTGGAGGTATCAAAGTTTTAAATGGACACCAGAAACGAAGTTTATTTAGGTTCAAGTGGCGGATTTGGATGCAGCGCCTTCGGTAGCAGCGGCGTCAGAGCCTTTGGGTCAACTTCATTCGGTGGCAGCTCAGCTTTCGGCTCATCCGCTTTTGGTAGTAGCAACCAACAAAGATTTTTTTCAACAAAGAAAGTTTTAAATAGACATCAGAAACGAAGTTTATTTAGGTTCAAGTGGCGAGTTTGGAGGCAGCGCCTTCGGTAGCAGCAGCGTCAGTCCCTTTGGCTCAACTGCGTTCGGTGGCAGCTCAGCGTCCGGCTCATCCGCTTTTGGCAGTAGCAACCAACAAAGCAGCTCATTTGGTTCTGGCAACAATTCTGGCGGTGTCTTCGGTGGCGGCTTTGGACGTGGTACGGGTGGATTTGGTCGCTTCGAGCAGCAGCAGAAAAATTCATTTTCCGGAAGGGAATTTTCCGGCTTTAGATAAATATTTTACTGATTCAGTATCACGATTCACGACTACTCACTGCGATTTACATTTTTTAGAATTCCGTTAGCAGATTATAACATGTTAGCAGCAAATTATCTGGTCGTTTTGATTAGAAAAAGGACTTTGTAGAATGACGAGCGAAATGACCAGCACCAGAATAATCAACTAAGAATGATTTGCCAAACAGGTACTTTTGTTCAACGTACCCAGAAAGGATCCTGGTCGAGGATATTATTAACAATTTTGAAGAGCGGATCATTGAGGAGGCAAAAGATCGCGGAAACTATCGAGCCCAGACAAGTTAATTTTCCCAAATGAGCGTAATGAAACACATTCATATTCCTACCGAAAAAATCTAAAAATACGTAGGTATCAAAAGCTCAATTATTCCCTTGATTCTTAGTGAGAATTTCGTTAAATATCGGGGGTATGTGAAAAATGAAAAAACCCTACTCCAAATTCGGAGTACCTTGGCCGGCTAGGGTTAAAGAAAAAAAAACTTATCAACTTCCCATTTAGTAGCTTCAGTAATCAAGGAGAGTCCATTACTGTCAATCTGTCCCGCGTCAAATCCAAATGACCTTAAGCATTACTAATTCAGCAGTTGAAGGTATATAAACTTCTTGGAAAATCGACTTTATTAAAAAAAAAATTCATTTGAAGTGATGATATTTTCAAAACTAATTCTACCACTCTCTGCGTTTGCTCTTGAAACTGCAACGGGAGCGGCAAACTTTGTCGAGGAATACGTCGAGATTTATTCCCTCTGCGCCGAAAGTATTGAGGAAAAATTGAGCGAAGTTAAATTTGTTGTTTTAGCCGAGCTGGGATTTCACCAAGAAACCGATGAAATGTCCCAGGAGCTAATGGCTCATATCGGGGACGCCTGCGATAATTTCACGAGGTAAATTTTCGCAAAAATTTTTTTCTCAAATATTCTTTCAGAACCTACATCTGCATGGATTACCAACCTCCAGAAGGCTTTTCAGACCTGAAAAAGCCCGAAAAACGCGCTTCTTTTCCCGAAAACACCCCGAATTTCTTTGTCTGAGCTCCGAATTCTTGCAACAAAATCCCGACAGGAATTTAGAAATGTTCAAATAAACGCAGTCTTTTCCAAAAACCGCATCTCACCGATAGAAGTAATTTCTTCGATGAGTTTTTATGCCAAAGCAAATTCGACAAAGGTCGACTATCAAAGGTGGCTACGGAAAATCGGGAAAGATCTAGTTTTTTCTGAAATTTTTTGACTGAAGAAAATGGGAGAGGAGAAAAAAGAGGAGGAGCTTGTGGTGGAGGATCAGACAGAGGTTGAAGTAAGTCGAGTTTTGAAAAGTTAGGGTTAGTCTTGACGGGTGAAAATTTTTGACTCAAAAATGAAATTATTAAAATTTTCAAAAACGGGCATAATTTTCGGGGTAAAATTAGCAAGAGAGTGGAATTTTTAAGTACAAAGATGAATCATTCTAGCTCATCAATTTCGGCTCGAATAGCCTTGAGGCACCATACAACAAAAAAAAAGTTTCACAGAAAAATATTTGAAATGATATTATGATGAGATATGCAACGCTTTTGAGAAATTACATATCAAGAAAATTATATGAACCAAAATATAAAAAGATCCCTGATTTCGATGATTCATTGGTGAGTTCATTTCATGAGTTGTATATTAGTGAACGTTAATAATAATAAACGGCCTCCGAGCGGAATCACGATAAATTCAATTAGCATAAAATATCAAACACTTCGAGACCCAAAATATTACAGTCCTTTTGAACTCGATTTGCAATTAAGGTTTTTCAAAAAAATTCTTCAGAGGGATGGGTGCTGCTCAGGATACCCTTGGTGGGTGGCTTTCATTCTTGGAAACGAATTTTGCGAGAGATATGCTTACTATGGCATGCGTTCAATTCTCGTCCTCTACTTGACTTATTTTATTGGCTTCAGTAACGACGTCTCCGTTGAGATTTACCACGCTTTTGCCGCTCTGACAGGGTTGCTCTTTTCTCATATTTGACCTTGAAAATCGAGAAAAAGAAAAACCCGCAAAAGTGTTATTTCACCCCTCTTTTCGGCGCGATGCTGGCTGATTCTTACTGGGGCAAGTACAAAACCATCTTCTACCTTTCGATTGTTTACTGTGCTGGAATGGCGCTGATGGCCGTTTCGGCGGTGGAATTTGACGATTCGGGAGTTGGACAAGCCGTGAATATGGGACTCGCATTGGCGGCTCTTTTCATCATTGCCTGCGGAACGGGAGGAATCAAGCCTTGTGTGTCGACTCTTGGAGGTGATCAGTTCGATGATTCCACTGAGCGGGGCCGAAAACACATCGCCTCCTTTTTCACCGTCTTCTACTTCGCCATCAACGCTGGAAGTCTTTGCTCCACCTTCATAACTCCCATTCTTCGCGACTTGAGCTACGTCCTTGCTTTTGCCGTTCCATCGATTTTGATGGCGGTTGCTCTCGTTCTTTTCCTCGTTGGAACTCCGTACTACATTCGAAAACCTCCAACGGGGCAAAATGTCTTTTCCCTATTTCTCGGCGCTACTTGGAACGCGCTCCGAAATCGCTGCAAAACTGACAAAAAAGAGCGAGATCCAGATGCAGATTTGATGTCCTACGCCGACAAGAGCAAGTATCCAAGTTGGATGATCCGAGATGCAAAGTGGGTGTGGCCGATTGTCGTCATGTACCTTCCCATTATCATGTTCTGGGCGCTGTTTGACATGCAAGGCAGCCGCTGGACACTGACAGCTACTCAGATGGACGGGTACTGGGGGAAGAGCTTCAAAATGCGGCCAGATCAAGTTCAACTTTTCAACTCGGTTTTCATCCTACTTCTTTTGCCCTGCTTTGAGTTGTTTATCTACCCTTGCTTGAATATTTTTGTCAAGATGACGCCACTGAGGGTAAGTAAGGCTTTCCTCTTCTTTCACTCAGGGTTCTAAATCACAGCTGAAAATCAGAAGTCGAGTCGTGTCGACTCGAAAGCGTTTTTGAAAATCGCTAGTCGAGTCGAGTCGACTTAATCGATTTATAGTCGAAGAGTCGAAAATTAGTCGAAATAGTCGAAAAGTCGAAAATTAGTCGAAAGTCGAAAATTAATCGAGAAAATCGAAAATAAGTCGAAAAAGTCGAAAATTAGTCGAAAAAGTCGAAAATTAGTGGAAAAGTCGAAAATTAGTCGAAAATTCGAAATTTAGTCGTAGTGATAGTGATTTTTTTCCACTTATTCGACTAGATTTTCGACTTATTCGACTAGATTTTTTTTTTGAAAGTTTCACTCTTCTTATTCTTCTTTCTAGAGAATGTGTGCAGGTCAAGTCATCGCCGCCCTCGCCTTCGTCATTTCCGGTTTCGTCCAGCTGGCTATCCAATCTGACCTAACCCTCGTCCCCGATTTCGGCTCAGACAATGCTCTTGTCGTCACAAATGCTCTTTGGGAAGAAGAAATGACAGTTTCAAGCGAGTACTGGAAGAACACTAAGTATAAAGAAGAACAAGAGGATAATCACGAAGAGTTCTGCAAAGAGGATGACGTTTGTGAATTCACGCTCCCAATTGATCTTGAAGATTTGGACAAAATTTTTGGATCGGAGAAAATTGCCAGAACTCCAACTCATGCTTGGCTTCATGAAACGGTGCCTGAAAATCTCAGGTAAAAAGTGATCCACAGAATAGAAGGCTGATTCTTCTAGTTTGATGATTAACGATGACGAATATACAATAAATCTGAAGAACACAACAGGAACAACTTCCGGTGGAGGTGGAGGAGGAGGATCATCCTGTGACGCTCCGAATCAGTCGACTTCTCTCAGGTTTCTTTCATGAAAAAAACTCACGTTAATTTTTTACTAGTTGTTCAAAATGCCAAAATAACGGAGTAGAAGTCCACGAAAATCAAATTACCAACCTCGTTGTCTACAGAAATGAAGACACGAAGGAAATCGATTATTTCCAGTACCCATCTTCTTACGAAAAATCTCAAAATCTCCAAGTCAAAGTCATCAGTGTCAACCCGACGAAATACTTCATGAGAGTAAGAAATCCTCTTTTATATCAATTCTTAACCCCATTCAGACTCGATTGTATAAGGAAAACATGTTAGAAGACGAATTCGAATATTTTTATGAAAGGACAGATAAGTCAAACGATACGCATACTGGACCATACTGTGCTAATACAGGAAATGCTGCGGAGTTTGAACAAGGTAGCTGTCATCCGTTGATGATCAATTTAAAATTTTTCTTAAGATAATGAAGGCGGAGCATATGGATTTGACGTGTTTCTTTACGATTCTGCCGACGTCATTGTTGACGATCTAATAGCGATTGACGACAATACTTATGAGTCACAATTAAGCGATAAATTCAAGGAAGACCAGCTCGAGCCAATTATGAGATGCAGATCGGAGGAAACTTTTTTGCAGGTTTGAAATATCCAAATACTCAAGGATCTTACATCCAACCTCCAAGGACGAAGACGGTCTTTCCGGAGGCTCGATTTGGACCGTCATGGTCGTCGCAAATGGAAACGAATGCAAGGTCTCGGTCTATCGAGATTCGAATCCAAACACTGTCAATATCGCTCTACTTCTTCCGCAGTACTTTGTCATCACGATTTCTGAAGTCCTTGTTTCCGTCACAGGCTTGGAATTCGCCTACAATCAGGCGCCTAAGACGATGAAAGCAGTCATCCAGTCTTTTTGGCTGCTGACCACTTGCTTTGGAAATATCATTGATATTTTCTTGGTTGCTGCGCAAATGGGAGACAATCAGGTAGATTCACTTGTCTATTCAAAAATCAACATGAATTTAAGGCTCAAGAATATTTTTACCTCGCGATTATCATGTTGGGAACGACTTCAATTTTCATCCTTCTTTCCATCTTTTACTACGAATACGTCGATCCTGCAATCTTCGACGAAGCTGTTGACGACGAATCAGACGACGAAAAAGCAAGCATAAACAAGTCAAATCGCTCTTCAATTTCAAAGAGCTCGAGAAAATCGAGAAAGTCGAAAAAATCAATCCGAATGTCGGAAATATCGATGGAAGAAAAGAAGGAAGACGATGAGTTTGAATGCGAGTTTTAGGTTTATTCCAGAATATAATTTTATTTGTATAAATAAAACTATTTTTGAAAAAAATATTCTCCGCTTCTTAAATGAATGTTTTCGCATCGAGGACGCATTGCATCGAGTTTTGGTCGAATTGGTTGTCCCATGTTTCTGCAGTAGCTTTGACAGCGGTCAAAAGGCAGTCTTCGCGGTTGGTCGCCCAGGCAATACCAGTCAGATTGTTAAACAGGACGTTTACTTGATCGTATTTCATATTCTTTCGGACTTAAAATAGCAATAGATTGATGTCCTTTTAAATTTCAACCCACTGTCTCCACGCTTGTTCACGGTGAAAGGATAGTTTGTCTCAGTGACTTCGGTAAGATGGAAAGAAAATCCAGCGGCACTACCGTCAGATTTAGTGCCATAACTGAGGATCTCATAGACGGGTTCGAAATCGACGATAGTGATGCTCAGGTCACCATTAACGAGTTTGAACATAAAGTCATCTCCGCAAGCGGATCTAAAAAGGGAATTTTTTGATGGTTTCAGAATAAACGAACCTTTGGAAAGCGAGGAAGCCAACGTATTGTGCGGATCGTGTATCGGGGGATTTACCCTGAAGTTGGCTTTTGAATTTACTAGAAATCAGAAGAGCGTCGGAGCTGTCGAGGATGATAGACGAGCCAGATCGACCTTGCCAAAAATGTCGGACAAGAGACAAGGAGCAGGAGTCGAACTGATCGTGGTTGTGGTAGTAGTTGTAGTGGTAGTTGTCGTTGTTGTTGTGGTCGTCGTTGTAGTTCTTGTTGTGGTTGTTGTAGTCGTTGAAGTGGTAGTCGTTGATGTGGTAGTCGTTGATGTAGTTGTTGTAGTCGTTGATGTTGTAGTCGTTGATGTGGTTGTCGTTGATGTAGTTGTGGTAGTCGTTGATGTAGTTGTTGTAGTCGTTGATGTTGTAGTCGTTGATGTGGTTGTTGTAGTCGTTGATGTGGTAGTCGTTGATGTTGTAGTCGTTGATGTGGTTGTTGTAGTCGTCGAAGTGGCAGTCGTTGATGTGTTCGTCGTAGTCGTTGAAGTGGTAGTCGTTGATGTGGTAGTCGTTGATGTAGTTGTTGTTGTCGTTGATGTGGTAGTCGTTGATGTGGTTGTTGTAGTCGTCGAAGTGGTAGTCGTTGATGTGGTAGTCGTGGATGTAGTTGTTGTAGTCGTTGATGTGGTAGTCGTTGATGTAGTTGTTGTAGTCGTTGATGTGGTTGTTGTAGTCGTTGATGTGGTAGTCGTTGATGTAGTTGTTGTAGTCGTTGATGTGGTAGTCGTTGATGTAGTTGTTGTAGTCGTTGATGTGGTTGTTGTAGTCGTTGATGTGGTAGTCGTTGATGTAGTTGTGGTAGTCGTTGATGTAGTTGTTGTAGTCGTTGATGTGGTAGTCGTTGATGTAGTTGTGGTAGTCGTTGATGTAGTTGTGGTAGTCGTTGATGTAGTTGTTGTAGTCGTTGATGTGGTAGTCGTTGATGTAGTTGTGGTAGTCGTTGATGTAGTTGTTGTAGTCGTTGATGTGGTAGTCGTTGATGTAGTTGTGGTAGTCGTTGATGTAGTTGTTGTAGTCGTTGATGTGGTAGTCGTTGATGTGGTTGTTGTAGTCATTGAAGTGGTAGTCGTTGATGTGGTAGTCGTTGATGTAGTTGTTGTAGTCGTTGATGTGGTTGTTGTAGTCGTTGAAGTGGTAGTCGTTGATGTGGTAGTCGTTGATGTAGTTGTTGTAGTCGTTGATGTGGTTGTTGTAGTCGTTGAAGTGGTAGTCGTTGATGTTGTAGTCGTTGATGTGGTTGTTGTTGATGTAGTTGTGGTAGTCGTTGATGTAGTTGTTGTAGTCGTTGATGTGGTAGTCGTTGATGTGGTTGTTGTAGTCATTGAAGTGGTAGTCGTTGATGTGGTAGTCGTTGATGTAGTTGTTGTAGTCGTTGATGTGGTTGTTGTAGTCGTTGAAGTGGTAGTCGTTGATGTTGTAGTCGTTGATGTGGTTGTTGTAGTCGTCGAGGTGGTAGTCGTTGATGTGGTTGTGGTGGAAGTTGTAGATGTTGTTGTTTTCGTTGTCGTCGTTGTTTCGGTAGTGGTAGTTGTTGTCGTGGTTGTCTGAAATATTTATAAAATATGCGCAAGTTTCTTTTGAAAACATAGGAAAAATTCCTGTTCATTTTGGAGACGAAAGCTCTCCTTTCATTACCGTTGTTGTAGAAGTTGTAGTTGTAGTAGAACTGGTAGTTGTGGAAGTTGTCGTGGTTGTGATTGTTGTAGTAGTTGATGTTGTTGTTGTTGGATTAGGTGCAAAGCAACAAAATTTGACATCGGCTTCTGAACACAGTCCATCAATCACACGATTGCATTTCACTCCAAATGAGGAAGGAATGAGTGATCTGCTCATAAATCCTCTTGTGACATCAAATTCCATATCGCCTGCTCTAATTGAACCACAAACTGATTCGGCTACCACAGTGTTAAGTAAATTGACCACGCCATCCTTTGGAGCTGGAATCCATTCACTCTCAACAGTCTCCCAATCTTCAATAACGTTGTCGCTATCGTAGTTTGTTGGGCAATCAGGGTAAATAATTGGTGTATTGATCCAGTCATGAGTAAAGAGGCTGATTGTCCCGTTATTAATGATTGAGCCAGTTCCAAGAGTCGTCGTCGTTGTTGTAGTGGTTGTTGTTGTAGTTGTTGTTGAAGTAGTTGTAGTAGTTGTCGTTGTGGTCGTTGTTGTAATAAACGATTGTATTCTCGTTTGAATCCAATTGTATGATCCGTTTATAGACGAATACAAACCAGGGAAATTCTGATACGCGCACCCAGTTCCTCGAGAGACTGCTCCAACGAGTGTTGCTTTTCCGTTATAATTGCAGATCAAAGGACCTCCTGAGTCTCCTTGGCAAGCATCAACACCTCCATCGGTTTGTCCATCCCCATTTAAGTCAGGGACACCAGCGCAAATGTCATCAGGCTCGAGTGAATTGATGGCAGAATTCGCAAGACAGTATTCATTGCTGAAGATGTTTACGCCAGCTTGCAAAAGATTGTTTGAAGTGTTGCCACCGAAAGAAGTTGTTCCCCATCCAGCAACCCAACAGGCTGATCCGTGCTCAGGAAGAGCATCAGTAATGCATGCGAGCTCGACGTCACCATCGACGTCTTCTGAAACGATGTCTTCCATGAAATGAATAAGACACAGATCATATCCGCTTCCAGAATATTCTGGATGGATTTCGAAATGATGCGCAACTAAGGTGAATTCATTCGTCTCGCTGGTAGATTTAGTAAGATCACTGAAAGTGGCAGTGATTGTGGACATTCCTTGACAACAGTGAGCGGCGCTCAAGACCCAGTTATTGTCGATAACAGTTCCGCCACACAAATATGTAGCGCCGCTCGCGTCTCGAAGCGACAGTCTCGCTATCCAAGGCCACTGATTTTCTTCGGCAGTGACTCCTCCCACAATTTTGTCATCCATTTTTCCTTTGTTTTTTCGCTTATTTTTCCGGTTTCTTCGTCGAGCCAAGAAGGCACCAGGGTAATTTTCTTCTCGTGTGCAGCCGGAAAGACCTGACTGAATGGTATCAGTTAGAGGATCGAAGTCACCGAGTGTTGTTGTTGTAGTGGTCGTAGTAGATGTTGTCGTGGTTGTTGTTGTTGTTGTTGTGGTTGTGGTCGAGGTGGTGGTGGTGGTGGTACTTGTGGTGCTGGTGGTACTGGTGGTGCTGGTGCTGGTGGACGTGGATGAAGTTGTTGTTGTAGTTGAAATCGTAGTAGTTGTCGTCGTTGTTGTCGTAGTTGGGTCGGTTGCAAAGCAGCAAAATTTCACGTGAGCTTCAGAACACATGCCATCAATTACTAAGCTGCATTTGACTCCAAAAGTCGCCGGAATCAGCGATCTGCTCGTGAATCTTCTTGCTAGATCTTGTGGCAACATTTCCTCTCTTACTGCTCCACAAACGCCATCTGCAGCTGCCGTGTTCAGTAAGTTCATGAATCCGTTTGAAGGTGCTGGAATCCATTCGGATTCAACAGTCTCCCATGGATCAACTATACTGTCATTGTTATGGTTGGTTGGACAGTCGGGATAGATGGTCGGGGTATTGATCCAATCGTGAGTGTAGATGTCGATGTTGCCTGTGTTGGTCATCGAGCCGCTTCCAAGAGTAGTTGTCGAAGCGGTTGTTGTAGTAGTCGTCGTTGTTGTTGTTGTGTTCGGGTTTCCAGAATCGCAGCCCGGAAATTCATCTTTACAAATACACGTGAATCCAGTTTCTTCGGCATTGTTCTCGCAGGTTGCCACTTCAAAATTGCATGTGCTGTTTGCGCACGGCAGCAGTGTTTTTTCGCCGTTCCTAAGGCAGCTCAACTGCATATTGTTCAATTGCCAAACAAAAGTAGCCTCTAGAACTTCCGAATGAACGCAAGTTCCTGATGTGTCGCCAAAAGAGATTCCTGAGTATGAGTAGCGGCTAAAGCCTGTTTCGGTGGAACTAAAAAAACAAATCAATATCTTTACTGCTTGAAATTCTAACTCACTAATATGTCCAACCGCCGCTTGTGCTCCATCTGAGTGAATGACCATTCGGGCAGAGATAGCTCTGCTTATCGTTGACAAGTCCATTCGACACACAAGTCTGTCCAAAGAGACTTGAATAGATGGACGCGCAGCATCCATTTTCATTCAAGTCAGTTTCGCATCTCACAATCTCGCTTCCTTCATCCTCGCCTCCGAGACAGTTATTGAAACTATCGCACAATCGATGGTGGAAAACTGGTCGAATGGCGCCGACAACGTCTGGCGAAGGGCAGGTGGTCATAGCGGGAAGAGGAAATTGAGGGAAATTCGCTTCGCAGTATTGCTTCCAGACTTGGATAGCATCCGTCGTGGTTAATAGATCATGGGAAGAGTATGATCCACCGTTTTTGAGGGTGAAGCCTGAAGACGTTTTGAAAAATTTTTTTTTTTTCAAATCTGAGAAAAACTAACCTGAATACATCAAATTCGAGCTTGGTTCGAGAACATGTCCAGTATCGAACCATTTTCCAGTGCCCGTAAGTTCTCCACCATCAGCATGTGGCTCGAAATGCTCCTCGAAATCTGGTCGGTCTTGTTCGTGAAGCAAACCAAGAGCATGGAGAAATTCGTGATGGACACCGCCTTGTTGGATGCACCAATCAGGCAATCTTAGCGCTTGCCAGCCCGGATTGATAAGGTGTCCGTATCCATTATATCCTCCTGGAGCTCGGCCAACGTAGGACCAGCAGCCGGATCCTTCTGAACCATCTTCTTTGTTTGAAGTTTCGCCGATGACGTAGACTCCATTCGCGTACGTCAGGTCCGGATCGTGGACCATTTCGATGCAGCCAAGCGAGTTGGTAAAATCGACAAGTTCATCGTGGATCTGCTGCCGGAAGCTCTCAGTTACCGTTTCGTGAAAAAAGTAAGGAACGACAATTTTGCCCGCCGCGTTCAAAACATTCCATTTATTGAAATACGCCTCTTCTTGAAGACCCTTTGGCGTGGGCACATTCGGGTCAACATTGTAAGTAGAAGTGTCGAAGCCGCTGTTCTCTAGAATCTCTTTCTGCCAATCGGTCAAAATCAAATCGCCGTGAGGACCATTGTGCCAGTCACGGGGAGCTCTTGTCGGGGGAACCGGTAGTTCCTGTTCTGCGAAACCCGCAGCAAAAAAGGAAAAGAGAAATTTTCTCATTTCGAACGAAAGCTAGCCCGGCTTCTTTCGTTCTGATTCGGTTTTGAGAAAAAAATAGAAGAGAAAATTTTCGTGATAGGTTTATCCTCGGCGAGTTACGCCGCGAAAACGAATACGGATTAATTTGATTAGCTCGTCTAAACAAATCTCAAAGAAAAGTGCTGCCTTTCCACAGCCAGATATGTTTTCTTGTAAGATTATGTCCAGAAAAACGATTTCTAATGCGATCCAAAATGAACTTTTAAAAAAAAATTTATTAATTTTTTTTGTTTCTTTTTATATTTGAAAGAATACCGTGGTTTTCCATTTTAAGAGCGCCCACTTTAAGAGCGTTTTTGCGTATATTTTGAAAATGTTGTCATCTGCCGAAATTCCAGTTTAGGAGCGTTTTTTATGATTTTTATTAAAAATCAAAAAATTTTCAGACTTACAGTGAATCATTTATTAAAAAATTTTGTAATCCTCGACTGCTTTTCTGGCCATTTTGAAGTCGAAGGCTTCGCAGTGTCGGCACTCTCTATCACTTGAACTTGAGGTTCCTTTTCAATCTCCATCGGGGTTGCGACTCGTGTTTCATCGATTTGAAGCGCCAGAAAATGCTCGACCAGCTCTTCCTCGTCTTCTTTCTCCAGCACACTTTCCAAAACATCCAAGTCCTCAAAATCTTCAACAGCTCCTTCGAATTCTTCCTCCTTGATCAGCCCAGTATTGATCCAAGAGCGCTTGAAGATTGCTGGATTCATGTTCATGAAGATTTCGTTCGCTTTGTTCACTAGATCTTCCTCCTTGATGTTCAGATGATCATGATCGACGATGAAATCGTCAAGAAAACATCGGATCTTTTTTTTTTTTGTAATTGCAGAACACAAGGTTGTCACAGGATTGAAAATGACCGAGCGATATTTAGAATTTGTCAAACGGAAAAATTGAAAATCCCACTGTCATCCTACCTTGATTGAAAAATTTCCAATCTAAGAGCGATTTGAGCGAGGCCTGTCATCCAAAAAACGCTCTTAAAATGGAAAACCACGGTATGTTAGTGAGAATGGAGTGTTTTTGAAGGCATAGGTGGACAGAAAAGATTAGACGCGGTAATGGCTGTTCTCAGTATATTCACTTTGGCTGCGGTAGGATTCAGAGTACGAACCATCCTCCTCGCTCCCCGATTGATATGCTCTTGAATACTGCGACTCGGAAATCGATAGTTGTGAGACTGAAAATTTTAAGTTCGCGGACTCAATATTTGTCTTACCTGAGGGATCGTCTTCTGTCAGGGTCATTTGACTCTTGCTCATGGATAAATCGAGCTCCTGAAAAATGGTATTTTCAAACAATATATTTTGGTTTAAATAAGAAAATAAAAATATATTGCGAAAGAAAAAAGATAAGCGCCCCTTATCTCGAAAAAATGCCGAAAAAAATCTCATTTGAAAAAAGGCAAATGAAAAAAAAAATCGAAAACACAAAGTTTTCAAAGTTTTCAATCATGCAATACCAACGTTGTCCGAGATGAATCGGAAATGCTATCAGAAATGACGCGGGGCGAAATTGAGGTGGAATACGAGCTCGAACTCGCGCTTGTGGATGTCAAGTCCAAAAAGCTCACTCGCCGATCTTTTGACTTTTTCGGGTCAATAAATTCGGAGCTCAGCTCGGACAGAGATTTAAAAATCTACAAAAATGTTTTTAATTTTTGATTCAAGCATAAAATTCTTGAGTTTTTCGTTTCAGATTCTAGTGGTAAAATAATTTTCTACCTTTGAAATTGAGTTTCCATAAGATCTTCCGATCGACTCATCCATTGGCGCAGGAGTTCTCGCCCGACTTGAGTGCGGCGCTTCTGAAGTCGCGACGGATCGAGCAGATCTCGCTGCAGAAACAATTGTCGTTCCAGGTCTACTGAGTCGGCTCTGGAAGCCAGAAGCAGCGCTTCGTTGCGATTTCGCCAAGCTCATGTTTGACTTTGCAAGAGATTTGATTGGAGAAGATCGTTCAGAAAGCTCGTCTTCTTCTTCGTCATTTTCAATGTTTTCATCTTCATCGCTGAATTCTTCGTCTTCTTCTGGCATCACTGCGTTTCTTCCGATAGTTGACTAGATTTACTGTAAGAAAAAATACTGCAAGAACAAACTTACATAGATTCCAGAGCGAGTAGATTTGTTTACTCCATCCAATTTCGACCTAGATTTGAAAGTTGCGCCACCAAGGACCGAATCTGCCTCAGTTTTGCCCGGGTTGGAGATTTTTGACATTTGAGTCACATTTGTGAACGCCTAGAAAAATGATCAAAAATGAGGAAAAATGAAATGTTTTCATAATAACCTGAGACGCTGCCATGGATTGTGTTACTGGCTGCTTGACAACTGTTGAAGCTGAGCTGTCTGACTCTGATGACAATCGGCGCGCTAGAATTTTGAATAAAAATCAGATTTCGACTCGGAAATTTTTCGAGTGATATCATCATAAATAGTTCTCTATCAATCACCTGTGATCACAGTTCCGGATTCAGATTGCGACGCAGACATTACAGTCCTCGATCTATCTGTATATTGATTGCTCGTCTGATCCGTAGTTGTGTAGCTCTCAGAGTCGTAATGGGTTCGTTTTCTTCCTGAAAGACGCCTTCTCAAATCTGGGCGGCTCGCGCCTATTCGGCTCTTCAAATCTTCTTCTTGCTCGAGAATTCTGCCGATGAGAAGAGTTTCATCAGCGTCTAGCTTTTGGTTTTCTCGTCTGAGCTCTTTCAGGTGGTTGATGATGACGTAAGAGGTGTGCATTCGTTTCGCAGTTCTCCAGGCCCAGTAAGCAAAATACGTGACAAGAAGTTTAGCAAGAATTCCAGCGATAAAAGCCATGGCTACATAGACATCTCGAGGGCCGCAGCATTGTTTTCCGATAAAGGAGATTGTTACGAACCCCCTGCCATCGTTAAGCCGATCATTTCGTTGCCTCAGCCCGTTGTTCAAACTTCCTCCACCGCCAGAATATCCATCTGGCGGACCACCAGCGCCACCCGAATATCCTCCCCCGCCGCCAGCACCGCCATCTTCGCTGCCATACCCACCGCCCCCAAAGCCACCATTGTTGGTTATTAGTAATCTCGAGCCTTTTGGTTTGAATTGAATGAATCCACCTGTGCCCTTTGAGTTCATTCCTCTATTTACGCTCAGAAAATTTATTGCGCCTCTAGAATCGATTCCAAGCTCGGACGGATGTGCTGCTCCGCCGCCATCTTCAGTTCCGCCGGTCATATTGCCGAAACCAGCGCCGCCACCGCCACCGAATTTGCGTGTCCCGTCGAAACCGATGATACTTGGTCCGTACGAGCCGCCCAGTCCTCCTTGTCCGCCTACGCCGAGATCATCCCTTCCTCCTTTTCCAGAAAGCGGGATGGAGGCATTTTGCCCGTATGGATACTCAGTCGCGTCGTTGACATTTCTCGTGAGACCGACATTAGCTTTCCTTCCCGCGCCGCCTCCACCGCCACCAGCTGCCATGAGAATTTTGTTATCCTGGTTTCTTACGACGAAGGTTCCGCCAGAGCCGCCAAGACCCCGGCGAGAATTCGGGTCGGCGCTGAGGTTGTAGTCGGTGATTTGGCCGACGACGATGTCGATGATCTCTCCCTTCATAAGATGAAAATTGCCTTCGAGAATGGCTCCTCTTCCTCGACCACCGGCGGAGACTGATGATCCTGCGGGTCCACCAGCTGTCACGAGATACAAACCATCGGCAGGGACGACCCACTGTTGAACGCCTTCTTCGACTCGGACACTTCCCTCAAGATTACTGTCGAAGTAGTACTCGTTGCATTCTTCAACCGTCGGGCCATTCATCCCTGTTTTTCCGCAGTCGCCGAAATCCCAACGAACTTGGACCAACGGATCCAGCTTCCAATCTTCTCTTTTTGCGATCTCCTCCGAAGAAGCCAGAATAGCTGAAAAACCAAATTGAAGAACTCATCTTTCAATTTCTTCCTTACCTTGTTCAGGCCCTCGCTGAAGCTGGGCAATTACAGTGCCCGACTGTAAAAATCCCACGAGAAGCTTCATTTTCTTTTATTTAACGCTCTCTATTCTTTTTCTCAAAACATTTTTTTCGCTTCTCAGTGTTTAAATTTTCTGCGCTGAAGAAAAAAAAAACTCGGTGATTCAAGAATCGAAGATCGCCCCGAGGGCATGACGCTTCAACCCTTTTGAAACTATGCGCGTTATGAATTTCTGAATAATATTTTTTATTGACAGGACCGTTTTCAAAAATAAGGGTCTTTTTTATCAGCCAGCAAAAGAAATAATCGTTTTGTCTAAACTTTAGTAGACATCTGTCTCGGTAGCCCGTTTTTTGACCCAGTTTGGCGGATTTGAAGGCGAGGACCAGGCAAATCTAGAATTTCAGGTCCATTTTATGTCAATTTTTTGCGTTTTACTTTGAATTGAAAAGGACAGCTTTTGATCCAGCCATGAAAAGTAGGAAAGCGATCAAGTAGTCAATCGTGCCAATGTACTGAAAAGTATGAATTCGAAGATATCTTCGTTGATTTCTACCTCGCTTAGGGCGTACATCATCAAGACATGAGTAGAAACATCGTAAAAAGTGCCAATCCATTCCATTGCCCGGCTTTTTCCTCCATTAATATGCCAGTCCAGCGAGCTCTAGATGAATAAAGAGTGGTTTGAAAGAATAAAAGTCATACCCAGTAGGCGACTCGTTTGGACCAGTAGCTTTTGTTCCAGGTAAGGACGTAGTAGTAGTGTTGAATCTGCTGGAAAAGGACGATGTAGGTGAATCGGCCGTGGAAGAGATACGAGGCGAGGACCGAAAGAGCATCGATAAGGAAGTATAAACTACAAATTTCTTGGTTGGAGATAGGAAAAGGCGGCTTGGATAAAAGCTCTTACCCGACATTATTCAAATCTTTCAGCGGAATCGTCCTCACTCCAAAAAGGATCAACGAGTGAGCAAAAGTATGATAAGCTTCGATGAAAAAGAGAAAAGTCGGTAGAAAATTGACCATTTCGAAATTTACGCGGATTATTCAATGGTATTTTTCTCTTCTGACAAACAAAGTTCTCACGAGGAACATCAGTATTTGTCGAAGTTATGCAACGAAAAGAGCAAATTTGCTTAGATTTGCAATGACTGGCCACACCTTAGATTTTTCCCCGGGAAAAAATGGCGAAAAGGAAAAAAAAATTCAAAATGAAGCTCAAAAAATCGCAATTTTTTCGCGTTTTTCGACCCAAATTTTATCGTAAAATTGCATTTTTGGGCTCTTTTTCGTGATTTTTCTTGCTAAAATTACATAATTTGCCCTATTTTGCCCTTGCAAATAAACATAACCCGCGATTAAAAATTCGAACTTTGACCACAATTTGCTAATATCAGACAGATTTGGGCCGCTAAATTCAGAGTTTATAATGCACAGAAATGTTTATTTACAGAAATTGTTTTTCAAAAAACGTCTCATGGAAATATTCACAGTTGACAAACGAAAAGAACGCTTTGGAAGTCCTGCGGCTTGTCTTTTAAAACGCATTGTTCGCAATGAAGTCGCTAGAAAAATTGCTAAAAATGGCTTTTGGGAAAAAATTACCAAAATTTTGGATTGCTGTTGCCCTACAGAAAGCTTCAATCCTTCTTTATTCTCCTCCTTTTTGATTGGCAGCTGGGGCTTTGGCGCAGCGCTTGGCGGTGGAGTAAAGTCCTCCTTGATTTCAAACGGATTTTTCGGCGAGGATTGCTTCGAAAACTTTTGCTTCATCTTTTTCAATTTTTCCGAAAAGTTGACTTTTTCAGCGACTTTTTGAAATCTTGTCGAGGCGCGCGAAGAATCGCTTTTTGAAAAAGAGCTGCTCGAGGAATTTGAGTCGGAATTCTGGTTCGAGCTCGATGAGATTTCGGAGATTCCAGAAGTCGAGAGCGAATCTTCTGAAACGATTTTCGAGTTTTGGAGTTGGAGTTTTTTGTGTAAATTTGATTCGATTTCCTGATCGCAATAGTCCTAAAAAAGAAAATAAGGGGGTGGTGGCTTGAACCGACAAAAAAATTTCGACAAATTTTTCGTAGGCGGCTACTCGGCTCCTTATTGGCCGGTTCGCCGAATCCAGGCTTCTGGTTGGCTAAAAATTTCCACGCAAAAGTTGTCGAAATTTTTTTCTGCCCAAAATATGGGCGTCAAGATGCTAATTCAAATTTTACCTGATGATCTTTAAGATCAAGCGTCCAATCAGCCACGACATTCGACCTTGTCATTGCGCAATCCTTGACATCTTGATAAGGCTTTCCTCTTTGCCTCAATTCTTCTTTCTCCCGCGTTTTCAGGAAGAGTATTCCATTCGTCTTTATCAGTGGCTGTCTTTTTCCGAGTTTGAGAAAAATCCCGTGAAAATTCAAAGAGCAAATTGGTCTTTCATTTTTCATTTTTCAAACTCATAACTTCTAATGAGCGGCCCAGAGCAGGCGACACAACTCAGCTGGGTGGCTTCCCGCAGCGCGGTGATAGTCTACCAGGGGCTGAGAGATAATTCCGTTTTAGCAACATAAAAAGAGTATTTTAAAGAAAGTGGTATCTCCTCGTTTTTTGCGCCAGCTTTTTTCCCGCGCTTCAGAAGGTCTAATCCGCAGTTATCTGGCCTAAGAAGCGGTAAGTGTCCAGATTCTAGTGTTTCGCTTGGAGCTCAAGATCTTATCACTTTTCCGAGTGCTAAACGGTTCAACCTCAGTTCTCCTATTTCCGAGGAAAAAGTGACTCTTGCAAATAGGAAGATTTTGCGGCTTTTGAAAAAAATGATTGAAAAGCCGCGCTTTTTTATGTAAATATTTTTCTCAAATATCTTTTTTCTGAAAAATAATTCTCAAAATATTTTTTCTCAAAAAAATTCTCAAAATTTTTTTCTCAAAAAAATTCTCTAAGCATTTTTTTCTCCAAAAAAAATTTCTGATTTTTTCTTTCAAAAATGATTTTTTCGTGAAATTTTTCTCTTGCTCATGTTAATTTATAAATAAATTCTGCATCTGGGATGCTACGTATCGGAAACTGAAAGGAGGAATTTTGAGCGTGTTGATACCGCAACTATCTGGCCCCTGTTTTGGTCAACTCTCTATTCGCGGTTTTTCGATTTCGAGGGAGCGCTTATCGTTCTTTCCGACTTACGTATCTTGCGAATTTATGTTCTTGAGAGATTTACGTTCAATTAGACTTGTACTGCTTTTCTTTGGAAGAAATATGAAATAATTTTTTGTTTGAAAAATTCTCAGCGCCCATCTTTGGCTTAGAACTTAGGGCGGAGACGCCGAGGCGTGGGACCCGTCGCCGTCGTCCAGTCCACGTGCTCCTGATTTCTTCAAGTTTCACACTTTGCTTGATTAGTTTCACGGGCGCTTGTGTGAGCACTTCTTTCTTTTCGGACAGCTTCGGTGACTTATCAAGGTTAATTTTTTGCGAAATATTTTTGCGAATTTTTTGCGGAATTTTTTTGCGAAATTTTTTTAACGAAATTTTTTCCGCGAAATTTTTTGACCAAAGTTTTTCTTGCGAATTTTTTTTTGCAATTTTTCTGCGAAATTTTTTTGCGATTTTTTTGCGAAAATTATTTTTATTCCGACCTTTTCCTGAGCCGGCGATGATTCTTCCGAGGAATTTCTCTGGGAGTCTGAAAAGAAAAATTAGAAAAAAATATTTTTTTAGGTTTTTTTAATCCCGAAAATCGTTGGCCACAGAATTTGTCATCACTGTCTTTCCATACGTGGTAATCCATCAGCCCGACGCGGGTTGAGGTTCAAAATCCGCGATTTAATACCAAAATGTCGGCTTGAGGGATATCCGTGTGGAGAGACCACGTGACGACCGGAAGGGTGGAACTCACCGACCTTTGTTTCCACTTTAACCATTTTTTTCTGATTGAAAATTTTTAGCGCAATGAATTTATTTTTAGAAAATTTGCTCAACATTCAACTTTTTCGAAACGGGAAAATTTGTAAAACAGGAAAATTCCGCAGAGCAGCTTGAGAAAAAAGTAGTTGATATGATTTGTTTAATAAAATTTTACATCATGCGGTTCCATCCGCGCCCGACCCGCTTTTTACGATATTCAAAGAACCCACATCACAAAAATACTGCACAGCGGTTTCAGGAGGCTTTTTCAAAAAAACAATCGTCAATTTTTCTTCTAAATTTTTAAGGGTATCTGTGCAAAATCACTGTTTGAAACCTTATTTTGACGATTTGACAGTGATTACTTAAGGGTATCAATAAGTTAACTCATTTTTACTCTAGAACTCTTCCCTAGCTACATTTTGATAAGAAAATCTTCCGGACTTTTAAGGGTATAGAGGCCGAAAACGCTGTTTGAAAATTTTGACAATTCGACGGGGTATCCTTAAGTTTTCAGCTTTCCCCTTTTGCATTGGACTTACCAATTGAGCAGCTATCAAGTCCAGAATCCGAATCATCGTTCTTCTCCTCCCTCGTTATTACCATCATCGTCTCATCCTTCTTTTTCGTCACGTCCATATCTTTCAAAACGCTCTTCGTTTCCCCTTTTCTAATAATTTGGAATTTTCGATTTCAAAATTTTGTTTTGGGCCTGGAGGGGTTCCTGTTCTATGTCCTTCATTCTTGTCGATTTTCGGGCTTCTGATTGGTTGAACGAGGGAGGGGCGCGTTTTGATTGGGCGGTCGCGATGGAGATGGATAGAGGGATGCATTAAGGGTATACACATCGTTCCTGCTGTTTCGAAAGAAAGCGAAAGAGGGCTTAAAAGAGAGTTAGTGAGAAGAAAAGATTAAGGGCGTTAGTGGCGAAGTGCTTTTTTGCGCGAAGAGTCCAGATGGAGTCACGTGGCCCTGTTCGGCCCAAACCTGTCAGCGGGTTAAGTTTCCAACGTGTGTGTACACCAGCCTGGTTGTGATGATTAAATGTCTTTCAAAACGGTTCAAAAGGGAATTTTTTCTTCAATAATTTTGAAACTCACATTGCAAAAAACGGCAATGGAAAAATCAAATTACTATTTATCTTTTAGAACCGCGCCGATTATCCTTCAAAAGATTTCAATTAGACTTGATTCTCATCAGATCGCGGATCAGGTTGTGCCCGATCGTTTTTCATATAAACTTATATCATCAAAGATCAGCAGCTAAGAACCCCTGATTTCAAAGTCTTAACTTTTCGAAGTCGCGATTTTCAATAATTAAGGCTTATTATAAGGCCCTTTTCGTCCGAATTATTTATCAATAAATTTCAAGAAAAAAGGTTGATTTTCTAAAAAGTCGAAAATTGAAAGTCATTTTTTCTGATGTCCAAAATTTTGAAATTTGCGAAATCTGGCAATTTAAATGCAATAAGTAGAAAACGGACGGATTCGAAATAAGGGGTTCTGGCTAGCTTGATCGTTTTTATATAATGAAATATTACTCAACCGATACATACTCAGAATGGAAGGATTCAAAAATCTGCTTTTTCATCAAAAACAATAATTTTCTATCAAAAAATTAAATAGATAATTATAAAAAGAAACAATTAAATATTTGATAATTTAAATATAAAAAATCGATTTTTATATTTTTCGTAGAATTAATTATTTTATAAATTATTTAAGAATTATTCATTTTAATTTTATAAAAATGATATTTTATTATAAAAATTAATTTTTAAATCCATGACTTAGGCCACAATGGTTTCAATACAAATTTTCCTCTTTCTCTTTTTTATCATCAAAAAAATTTTAAAAGCAAAAAAATGATATATTTAGACAGGAGGTGATTAGTTGAAACCAAATCTGGATTATGCGTCCGCCGGAGAACGTCTGACGTAAAAAATTCTACATTCCGGATTTGAAGAAAAATAACTCAAAATCCGAAAACAGAATTTGTTATTTAGACATTGCAAAATGCAGAGTTTCGCGAAATGCATATTTTGCAATTTTAGAAATAGAAAATTTAATCACGTTTCCTTTATGGTTTCATCAAAAAAATTCCAAATTTTTTTTTAATAAATTAAAAATTAAAAATTTAAAAATTATTTAAAAATAAATTATTTAAAATATAATTATTATTTATAATTAAAATTATTTAGAAATAATTGATGATCCAGTCCTTTGACGGATGCAAAAATGAAATTTATATATTTAATTTTCATAAAAAAAAATATAAAAAAATCAATAAAAAATTAATTCAAAGTCAATTTCAACACCCTTCTTTGTGGGTAAAAAAATCATTTTTATTTTTGACAATTTTAAAAATGACTCATCCCAATGCATTTTCGTCTCAAAAATCATTGTCAAAATAAAAATCAAAAAGAGGAAAATTTTTACCGTTCCTATTTTTTAGCTCAAAACTCGCCCTTTTTATCTTAAAAATTATTTCTCAAAAAATAAGGGCCTACTCTTTTGTGTCGAAAAAATCCACGAAGAAGCAAAATCAGCAGTTTTTCGAAATCATCATTTTCAATAAAATTGTTCAAATTATTTAATCATTTTTTAGAAAAGAAATTCTTACAAAAACAAAATTCAAGTCCGATTCGAGAGTCACTCGAATTCGTTTCAAAAATTTTAGATCTTCAAAATAGTCGGCGAAAATTTTGGTCTCCCGCCGAGTTTAATCGATAATAACAGCGCGCGTTATCAGCTTCTAAACAAAAAGGACGGTTAAATTCAATCATTTAAGACGAGCCGATGCAGCTGCCGAAGAATTGAGCACAGATTCATTTTTTGCAGAGAACAGGTGGAGAGCTGAATATAAAACAGTTAGGATTTTTAGAGTGTTAAATAAAGTATTAATTTCCGTGGCTTATTTGGGCTAAGTAGCGGGTTAATTCAATTGAACTCAATTTCGAATATTTGACGCTTAAGGACCCCCCACCGTCAGCTTTTTCCTTCGAAAAATGGGAATTTTTAAAACACCATATTTTTGGTTGATAATGCGTCCTCAGGTTAAACTTGCTTCATTAACTCGGCGAAAAGTCCAATTTTCAAAGTCAATTTTAAGGGTAAAAGGGTCGAGATAAACGCCCAAAAACCGAGCCTCAAAATCGTTTCTTGACCTGTAGAACGATTTCCGGATTGAAAATTTTTAGAATCCGAAAATTAATTTTTGAAAAAAGACGGAGGTGGGGGTTGTCCTTAAAATGGTCCTTTTTCACAAAATTTGACAATTTTTACTTAAAATAATTTGATATCTATAAAATTTTGAAATAAAAAAGGGCGAAATGTGGCTTGATCATATTACCCGAAAAACGGTATGGAAGAGGGGAAGACTAAGGATTTGGTTGACAAATAAGGAGTGACATTGATTCAAATGATTACCTCATTCAAAGTACCATCATCATATAAAGGACCTCTATTATCAAAAAACACTATCTTTTGGAGAATATTTGCATCCAACAGAATTAAATAACAATTAATTTATCCGAAATAATGTGTTTTGAAAGCCTTAATTATCGAATACTTTCTTAGTGTTTTTAGTTTGATAAACATTGTTATGGGAACTGTGAATCTAATGGCAGACTGTAAATAATACAATAATAATACCCACCAAGAATAACCCTAGCGTCCATTCAAATTAAAATAATAAAAATGAAAAAAAAACCAAAAAAATCCTACGAGGAACGACTAAAAGCTGCCCTGAGTTATGCTCGAATATTTTTGAAGCCGTTCATTAAACCCGTTTACATACCAAGCTTACATAACTCGACCTTTTGAAGCTATTTTTTAGATAAATAAAGCATCTTTAATCTACGACATCTTCTTGCTAAAAACTGCCATTATTTCCTTTTATCGATAAAAGTCCCTATTAAGAAAAAAATCCGTGAAGTCGAAAAATTAAAGCCGATAATTGACGTAATCTCAGCCTGTTGCGCCTTCTTGATCCAAATATTTAGCGAGATTATTCCGTGTTAGACAGTTCCATGTTTTGCCAAGTTGGACAAACGCAAAATTCTCTCTCTCTCTCTCTCTCTAGAATTATTTTAGCGAAAACGCACTCGCTCAATGCTCGACAAGAATCGGCGTTTCTAAAATTTTCGGAACGAGCGCCTCACGAAAATTGACGAGAGGGCAATTTTTAGAAATTTTTTAATGAACAAATTTGACCTTTCTTATTTCTAAAATACCGAAATGACTATTCATGCTCGAATTTATTTTGCGAACAAATTATTTTCAATTCTTTTAAAATAAAAATTTAATATTTTGTATGATAAAAAATCATAAAATTGAAAAAAAAAATATTTTTTAAAAATTTTAGGATAAATATTTTTTTTATTGATAACTTACAGATAATCAAATTTTCTTATTTTTCGGTAATCTCTTGTGTGAAAATCTCTCTCAAAGAAATATATTTAAAACAAGGCGTAGAAAAAATCATGCAAAGTTTTTTCCTCTCATTTTGCGTTTTGCGCATTATCGCGCGTCGCTCAGAGGGCGCTCGCACTCCTTTGCGCTCAGATCTGGATCGCGCTACTGAGCTTGGTTTTTGCAGGATGAGAGGAGGGAGTGATGGTTTTTCGTTTTTAATTTGGGGTCGGAGAATTATCAATGAATTAAAATTTATATAATTTAAACCTTATAAAATAACAATTATTTTATCAGACCGAAGTAAAGGGTGTCAATTTTGAAATTATTCGAATTTATTGCTTATCAAAAAAGCAGGAATTTTTTTCTGCAGTTTTTAAATCGAGCAGCCAAGAGTCGGATGAATATTCCGAAGATATTCGATCTTCTCAAAACTCGTCGTCATGAATGCTTCTTCTCTTTCTTTAGCTGCGGCGCCGGAAGAACCCTTTTGTGTAATTTGCAGCGCGTCGCAAGTGCGTCTCGTCGCCGACAAGAATTCTAAAAGATAAGGGTCAAACAAAACTAATCATTGCTATTTTCTAGCGCGCTAGTTCACATAAGCTTTCTCTTCTCGAAAATGATGCTAAAATCTGCAATAAAATAAAAATTATTTTCAAGTTATTTGCAAAAAATTGAGTAACATTGATTAATTACAGTGATACCCTTAAGTTTTAGTTCATTTTTAAGCCCGTTTTGAAATATATAAATTTCAAAAAAAAGTTCATCAAAAACTATTTTAAATTTTATTATTATTATTTATCTTTAATTATTAAAACTAAAATCTAAGTCAAAACCTTAAGGGTATCTGTACATAATGTCATTTTGAAAAAAAAACCCCTTGAAATTCCACCTTTCGCTGAAAAAATCCGTCGCCGGTGAAAATAATTCGTTGCAACGAATTATTCGTTGCCCTAACGAATTATTTTCAAGGGAAAACAGCTATTTTTCGTAAAAATAATTCGTTTAAAACGAATAATTCGTTAGGGTTACCGAATAATTCGTTAGGGTTACAGAATTATTCGTTTTGAAAGGCGGTTCTCCCGCTTGGTTCACAACTCAATTTTTCATAAAGAACTGACTAAAGGTGCGGCTGAAAGAAAGACAGCTCTTTATTTATCTCTGTAATCAGGCGCGGAGCGCATATATACCCTGATTTATGTAGTTGGGTAGTAGTTATGCTAGGTTAGGGTTAGGGTTAGGTTTATGGGTTAGGGTGAGGGTTAGGCTTGAAAACAAAAACAAACGAATTATTCGTTTTAAAAAAACGAATTATTCGTTGGAAACAACGAATTATTCGGTATGTAACGAATTATTCGTAAGGAAAACGAATTATTCGTTCTAACGAATTATTTGCACCGGTTACCAAAAAATCATCATTTTCTTACCAATGGTCATCTTTTTTTCGCTCTCTTTCTTTAGTTTTCTTCAGAAATCAAATTGGGACCGTCGCTTTTCTTATATAAGTCTTTATGGCAATCAGGTGGTTGGAGTTCGCTTCACTCACGCGCTCGTTAAAACTGGTCAAAAACAGCGGACCTGCCGCGAAGGTCCTGTTCCACCCATTTTTATTCCCCGAAATGGCCACTTGTTTACCAAAAAACAACGAAAACAAATCAAATCGTCCATTCTTTGCTCTCTCAGAAAAACTGGCCAAAAAGGTCACGGGATCAATTCTTGCGCCAAATCTCTTACGACAGAATTGATGAAAAAAAACTGGAATGCTGACAATAATAAATAAAGATTATTTTGACTTGGGACGGGTTTATTTGTTATTAGCACCAGAAGACGATTTCGTAGTGTTGTATATTTTTGGTATTCGGGAGAGGATAATTCGATCAGCACGCGTAGATGCAAGTCTTTTTCGAATAATACTAGAAAAAAAGATGGAGGAATTGTTATTTGGAAGGCGGAAATTCTTCCATTTCTGACACTATTTCTGCTTTTTCAAATATCCCCGAAATAAAGGATAAGGCTTCGGCTCGGCAACCTGTGTAGAAAACCTGAGTCAGTCAACCTGAGCAAAAGACCTGACTCAGGTTTTTTTCACAGGTTGCCGAGCCAAGAAACAGGAAGTTTTTTTTCCAATCTAACCAAGATAAAAAATAATTAAGAAAGAACGAGACACCAAAGGAGGAAGTAAGAAAGTATCATACACATAAGGAAGTGATATTTTTCGGAGCCAATAAAATTGCTGCATTTGGCCTACCGGCCAATCAAAACCCATTCCATCAAATCAGTTCCTTTGGTGTTTGATACTTTTTTGCTTGCTCGTTTGGTGTCTCGTCCTATCTGAATTGTTGTTTATCTTTGTTAAGGGTGTCAACATCGATTGTGGCACGTTTTTGTGTCTTCTTTTTTGTTTTTGGAACCTGCGTTAACTGTAAAACGAGATTTTAATTGTTCGACTCACGAGAGATACCCTCACTCAATCGATGTTGACACCCTTAACAAAGATAAAGAACAATTCAGATAGGACGAGACCCCAAACGAGCAAGCAAAAAAGTATCAAACACCAAAGGAACGGCTTTGATGGAATGGGTTTTGATTGGCCGGTAGGCCAAATGCAGCAATTTTATTGGCTCCGAAAAATATCACTTCTTTTGGTGTTCTTTTGGTTTCCTCGTTATATGCATCTTCGTTGATTGGGCAGCGTACAAGTACGTCATGAATCCTTCATCTTGCTAGTTGCAACATGACAAACGATTTCCTGTTGCCATTTTTTCCGGAGATTATTATTTCATAACAGGAAATGACAATTTGCCCGTAATCGACTCAAAATTACATCGAATTATTTTTCCATTTTCAAAGAACAAGAAAGTTTTTCCGATGATTTTTGGCTCGAAATCCATATTATTTTTGATTAATATGGAATTATTTTTTATTAATTATTATTTTATAAATTTATTATTTTATTAATTATAATTATATATTATAATATGGATATTGATTTTATTTTTCAACTGTCAAAAGTATTTTTCGGTCTTTTCTTTATTCCTCGGATTTCATAAGGACCCCCGAAATCTTTCCTCGTAAGAAAGGGGTTATGGCAACGTGAAGAGTCTGATTTCCGAGTGGCCATCAGTATCCTGATCCGTTTGTTATCTCTCTGCCTAGGAAACATTCTGAAAGAGTCGCAAGAAAACGCATCCGCATAAACCCGGAGCGCATCGAATTTCCACATGCTCAAGTGCCCAAAACAACAATCGCCATTCTCAATTCTGAGTCTGCGGAAAATTATCCACCCAATTTGCTTGTTCTTTTGGCGTCATTTTACATGGCCACGCGTATTGCGACTTATTATTCGGCTCAAATAAGAGTTCTTTTAAATAAACTTTTGAGACAAAAGATTTTTTCTTGGCTCAAAAACCTGTTTTTAAAACCTGAGTCAGGGTCTAAAGATTGAGAAATCGACAAAAAATCGATAAATTTTGCGTGGGCGGCTATCCTGCTGCTGATTGGCCGGTAAGCCAAATCCAGGCTTCTGATTGGTAGAAAATTTCCACGCGAAAATTGTCAATATTTTTGTCGGTATCATCTTTCAGACCTTGACTCAGGTTTTTAGCATTCTTTTTTGAGCAAAATTTGTTGGTGAAATTCTCGGCTCCACAAAAAAGCTGTCAATTGCATGAACCCTTGCAGAGCCGCTATCTCAGCAAAACAACCTGCATCAACTTCAGCGCCATCCTGAACCGGATTTTTCCCTCTTCATCGAACCAGATTCCCCGTAATGGCAAACGAAAGTGCCAGTTTACAAAACACCTCTTTACTCCATTTAATGGGCGACACCTTTCACAGCTCAATTTTTTCCTTGACACAACAAATACTATCCTAGCGGTGAGGGGTTAAAAAGCCTCTTGCTTTGGTTTTTCTCGGAAGAAGAAAAATGACGAGAACAAACAGGAACTTGGATGAGTCTCAAATCGTGTTCTTCGTGTTGAGGATTCAAACAGGAAGGGCTCTAGAAAAAAACGGTACATGAAGTTTTGATTGAATTATTCGTTTTGTTGATGAAACTTTCACACGTCATTCGACTTATTGCTAATTCATTAACCTGTTCAAAATTAATGAAAAGGCGAAGTTTTGCTGATTTTTTCTTTTTCAAGCTATGATGTCGTAGATTTAAGGTGATATTCGTTAGGGCACCCGGTGGAGCGTCACTTTTCCGGGGAAGAAAACGACGAAAAATGAATACTTATCACTTTTTCGCGAGAAAAAGGCGCAGAATACAATTTTTATCCCTCTTCTTCCAAATACATCTTTTTCCCCGAAATTGGCGAATTGAAATTGTACGATCATTAAATATTTAAATTTTTAAACAAAAATTTTAATTTTAAACTTCCCTTCAGTCGATATGAGAATTCTGAAATTCCAAACGTAAAAATGACAAATTATAACTTTCTAGTCAGAATTTAATAAAATTCCAGAGCACATATTTCACCAAGAGAAAAAAGATGAAGCATGAGCATGGGAAAGACGGGAAAGAACATGGGAAATTATGTCACGCGATACTTTTTTCTGATGATGAAATGTTCATCTTGCGGTTGAGTTCACAGCACTTTGGACTTGTATCTCTAAAGCAATGATTGAAGGAGAATCTGAGATGAAAATATTTACGAGCGTATTGTTTTCTTTTAGCCAGGTATTAATGGGCTGAATGAGAATCTAAGCCGCTCTTTTTCCTTCATTTTTAAAGATGGATGAAAACAGAGAAACAGAAGACAAAAATATACAAGTAGAACTTGATGATTTCAAAAAGTAAGACTATCATTTTATCAAATCTATATTTTCTTTCAAAGAAATACGAAGAACAGAGAAATGAGGTCAAAAAGCTGAGAAAAGAACTTTCCTTGCTCAAACTAGAAAGGGATAATTATAAAAAGAAAGCAACTTATTTGGAAAATAAATGGCCATCTACTAAACCAGGAAAGGGATGACCAGCTTACTATTAAATAAATACAGAAAATTAAAAATTGTAATTTATAGTATTATCCCTATTTCTGCCTTTATGAAGGCAAGACAAAATAAAAACAAAGAGCTTAAAAATTTGGAGAAAAACTTGGCCCAGTCGGCGGAGCAGGCCACTATTTTGAGAATGATCGGCGAGTTGGAAATGGAGGCCCAAGAGATCGAATGAAAGAGAATGATATCAATGATATTCTGCGCTTTCTTGGCCTTGGTGGACAGAGTATAAACTTCAAGAAAGGCTTTTGAATGACTTGTTTGAAAGAAAAAACTTTTCAAAGCCTTTTCTTATGTTTTTCTCCTCTGATTGCTGGAACGTCATTGGCGAAAAATGGACGATGCAATTTCAATCTGCTCTTGAAGATAAAAGCGACGAGAGCTTCATACTTAAGCTGACAAATAAGAACAATGTCATAGGTAAAACAAAAGTCAAGACTACCAACAGGCATAAACTAAGGTCGTACCCGACGATTTCAGGGGATCGTCGAAGAAATTGATCCGTTTTCTGGAGAAATATTTTCAACAAAAGAAATTCGAAGTTCTCCTGATTCTGATTTCATCAAATTCGAGCTTGGCAAGCAAATTTCCTGTTTTATCCGACTCAACATCACTCTCCTCTCATTAAAAATTGAAAAGAAAACTTCTTTAGAAACAGTCAAAATTTTATCTTTTATGTTTAATAAGTCCGGCAAAGTTCTTTGCTCAAAATCCTTCGCGAGATTCTCGACCGCGACAAGCGCTAATTTTCCCACTGATAAGAGAAGAGAGAAGAGTGTCAGGATAATAGCCAGCCCGCAAAATTGAGACTAAGGGTGGTGCCTTTTCGTATTTCCCACGTTAGGCCGGACAACATGCAACACACAACCGCGGCGCAAATTATATCCTTAAAATGCCGCAAAATATTTGTCTTGATGAACGCTTCGGGGAAACCCAGGGAGAATATTTTGAAATAAATTTGATAGGATTTTCGTAGAAGAAAAATTTTTTATTCGATATTTTGATGAAAAAGCTTGAATCTGGATTCGAATCAAAAAAAGAAGGTCACATCTTTGAATGGGTGATCTTTGGATCTGTAACGGGGTTGGTGTCTGGAACTGACGAAAAAATTTCGACAAATTTTGTTTAGGTGGCTTCTAGGCTGCTGATTGGCCGGAAAGCCGAATCAAGGCTTCTGATTGGTTGGAAATTTGCACAAAAAATTCCTAAAAATTGATGGAAATTTTCAAACAATCAGAAGCCTGGATACGGCTAACCAGCCAATCAGCAGCTGAGTAGCCGCCTACGCAAAATTTGTCAAAATTTTTGTTGGTTCCAGACACCTCCCCTTATGCTCTTATGATCTGTAACTTACAGTTATTCGCGCGAGGGTCACGATTTTGGTCAAAAACATTACCCGAGAGATTTTATTGCGCATCTTAGTCTGGCCATCTTGAACCAAAAAATTCCTGTCGACATTTTTAGGCTGATCCATGAGTAGGAAGTGCCCTTATTACGGGCCAAATTTGAATTCGGAAAAATTCAATTTGCAATTTAGCAAGAATCCGGCGCTCTTAGGAACCTCTTGCATAGACTAGAATATTCAGCTCACGCAAAATTCACACAGGAATTTTAAATTAAAGCCCGAAACTTGCCAAATCCACATTATCGCTCTTTTTGTTATCAGTAGAAAAAGCACTTGGCAAATCCGAGACGAAAACAAACCACGTTTTTTGATAAAATTTTTTAAATCCGGTTACTGTCGATTTTAAGGGGGTCGACGAGAATCGGGATTTCCGTGACCAAAAATGCGGGAAAACCGGATAAGATAGGGAAAATCTGAGTATACTGGTGGATAGAAAAGGGTTGAAAAAATCAGGCGGCGAAAACTAGAAAAATTTTCGCCAGAAAAATTGGTCAAAAATCCCCTCAAAGTAGGGGCATTTTCGCGAAAATGCACCAAAAATGGCCATTCTTTTTACATTTTTCATAATTTCACCCCTAAATCTCATTTTTATCAAATGTTTTTAGGCTTAACTAATTCGGGAGGATCTGACAATTCCAAAAATATAAGTTTCATAGCCAGACTATGTGTACAAGAGAAATTACGATCACCCCTGAAAGAAGTCTTCATTTTTCAGCAAGAATTAAAATGACTTTTTCAAAACGACTCTTTAAAAGAACGATTTTTTAACGACTCTTTTAAAAACGACTTTTTTTAAAACGACTCTTTTGAAAACGACTCTTTTGAAAACGACTCTTTTAAAAACGACTCTTTTGAAAACGACTCTTTTTAAAAAACGACTCTTTTGAAAACGACTTCTTTAAAACGACTCTTTTAAAAATGACTCGTCTGTATTTTTGATTTCAAAAATGATAATTCAAAGAATGACTGAGGCGAATTCCACGGCCTTGCTGGTTCTTGAAGGATAACATTTTTAACGGAATAATGAGATGATTAGAGGGATGAGGAGGAGAGTCGGATTTCTTCGGGGGAAAATAAAACGATTTTCGTTCTTCAAAATTGATTTGAGATTTAAACATGTATTGATCAGAAGGAGAAATTGAATCAGTCAGAGATAGAGGAAAAGTCAGGAATAAAGATTCAGATATTGTATAAAATCTGCCTAGCCGGGGAGATTGACATTGATGTCCCTGACGCTAACGCATGAGCTGCCTGTAAAAATGGCAGTACTGATACATGTGACTGCACCGGCAACGATGCCAACGACAACAACTTCGAGTCCAGTGAATCGCTTCATTCGGGAAAGCCCTTCGTCTTGAGAAACCATTTCTTCAGCAGCTTCGTAGAATTCCGAGCCGGCTCGTTCGATTTCCTGAATAATTAAATCTTCATCGGAGAAATCAGCTTCAGCCAGGGTTATTTTGAGTTCTTCGCCAATGTCAGCAGCGCGTTGGATGAGAATTCGAGCTCCGGGAAATTCAAGTTGTTCCGCTTTGAATGATGGCACAGCGTTAAAATCAGCGATTTGAAGGGCATTGAGGAGTAGAGTGGTTCCAACATTATTCGTCGACATGGACCTCGACAAATCTCGGACTCGCTCTAGCTTCCAAGCGGGAACCGGAACGTCGTGGGCCGCTGCCAATCCGAAAAAAAGAAAAAGGAAAGTTTTCATCATTCTGATATTTTCTGAATTTATTTTGCTCGTAAGAAGCTTTTATCAGCGCCGTGCAGAGGAGAAAAATATTTATCTTGTCAAAAATAAGACAGGCTGCGTTCTTAGATACTCAGAAGGCAAGTATTAGCATATTTGCAAAAACTTGGCAGCTGGATTAAAATTTTTTCCCAACCATTTTTTCTAAATGGAATTTTCATCTTTCCAAATACCGTTTATGATGGTAAATTTTGGAATCATAAATTGTAGTTGGTTTTCTCATTAGAAGCCTTTGTAAATTTTAGGACCGCGAATAATTCGTCGATAAGATAGTATTGCGCCGCCGTTTAGAGTTCCTGAAACTTCACCGGCGATAAGATTCCGTTCTGAGTACCCATTTATTCAATTTTGTAAGAATTTACAAGTGCCCCTGCAAGATGCAAGCCATTCGAAAATACACTTGATACTAGTTTTGAGATGTAACGGCTGTTTCCGCTTCTTGAATATTATTTTTTAAGAAAACATTGATAAGCAATTCTGGAAGCGCTAAGGGTTGAAACAGCTGATTGGGAAGAATAAGGAAAATTAAAGCTGCCTAGAAAACCTGAGTCAGGATCTAAAGAGCAGTAATCAAAAGCCGCGTAGCGGCTTTTCTAAAAACGAAGCCGCTTCGCGGCTTTATTTAAAAAAAAGCCGCTACGCGGCTTTTCATGTAAGCTCTTCAGACCCTGACTCAGGTTTTCTGAACAGGTTTCCGAGCCCGGAAAGCTGGCATCAGCATGAGAGAGTTCTTAAATCAATTGAGGGGTGTTCTTTAGAATCTCCCAACTGCGATTTTCGCGGTGCTTATCAGCCAGCTCAAAAGCTCATTCCCCGTTATGCTTATTATTATGTCCAGCGTGAGTTTTCCAATTACGTTTAGAAACGGGAAAGATCGTAAAATACGATTCCAGGGTATTTTTTTCTCAAAACATGGGTTATCCAGCGAAATCATCAAAAACTAAAATTAAAATAGCAGGAATCCCAAAAATCAATTTTTCAAAAGAAAATTGCATTTGTTGCATTTTTTTGCTGCAGAGAGGCCCTTAAAAACTCTTGAATCAAGCGGATATTCTCGCCCATTTTTCATCGTGAGCGAGAATTCCCAGCCAAATCTGGAGGAAACTGCCACATCAACATGAAAAAACTGCTCCTGCATTTTCTTCTAAACACGATTTTCTAGCCAAAAGTTATCATTGCGGTTCCCTTATTTTTCTGTCAATAATAATATTTAGACAATCTTTCAAAAAGTCGGTCATTCAAAAATCACTTAGCAAAAAAAATTTCAACTTGAAATCTAGTTTTCTTTAATCTGTAGCTATACATTCGTCGAGGGGGGAGAAAAAAAAGCTGTTTAGCCAAAAGCATTTTAATTCTGGGCTATTTTCTAATAAGCAATCTGCCTGGTGACGTGTGTGGGCAGCACCGTTTTTTCGCTAATAATTATGATTTTCGAATTTTCTTGCGAGATAGAACTTGCTCAAAGTGATGTTCTGCTGACACAAGAAAATGCTGTTTTTCTTTACTCAAGAAACCGCTTAATGATTTTTCTTTCAAGAGCACATTTGGCGAAGAAAAGAAAAGAGGACCAATTTTGAACATGAACTTTGATAAACTTTTTCAGAAAAAAAATCATTATGAAGTGGATTTCTTTAAGGGGGTAGATGTCAAGAAACGACAAAAAAATTTCGACTTATTTTGCGTAGGCAGGTATTCGGTTGCTGATTGGCCGGTCGGTCGACTCAAGGCTTCAGATTGGTTGAAAATTTCGACGCAAAATTTATCGAAATTTTAAGGGGGTAGATATCCAGAATCGCTATTTCGCTGCAGCTTTTTTGTCTAAAGTTTACATAGTGACACCCTTATTTGAATTTAAAATATAAAAGATTAGACCTTTCTTAATTTTTTCAGGGAAAAATCAGCTCTATTTGAATAAGGGTATCAGTCTTTTATGCAGAGTAAAAAGACGCAATTATAACAATTCTTCATTTTTCACCAGAAAAGCTCGAGTCGAAAATGACACGTTTCAGAGCTTTTTTTGTTTTACTTTCTGCTTCCGGAGCTAGTAACGAAAGGTCAACCCCCGGAATAAGAAGAAAAACAGATTATTTAGAGCTTTTTTCTGAAACTCTCTTTTTATCGCCCATTCGGAGTCATTTATCGTGTCATTATGCTGCCGCGGCCGCGAGATTACTAACCGCTTAATTGCGATAATTTCTATAAACTTTTGATTTCCGAAAAGAGCGAATAATCACTTGGAAATGACCCTACGCACGTGCTTTTCGAAAACAAACGGAATCAATTTGTGGCCTCTGAAATGTTCAAAGCAATTCACTGTCTATTTTGGCAGAGTAGAAAACCTGACTCAGGTTTTGAAGACCATAAATCAAAAGCCGCGCAGCGGCTTTTTTATAATCGAAGCCGCGAAGCGGCTTCGCCAGTATAACCATAACTCCTTTTTTTAATACTGGCGAAGCCGCTTTACGGCTTCGGTTATAAAAAAAGCCGCTACGCGGCTTTTCATTTATGGTCTTCAGAATCTTAGTTGGGCTTCCTTCATAGGCTGCTAAGCCTTGTTTTTTGGTCGAAAAAAAGAAAATCGAATTCATTGGTGCTCCCCTTAAAATTGTATGTTGAAATTCGTGTACTTCAAAATGTTGAATTTCCGCACTGGTAATAACGAAAAAGCCGCAATCCCTCATTCAACAATTTTGAATTTTCGCAAAAGCTGCAGTCTAAAATGTCCCCTGTTCTCTTTTTTTCGATGAAATTTGCGCTATTGAAAACGTGCTCCTTGTCACAAGGGGGAAGGGATAAGTGACAAGATTCAAAGTGGATTAAAAGAGTTGAAAATCCGAAACATAAAACATCAATTTCGTGGTTCGCGGGAGGCGGGAATACTGTAAAAGGGGAGAGAGTGTAATTCAGTACACGTGCAGGATGCAAAAACACGGTTCATGATACTTGAAAAGGCTCAGAATTTTGGAGCTTTTAAGACAACTGTTACCGTAAGTTTACTTTTCCGAAAATCAAGTTTGATTCGTTTTTTCCAGCAAGTTTCTGTTTTGTTTCGAAAATGTGCAATCTAATCAAAGAAAGATTAATTTTGATGAAATCAATTTCTTGCGCCGCCGGAAGAAATCCTCCCGTTGCCAGATTACTCCAAACACGATCCGTGCTTTAATTATTTTCTTGAACTTGCAATGAAAACTGTTTTGGTGCGGCGGAAGAGCTTTTCCGGGCTTTTTACTTCTGATTCTTGGGCAGAGATGGTAGTATAAATATCAAAATAGAGCCATTTATATATTTCGTGACAAAATATATAATTAAATACGGGAAAGGGGGAGATCTTCCCGAAATTATTGACTAAATATCCAATCTGACTGTTCATTTTTGCCAGAAGAACTCCAGAAATAAAAAGAAAGACAGTAAAAATTCATCATTTATATAAAAAAATCGACTCGTTCCGACACAAAAATCCAATTATTTCTGCAATTTTTTTATTTTTAATTTCCAACCAATCAGAATTGCTTATTCGAGCGGATGGCCAATCAGATTTTAGAAAAAAAAATCGAAAAAATCATGCGCTAATTTTTGTCTTTTCAAGTCAAATCCCCCTTTTTTGATGGAAAAATTGTGTTTTATTCAAAAGCAGTAATAACATAATTCACAAGAGCAATGAATAGTCCCACTACTCCGAGCCCAAACGTGAAGTTTCTCCTGTTGTCCATCTTGATTTCTTGCTCCTCTTCGGTCAAATCGTCGTTCGCGTCTTCTTTTCGTTCCACGACGAGAGAGATATCCATCATCCCGTAAATAATCTGAAGAACAATGCTCGTGGAGGCAAGAACCATTTTCAGATAGCGAATGTACAGCATGCAGAAATCTTTTCAAAAGGTGAAAAATAAGGATAAAAAAGAGATTTTCAACTTTAGCCAATCAGAGAGCTGATTTAAGTGGCCAAGCCGATCAGAAAGCCGATTTCAAAGGATCAGCTAATCAAAAAACTGATTCCAATGGATTAGCCAATCAGAAAGCTGATTTTAGTGGATAAGCCAATCAGAAAGCTGATTTTTGTTGATTGGCCAATCAGAAGGCTCTTTTTTGTTTTTCGACGAATCAAAAGTCTTGATCACTTCTCGATATAAGTTTTCAACCCTTTCCTTTGCTTCTTTCTTGCTCTCTTAGAATCTCAAAACAATTCTCAGAATCCATATCAATACAGTGATTGTAGCAAAACTGCAGCCTTTCAATCTCAGTCCTTCAAAATTCATATAATCAAAAAATCATTTCGAACTTACTTGACGGTGATGAAATTTCCAACAATCAAGGCGGAATTGAGCGCCTGGCTGTTCAAAGTGTTAATTTTATTGGCCGTTTTTGAATGGTTGTCGTTCCAGTCGTTTTCTTCATCGGATGAGGTTTCGTAGTCACTGTAGGATCTTTCTCTTCTTCTTCGTCGGTTTCGATCACGATCGCGCTCTCGATCACGTGATCTTCGATCTCGATCGTCTCTCGAACTTCTTCTTTTTCGATCAAGGCTCTCTAAAGATCAAAAATTAGATTTCAAAGTAATTAATCAATTCTAAATTTTTACTTTTTGTACCTGGAGATATTTGAGCAAGATTTGGGCACAAAAAATAATTCAAAAAATAATTAATTTTTTTCTTGAAAAATGACATTTTTGCGATCAAAAAGATGATTTTTTTTTGAATTAAAAAAAAATGAAAGAAATAAACGGCGTAACAATGAAAAATGTCATAAAAATTTAATTTTCCTAACAAAAGAGTTGCCCAACTCACCATATTTTGGATAATCCGCGTTGACGTTTCGTTCTCGTTCAAAGTTAAGAAGAGGTTCATCGCTCGCGTAATCGCTTCCAAAGCTTTTCTTCCTCGTCGCGGACGGACGTTTTCGCAAATCTGAAATAACGCAAGATTGAATTATTTCACAGATGTTGGCGCCGCCACGCAAGTTCGCTGATTCCAAAATAACAAAACTCGAAGTGGGGAGTTCACTTTTTTGGACTGATAAAAATAATCGCTTGTTATCGCCCCTTGCACCGATCAAAAAGAGCAAAAATAGTGAAAATGTCACAAGTATCGTATTTTTGCTTTTTTTGTCGAAATTGATGACTCATAGCAAACTTAATTTTCGGAAAATTTGGGTTAAAAAATGGGCCGAGTCGAACAAAAAATTTAATCAAATTTTTCGAATCGAAAAAAAAAATTTGATCAAATTTTCTGTGAAAATCTTTGGCCAATCAGAAGCCTTGATTTGGCCATCCGGCCAATAAGCAGCCAAGTAGCCGCCCACGCAAATTTTTTTTCAGATTTTTTTACCTCTTTGATAGTCAGATTCAAATTCGCCCCTCATTGAAACATAAGGCGGTGGAAGGTGCGGAAATTGCTTCTTGAATCCGTTCCCATGCATTGATTGCAGCTGCTTGGCCAGATTCTTTTCTTCACCAAACTTGGGCAGGTCCACTTCGCTTTCGATGGAAACAGTCGAAATTCTCAAATTTGGGTTTTTCTGAAAATCGAAAGGAGGGTCGTCGATTCTCAGTGGTTCAAGTTGTGTTACAGCTTCGATTGCATCGTCTCTCGCGGATTTTTGAAAGTCTTAAATTTGATGATTGGACAAAAAATTTGGAAAAAAAATTTTAAGATCTTGACTTACTGTTTGACTCAGAACGCTGATTTTTGAACCGACCGTGGGAAGAAATCGGGTAGCCAAGTTTGCTCTTACTTCGCGCTAGAAACGGATAAAAAGAAGAATCTCAAAATCCTAACCTCGAGGAATCAAGCTCCGGGAATCATCAGTATCAGAAGAATTCGCGAAGTTACTGTAATAATTTTTCTGAATCCGATCTCTTGAATCAACACTCTCCTCCTCTTCTTCGTCGATGATTGGAGCCTTCTGAACCTGATTCGGCTTTTTCAACCCGCTTCTGAACCAATTCACTTGTTCGACTTCGACGGAGTTTGGGGTGCCAAATTTGGTCTTTTGCCCGTTTTTCAAATAACTAGATGTGAAAAATTCGGCGTCGTCTGTTTTTCCTTGAGAGAATTTTTTCAATTTTTCCATCGGAAAACCGGAATTGGTTCGCATTATTTCCTCGCTCATTTGGACCAAAATGCTGAAAATTTGATCAATGACCAAATTGCCAAAAATTTCGCCAAAATTTGGTCAAAATTTGGTCAAAAAATCGAAAAAACTTACTTGGTGTTTTTCAGGTCGAATTTCAGATGATTCCCTGGGCCCCTCTGCTTCCTTTTCGGATCGCTCTTCATGTAAGTTACAGTGAAAAACTCTGTATCGGCAGCTTCTATTTGTGACATTTCCTGAAACTTGGAAAGCGCAGCGCTTGGATTTTTCTTTTCATCTTTTGGTTTATCCTTTTTCATTTCTACTTCTTGCTGTTTTTTCTCTTCAAAAAGCCTGAAAATGATCAATTTGGTTTTCAAAATATTTTTGACTATGGCAATTTGAAGAATGCAATAACTAAAAGTACGAAAGTTAGTTTATGATTTCTCATAAAATATTGACTACGTCTACAAATTCATATATACAAAAAAAACTGTCAAAAAGAATGATTATTTGACATTTTTAAGAACTTACCCTGTTTTTGGCATTTTAGGCAGCTGCCCTGTCAGGCTTTTTATTTTCTTCTCGATCATAGTAAAACAACTACGGTGTTTAGGACGCGAAATCTAAGGTTTCAAGTTTATTGTTCCATTTTAATTAGCTGCTCAGAACTTTTACGCGTTTTTTCCTGCCCAGGTTTTTATCACCTTTCTTTTTGTTTTACCGTTTTTCGCAAAATAGCGTTTTTACGGTACTCACCCTTTTTTCGCCATATGATTATTTATTCCTCCAATATTTCTCGACATAGTTGTTTTTTAAACGATTTCGGGTAAAATAACAAAACTCAAAAAATAATCTCAAAAAAGGTCAGTCAGAGAAGACGAGGGAAAAGTATTATTTTGTGACCTCACGTTTAGAAATGAGGCTCTTTTTCGAGAGGAAATTATAGAGCTCAAGAAATTTGTAAGGAGCTCAGACGGGTTTAAGCCTAGAGCACCACTCATTTTAAAATGGACGAGCAGATAAACAATTTTGTTGTTTTTGCCAATTACCAAACGATTTCAGTTTGTTAAAAAACTGCCGAAGCTCATTCATTGTACAGTGGGTTGCGCAGGTACTTGCCCCCTAAAGAGCGGGTGAAGGGTCAACCAATCCTGCAATCACTATGAGCGAGTCTAAAAAGGAACAATAGAAAAAGCGCGGGCAAAGTGACATAGACTATGTCACATAGTCAGTGTCGACCGTCACTTCTTTTAAAGAAATTCTAGAGATTCTTATATGACGAATTTTAAACATAATATATCCAAGAGTCTTATTCAATTCGTTCCTTTATTCAAAAAGTATATTAAATCGCAAATCAGAAGGTGCTTTCGCGCGATAAAGAGAGGAATGAAAGAATTGAAATGATTCCTCTATCAAAGGAAGCTTTTGCCAAGGAACATCTTCGATGTCACCATATTCAGTCTCCATTATTCCATGAACATCTTTATTGATCGAGCTTTCACCAGTCTCGCGGTCAATATCTTCGCATTTCACTCGAAATCGTGTAATTTGCCCTAACAGATATTTTGTATATTACAGAATAATAAAAGAAAAAAGAACAAAAACCTTTTTTCTTTATCATTAAATGCTCAGAGATAGGAAACTCTTTGACATCTAACGACTCATCTCCTACAATGAATTTTTCGATTTCCCAGTCTGCTTCAGTAATGACAAATTCGTGATAGTCTCGTGATAGCTTTGGTAAGTCATAATTTTTTCAATTAAAAATGGATAAAAAACAATATTAAAGACTTATTCTCTTAAAATTTACTGCTTTAGCTCCCCGAGCGATAAGTTCTAGTACAATTTTAAGCTCCATTATGGTTCCATTACGAATTCCGTCGAATTTTTCCAAGGGGTCCGGACCATAATAATGTCCATTCCCAGCTATTGCCCATCGATTCTTTTGGATTTCCGACTTTAATTCGACCTTCATCTCAAATAGATCAATTTGTATTTTATTAATCTCTTCTTGAGTTTTCGAGTTTCTCCAATCTCTTTTTAACTTCACCATGAGCTTTTCATTTTCCATTTTCATTAATTTTATATTGTCTTTTAAGTGGTTATTGTTCAATTGAAGATTATCAATTTTATCCGCCATTTCTTTTTTCTCATCCTGAAGAGTCTTCACTTCATCTTTCAGGTTTTTTATGGTGTTTTCAAATTCAAAGTGCTGCTTCTGAATCGTTGCTTGCATGTTTCCGTATAATTTCCAAAGAGGAGCGGTTTCTTGTGCGATCATTTTATCAATCTCGGATATTGATACACCTATGAAAATGACTTGTCATTTGGCTTTATCTTAAAGTTTTCAGCGATTCATCTTAATATGATCTTAAATTTAAATTTTCACCGTTTAAGGCTCTTACCAGAAGCAATAAGGGACTTATATTTTCGATGAATATTAACCTGCTTTAGAAGGTCCTTCATCAGGGTCGACCGGTGTCGTATCGGTTAATTCACTAAAGATGATTGTCGAACGCGGGCTCGACATATCTCTTTTCTATGGATCTGTTTGCAATAATAGCCCAGCAGCATCCAGAGAAGCAAATATTTGAATATTTTATTACTTTATTTACATTTTGAATGAATTTAAAAATGGAACAAAAAACATACAAATATCTTTACAATGAGCTTTACGATATGAATTAATCCGTACAATGCTATTTTTCTTGATTCATTGAAATATAATTAAGCGCGGGAAAAATCAGAGTGATATTAAAAAAAGAATTCATCGTCGTCTCTACTTTTTATTACACGTTTTTATATGGCCCTTTTTGCTGTTGACTGCTGCCCAAAATCGTTCTTATGATTCAAAGAACTCGTAACGCGCTTTATTAAAAATACGAAAGGGAAAGTAAAAACATCCGAGAAACGATCATTCAGAGACAAGAAATGAACAGATCTAGGTGGCAAAATGAAGGTAAAGCACATTTTTGATTCGTTAGTTATTTCAAGATGATTTGCCAGGGCCTCCTTTGATACCAAAAAAGCAAACTCACGATCCCGAAAAGCAGAGGCTCATGTCAAAAAATAACAACTCGAGCTCGGATGGAGAGGAAATGTTTTCGGGAATGAGGAGTAAGTTCCCAAAAATACCGGATTTTGACCAAATGGGAGATCTTGCGAAAGGAGCGAGTGATAAGTTGAGCGGCATTCCAGGAGCAGGTAAGAGCGCTTTCTTGTTTGTTTTTGCCACTTTTAGATAAATTTGGAAATCTTGCTGGAGGTCTTCAGGACAAACTTGGGCAATTCCCTGGGAGCGCTGCTCAAGCGGCGGCAGGACTGCAGGATAAAATGAGCGGAATCCCTGGAATGGGTAGGTTTTTCAAAAGAATGAAGAAATTTTTCTTTAGATAAATTTGGGGATATTGCTGGAGGTCTTCAGGATAAATTCGGTCAACTACCTAGTTCTGCTGCTCAAGCTGCTGCTGGACTTCAGGATAAGATGAGTGGAATACCTGGAATGAGTAAGTTCCTCCTGATTTTTTCTTCTTAAAATTTCCGAAGATAAATTTGGGGAAATGGCTGGAAACCTTCAGGACAAATTCGGTCAGCTACCAGGATCAGCGGCAGAAGCAGCCGCTGGATTGAAGGATAAAATGGGGAATCTTCATCCTGATACTGGTAATCGATCAATTTTGAGAGAAACGGGATGATCCCCATTGTAGGCAAATATGGAGATATGGCCCAAGATTTGGCGTCAAGAGCTACTTCTGGACTGAAAGACAGATTCAATCGAGATTCTGGCCGAGACTCAGGTAAAATCACGGGCTCTAGAATTTTTCTAAAGCTTTTTAGATTATCGCGATGGACGAAATTCGCAAAACTCGTCCATGCGCCAGAGACTTCACGATTTCGACGGGCCGCCAGATCGCAACCCGAACGAACCGTACAGAACTAAGAGCATGAACACTCTCAATTCTAGAGGGGAGTACAGCGAAAACACGACAGATCAAAATCGCAAGCACGGAAATAGAGTCAATACTCTCAATAGCCAAGCGTTGAATTCTGCCCTGATTGTTGGAAATTTCATTACAGTTAAGTATGTTGCTTGTTGAACCAAAAAGATGGCAAGATGGCTTTAGGGGCGAAATCGAGAAGATGGTGTTTTGCAGCTACTACTGCAAAATTGATACTTCGAAAGAATGCATGGACATGCTCAGAGATCAAGAACGAAGCAAAGGTACTTTTAGCGCGTGTTTTGGATCCTCTCGCTCATTGGCTCGAAAAAAATTTTTTTTTAGAATTTTGTGTCTTCTACCCAAGATTGCTGAAATTGGTTCTGGCTTCGGTCTCGATTTTGCTGCAAATTCTTTTTGGAATGATCGAAATTTCACTGCTCATTGAACAAAAGAAGACGCGAAACATGATTTGACGGAAGAAGAACAGGAGGAAAAGATGCAGAACAGAAAGAAATCGCTTTTTACGAGAGGTGTCATGGGACTTCTTATTGCCATGATTAACTATACCATCGCTGCGTTTGAATAAAAAGGATCTGTGAAATTCACGAAAGTATTTTTCAAAAGTTCGAGTTTTTTGGCTCCATTTGGCCACGAAAATCTCTCGGTTGACGTGCAGCCTGCCAAAGCTGCGGTCACGTGAATATCCAATGGAAGGGTTCCGTGGTTGACCAAACCCGAAAACCGAGAAATTTTCGTTTTCGAATTTCTATACTGAAAAATTTGGCAATAATTCATGTTCAAAATAATCGATTTTGAAAGAAAGATTCTTCAAAATTTCCTTTTGACACCCTTATTTCTTCAAATAATTGCTCATAACGGGCTGATGTTATCTTTTGAGAAAAACTTAAGGGTATCTACATTTAAATTTCTGAAAAAATATTTTTCAAAATCTTAAATTTTTCAATATTTTCCTGAAAAATTTATCAAAAAAATTATCAATCAAGCTTTTTTTTGAGTCTAAAAAGAAGTCACCTTGCGTCAAGTACGGGTAGGTGCTTCTGTTACGGATAATTTGGGTATATTTTCAAGAGCGGCCGGATCTACTCGCGAAAAACGCTTACTTAACTTTCGTGCTCAAGATGAGCCCCTAATCGCCCTGGCATCAAAAACGTGGTTCAGATAAGCACAAACACACTTTTTCCAGCGAATGTTTTTTGAGAAAGTTTCAGCTGGATTATATTGCGAGCTTCAGACAGCTTTGACAAAATATACAGATTCGAGTTTTAGAAAAAGAAAAACAGATGGAGTACGATTTCTTACTAAAAATTGTCTTATTATCATTTCGGGTCCTCTTTTCGGCTCGGCAAGCTGTGTAGAAAACCTGAGTCAGGTTCTGAAGAGCTCAATTAAATAGCCGCATGTCGGCTTTTTTTGATGACGAAGCAGCTCCGCGGCTTTCATCTTAAAAAAAGCCGCTACGCCGCTTTTCATTTGAGCTGGTCAGAACCTGACTCAGGTTTTCTACACAGCTTGCCGAGCCAAAATTTTAGCATTGATTCTTCCTTATCATTCAAAACAATCGTTCCTCGTTGGATTAATTTGATCGCCCCGTTATTTGACAAATCATGTCACTTCTAGTTCCATCATCTGCCGTTTCTTTCAACAAATAACTTGTCATTCTTTCCTCCGCCGAGGTCTTTCTAACGCTCTCCTAGTACGTGTCCCCGTTCTTTGATTTTCCTGAGAACTGAAGTGTTCAACTGCGGCCAGTTGAACATGAACAGCGGCTAGGAGAATTGAATCACAGTGGTTGAAAATTCTAGTTTTGTCGACATAAATAAAAGAAACCGGGAAAAGGATAACATTTTGAGGAGAACGGAATTTTCAGAAAAAAGGGCTTTCTGGGCTTTATTTTATTTTGGATTAAAATTTTCTCACTTTCAATTTTTCGCCAAAATAAATAGCAAAACTTGCGGAGCGGAAGAAGTCATAATATCGATGTTTGTATCAAGCTCGGAGCCGCTTAGAACACGGATTAAGACAAATTTTCGTGAATATTTATATTTCCTAAATTTCGCGTTGCCGGAATTTTCCAAGAAGATGACTTTTCTGCTCAAAAATCTTCTTTCTAGCTTCTGTTATCGGTCAATTCGACGTTTTTATGACGAATTTTTAGATTGAAAGTTTTTCTTATCAGCGTTTTTTAGAACCTTTCTTGCTTATTATCGCGTCAGTTATTCATAATCGTCAATCTTTTGGAGGCAAAAGCCCTTTTCGCCGAAACGTAACAAAATCAGCGAAGCCGGGAACGTGGCCATTAATCCGCTGATTGGCTCGTAATCCGAATGAGCCGAGAGATTGATCCCTCGGACTCGAGAGAGGTCGCATAGCTTGATCCAATGGGAATCAAGAAGGGATCACTTTGAGTGGACGTTTTCGCAGCTGAAAGGAAAAGGGAAGTGAATTCGCTCGAAAGTGTCATGAAAAAATGTGTGAAAAAATCTTCATCGCCCGGGAAAGTTGGAAAAAGAAGGCTTCTCTCCATAGATTATTGGACATTGTGACGTGAATTTTTGACAAACGGTCGCCCTGAGTTATAATTGGTTTACGACGCGCTTTAGAGAATCTGAGCTCTATTTGCATTGATTCAGCGTTGTACTAAAGATTGGATGATTAAGATTTTATGGGGATAAAAATAATGGGAATAGACTTTTGTGAATGCAGCACTATTCAGAATAGTCGATTCTTTTCATTAATGCTGAAAGAAACAGAGAAAAAATTGAAATATGGAGAAGCCGAATTTCCAAGATGAAGGTTTTTTAAAAATCGAAGAAATTCGTAACCTTCGAGAAACTCGACCACCAACACATCCTCCAACAAGAGTTCCTCCGCCGCCTCCACCTCCTTCACTATCAGCAAGATCATCGCAACCGGGAGCTCCACCACTAATTCAAAGTTTGAACAATATAATTTTGAGAAAAGTTCCAAATGCAATCCTAAATCATCGGATTTCGCCGCCGCTACCAGCTGCTCAACACAGTGGCCCGCGTAAACGAAAAGAATTTAGTAATATGCAGATAAGACTACACCTACGAAATTGTACTAAATTGACTCCAAAACCTCCAAAACCTCCCTGCGCTGGTCGACTTCCTCCCTCACCATTTTTATCACCCGAACAACGAGCAGAAATTGAGAACATAAGCGACGTAAACCAGCATCTTGCCGAAGAAATTCTCGACCTTCCCGGACCACCGCCACCATCTCCACCTAGAATTCGACCACGACCGCCTTTAATTCCACCTCCTCCATTTAGAGCCGCAGAGTCAATTAACAGAGTTGATTCATCATTGCCCGAACCATCTCCCTTACAAGAAGAATTAACAGAAGAAGAAGAACACGATACTAACTTCTCACAAAATATCTTTCAAAGGATAAGAAATGGAGCTAGAAATGTTTTAGAAAAATTGAGAATGTAATACAACAATATGTGTATTTCCTCAATAAATCATAGAAGCGAAAAAAATATTTTTGAGTGAAAAAAAGTGCTATTTACAAGCCCAAAAGCCACCTGAGCGTAATTGCAGGGTAAACAGTATTGCCGTTTTTTTCGCCAAGGTCAACAAAAACGCAAGCCGAGTACATTCCATAATAGTAGAGAAATGGGAAATTCAAGTTGCCGAGAAAACGTCGAAAATTGTTTTTCATCATGTGGAGAGAGACTTTCTAGCTGCAGGGAAAATATTAAATGCCAAGAAATAACTTGCAACAGGCCAACTTGCGAGATTCCTTCAAGTAGTTGTAGAGAAAGATGCAATTCAGAGGAATCGACTGTGAGTTCTTTTGACGATCCAGGAATGCGATCGAGAGAAAAATATTTATGATTATGGCATAAATGCTATCATCGCAAAAAAAAAGCCAATATTGACAAAATCCGGCTTGATTCCCAGAAAAAGCCTGAACCACCTGGTTTCGTGAATGAAGGGCTTGATTATATAGCTAGGCTCGGCAACCTGAAAAGAAAACCTGAGTCAGGGTCTGAAAGATCAAAAATGAAAAGCCGAGTAGCGGCTTTTTAAAACTAAAGCCGCGAAGCGGCTTCCGAAAACTATTATTCAATCTTTTTTAAAATTTCTGGCCGTTTTGATCTTTCAGACCAAGATTCATGTTTTCGACTCAGGTTGGCGAGCCCAGTTATTTAGACGAAGTTACTCAAGACATTGCTGGAGACATCGAACAAATGCCAGAATCAAAATCAAACGAAAAATGCATCATTCTTTAGTCCAAATTCTGAAAATGAAATGAATGAGAAATTCATTTTTTGACCATTTATCTCTCTCTTCCCGTTTCCTGACAAAAATTTTATTTTCGTAAAAAAATAAACTACAGAATCATCATTTTTTCTATCAGAGAAATGAACTCGCGAGAAAATTTCAAATAAGCTGCTTCGAGCACTTGAACACTTTGTCACCACCAGATTTTCTGCTCTTTTTTTCGCGCGAAATTCTTTTAAAATTCTCGTTCATCAAATCTTCCCAAATCTTTCTGTCTAAAAAAAAAAAAGATAAAAATGCAAAAATGACTTTAAGAAGAACACTCTTTCTTTCTGAAACGTGCAGCTGGGCGACCCTCTCCAAAGAGTCAAATTCTTGGGTCACTCGGGCTCATGTCATTTTCACAAAATCGACTTGAAATTTTACTTTCTCGCATTCCGATGTAAGAAAAGAAAAAAGCCTTTATTATCGTAGGTGACTTATTCTGGCGATCATTCTAAAAATAGAGCGCTAAGGTTGACCCGGGCGATACTATCGTGAACCGCAATCGTAACGTTCTACCCAAACATTTCCGTAAAAAGAGCAACCTTTTCCCGTTTCGATTCGAAGAAATTCAAATCAACAAAATGGTTTTTTTCTTCAGAATTTGATTTTCTAGCGGAATAATCCGAAGCGAAAAATCAAAGTCAGGATTCTTAAGAAAAAAGCCGAAAAGCGGCTTTTTGAGAAAAACCCGAAGCGGCTTCGCCAAAATTGACCCCTAATTTCGACTCGAATTTTGGCGAAGCCGCTTCGCGGCTTTTTTTTTGAGGAAAAAAGTAGATGAGTCATCGTTTCTTTTAAGGTGCCCCCCTTCGTTAAAACCCTTTATCTAGCCATTTTTTTCGATGACGTAAGAATAAGAAAAAAGCCGATAAAGTGAATTAAATTTGATCTGGCTAGCTCAAATCCGGTTCAATTTGCGAGGACTTTTCGTTTAGAAAGAACGGGCCAGCAACGAGCTAAGCTCTTTTCATCCTCCAAACAAAATTTTGCTTACTCAAAGAATGGCAAGTTCGGATTTAGAAAATTCAGAAAAAAGAAAGGCTCGTAATTGTGACAAATTTGAAATGCCCGTCGTCATAATCGAGGCATTTGTCAAATAACTGGGGTCATAAGTGGCGACAAAGCTGGAAATATTTCAAAAAAAAATCAATTTCGTGAGTTTTCATGAAAAAGCTCAAGATCATTTTTGACTCAAAAATCAAAGCACAAAAAGTCAAAACTTTGAAAAAAGAGAGAGAAAGTTGACTTTTTGTTTGAAATTCGGAAACCGCGTCAAGTGCAGTCTGTGGGGAGTATTTGCTCACATTGTGCGGTTTATGCATACTGGATAAGCTTCTTATCAGGGGCAATTTTCGAAAATTGCAGGTTTCTTTGATCTCTTTGAGGTAGTTTCGTTTCCTATCGCGCGGAGGGATGAAATAATTGGAACTTACTGTAGCTCTTAGATTATATTATCGACATCATTTCGAGACCCAGAAATGTATTTATCGACAATTTTTAATGAAAAAATTGAACAAGACGGAAAATTTTTTTTCTGAAAAATCGCATAATTACCAGTAACGAAAAAAGTCATTTTTCCTTTTTGAATATTTTTATTCCCAAGATAATCCAAAACCGCTCCCCACCTGTCTGCGAAACCAAGCATTTTTTGTAACCGCCTATTATGGAATCAAGCATCGATGGAAAAATATCTTGCCTTTTGGGATTCGAGGAAGCCGCGACCGAGAAATTCTGTGCGAGCAAAAACCACGCCGCGCTTGTTCGAGACGTGTTCACAAAAACGCTGCTCTCGCGACTGGTATTTTAATCAAGACGTTCAGAAAATGACTCCAAGATTTGGCCAGCTTGTTCCGATGAAAAATTGTTTATTGAACTAATCACAAAGAAAATTATTTTTCTCAAAAAAAATTATTTTTTGATTAAAATTTTTTGTTAAAAATATTTTTTTAGATATTTATTAAAAAAAATAATCGATTTTTTTGATTTTTTTTCTGAAAATCTACCTTAAAATCTTATTACCAAACAGGTTTTACCCTCAAAAAAGGGCTAACCATAATAGATTAAAGATTTTAAAATAAAGGGCTTAGAAAGTAATCGCCCACCGCGGCGTGGCTTTTTAAAGTGGATCCGAAGCAGTGTTAGAAGAAGATGTACGGTCGGTTATCACGTTTTAACTCGGTATTATCTGACTCAGTCAGCAAGAAAACAACAAAACTACTTTTTTGCTTCAAAACTTTCTTCATCGCTCATTTTTTCGTTTTTTTTTTGGCTGCGCTACACTTCCGTTGAATGAGCTGGAAGATAAATCGATTCAAGATGGCAGTGTGCTATTTTTTTGTATTCCTTGGATTCCAGAAACCAGTTTCTCAAGAATGAGGGAAAAAATTCCGAAGCGATGGGATAATTACAGTTGCACCTTCTAGTTTCTAAAGACGCTGGATTTTTCGATGGATGGGCGGGATTCCAAAGTAAAGATTCTCTGAAGACTCAGAGAAAAGGATACAAATGCAATTCATTTTCCCATTTTATGAGGCTCTGGTCATGGCGCCATTCTCTTTTTCTTTTCTCAAAGCTTCAACAGCGATCATTTTTAGAGAAAATATCGATTTTTTAAATAAAAAAAAACAATTTCATAGTAAGAAAATGGATACTTCAATTACAGAAAGAGATAAAGGTTAATCATTTAGTCATGAATTTTCTGACAATTATTTAGAAACATGGGAAAAACAAGAAAGTTTTGGATCTTCGCTCACTGAAATTTACCGAAAAATGGAACTTCTATTTAAATCTATGATGGAGATAATGGACTCACTAATGGAGCTGAACGATGTTTTAGACGAATTCTACAATATTTTGGATTTTTTTTAAAGGTTTCTTTTTTCTTGTGATGAAGATTTTTCTCGACCCCATAATTAAATTAATTTTGTTCGAAAATTATGAAGAAGGTATGAATTCAAAAGTTAACTCTTTAACAATAATTAAGAATACTCATGGGAAACAGAAAGAAGATGCTTTCGATTCGACCTTTGCCCTCATGTATCTGCAGATGGCCGTTTCTTTAATGTTTTAAGACAATTTCCAGCATTGAATTTTATCGGCGATCTGAACCGTGATCTCGCTCAGGAAATTAACGAGCTTCAAGCAGACGACTTTCTTACTCGAGAAACAGAACAACGAAGGGGACCTGTCCCACAAAGAGCAAGATAAATTTACATATTTCTGCATGATTTACATATTGTACAATAAAATTTTCCTTTATAATTTTATCGCATCTTGAATCCTTCAGTTTTTGCTCTTGTGATGCTACTTAATTGTAATACAAGATATTTAGCTTAAAAGTAAAGGTGCAAAACACCGTTTCGTGGTCTGAAAACATCTCCCTCATTTTTGACCTTTGCGCATTCCGAGGCTTTCTAGAATTATGTTGCCACGCAGACGCGCTGATCCTGGATAAGCTTTTGCATCTTGCGATTATCACTCTTTCTCATAATTATCATTCACCTTGACAAGCATGTCAAATGTCGTTGCGTCACATGTAAATGTCATTTTATTCAAACAATTCTGTACAGCTCAACTGGTAAACCGAATCGGTTCACGAGAATTTCTGGAGAGCCAGTTTTCCAAATGCTCTGAATTTTGTGATCTGACTTGGGTGCTTCGTGGTCGTGTTGTTCTTTCATCAAATGTCGACCAAGTTGTTCGATGTTTTTTTGCTCATCGAGGGAGATGACTTTCAGGATATCCTTGATTTCATTCCTAAAAATGAAGAATAACAAAATTCTATCAAATTTCAAAAAATTTTTTCGCTGAAATTTTCAACCAATAAGAAGCCTTGATTTGGCCAACTGCCCAATCAGCAGCCAAAAATCGCCCACGCAAAATTTTTGTCGGTATAAAATAACCTCTTTCTTTAAGGGTCTCACCTCATAACTCTGTATCCGAATATTTGAGGAAAAAGAACGAAATAGAGCCCGAAAACTCTCATTTTTCAAAAATGACTGTATAAAAATTCTTCAGTAAAGTCGGTTTAAATAGCCTCAAGCCATCGGAATCGACATCTGTCTACCATTTTCTATTCATTTGACAGCTTTATACCTATTTTAACGTGATGACAATTTTAGTCATACTGTACCAGGTCACCAACTTCCTGAAAATAATGTCTCAAGAAGCAACCATTTTTAGAAAAAAAAAAAGATTTTCGAACAAGCCAATTTGTCGCCGATAGCAACGTGCGCCCACAGAATTGATTCACTTTTTTTTTCGAGTACCGCGAAGTAGATTTATCAGACTCAAAAAGACTCTTTCAGTGTCGGGTCGAAACTTGAATCCGCGACTGGTTACGATCCATTTTTCATTTGTGGTTCATCGATTCGATCGATCAAAAAAGCCAAATCTCATTCTTTTTTCCTTTTTCTTGAAATTCTAGCGACCAGACCAAAAAGGAAGCATTCCAATGCATAAAAAATTGCCGCTCAATTCGCCTTCCTGATCATCTAAAACTCTAGCCAAGCAAATTCAATCGTATGTAAAATTCTCTTGCTAACCAGATACTTCCGCCCGCGCTCCATGGCTCTAGAAATATTTGTTTACCGAAAAAACCTGCTTGGGCGAATAAATAACCGGCGAAATCAGCAGCTGCTCCGAAAAATTCCGATCAATTTTCTCCACCCCAATCAAATTTGAATTTTTCGGAAATCTGTGTTTCGCAAAATCATGTTTTTTTCGCTAAAAAAATCGGGAAAAAATATTAACGATTTTGTTTTACACGCTCCAAAAAGTAAAAGTTACTTGGTATAATAAACTGATATGTATCGCTCGTTTTCAATTTAAACAAACCCAACTCAATGAGCTCATTTATCAGCGAGAAAAAGCGCGGCCCCTTTTTGACCAGCATTTTGACACGAAGGAACATGAATTAATATTGATTGATGGCAGATTCTTCTCACGTAAAACACGAGTTTGTAGGAGACAAGAACATGGAATTTCGACTAGTTAGCTACTTACTAGTTTTTAAAGACTTTAAAGATTTTTTGAATAAAATTTTTACAAAAATAAAAAATTTCGAAATTTAAAATTTATTAAAATAATCTTAAGAATTTTAATATAATTTTTTTAAATGAATTAAAAAAAAACTTTCATTTCAAGTTGCCAATTTTACAGTTTCCCTGTCATCTTGGATCGGATAAGACCCGTTGGACGCACCAACCACTTATTTCAGCTGATCCGTGCTTTGGTATTATCCCGTTTATCCCTTCCTGCGGTCAGAATCGCATGTCCACTGGCCATTATCGAGCCGCGAAAATTCAAACAATGTCTTTGTTTGCGTGGCTCTTTTTTATCGAGAATGAGGAAAAATAAATGAAAAAGCAAAATTTTTCTCCTAAAAGGGTCTTTTCAAATTTTTTTTCTGACATTTTGATATTTTGACTCGGAAAAAGCTGAGTTGTCGCGACAGAAACGGGCTCTAAAAATGGTCTCCAGAAATAATTGGAAATTGGATTAGCCGTGAGTGGAGGATAAAGAAGCTGGCAACAGACCTTGACGTAGACATTCGATATTTTCTCAGGCGCGGATAAGCCAGCTCCGGACCAACAGTGATTACCACGCTTGGCCTTGCGCATCCGTGAGCCAAAGACTTTTCAGGTTACAGTTGTTGCAAAAAGAGACACAAATCTGACGGGACTTGCTAATGAGGCTCTTTGCTGATGATTTGTCTTACATGAAAAAATTGACAGAAAAAGATTGCAGTGCGATTAGTCGACAGTTTTGTCCAGAACCGGAGGCCGATGGGGTCGATACTCTTACTCTGCAAAAGTGAAGAAGATATCGTCGAAGTCCTAGAAGAAGCGAAAGGCTTCAAGTGGAAAGACAGAAAATGCAGAGCTTGTTTGAATTTTCCTGCCGATTTAACTGCTCGTTTAAATGTATGCGTGAATAAATAATGATCAGATTTTCGATCGAGAGCGAAATCAAGGAAGAGTTTCGAAATTTAAGAGAAGAAAGCTTTTTATAGATTTTTAAAGAAAGACCATAATATTTTGAAAAAATGAACAAACTGGATTTTCATTTTCGACGACAGAACTGACAAAATGGTAAATAAGCATGTCTCATATTCGTATTTAAAGTAAGTCTTTGATTGCTCAAAACATGCAATGAACAGTGTTAATTATTGTTCTTAGGGTATATTACTACAAGAAATGATTGCTAAACAAAGAAATGACAAGACAAGAGTATACAGAATAGTTTGAAGTTGCATTGGAAAATGTTGTAGTTTCAGGGGTTGTTTTTGTAGACGGATTAAATTGAGTTGTTGATTCGTCAACTCGACCGTTTGTCGCTGTAACTGACATAAAAAGCGATTTCACTATTGTTTTTATTTACCTAATGGGGAAGTTGAAATCTCTGCTTCTGTGGTTTTCCTTGTTGTTGTCAACGAATCGGCTTGAGTAATGCTTTCTGTTGGCAAAGTTGTCTCTAGAATCGAAGATGTCGAGGATGTCGAAAATAGCGTTTGAGAGGTTATTTTCGTTGCTGTTGTTGTTGTTCTCATCGTTGTGGTTGTTGTTGTAGTTGTAGTTGTCGAAGTTGTGGTCGTCGTTGTCGTCGACGTCGTTGTATCTGCGAAAGAAACAGAAAAGAGAAAAATAAGTAGAATTTTCATCATTTTTTCGATCGAGCTGAGGCCGCTTTTCTCAATTAAAATTATCTACTGTGGCGACAATTGTAAGTTGATTGAATGCGGATGTTTCTTTAGTCGACTTATTCTTCTCAGCGGAATCAGAATATTTGACAAATGGTCGACTTTCAAAGTGCTCAAAGTCGCTATTTACATTTCTAGCTTTCCCGATCCCATTGAAAAAAATCTTCGAGAAGAGCAATAAACTCACATGCTTCCTTGCAATCTGACGCTGTAATTACAAAAGTCATAGGTGCAAAATGTCAATAGAATTCCAATAACCCCAAAGTGCGATATCTTTTTCGCCTCAAATCAGAAAAAGAAAAAAGGCGAAAATGAAGCTGATCGCAGGATTGATCCCGCTTTTGACAGCAAGTGACAAGGAATTTATCAAATGCTACGAGTGCTTTCACCAGCTGTTTGAGAGCGGAATGGAGGTCGGATCGGCTGATTGTTTGAATCCCGATGAAAAGTAAGTTTTGCGTGAAAAAGGCAAAATTGAATTATTAAAAAATAAGTTATTAAATTTTTTCAATTGAAATTAAATTTTTAGCACAAAAGTGTCCGAAAAGTTGCGATACAAGACGCACACCAGCCAAAGTACTGGAAAAGTCTACACTTTGCGAACCGATTGTCAAGCAGTCAAAGGAACTGGTTACGAAGAAGTGATTCTGCCAAACGGAGAGCCGGGATGGAATCACTTTACATTCGTCGAGCGAGGGCATTTTGAGTATCTCCAGGGCGCGCCAGGTTTGGTTTTCTCTTCCTTGATTTCTTCACTTTCATTTTTCAGGATACGATTACGAGGGAAAAGTCGACGGAGCTCTTCACACTCTTGAGCTTCATTCTTGCGGTTCTGACGTTGATGAATGCTCCAAAATGGTGACTTTTCCGATCCAAGAGCCAGAATCATTCGATTTTGCCGCGCCACCAACCCCTTCTGATCCCCATGGTCAGCCTTGTTACAAAGTGAGTTCAGCTTTTCTTTTGTGTTTCTTCATCTTCTTTAGTGCGAAGGATGGTCACACTTTGAAGAAGATTCTCAACAATGGGTTCCCAGCGAAGGTAAACGGAGTTTTTATTATCGAAATTCAGAAAAAATTTTTTCAAGATTTCCGATTTTGCGAAGCTGCAACAAATATGCAAAACAATATCACCGACTGCTGGGGAACTTGCGAAGTTTCTCGACAATCATTTGCAGTAAATTCATCTCAAGTTGTTATTTCATCAACGAAAATTTTAGTACAAAGGCCAAGAAATGAGCCGAGAAGTTCATCGATTCTGCAACAATGGAACTGAAGGAAGCAACACTCAGAAAAGTAAAAGAATGAAAATCCTCATGTCATCTTTTCATCACTTTTTCAGACACACATTTGAACGAATTCCACCACCAGAAGGCGGACGCGAGCATTATGTGCCAATACGACTTGTGCAACGAGGATTTCCTGCCAGGTGGATTTTCTGTCACTCAAATTTCTGCGACTCTTCTTGTCGTGATGATTGGCTTGTTTTACAATTAAAAAATGATTGAATAAAGGAGTATTTGAATATTCTAAAAAATTGATTCAAGCGTGAAAGGGTCATTTACAAGACAAAATACCCATGAATATCGATTTTTATGTAAAAATTTGATATTTTAAGAAATAACTAAAAAGCGATGAATTTGAAAAGACCATAATTTAATGAAAAATTTTAGGAAACAGAAATTTTTGAATTCGTAATTTATTGACTTTCTTATTGACTTTTTATTGACTAGGTGATCAAGGAATCTATGAACCACTACACGGTTGAGCAAGATACAATTTCTCCTTATTTTCTATCAATTTTTCTAGAACAATATTTGAAATCTCATCTTCTCTCCCATAAAATGAAGAGGGCCCTTGGCTCAAGAGCAATTTGAAATCGTTATTACTCATCTGAGCATTTTGAAATTTTGCTTCGCCCTAAGCAAACGAAAGACTACCAGACACAATCAAAAGGAGAAACTCTCTACCCTCGGGCATCTTCAAAAAAAAACAGAGAGGAAATAATGGCGCAAGTACTGGTCAAGCGCAAGGAAATTGTGAACTTTGTCACTAGGTGAGTCATGTTTTTTTTATTGAAAATAGAAAAATCAAAGAATGAATTTCTAGGGTTCTTCGGAATGCTGGAGCTAATGAAGGAAAGGTTTTTTGAGTCAGAATGGCTGGGCTCGAAAATACGACGTAGGGTGGGAAAAAACCTAAAATGAAAAGCCGCGTAGCGGCTTTTCTGAATACGAAGCCGCAAAGCGGCTTCGCCAAAAATTTCAAATAGATCTTAAATTAAGATAAAATATTACTTAATTTTAGATCTATTTGAGAGTTTTTGCGAAGCCGCTTCGCGGCTTCGTTTTCAAAAAAGCCGCTACGCGGCTGTTCATTTTAGCTCTTTTCACACCCTAAGTCAGATTTTCTTGGGTTGGAGAAAATAAGGGAGCTTGCCATTTTTTTTCAAATTGAGCAGTTTAAAATAACGGACCGTTATTAACGGCACGGGTTTATCTCCCTGACTCGGATAAAAATGAAAATATATCCCGTCCGTCAAAACAAATCCCGCTCCATTCTCGACTCAATGTGAGAAAGGGGATCAATCGGGCTTTTGACTTTTTATTTATTTGGGCGGGCAGCTACCGGCCCTGACTTGCAAATGGGATAACACGTTGGACCTAATCCGGCCAGTCCCGGAACATCTCTGACGCGGGTTAGAAAACGAAAATGACAGTCACTTTCGACTCAAAAGAAAAAATTAGGGGATAGCATCTGGAACCGACAAAAAATTGTCGACAAATTTTGCGTGGGCGGCTTCTCGGCTGCTGATTGGTTGGTTTGCCGAATTCAGGGTCCTGATTGGTTGAAAATTTCAAAGCTAAATTTGTCGAAATTTTTGTCGTTTCCAGATGCCGGCCTAAAAATTACTGTAGTCCAAATTCTAGCGGAAAAAAATTCAAAAACACGTAGCGCTCTTGAATTTTTGGATCGAATTGAGATTTCGATCAAGAGACCTTTTTTATCCACGTGGCTAGAAAATATCCTGTTGGACATTTTAAAAAGCTAATTTATGACATCAAAAAACCTCTGAAAAGCGGAATCGTTACAAATGGGGGAAGTACTTGCGCATGCCGATTACAGGGGACACTTTTCTCACGGCCTCAATCGACTGGAAATGTACCACAACGGTAAGAAAATCACTTTTTTCGGTGGAAAAATAACAGTCCAATTTTTCTCCGGACTGCTCCAAAAAGAAAGCTCAGAAAAAAAATATTATGATTCGCGTTTCTAATCAGCCACAATTTCCAACCGCCAGGAGGATCATTTTTTAGATATGAAAGTTGGCGTCATCAAAAGCTCATCCGGAATCAAACCAGAAATCCTCAAGCCATGATTTTACCAATTTTTAATGCGAGATTCATCATAAAATGCCCACGTCGATTTTAAATAATAATATAATTATTTAAGGACCCCCACGTCAGCTCATCCCTTCGAAAAACGGAAATTTTAAAAAACACCATATTTTTGGTTCTTTCATGCGTCCTATGGTTAAAATTGCTTCAAAAACTTGATATGAGTAATTTTTACCAAGAAAAATCAATAGTTTCGCGGCGAAACTTTCGCCATAATTAGGGCAAAAAGGTCAATTTTTGGCGAAAAGCCCAATTTTCAAACGCGATTTTAAGGGTATTAGAGTCGAGATAGAACCCCAAAAATGAAGCCTCAAAATCGTTTTTTGACCCGTAGAATCCATTTCAGTAGTATGACCTCAAAATTCGGCCAAGTATAATTTGATTTTTTAATTTTTCCTAACCCTACTCCTAATCCGTGGGCTTCGCCCCCGGGACCCCCCTGGGTAAAAGTACGTAGTTCCTAACCCTAAGGCCTAACCTAGGGGGCTTCGCCCCCTTGGAACCCCCCTAACACTAACCTTAAATGAGGGTCGCCGAATTTTGAGACCATACTACGTCCATTTCTAGAGTCAAAATTTTGATATTACGAAATTTGAATTTTCAAAAAAAAACTGACGGGGGGGGGGTCCAATATATCTTGATCTTATCGAGCATTTGTCTTTCTACATATTCATAACTTAAAAGCGTTATATTAAAAAATAGCTGATTGTCGATAAAAATTTCAAAATAGAAATCATGAAAACAGGAAAATGCAGCAACTGCTTGGGTCGATGGAAATGGCGTTCTCGGAACAGGAAAGCGGAATCAACTCATTTTCTAAGCGGTTTTGAAACCCTTCAATTTCCTCCTTCGGGCAAACAAATCCGCAGCGAGCTCTTCTCGATTCCGGCAAAAAGTTACTGCTGATTTTTCGATGAAATTGGCGATCAAGAAAGCGAAAGAATCCGGCATCGGAATGGTCGTTGCAAAAGGAGCAAATCATTATTCAATCGCGGGGCACTGGGCTCTGATGGGGTCAGGTTCAAGAAATTGATTCTAGCGAGGAATGTGGTTAAGGCGGAGTCCGACCGTTTTGCATTTTTTTAAGAGACGGGGCTTGTTTAGACTTAATTTGCCATGCACGGAAATTTTTATTATTTTCGAAAAATTTTCAATAATCAAGTTTTAAAAATGACTCATCAGTTGTCTCCCCTGTTTTATCAAACCATCCCAATTCTGATCGATGGTCACTTCAAAGTGCATTTTTTTACCGCGGCCGTGAAACAACACTCCAACCACGTTTCATAAAACAGCATTATTGAACCAGCAAAAGCGGAAAAAGAAGGACTCATCGGAATGTCCTTCACCAACACCTCTCCCAAAACATATCCAACTCGTGGTTCGGCCCCGTCTTTGGGAACCAACCCGATTTCTTTCTTTGCTCCGGCGGAGGGAGATGATTACTTTGGTCTGGATATGGCGACGACAACAGGAAAACCGGTAAAAACCTATCATTTTATAAGAAAAAAGGGGAAAAATGAGTAACCGGGAAAAAAGTTGCGCTTGGGAAAATTGAAGTTAATCAACGAAGAGGCATCCCAATTCCAGGAAAGATTTTTATCGAAAACAATTATAAAATCCTCGAAAGTTTTTTCGGCTCGTTTTCTTCTCGGTCAATCAGAAGCAAGTATTTTTTCTCTCAGCCAATCACAGTCGAGCAAATCCCTCAAGAGCCCCGAATCCCCCTTCGCCTACCCTAGTTTATATATAAAGCTTTCAATAGTGACACCCTTATTTAATGAGTCATATTGGCTAGGGTAGGCTAAGGGGGATTCGGGGCTCTTGAGGGATTTGCTCGACTGTGATTGGCTGAGAGAAAAAATACTTGCTTCTGATTTGTTGAGAAAAAACGAGCCGAAAAAACCTTCGAAGATTTCACACCCTAGTCTTTATTCTTTGGGACCTTCCAAAACGTCGAAATTTTCGACTCGAAATTGTATGATCAGATATCCATGTTTCCAAAACACGTGAAATTTTCATGTTACCAACTCATGTCTCTTTTCGGATAACACGTATTTTCATCATCTTCAAAATTTTCAATTTTGCAAAATCTTTAAAGACGGTTGGGGAACGAACAAAGTCGGCGACGTGACAAACGACGCAAATCTGTGCATGAAAGAAGGCGGGCTCCTTCCCCTTGGCGGAACTGAAGAGACAGGGGGCTACAAAGGCTTTGGCTTGTGCATGATGGTCGAGGTGCTTTGCGGAATCCTGGCGGATGGGAAATATGGATCGAATGTGAGAAGATGGGGTTTTCACGGGGAAAACGACGAGGAAGCGAATTTGGGGCAATGTTTTATGGCAATTGATCCAAGGTAAAAACAAAAACAAGCGTTTTTGAAAGAAAATTATCGAAATCGTTGACCCATATTTTGGAAAAGAAACACGTGTCGTTACCTTAAGCCCATGTTCGACACAAAACATTACGGGCCCTCTAAAGTCATATCCGTTGTCTTAAAAAGTAGGTTAAGTCTGGTTTCAAAATGCAAGAGCCTTGCTCTAAAAAAGGGCCCCCGTGTTTGTCGTCTAAATTCGTGAATACACTTATATTGAGTGAATTTCTAGCTCTTTTGCTCCGGGCTTTGAAGGTCGAATGTCAGATTTGATGAAAATGCATCGCGATTTGGAGCCGTCCCCAAGCGCCAAGGGACCGGTCCTGGTCGCGGGAGATCCGGAGAGGATTCATATGAAGCAAACTGATGAACAAGGAGGAATCAAGGTAGGATACCTAATGCTTGGGTCGGCAGCCTGTGAAGAAAACCTGAGTCAGGGTCCAAAATATCGTCAAAGAAACGCCGCGCAGCGGCTTTACAAAAAGCCGCTTTGTGGCTTTTTCAAAATAAACAAATGGATTTAAGGGATCACCCCCGATTTTCAAAACTTCTGGGGGATCCCTTAAATAATAGTTCTGCGAAGCCGCTTCGCGGCTTCGTTTTCAAAAAAGGCGCTGTGCGGCTTTTTATTAAATATCTTTCAGACCCAGTCTGAGGTTTTTTACATACCGAGCTTGCCGACCCTAGACCTAAATATTGCTCAATAATAAACAATTCTTTTTCAGTACCACAAGCAAATTATCGAGCACTACAACGAACTTGCGGAGAAAATCGGCGTCGAAAAGATTCCTTTTGAAATTTCTCAATAGTAATTTCTGAACAAAATAAACTTCTTGAAAAGAAAAAAAAAAGAAAAACTGATTAATCTCCGCTTCCGGAAAATTTCAAGTGCGTCAGAACCACAATTGGGTCTATGCTGGATGAGACAGGCCCTGTCAGATGTAGAAAACTCAATCATTTTTGATGCGGCGCGGCAGATTTTTTTACTTGTGGACTTCTTTGAATATTTCTCGGGTTGTTTGATCCGACGTGGCAAATATTATATTGGTTAAGGGTGTCCTTGGCTTAGTACGAAGAATAGTGCTTTTACCACGAGAATGGTTATTTATGGAAATTTTGGCGCTTTATTCAGGGTGCACTTGGCGCTCTCTTGTTGTAAAGGGTACCAACTCAACTCAGTTCTTTTGAAATTCACGTTGGTTTTTCCGACTTTTTTATTGAAAAAACTCAGACTGAAACAAAATCGGCAAGAATTCCAAAATGCTCTTTTCTGTGATGTCTTTCCACAAGCATTCTTCGAATGTAGCGAATTTTCGTATTGTGAATTCGCCGGTGAAACTTTTCCAGCAGCGCCAAACTCCTTCAATTTCATCAATCACTATTCTATCTTATTTTATACAAGCTCTTACAGGTCACCTTCAATTCGCGCGAAAAAAGACAAGAAAAATGAACGAAAATAGTGTCAGTCTCATTTTTTTAACTTATGACAACAGCTCTTTAGCAACTTATTAGGGAGATCCTTGATTTCTATTATTAATAACCATTAACCATTAAATGGCTTCTCGGTAAAATAAAGTAGAAAATGACGTCATATTTAAGAGAAGTCCGGCGTTGCAAATATAATATAAATTTATTTTCAATCAAAAAATAAAAATTAAAAAATCATCATTTTAAAATAGTTATGCGTCTTTTATTTTCGAGTAAATTTCAGTCAGAAATAACCAGCAAGTATTCCATAACCCCCAATCTCGTCCAATCTCTCCCTCAACATTCGGTAAATAATCCGAATTTTCGCCAAGTGTATTTGCCGCTTGAAATATTCAAGACGCCTTGCTCTCCTAAAACAATGGATCTAATTTACAAAAAGCTCTTTTTTACCATTCAGCATCGGTCTCAGCAAAAACAAATAAAATGAAAAAGAAAAGAAAAAATGCAAGTCTCATCAAATCTTTTTTTGAACTCTGAAGTCCCGAGTTCATCTGTTTTTTGTATGTCACGAGTTTTCGGCAATTTTTAATTCATAAGACGACTGTTAAGGCAATCAACTGTTTAAAAAACGTTTACATCATTCTTCAATTGTTCAATTGTTTTTTTCTTATCATTTATTCAAGTGCTTGTTTGAAATTAGCAAGGCGAGAAAAAGCAGAGGTTCAGAATCAACTCTTTCTTAAACAAAAAGGGGAAAGAGTCAGAAATAGTCAGCTAGAATTCCGTATCCACCAGTTGAATCCAATGTTTCCATGAGCATTCGTCTTAGATAACGGATCTTTGCCTCGTGAATAAGTTTTTTAAATCTTTCGATTTGCGCTTCTTTCCTAAAAGTCATCATCAGAAAGAGAGCTGTCTGGAACCGACAGAAAAATTTCGACAAATTTTTCGTTGAAATTTTCGACCAATCAGAAGCCTATTTTCGGCAAACCGGCGAATCAGCCGCTGAGTGGCCGCCCGTACAAAATTTGTCGAAATTTTTTATTGGTTTCCCATCAGAAATCCTCAAAATCTACTCTTACGTTTCTCCGGTCTTCTTAGCAAAACCAAAGTATAAAAAAATCGACATTAAAAGTGTCAGTCTCATTTTTGAATCAACAGACGCAGCGATGAAAATTGGCTATAAGGACTGTCTTTACTGTCTGTTTTATTTATTTGAACATTGTTAGGAACTAATCTAATATTAAATGCTTCAGTCCTCTTTTGCTAAAAACATGAATTCATTTTCGAGAACAGTCTTTCAGTGTCGATTTCGATCAGTTCATTTAAAATTTGCCAATAAAGTATTGAAAAAAGGAAAGGCGATGCTTTAATTAAGTATAAAGTATTCGAGGTCAAAGACTTTTTGTGGACATTTTGGAGCATAAATGACAAAAACTGATCTAGTTGAGCCCTGAACTCGGAAACCTGAGTTAGGTACTCAAGAGCTCGGATGAAAATCCGCGTAGTGAGTTAATTCGACGATTTGATGGTGATAACTTAAGGGTATCTAGACGTTAACTCATTTTTACTCTAAAACTCTTCATAAGCTTAATTTTGAAAATAAAACCTTATGGAATCTTAAGGGTGTATGGGGAGAAAACGCTGTTTGAAAATGGCTACCACGTCGATAGGGATCCTTAAGAATTAAAAAGCATGCTGAGAAATTTGAATTTCTTATAAAAATTCTGATTTTTCTCTAAAAATAATTGTTGACCATAAATAAAAGTCTGCTCGACTATTCATCACGTGGCTTGATGTAAAGCCGGAAGAATTTTCGTCCGGATGCGGGAATTTCACTTGACATTCTGTCTTGTAAAAGGAAAGGCTCAAAGTCATTTTCCCAGAAAACAAGAAACGTATCCAAAAAGTTTTCTCGCGTTAATCGTTTGAAAACTATATTTCCTCTTATTTGGGATTAAAGTCGTCATAGCCGGATTTCGTGCTTATTTAATTAGCGCTTTTTTGTTTAATTGGGCAGTGATCGTGCTTGCACCTCCGACAGGTGATTATAAACGCCTGTCCGAAGAAATTCAACAGAAACGAAACTATTAGCGACTGTCGGAATTAAGACCGGAATAACACGATCAAAGAAGAAAGTGAGTTTCCCAGAAGTTTCGTTTTCTACTGTCCGAAATTGTTGATTTTCGCAGAAAAAGGACTCTATGAGTCATTAATAATATGTCATTATGATATGACTCAAATTATCTATCATTTGTGATTCATATAATATGAGTCAGATGAATCATATTATTTGATATGTCATCTTAATATCATATTATATGACTTATATGAGTCACATGATATATGAGTCATATCATTTGACTCATGTTATGAATCATAATGTGAGTCATATCAAATCATATGTTGTATGAATTATACAGTATGATATGTCGATGATATATCATATGACTCATATTATTTGAGTCATTATTTATGATTTGATGATATGATATGACTCATATGATATGACCGATTTCTTGGTTTTCCCATCTCCGAAATATTCCTACCGCGTCAATTCTCTCATCAAGCCCTGAATTGATTAATCCTTTCTTATCCCTTCCGACAAAAGCTCACTGAATTTTCGGAACGCCGGCGGTCTTCATCGCACAGTACGGAATGTTGCTTCGCTAGAATTAGGAGAATCTCCTTTTACAAAATTTTTGTCACATTGAGAATTTAGAGCAGAGACATTCTTTCGCTCTAAAACCGGTCTTATGACATCTTGTCACGAGTTAATTAGGTCGAAAATCAAAGCTCTTTTGCTGAAAATCAGGGATCTTCCCGACAGTGCTAAAAATGTCACGAATGTCACAAATGTAACGAATGTCACGAATGTCACGGATGTAACGAATGTCATGAATGTCACGGGTTTTCGTGACATTTTCAGCAAAATCGTGACATTCGTGACTTTTGTGACATTCGTGACAATTGGACATCTTCAGTACTGACCGATTTTTCAATCAAGATCAGACGAACTCTGACTCATTTTTGCTATGTTGAATTATTTTCTGAACGCGCTTGTTTCAATATTCCCGATTCCTGTTTTGCCCTCTTCCACGAGCCCTTCTTTCTTTATGAAATTCGTCGAAAGAATGCTTGCTTCAAGTTGATTTTGTGGTTCGCCAATTGTGTCAGAAAATTTTCCGCCTTGCTGGAGCTTAACTTTCTTAAACTTCTTAACGCTAGAATTTACTTTGCAGGTTTTTGTTAAACCGAGAAGATCAAGTTCTGCAGATGTGGAACTGTAGCGAAGGTCACGGAAGGGGGATTACGGTAGGAGACGGTTGAGATGATATAATTTCATCGGAATTTTCGGCAGGGGGTGCGACCTTGAGACGTCGGAAAATGTGGCAGAATGAGTGCACCTGACATATTTCTTTTTCGTGCTCAATCTATTTTCACGTTGGCGAAGTCCAGAGCTCTCCTTTTTAATCGCGAATCTGCTCAATTTGAGAAGAAATATCAACGCGTTGGTAACTGAAAATCAAAGCTGGTGAAGAAGGTTCAACAAAACCGACTCCACCGCTGGAATTCTTAAGATGGTAGCCCGCAAAAGTCATCGGCACGCGAAAGAAAGGAGCTGCGTGGCTTATTTTTGTGAACACGTGATTTCCCCTCCTTTTCTTTTCAAGTTGATTGCTTTTTCAAGTTGTTTGACCAAAAGAACAATTTGATAAATTAAGGGGGTAGACATCGCTTATTGGATTTTCTCGACGATTTTCGTCTCAATTTGCTATGGTTACCCCCTTATTTTTTTTTCTTCTAAAAATGAAATAAGGGCGTCAATAACCAAAGTTCTTGAGTAAATAACAATCACTTTCTGCGGCTGAATTTTAGAGGAAGAAACATTTGGAGATTATTTTTGAGATTTTTATTTATTTAAGATTTCTTACAAATCGCAAGTTGCAGTGTAGTTTGTTTGTATATGTACAGTGATACAAAAGAAAGAAAGAGAACAAGCAAAAAGTTCGCGTTTCAAATATTTGAAACTCAAGGAAAAAATCACCGTTTTCAGGCATTTTTGTTCCTTTTTCGTCAAAAACAAGAAGAAGAGCTTAAAATTAACATTGACCAGCTGGCTTGGCAGTTGGTCCGTCGCAGCATTGGTTGCTTCGGCGGGGTTTGTTCAGTGGGAAAGTGGTCTTGTCTCCACAGCATTCTTCGATGGGGTTTCCGGCTGGAGCTCCTTTTCGGCAGTAGTCTTCTCGGACGAAACCGCCCTGAAAAAGGGTTGAAAAATGGGTGAAAAAATGTTGAAAATGAGTCATTTTTAATGACTCATAGCTGGTGGTTTTGATTGGCTAAGAAAAAACTGCCTTCTAATTGGCTAAGAAGACAAATCCTGGCTTTTGATTGGCTGCTGAATTTTTTGAAAATATTTATTTTTACCTTGGCAGAGTGGTAAGAAACATCCCACTCAGATTCGTATTTGGCCAATCCCTGGCGAGCTGAAGATCGCACTGGCAAATGTTGTATCGACAGCTGCCGGGAGTGTTGGTGCAGACGACATCTTTGCTGCCATCGTCGTTGGTGAGAAGATCGAATCGGTAGCCGACTTCTTCGCCTTTGCACTCTCGCTCGCCGTCGTATTCTTCGACGAGGCATCTGTAGCACTGCTTGAAGTCGAAGCAGGATTGATCGATGTTGTCGACTGGTCGACCGTAGCCGCCGGATGCGATGTTGTGCGAACCCTCTGGAAGGCTAGAAAGAACAGTCAAGACCCTTAGAGGGAGGTTTTAAGTCTCACCAATAGCATCCGTAGTAGCAGTATCGACCAAACTTCTGCTCAGCTTGGAGCCAAAGGACGATGATCTTGAGTTGTCGGAATTTTCGGACTTCAAGCTCGGTCGGTTCCTGGATGAATCGTTCGTTTTCGCTGCCTCCTTGAGCCATGAGATCCATGATCAGCTGCTCGAGGTCGTCAACTTCTCCGCCTAAAGAAGAATTTTGAATAAAAAAAGCTCGAAAATCGCGATTCGAGACAAAAAATTTGGGAGAAAAAAGGACTTACCGGCAAGACCAGCCAAAAATTCGTTGTAAACATCCAAATCTTCTTCTCCGGTGAAGGACTGAGAAACTTCTCGTCGATTTCTAGAGCTGGATTTATCACTAGAAATGAGGAAAAGACTTTACCTGTGTGGAGTGGCGAGTTCACTGGCAAAAGCTCCAAGAGTCAAAAAGTTGAAGATTTTCATTTTTCTCAGTTCTTGGCTTTTTTCTTCGCTTTCAAAAGAACAAGTTTTCGAGTATTTCGATTTTTGCGGATTTGGATATGCAGAAGAAGCGCAAAACGCGCGCTTTTATTATCGTGAAAACGCGCGAATCGCCGAGCGTGAGCGCCATCTAGGCCGGCGCGCGCTAGATCGAAAGCGGCGCTAGAAACTGTCTGAAAATTAAGCGCTGACTAACGGTGATAACTGGGCGAATGGGAGAAAGGTTGATATTTGCACTTTGGTTCGAATCGAAAAAAATTTCGAATTGAAATTTCCTTTAATTTTAAGCCAATCAAATAAGGGCATTTTGCGAGTAGGCCAATCAGATTTCGATAGAAAAAATGTCGCAAAAATCGATTTTTTCCTCGAAATGTCGCAAAATGTCGCAAAATATAGCTAAATGTCGCCGAATATCGCAAAGCATCGCAAATGTCGCCGAGCGTCGCAAAATGTCGCAGAATGTAGTGAAATGTCGCCGAATAACGCAAAGTATCGCAGAATGTCGCAAACTCTCGCAAAATGTCGCAAAATGTCGCTAACATTAGTTCCCCTCTTAAAAATCGATGATTATTTTTATTGATAGCAAATTTTATAATATATAATTACTATTCGAAATTTATGCTCGTTTATTTTCTTTTAAGATAATTATTTATATATGAGGAGCTTTTTATGATTTTTCAAATTTGAAATTAAAGAAAAATTCCATTGTCAATCCGCTTCGACCTGGAGTCAAGGACAAAGTGAGTGTCAAAAATTCGCGAAAATATCTTTGTTGGAGAATGCTCAATTCAAGCGCCTCATTTTTTGAAAAGGTTGAGCTGGTTGCTAATTAATTTGGCCTTATTCACACGTTAATCCCGCTTTTTTTTGCTTGACAAAATCCTGAACGGAATCCTGAAGCAATTTCTAAAGCGATTCAGCGATTTCAGCATTTTATACGTGCCAAAAAAGGATCCGAAGAAATAATTTGCGTTTAAAATAATTGTCATTTTTCGCGCCAAAAACGAGGCTAAGGAATTTCGAGAAGAAAATCGAAATATGTTCAAATAATCAACCATTTATGAATAGTTCAAAAAGAGTTGTTTGTTAATTTTGAGATTTTTATGGTGCCTACCTTTTTCAAAAGAAAAAGAAGAAAACAAAAATATTTTTATTATGGGAGAAACGCTGATATTGGCAACTTGATGGCTCGAATCGTAGAAAAATAGCGACTCGAATTTTTATTATTCTTTTGGCCAATCAAAGAACCATATTTGGCGAATTGGCCAATCAGATTCGATCAAAAAATTGTCGCAAAAATCGATTATTTTGTCGCAAAATGTCGCAAAATGTCGCAAAATGTCGCTTCCATTAGCTCCCTTAATCAAAACAATTATAATTTTTGTTATTTATCATACCTATTCAAAATTAATGCTTGTTTATTTTTTCAAATGATTTTGTGCAAAAATCCATTCCAGATTCGCCCCGAACTCGACTCAAGGACAAAGTGAGTGTTAAAAATTCGCGAAAATAACTTTGTTGGCGAATGCTCAATTCAAGCGCCTCATTATTTTTCGAAAAGGTTGAGCTGGTTGCTAATTAATTTGGCCTTATTCACACGTTAATCCCGCTTTTTTACCCAAAATCCTGAACGGAATCCTGAAGCAATTTCTAAAGCGATTCTTTCAGCATTTTATACGGAGCATCCGAAGAATAATTTGTGTTTAAAATAGTTGTCATTTTTCGCGCCAAAACGGGGTTGAAGAAAATCGAGTTCCACGTAGACCAGAGCTGAATGGATTTACTCGTCGCCGAGTTCGTGTCGATTAAATAAACTTTCGAGGATAATTAGCCAGCTTTGCGGATATGTCCAGATCTTGTGAGGCGCACAAGTCCCGAGGAAATAGCCGTAAAGGGCACGATTTTTCTCAAAAGATTTGGTTAAATTCTGTTTTTCAGAGAGACACAATAATGCGGGCTGAAACACCTTTACTTTCAAGTAAATTAGGACAAGATACATCGTTCATTGATTTATTGCTTGATATATTACTTGAAGTAATAGAAAAGTATTACTAGGGTAAATCACTAATAATTCGCCTTTTACTGGGCTTAGTAAGGGGGACGTATAATACATTTTTAGAAAGCCCAGGACCTGAGGATCATTTTGACTATTGATACCAGGGGTGATCTCGTACCCTGAGGGCATTAAGGTACCTCCGAAGTCAGAAAATCTGGCCACTTTCGGAAATTCGAATTTTCGGCCGCCCAGACCGCCTTTTAGAAGCAACGGCAATGCTAGAATTGTAGCTCAGGCTCTGACGGTCATTTTGGGGTGTCAAAAGTACTGATTACCCCCCTTCCTGAGGCGCTAGAGACCCCGAAGTTGGGAAAGTTGACCGAAAACAGGTACTTTTCTTCAAAAATACCCATTTTCCTCATTTATGCTTCCAAAATGCTTGTGATAAGTTGTTTTCTACATTTTGAGGCAGAAGACACAGGTTGGGGTCACCCGAGGTCATTTTGGGTCACAAATTCAAATTTTAAGCATATTTCATAATCTTTAGGGTAAATCACTAATAATTCGCCTTTTTCTGGGCTTAGTAAGGGGTCATATAATACATTTTTAGAAAGCCCAGGACCTGGGGATCATTTTGACTATTGATACCAGGGGTGATCTCGTACCCTGAGGGCATTAAGGTACCTCCGAAGTCAGAAAATCTGGCCACTTTCGGAAATTCGAATTTTCGGCCGCCCAGACCGCCTTTTAGAAGCAACGGCAATGCTAGAATTGTAGCTCAGGCTCTGACGGTCATTTTGGGGTGTCAAAAAGTACTGATTACCCCCTTCCTGAGGCGCTAGAGACCCCCGAAGTTGGGAAAGTTGACCGAAAACAGGTACTTTTCTTCAAAAAATACCCATTTTCCTCATTTATGCTTCCAAATGCTTGTGATAAGTTGTTTTCTACATTTTGAGGCAGAAGACACAGGTTGGGGTCACCCGAGGTCATTTTGGGTCACAAATTCAAATTTTAAGCATATTTCATAATCTTGACCTCAAATGACCTCAGGTGACCCCAAACTGTGTCTTCTGCCTCAAAATGTAGAAAACAACTTATCACAAGCATTTTGGAAGCATAAATGAGGAAAAATGGGTATTTTTTGAAGAAAAGTACCTGTTTTCGGTCAACTTTCCCAACTTCGGGGGTCTCTAGCGCCTCAGGAAGGGGGTAATCAGTACTTTTGACACCCCAAAATGACCGTCAGAGCCTGAGCTACAATTCTAGCATTGCCGTTGCTTCTAAAAGGCGGTCTGGGCGGCCGAAAATTCGAATTTCCGAAAGTGGCCAGATTTTCTGACTTCGGAGGTACCTTAATGCCCTCAGGGTACGAGATCACCCCTGGTATCAATAGTCAAAATGATCCCCAGGTCCTGGGCTTTCTAAAAATGTATTATATGACCCCTTACTAAGCCCAGAAAAAGGCGAATTATTAGTGATTTACCCTAAAGATTATGAAATATGCTTAAAATTTGAATTTGTGACCCAAAATGACCTCGGTGACCCCAACCTGTGTCTTCTGCCTCAAAATGTAGAAAACAACTTATCACAAGCATTTTGGAAGCATAAATGAGGAAAATGGGTATTTTTGAAGAAAAGTACCTGTTTTCGGTCAACTTTCCCAACTTCGGGGTCTCTAGCGCCTCAGGAAGGGGGTAATCAGTACTTTTGACACCCCAAAATGACCGTCAGAGCCTGAGCTACAATTCTAGCATTGCCGTTGCTTCTAAAAGGCGGTCTGGGCGGCCGAAAATTCGAATTTCCGAAAGTGGCCAGATTTTCTGACTTCGGAGGTACCTTAATGCCCTCAGGGTACGAGATCACCCCTGGTATCAATAGTCAAAATGATCCCCAGGTCCTGGGCTTTCTAAAAATGTATTATATGACCCCTTACTAAGCCCAGAAAAAGGCGAATTATTAGTGATTTACCCTAAGTATTACTCAGTTTAGAAAGGGCAACGAAAGTGGAGCTTTAATTATTGTATCGAAAAGTTGCCATGTTAAAAACATTAATTACTTAGGTAAATTCATATTTTATGATTTTTCAATAAAAGATATACTAGAAAATTTGAAAAAAATCTGGTCAGATCACCCGTAATGTGCCATTTTTAAAACTAAAATAAGCTGATTTTTATAAAAGACTATACTGTTAAGTGACTAAACTTTAGTCTATACAGTCAGGTCTTGCAGTTGCGCGACCTGCAATTGCGTGGTTTTTGGCAAAAATCCCGAAAATAAAAACCGCGTAATTGCAAGACCTGACTGTAACATAAATTATAATTTAAAATTAAATCAACCCCAACCCTAACCCTGAGCAAATCTTGCCCTATCGTTATCACTCAAACCTTTTATTATTCATTTGGCTATTTATGCTTCTTTTTCAATACACAAGCCAAGCTTTATTATTAAAAAGATGCTTACATAATTCCGGAAGAATCAGATCCGGGGGTCCCTTGTTTCCTCATTTTTCTTGTATTTTTCGGAAATGCGTGACAACATCCTATCAGCAAAGAACAACGGTAATTGCCAATGTGAGCCACGTGAGCTCCAAATAGACACAGCCGAACTAACACCTCAAGGGTCAGCGAGTTATTTGTTTGCGGTTTCATTTTTGCTAATAACCAAAAATTGTAAAACGGAAAATTTTGAACTTCGAAGGGAAATCGAAAAGAATGGTTGTGGTGAATATTTAAAACTCAGACAGGAAGGCTTATTTCAAAACCGAAATGAGCTTTTGGAGTGGGAGAAACCATGGGAGAATTGGCAAAAGTGGATTTCAGAAAAGCCTAGCGGATATGACGCGGCTTTTGCTTATGCGCGAATTCCTACTGGAACGTTTTCCTTATCAACGGTTTTTTCAAAAGAGACGTTCAACTTTTTCTGTATTTCACCAACACTTGTAAATTCAGGACCCCAGTTAAGGGCCTCGAAATGAACGGGTACGTAACTGCGCCGGAACCCGCCAATTGACGCGTCCGGATAAGAACTATAAGAGAAACTTTAAGGCTGATAATTATCTGACGTCTCTCTTTTGTGTTCCTTGCGTCAACAACGCTCCTCGAAACCGTAGCTTAGCGGCTCCGTTCATTTTTCGAAAGAAGCGAGCTGTTACAGGCTTTAGGGTTAGAGGCACGTTTTAGTAAATAAGGACAATCCGGGAAAATCGTCGGGAGGGGCTGATGAGATTCTCTTTTCGAGGGGAAAAGAAAAAACGAAATTCGATGGAAAAATAATTTTAAGGACCTCCCCCCCGAAAATGAAAATTTTTTAAAACACCATATTTTTGGTTCTTAATGCGTTCTTAGGTTAAATTTGCATCTAAAACTTGATAAAAAGAATTTTAAACCAAGAAAAATCAATATTTATGCCAAAATTCGGGCAAATTCGTCAATTTTCCGCGAAGAGTCTAATTTTCAAATGTGATTTTGGGGGTGAAAGAGTCGTTTATTGACCCGTAGAATCCATTTTCGAGGTCAAAATTTCGAAATTTGATTTTTCGAAAAATCTGACGGGGGTCCTTAAATAAGGATGAAAGAAATAAGACTTAAGGGTACGACCTTCGATTTTCATGACTTTATTTATTATTTTCAAAAACAATTGAAAGAGTTTCAAATTGGGTCAATAAAAATATGTCAGAAATAACAGTCTTTTTCTTCTCCCAAAATAAAGTTACTTACCTTCCAAATGTTAATCTTTCAACACGATTCGGAACAAAATTGTTTGTATTTATGCAAAAAGACAAGTTGGAAAAAGACAATTCCGGCGGAAAACAATCCTTACGCGATCATCTTTTTGACAGTCGAAAATTCAATAAAAGGACATTTTTTAAAACGAAACAATTTCCTGTTGCGATTCGCTTTTTAGAAGATCGAGAATGGTTTTTAAAATGAAGCGTCTAATTTACTCGTGTCTGAATTCTTCGAACGCATTTTTATGAGGATAAACAAAACCATAAAACACGTTGGTTTTTTGCTTTTATCTTTGGACTTGCATTTTTGCGGCTTTCCGAAATTCGTGCAAGTCTATTTTTTAGTCTCGTAATAACAGATCTAAATGCCAAAATGGGGCGACTAAAGGTGAAAGGGCTGCACGGGTGGATTAAGGGGGTAAGCTACTTTAAGACACGCATTCTTAAAATTTTAATTTTTTATCCAAAAGATTTAAAAACTGCTGTCTTAAAATAAAGAAAAGAAATTTTTATGTAATATTTTTTTAATTTTAAGGAAGTAACTCCCTTATTTTGAAAACAGGCTTCAATTCATAAAAATTTTGTTCAATCATAATTCCACATTCGATCCGCGAGCCAATCAGCGCCTAAATCGCTTTGAAACCAATTTCGTAGCTGATTGGCTAGTGGATCGAATGCAGGTTTTTGATTGGCCAATTTTGATTTTATTTTTCAATGATCAATTTCTATGTCGTGCTGTTTTTTGCGATTTTAGACAGGTTTTTATCTCGTAATTTAAAAATCAGCATATTTTAAATTTGCGAAACCTGCTCTAGAAAGTGCTGCGGCGGAATTCGCGCGCTCCTTAATTTCCTGCATCTTCGGCGAAGCGACGATTTTATCTTAATTTTGGAATTTGAGTGGCGCGGCGAGTGTTTCATAACGTGCTGATAGAAAGCTGTGGCGAAATTATCTTGGGCTCGCAGAATGACCATGAGAGGTTGCGTTTATCAGGAATTAATACGCGCCTCTTCTTCTCAGTTTTTATTTTGGGCGATTTCTTTTCCGCTTATTCGGCTATTTAGAGGGCCGCTTGAAATAAACTTGGAAAATTCAAAGATTATTCTAGCCCCCGTTGAATTGTCTGGCCAACGATTGGTAATTTCGAGTCGAAAATTCTAGCTTATTTTTCCAAAATTTTTCTCTTCTTCAATATCACCAAATTTAAGGATTTAACCAAAATATGGAAGTGTATTTTAATAACCAATAAGAATGCTGTATTTGCCCTACCGACCAATCAAAACCTTGGTCTGTAAGATCATTTCCATTTTTTTTTTGGTTCTGCCCACATTTTAGGGTAAAATCAATTTATGGAAGTGATTTTATGGATCAGGATTTTGATTGGCCGGTAGGCCAAATACATCAATCTTATTGGTTGGTCGAAAATGCACTAAAATTGATTGGTTTAGAAAAGATTTGGTTTTTTTCAAATATCTTTTTCAAATTTCAACGTAAAACTATTATGAAATTTAATTCTACTTTAAAAGATTGATGTTGCTGTCAAAGAAAGGAAGGAACGTGTGTCCTTCTAAAGATTTCGCCGGCGATAAATCAAGAACCAACTTGCGAAAATCAAACTTTTGATTTTAAATATTTTCGTTTCATAATTGGCGCAAAGTGGCATCCTTCTCATTGAGCAGTAGTTGTCATTTCTGATGGAGTTCTTGATCTTCTTGATGAAATTTAAAAAGAGGGTTGATTTTTGCATTTTTCTCCGTAATCCGCAAAAACTAGGTGTGAGCAAAGGTTTAACCAAAAGTGGTCACTTTCAAAATGGGTTTACAACCCGAAATGAGTTTTGGTTCAATAAGGTTTTTGAGCTGTTTCACCATTTTTCTACCTTTCTTGAAATTTGTGTCTGAAAAAAATGTGGTCAAAAACCTGTGTAAAAACCCTGTGTAAAAAACCTGTGTAGAAAAACCTGAGTCAGGGTTCAAAGATTGAGCTGTGATTTTGAGAAGCCGCTTCGCGGCTTTATTTCTAAAAAGCCGCTCCGCGGCTTCTCATCGAAGATCTTAAAGACCCTGACTCAGGTTTTTTTCAACCAGCTTTTTGAATTTCATAGAGCGGAAACAACTGCCGCTCAAGTTAAATTTGCCCATTATCCTCAATCGAGACATTTCAGTGCAAGTTACGTAACTCGCACTCTCCTCAAACTTTCTCCATTGGCGACTTTTGGTGAATTATTAATTCGTGAAGGGATTTAAGGACCAAACGGTTGAAGCCCTTAGGGAGTTGGCCCTCGTCTTTCTAGGTGATAAATTTGCAAAGGTTGGCGTCTTGTGATTCTGCCAAAATACACCCGTCGGACTTTCTGCTACACCCTTAAACAATGCGCCTCGCCGCATGATCAAAGATCGCCAAAACTCGAGATCAGAAAGAAATGAGAAATTAAGAAAGAGAGAGTGGAAGAATAGAAGTCTGCAAAAGCAAAAACTTGTTTTGCCCGAGTCCCAGTTTAAACCAGAATCAAGCTCGCTTCGCTTCAGTTTTATCTTTTTCTGTTTTGCAAGAAGAGGAGCGTCTCAATCATTTTCTGGTCGTCTGAAACAAAACGAAAATAGAAAAGATGTCTGGGAAGATACAGCTTCAGAGACATGTAGATCTAACATCCGCGGTGATGATCATTGTCGGAGCGATTGTGGGTAGCGGAATTTATATTTCACCAAAAGGTTTGATTCAGAAATGTCTGGTAGACATCATTACGTAATTTTCAAAAAAAATATTCGAATTTTTAATTTTGTTAAGGGTATCAACATCGATTGAAACTTGTTCCAAAAATTTCAAAAAAATTGGCAAAATCGATGTTGACACCCTTAAAATTTTTTTTTTTGAAGGAATTCTGGAGCATGCAGGAACGAGCGGCTATGCAGTTATTCTCTGGATCCTCTCCGGCCTCGTCGCCTCCATGGGAGCCCTCTGCTACGCCGAAGTCGGAGCCCTGATTCCAAAGTCTGGCGGCGAGTATCCAGTCATTTTCGAAGCTTACGGACCAATCTGTGGCTTCACATTCGCCTGGACCTGCACAACGATCATCAGACCTGCTTCGCTGGCGATTTTTACTTCGGCCTTTGCGCAGTATGCATTTAGCATTTTGAAAACGATTGTGGTGATGAGAGTGTTGTCTCGCAGAAATTATTGGCTTGTGCTGCGATTTGGGCGGTTTGTGGGATAAATGTGTATTCGATGAATATTACTCAAAGGAAATGGGATGAAAATTCCGCTTTTGTTGGAGCAGTTTTCATTGTAGATTCAACTAATTGTTCGAGAAAATATTCATCAAAATACTGGATAATTAAGCTTTACTTAAATTATTTTTCTTTTTATTATGACTCTTTTATTAGCTCAAAGTTTCTAGAGCTCCATTTTCATGCATTGTTAATTTTGATGTTTATTATTCAACCAAAAAAAGGCTCACAAAGACCTTTGGCTACATCAAAATCGCCTCTCTCGTCGTGATCATCCTTCTCGGTTTTTATGGGCTAATTATTGGCAAAGGCGATTTATCAATTTGGCAAGCGCACAGGGCTTTTTACAAAAACGGCGAGTCCGCTTTTCCGGAAATATCACACATCGGCCTTGGACTCTACCACGGGCTCTGGTCGTACGACGGGTGGAATCAACTCAATTATGTTGTGGAAGAAATCAAGCAGCCGGAGACGAATTTGTTGAAAGCGATTGTGATCAGTTTGTGTTCTATTACTGGGTTTTACTTGTTGATCAATTTTATGTATATTTCGATCTTGGGAGTGGAGAATATTTTGACTTCGCCGGCTGTGGCGACCAGTTATGCGCAGCAGATTTTTCCGCAAATCGGGTCAGTTGAAATCAACGAAGAGATTTCCTTTAAGGACCCCCCCGTCAGCTTTTTCCATCGATAAATACAGGAATTTTTGACCTAGAAAAATCATTTTTTTGCAAAAATTCGGGCAAATTCGTCAATTTTCGGCGAAAACTTCAATTTTAAATTGCGATTTTAAGGGTGTTAGAGTCGAGATAGTCTATCTCAGATAGACCCCCAAAAAATTAAGCCTCAAATCGTTTTTTGACCCGTAGAATTCATTTCCGGGGTCAAAATTTAAAAAATGCGAAATTTGATTTTTCGAAAAAAACTGACGGGGGAGGGGGTCCTTAAAAAAATTTCTTGAAAAAAATTTTTTAGTTTTATTGTTCCAATTATGGTTGCTTGTTCCTGCCTCGGTGCTGCTCTTGTTCAGGTACACCCTTATTTTTTCTCAAAAACAAAATGTGGTTAAGGGAATGACCGCCGCTAGAATCCCCTATTCCGCCGCGCGCGAAGGGCAAATGCCTGTTTTTCTGTCGATGATTCACATTGATTTTCTGACTCCTGCGCCTGCTGTTATGTTGAATGGAATTCTCGCGTCTCTTCTTTTGTTGTCTGGAGATATCAACTCGCTCATCAATTATTTTAGCTTTTGCATGTGGATTTTTCATACCTCGGTAAACCTCGAAATCTAACTCAAGAAAGAAGAATTTTAGACTTGTTTCGCGATTTTTATTTTCCGCAAAACCCATCCGATCGACAAAGTCGGTCGCTCATTCGCCGTGCCCCTCTTCATCCCTGCCATCATCGCTCTCATTGGCTCATATTTGGTTCTCGCCCCCTTTATCAACATTTTGCAAACTGGTGAAAGCTTGGACTTGGGTTATCTCTTCGTTGTCTGCTGGATTGCATTTGGAGTTGGGCTGTTTGTGATTCTGCGAAAATCAAAGAATTTTAAAATTGTTGCTTTGTTGACGAAAAAGATGCAGATTTTATTGAAAGTTGTTGCTCCTGACTGACTCCCTCTCTTTTCTTTTTTGAGCAAAATATAAGTTACGAACGAAAAATTTTTCATCTATCAAATTTTACAAAAGACTCTTTTTCACTGTAAGTTGCTCAAAGGTCGTACGAGTTGCATCAAAAGAATAATAAATATATTTACATTTAGTGGCGAATTAACTAACTATCGACGATTACCAAACGGACTCACACATACTTTGAAAAATCACTTCGGCCTCTTAAAATTTTAGAAAATTTTACGGTTCCTAAAAACTTTATTTTTTGTTGAATTTTTTTTCCCGGAGATAATTTTCAAAAAAAAAAAATCAATATTTTTGGTGAAATTTTTGAGTGTGAAAAAGATTCATCCTTTTTGATCGTCTTAAGACAGGCGGAATTTTAAAATTCAGCTTCTTTGCATGTTGATTTATTTAGCGCCCTGACTCAGGTTTTCGTGTGCCTTAGCCCCTACTATTCGAAATAGATGCAAAATTTTGTTGAAAGTTGTTGCTCTCTCATTTCTTTTTTGAAACTTTCATCTGAAAACTTAGGTAACAAAAGTCATTTTTAAATTTGTTTAATCGAAAATTCATTATTTTTTTGTATTCTTTTATTCAGATAAATCAATGTGCAGTTAGTGATAATACAGTTAAAATTACTCGTTGCAGAAATCCTGAGCTCTCGAGAAAGAAATAACTCTGTTGAATCGATTCGTGATTCGCTTTTTGATGCTGACACCTTTTCGGTCAAAAGAGTCCAAGCACAAGAATTTCTGAGTCCATCGCAAATACGATCGACCGATCTTTCTTGCGTACTCGCAGACAGTGGCGGTTTCAGGGTTGAAATCGTCGCTTTCTTCGGTGTCAATGCCCCAGACGTTGACGCAGCCTTCGACATCGGTCTTGTGGAGGGGGATTTTGGAGACGCCCTTAGCGACAAAGCCGTCAAATCGGTCGGCGAATCGGGCCATGTCCATTTCAGTTAGCTTTCTGAAAGGGAAAAATAAGTTTTTGTTTTAAAATTTGATTGCTTTTCGTAACTTTTTCAAGTAAAATAGAGAATACTTACTGTCCAAAAGCAGCTCGTCGATCCTCAAGATCATTCCATTGTCGCCAAGCAGCAGATCCTTCTTCGAAGGCGGAAGCGAGGGCGAAGGTGGCAACAAAAAGTTTCATTTTTAGTTGGTTTTATATTTTTCGTTATCTGAAAAATGAGATGCTCTGGAAGCGCAATCGCTCCTTTTTATACCACGCGAATGGCGCGACTCGCGATCATGAGCGCTCAGAGGGCGCAAGAGAGAAATGCGTCGAATATCTTCAAATGAAATAGCCATGAGATAAAAACTCTCCTATTCTTCTTCATTTATTTAGAAATCGCGTTAATTATCCGTTCATTATTTATTTATAAAAGAGAAAGAAAATAAGTAAATAAACAACGATTGTCAGTTTTTTGATTATGAATAAAAAGATAGCTTCTATCTATGCTTGTTTTCATCAACCAGTTTTCCTCCCAAACGTCGTCTAGAAAGAATCCTGAGACAGGTTGCTCGAGAAAGGAGAGTTGAGTCCAGTAGAATTGGGGCTCATTCGATTTGGGGAGAAATTGTGAGTTCTCGCGCTTGTAGATTTTGATCCGGAAAAGACAACTGGAGCTTCATTGGCGAATTGGGCCAGAAAATCGAGAATTTTCCCCATACACTAAAATATTTTGTAAATACTGAATAGGTGGTTTAATTCAAGATAAAAATTATAACTCAAGAAGTCCCTCATTTTCGCTGCTGACGTCATGCTTTCAAAAAAAAATTAAAATTGAATTTGTGTCGGCCAAAATTTAGGCCCAAAATTATATCCTCCAGAAAAGCACGGCTCATTTTAGAAGTGATTATCAGATTTAACGCTCGAATTTTACGTCATTTTTACGATTTTCGATGGTTTATCGTGGACTCAAGTGTTCAAAATTGAACTCTTTCGACTAATGAGGATGATTTTTTTCGCAAAATACTTACATCATTAGCCGTCGCCTTAGCATGAGCGCACATATTAGCAAATTCCTTCTGTCGATTTGTGCAGACTTCGATGTTTTCAGACATCCCATGCTCCTGACAGGCAAAGATCTTGGCGAACCATCCATGCACCAGCGGGAAATCGTGGAGGATCACTTCCCACGGGTCTGAACATGAGAATTTTAAGGCTAACGAAATTGAGGCGATTGAAAACGTTATTATGCTAAGCTTATCAAAAAACCACATCGCGAAAACGTGCGAAAATAAGCGAATTTGAAAATGGAACGGGAATTCCGCTATCTTAGGAAAAATATTGAGGTTCTTAGATTGGAGAAATTATTTAAAGAAGTTTCTCAAGAACGAAAATAAGACTCTCAAAGTCGAAAAATTCGATCTATCTTTAAAATAATCACAAACATTCAATAGAAGGACTCCGTTAAAATGGGATAAATTGGGGCTCGTAAATACTTACAAACATTATTATTCCACATGACGTTTTTCATCATCAAATGCTGATCTGTTCTTTTTCAGGTTTAAGATTATGTTAAGCTTTGACTTAAGGTGGTAGATATCAAGAATGGTCATTTGGCTGCAGCTTTTTTTTTCCAAAATATAACATAGATGATTTTGTATCAAAAACGGCAGCGGAATACTAGAATTTCGTAAATTTGACCGGAAGTACCCGAAACTCTAGAATTTTCAAGAGATACATATACCGTTCGACTCTGTTTGAGGCGGCGGTGAAGATGGCACTAACAGTTAAAAAGTGATCTTTTGGCCTGAAAACATTTTTCGAAACTTATCATAGTGACACCCTTATTTTTCTCCGTTAATTAAAAGTTTAGACCCTTATCATCCCAATGTAAGCCGAAATTCAGGTCCTTTTTGTCATAAAAAAAATAAACCTGATCCTTATTTTGTCATTCCCAATCAGAAAAAGTGACGGAGAAAGAGCTGCAAAATCCTTCTGGTAGAAAAGTCCATCAATCGAAATTCCGCCTTTTTCAGCGTTCTTAAACATCGTGTATTATTCTTTCTCATTATCGGCTGCCAAACGATAACTTCCGTAAGTTGATTAATTTCGTCGATTTCAGGAAAAAAGACGTTATAATTTGGGGCCGAATTCGAAATGAAATTTTCTTGAATTTTTAAATTTCTAAGAAGCACTAGGAAGAAATACCGCTTCGAAAAAAATGCGCTGATTAATTCTTCTTCCACCGCGATTAAAATTCACGTTAAATGAGTTTCGCACGCTTTCCTGCGTAAGAGTCGTCAGTGGCGAGTATTTCCTGGACGAGGCAGCCGCCCCAGCAGATTCCTTTCGCGGGCTTAAAAAAGAACTATTTCTCGGCCAAGTAAATATTTGCGACATAATTAGCGGTCGCGAATTGCTCCCTTGGTCGAAACAAGTTCCAGCCCGTTCCTATTAAAGAGATCGTCGCGCAACCTTGATTGAGTAAAAATCTTCGACTCAAATCCACCGGTTTTGGAATATTCTTGATTCCTTCGCTTCTGCCAAAATACGAAGCGATCGCGTTCATAAAATCTATATGCAAATCTGGCGACTAAAGAAAATAAACGAATTTTGACTCATTTTATCGGAAAAGCGAGGGAACCTGGAATAAATTGGGTTTGATCACGTGGTGGCCCGCTTCTTGGAGTTGCTGCATCATTAATCGGGAACCCATGAGTTCGGTGTTCATTGGATCGCAGAGAAGGATGATTCCGGAGTTCGTGATTCCAGGTGTGTACACAGCATGGCTGAAATTTAGTCTTTTTTTGTTGATATTAATTAATTTTTGACTTTTTAAGAAAAAGAATTGCCTTGATCGCTACAAAAGAACTGACTATACTAATGAGCAAGGTATCTAAGATTCAATCTCCACCCACAAAAGAAAAAGGTCCGAGCAGCGCGGTTGGTTGAGCCTTATGGTTTTTTGTTAATTTTTTTTGCGATCGATACTGAGATAAAAAATTTTTTTTAATACGGTTCCAGACACTTCCCATGTAAAAAATCTGAGTCAGATATTGAAAAAGCCTTAACTTTCTCTATTGATTCTCTTCATACCTGCAGGCGGCTAGCTCAACCTTGGTCTGGCCAGTTTCTCGTTCCAACAAAATCTCTTCTTCTTCTGAGTACTTGTGGTACTTGCACATGCAAGCCCGGCGAATTCCATCTTCGCAAGATTGAACTTCAAGTCTTTCTTGGATTTTGTCTTTTAAAGAAGCCAGTTGATCTTCATTCAGTTCAGGGACTAAAATTGACTTGATTCTATACTGGAAAGTTGGGCATTAGTCTTATTCTGAATCTTATCATTAGACTGTTATATACTAAGTAGTTGAAGAGGTCGATTTAAGGGCCCCTCCGTCAAAATACGATATCATAATTACGCAATTAGCGGTCAAAGTTTTCAAGAGTACACGTTTCTAAGACTTAGATATATATAGGGATCGAACGCAAATCAAAATGGGCATTTTTTATAATAGTTATATGCCCTTAATATTAAAAATTAAAATAGTAAATCGTATATGCTGATGTCAAATATGATAATCATATTGTACTTCAACTTCCGGTTTACCGGAAACTGTCGGTTTCAATGGCTTTCTGTTGACGCGCAATCTTGCGCCAATAATAGCAGGTTAATGAGCATTGGAAAAGGGGATTTTCGAAGAAAAAATATTCAAAATCGACGGCGCGTGGCTGCGCTTGCGTTTTTTGTACTTCGCAAGTATGACTCATTCGTTCAGCGCCCTTAAAAAACGCAAAAAAAAATGCTTGGAGCGGGATTCGAACTCGAGATCAGCGGGCCATGGCCTAGTACGGTACCACCGCACCATGAGGCACAACTGATGAGGACATTTCTTCTTGTACCTACATATCAAATATTTATCTTCGCTTCTTTTATTTTTGTCGTCTTGAAGACAGAATAATTGTTAGAACTTTGCTGTCTTCAAGACAGTAATAACAGATAAACTAGCAGATTTTCTCTAGATGAATAGAAATGCCGGCAAAATGTTTCTTTTTGCTTCTTTCCATTCAGAATCGAAAAATATAGAGAAAAAAAACAAATTTTTGATGAAATACTATCATCGTGGTGCTTCCTACATGTACTGATAGAGGATAATTCGACAGGTACTATCTTTTGATTGATTTAACTGTATTTGACAAATCATTCTAGCGTTTCAAACCTCATGAGTCTGCTTCTTCGCATGTCAACTTGGTCAGCGATTCAAGCCGTATCAAGGAACACCACCGTCAAGGAATTTGTTGAAAATCGAGCACAAGAATCCGAGCAATCACAAGGTCAGTAAGCTTCAGTCAGGAAGTGTGCTTACATGAAGCTTCAGGCATATCAACGATGTCAAATGATGCTGGTTTTTATGCGCAATTTCGAAGCCTGTCCATTCAGATGACAACTCCACCGACAACTCTCTCGCTCTCATGATGATGATGACGCAAAAACAACTCCACCTGATTTTTCTTCCTTTTCAATCCTCAAGAACGATTTCCGACATCCACCGACCCAAGAAGCAGGAACGCATCTTATTATTAAAATATTTTTCTCGATTAAGGGGGTCTCCAATGTTTTTTCGAAATTGGCCATTTTTGGCGAATTTGTCCAAATGTTTTCACGTACAAATGGATCAGTTTTAAGGGGGTGTTGGTCGAGAATCAGACTTCTTTTGACAAAATAAGCGCAAATTTTTCCGAAAAATCTTCCTTTTTCTAATCGAAAATGGGTTAAAAAGGCTTGAAATAATGTGGGCAACTAGGTCTGAAAAAAATTATTTGGCGGAAAAACTATCGTAATTTAGCGTCAAAGAGAAGCTGAAATCTTGTTTTTTGGTTTTTTCGAGTAATCATTTTCCGATTTTTGGTCATTTTCGGCTATTTTCTGCGACAAATACGATCCATGAAATGTACGATTTTGAAAATTCCAATCATGTGAATTGCCTTTTCACATAGTGCCCTGGACTGATAAATTTGAGAAAAATCGATTCTCATCCTTTTTTCGAAAAAAAAATCAAAATTTGGTCGACAAAAAATTTCGACAAATTTTGCTTGAAAATTTTCAACCAATCAGAAACCTGGCCTTGGTTGACAAGCCAATCAGCAGCCGAGTAACCGCCAACGGCGGCGTCAAGCCTAGTGCCATGATCATTAAATTCAATCAAGGCGGCTTCAAGCCCAGTCCCATCATCAGTTCATTCATTTACGGCGGCGTCCAGCCCAGTGCCATCATCAGTTCATTCAATCAAGGCGGCGTCGAGCCCAGTGCCATCATCAGTTCATTCAATCAAGGCGGTGTCAAGCCCAGTGCCATCATCAGTTCATTCAATCAAAGCGACTTCAAGCCCAGTACCATCATCAGTTCATTCAATCAAGGCGGCTTCAAGCCCAGGACCATCATCAGTTCATTCAATCAAAGCGACTTCAAGCCAAGTGCTATCATCAGTTCATTCAATCAAGGCGGCTTCAAGCCCAGTACCATCATCAGTTCATTCAATCAAGGCGGCGTCAAGCCCAGTGCCATCATCAGTTCATTCAATCAAGGCGGCTTCAAGCCCAATGCCATCATCAGTTCATTCATTTACGGCGGCGTCGAGCCCAGTGACATCATCAGTTCATTCAATCAAGGCGGTGTCAAGCCCAGTGCCATCATCAGTTCATTCATATACAGCGGCGTCAAGCCCAGTGCCATCATCAGTTCATTCAATCAAGGCGGCTTCAAGCCCAGTACCATCATCAGTTCATTCAATCAAGGTGGGTTCAAGCCAAGTGCCATCATCAGTTCATTCAATCAAGGCGGCGTCAAGCCCAGTGCCATCATCAGTTCATTCATTTACGGCGGCGTCGAGCCCAGTGCCATCATCAGTTCATTCATTTACGGCGGCGTCGAGCCCAGTTCCATCATCAGTTCATTCATTTACGGCAGCGTCGAGCCCAGTTCCATCATCAGTTCATTCAATCAAGGCGGCGTCAAGCCCAGTGCCATCATCAGTTCATTCAATCAAGGCGGCTTCAAGCCCAGTGCCATCATCAGTTCATTCAATCAAGGCGGCGTCAAGCCCAGTGCCATCATCAGTTCATTCATTTACAGCGGCATCAAGCCCAGTGCCATCATCAGTTCATTCAATCAAGGCGGCTTCAAGCCCAGTACCATCATCAGTTCATTCAATCAAAGCGACTTCAAGCCAAGTGCAATCATCAGTTCATTCAATCCAGGCGGCTTCAAGCCCAGTAACATCATCAGTTCATTCAATCAAGGCGGCGTCAAGCCCAGTGCCATCATCAGTTCATTCAATCAAGGCGGCTTCAAGCCCAATGCCATCATCAGTTCATTCATTTACGGCGGCGTCGAGCCCAGTGCCATCATCAGTTCATTCAATCAAGGCGGTGTCAAGCCCAGTGCCATCATCAGTTCATTCAATCAAGGCGGCTTCAAGCCCAGGACCATCATCAGTTCATTCAATCAAAGCGACTTCAAGCCAAGTGCAATCATCAGTTCATTCAATCCAGGCGGCTTCAAGCCCAGTAACATCATCAGTTCATTCAATCAAGGCGGCGTCAAGCCCAGTGCCATCATCAGTTCATTCAATCAAGGCGGCTTCAAGCCCAATGCCATCATCAGTTCATTCATTTACGGCGGCGTCGAGCCCAGTGCCATCATCAGTTCATTCAATCAAGGCGGTGTCAAGCCCAGTTCCATCATCAGTTCATTCAATCAAGGCGGCTTCAAGCCCAGGACCATCATCAGTTCATTCAATCAAAGCGACTTCAAGCCAAGTGCCATCATCAGTTCATTCAATCAAGGCGGCTTCAAGCCCAGTACCATCATCAGTTCATTCAATCAAGGCGGCGTCAAGCCCAGTGCCATCATCAGTTCATTCAATCAAGGCGGCGTCAAGCCCAGTGCCATCAACAGTTCATTCATTTACGGCGGCGTAAAGCCCAGTGCCATCATCAGCTCATTCATTTACTGCGGCGTCGAGCCCAGTACCATCATCAGTTCATTCAATCAAGGCGGCTTCAAGCCCAATGCCATCATCAGTTCATTCATTTACGGCGGCGTCGAGCCCAGTGCCATCATCAGTTCATTCAATCAAGGCGGTGTCAAGCCCAGTGCCGCACTACCGAAAAATTGTTAGGGTTCTAACTCAAAATTAGTGCGAATTAGTGCGGCATCCCCGTCCTACCCGTCCTATTTTTTTCCTTGATATTTTTTCGTCTATTAGGACTGAATCGCCGCCCTAACCGCACTATTTAGGAGGCTCTTTTTCATCATCCTATCGGCGCGCGCTTCCCACCAGGCGCGGAGGACAAATTGGTTGAAGATTGAAAAAAGAATGGAGCTGAATGGATAAGAAAAACGAATGACCCGCCATGATTTGCGGACCAATAAGCGCGCGTCTCTTTTAGGACGATTTTAGCGGCTTTTCCAACCTGAGAGTTAGGGTTCTAACAATAGGGTTCTAACTCAAATTAGTGCGGCTTGCGGGACCCTAATTTGCCAGCCCTGTTTAAAACTGATGAATAAATGTTCCGAAATAACAAGGGTGTAATTTTCATTTTTTTAAGTCAATTTCAATGGCGCACCATTATCTCCTTGGCTAACGAAATTTTCTCAAAACTACCTAGAAATGTCCATTGTGGCCTGAATCAGCCATTTCAAAAAACAAATATTTTTGAAAATAAGATGCGTTCCTTTTTATTTTTTGAAAAAGAAGAAAAGAATATTGTCTGTTTTTGAATATTTCTCTTTTAAATAAAAATTCAAATTGATATAAAAGAAAATGTGGCTATGATACTCGCATTGCAAATTGAAACTCTAAATTTGAGATTTGGAATGAGCGTGGTGAGAATATCCATCGGCTTGAGGTATCAAATCCTAGCGATTATTTCGATATTCGCTGTGATGATACTGCTCCTTTCTGTCTCGCTTGATTCATCCGTTTCTTCGTTGTCAAGAGTCATCAACAGATCCGCGGAGAATTAAACCTGTGCCTTGTCCAATGACTCGTTGAACAAGGAAACTTGAAGCTCTTGATAAGTCACCGAAGGTAGCTCGTCAAAGAACTTTGACCTTTCAAGATTCATTTACTGATCAAGGAATTCATTCAGAAAAGCTTCTGTGTTTTTCTGCAAAAAAAAAACTTGAATAGAATCGATAGCAAGTCCATAATCGGAAATTCTTTTTGACTATCAAAGAAAGTGAAATAAGAAGACATAAATACGCGGCAAATATGGACTAGAACTAAAAAAACGTAAAAACTGTATCTTTATTCAAATGATTGGCCTTGCTTTGAAGCTTGAAAGTAAAAAAATAAAGTTATAATAACGGGTTACTGAAAATTTTACTAATTGAATTTTAGTTTTTTCATTCAGAAAATTTATTCAATCCCATCCATATTGGATATCAACATCAAGTGTTGTTGGCTCAGTTGGTATCTGGCAGGATCAAGCTTTCTTAGCGAGGCGGGTTCGAATCCTCGCTGGTCATTCTTTTTTCGATTTTCTATTGGTTAGAGCGCGGGCTCACTCGCAGCGAAAACTCGAAACGCGTCGCGGCAAAAGCTTCTCGCCCCGGAGCGCCACCCTTTGCGTGACACTTCTCCGCGCTGCGCGCATCTAATTGGCTCTTTTCTTCTTCTCTCTTTATTTTTCAAAGAGTGATAACTCAAAAACTACAGCACCTATGAAAATTTAAAATTCATATCTGAAAAGCCTGAGTCTCAAAACCCATTTTTTCATTCATAAGTTCAGAAAAAAAATTTTTGGGTGCCCCGGTGGTGATTTGCGTTCGATCCCTAGATATATACTTCTTATGATATTTAGCTTTTTCGAGGAAGTATGGATTCAAGCAGTGCACTGGAGAGGGTGTTTTCGAAATCATCTATTTTTATGTCCAAGGAAAGATCAAGTTTGAAGACAGAGACGATAGAAAACATGATCAAGTTTTCCACAAGCGAAGAATTCAAAGAGGCGATCAAGAATGAATAATTTATAAGATTTTCATATATCTATTTTTGTAAGCAAATACAATATATATTTCTATATCATAAACAAAACTTGTCTTAAATTCGAACATAAACAAAAAAAATGTCCATGCCAGAACTTGCCATTTTCCTAGCTTGCCATGGCAAGTACTTGCCTTGCCATCAACTTGCCATGGCAAGTAACTTGCCTTGCCTTGTCTTGCCACGAAATTCCTTGGCAAGTTGCCGACCCCAGTTCTAAGTCGACTTTTTTGAGTCAAATTTCCGCTTTTTCAAAAAAAGAATAGACTCCATTCCTCCGGAAAAACTCGCAAATACAGTCCCTCTTTTAGGGTATTTTAATGGAAAATTTTCTTAAGGGTATCCAAAAATTAACGAAGATCGTCCCCTATTTTAACAGTTTTGTCGATAGTGCAGTTATAGAGACAGGTATTTGAGATGCAAAAACTGTTAAAAGGGGACGATCATCGTTAACTTAGGGACACCCTTAAGGAAATTTTCCATTAAAAATGCCCTATGTTCAAACCTGGAAAATTCTCTTCGTCTTCATTTTCATTCTTATCTGTTGCAATTTCCGAGTCGTGTAATAACGAGAAAAAGTCAATCTCTTGTGGCATATTTCTTTGGAAATGATGATCTCTTTAAATGTCTCCCGTAAATTGTGGCGAAATAAAGGCTTTTCCGAACTATTGTTTCTCCTCGTGCTCGTTTTATTGACGTAGTGAGTGAACGCTGAAAGATAGCTTCTTGCGCAACTTTTATTTAAAAAACGGGCCCTCGGATAAATGAGCTTGAGATGCTAACGGCTCTGGACGGATTCAAAAGGATCGAATTCTTCGAGAACATTCGAAAAGTTAAATTTCAAATTTTTTTTAATTTTCTATGAATAAATTTTGAAATAATAGACAGAACACGTGTCCTTTTGAGCGCTAAATAACGCCGCTTCTAAGCTACAAGTCACAAAATTTTTGAACAAAATTCTTTGGCTCAGGTGTTAAGTCATGTTTTCCGAATTATTCTTTCGTCGGATCGATTAGGAACGGAAAACTAAACTGACCAAAGCGTGGAATTCAAGAGAAGCAATAACATGTCAAGAAGCGTTTCGTTAATAGAAGTTCTGCATTCAAAAAATGACACCACTTGGCAAGTCAACTAGGTTTGAAAATGGAAAAAAACCCTTCTTTTTTTTGCAATTTCATGAATTTTCAGCCTGCTCACAGTGCTTTATTTTTAGCCATCGGGCATTATTTTTTTATTATAATTTTTTCGTTTCAGCAAGTTTCAACTTGTGGGCATTGATCAACGCAAAGTTGAACGACGCAAGCAACAGTTAACGAGTCGCAATTGACAAAAACAAAGTGTTGAAGCTCGAATGAAATGGGCGATAAAAGGGAAAAGTTGATGACGCTTTCGACGCATGGATTTTCAAAGTTGAAGAACTCGTATTGGCTCGTTTGACACTCTAAAAAGGCCTTTGGTCGTATCGATCTGGTGTTTCCTTACCTCCAGAACAGCTGGTAAAATGATAGTCAAAGAAAAGCTCTTCTCCCAAATTCTCAAGAGCGAAAGTGACCATCTCGCCAATAGCGACTTCATTCTTCGACGGAGTCAGCCGCAAATTCGTTGCAAAATTGTGAATCGTTTCCGGATCGATTGTATAATTATTCGTCTCGAGCTGCTTGTGTATATCGTCTTTGATGATCAAATTTCTCGAGTATTCGCAGTTCACTTCTCCGAGATTCAGAATATCCTCCGAGTCCCATTGATGAAAAGCCTCGACTGTATTTCGCAGCCCGAGGGTTTCTTCTGTCTCAAATGGTTCAAAGCCGCAGTCGATTCCTTCCGAGAAGGTCAAGTTCTTCGACAAAACTGTGTCTGAGTTTCCACCGCAAAGAATTCTGAATAAGAAAATTCATAACTTGTAAAGAAAAAAACTAACCTTGATGAAAAACCATCCAAGCTCCAGCTATCATAATTCTCCGGAAAAACACAGGCATCATATTCGACACTCAAACTCGCCAGCCCACAGCTGACAGAGACGAAATCGGGCGAAACAAAGCAGCTCCCCGAGTTGTCATCATAAGTCCAGCATTCTGTTAGACAGGGATTTTGGTCCTCCGACTCTTCGGAAGAGCAGCTTTCTTTGAAATTTCCGCCAGAGGCGCAGACATGAATTTCTTCGCCATCAGTGTTTGAACCAGCGAGAAAGCCGATGATTTCAACTTCACTCTCAGAATCGAAGTCGTCCGAGAGGAGAATGTGAAAGCGCTTGAAATCGAATCGTTGCGCCTCGGCGCCAGAAATTCCGAAAAAGTCGACATTGTGCACTGTTCCCGGAAATTCAATCAAAACAGATGCGGAGGAAGAAAACAGGTCTCCAGGGATCGTGAATGAAAGAGAAATATCGGTGCCGGAAGACATTGCAAAGAGTTCTTTTGTCGAGGTTATCTTTAAAGGAGTCCTTGTTGATTTTCCAAAAGAAAACCTGAGATAGGGCCAAAAGCTCTTTTCAAGGACTATTCCTGAACGCATGAATCATCCACTGTAACTGCCGGATCTTCACATTGAATCGCTGGTCGGGTCATTATTGTCGTCGGAACCTGTGTTGATGCTTCAGTAGTTTGAGGGAGATCCGTTGTTCCAGGAGGCACTTCAGTTGATGATTCATCAGAATCTGATTCGCAGGGAAAGCAGGCTTCCCATCGGACATTCTCGTCAGTAGTAAAGCACCAGGGCTCGTCAAAATGAAGTGATAGGCAGATGTTGTCATCTGGAATCGAATATTTTGAGGTTACATCTGGCGAAAACTCGTGAGGATGGGGCGTTTGAGAGGACCAATGCTGACAAGTTAAGCCGGAAATTGTCGTTCTCTGCTCACAAGTCAAATCTAACTCGATCCCGAAAGATTGAGAAAAGGTTGAAAATAGAAGTAATTTCATTTTTCCTTGCAAATTTGCTCTTGAAAGATGCGCTATCGTCTCTTTTTATACAGACGAGAGAAGCTTTCCGCTCTATTAGCGAAAGTTACTGGGTTACGTTTTTTTCTCAGTGAGTTGAACATTTTTGACGGCTCGTTGGTTGTTTTGATTATGCAATTAGGAAATTACAGCGGAACGAATTCTTGTGGAAGGAAATTTGAAAATCTATAATTTTCAAATAAATTCTAATTTGAAATCAAAGAACTGCAAATGCCCTAAATAACTGTATTTTTCTTTGAATTCCTGAATATTTTGTTTCAGAAAAAGTTGCTTGAGTTTCAATAAAAACAAGCAGGCACAAGTTTCTTTTTGAAATAATATCGTTTATTTAAAATCTCTAGCATGAGAAGCTCTTGAAGAAGGCAGGACAGATGGCAGGCGTTTCTTTACACAAAAACTGAGGTAACGCACTAAGACAGGAAAACATTTCATCTTTGAAGTACAATTCTAAATATACAGAAGTAAAGAAAACAGGGGAAGGGTTCCTCTCGTGGTCATTTCGAGAAATGTTCCTCTCGTGGTCATGCACCTCTCGTGGTCATATTCCTCTCGTGGTCATTACTCACCGGCTTATGAAACTTAGGGTCTCCCAATTTCCCCCGAATTTCCTCAAAGATAGTGCTCACACGCTTTATATATTTATAATAAGAGGTCATAAATTAAGTTTTTAAATGAATAAAAATCGAGATGAATTGATGAAAACAATTTTTTTAATCGAAAAACCTAAGAAAGATAATTATAGATCTCTCATACGTTTGCCTCTTATTCTAAAGAGAATTTCTTCTGGTTTGTGCAAATAAATAAACATATTTTTATTTGAAATTATTGAAAATTTAACTCAATCAAATTGACCTTCTCATAGTATCCTTGAAAAAATGCTTGGAGACCCAACTTATCATCAAAATGCTCCGTGATCGCAAGTCTCTACGTCGTGACCACGAGAGGAATATGACCACGAGAGGTGCATGACCACGAGAGGAACATTTCTCGAAATGACCACGAGAGGAACCCTTCCGAAAACAGGGTATTTTAATTGTGTGAAGCGTAGTTTCCTTTCGTGTACTCTTCCCAGCGCAGAGCGAATGATTCAATAACTGGGTCGTCCTGAAAATCCTCGTTTTCAATAAAAAGGAGCTAGAAACCGACCAGAAAAGAGTTGAGCAAGCGCAACTGTTGAACATGAACTGTATGATAATCCCAGCGAGCTAGATTCGGGCTTGTCTTCTTGACCACGTGACCGAGATCGTAGAAGGATCCTTTTCCAGCGTCGAAAAGCGGCAAAAGCGTCTGAAAATGGAACAAAATGATATTTGTCGCGTTCAAATCTTCAGAAACACACCTTCAGCGAGAGCAATCCTTCCTCAAAAAGCGTCGAAGCCTCAAATTTCAACGTCGGCGGTGCGTTTTCACTCTCCGCCAGGTCGTACAGCCCGATTAGCGAGTAAATAAATCCGTTGAGCACAAACAAGCCGTCTTCAAATGGATATTCCTCGTACCAGACGTGTTTGTCGAAGACCAGGTTTCGAACACCTTTGTCTTTTGGCCGCTTCTTGAAGGGTTCCAAAGCCTTCCCAGCGGAAACCCAAAAAGACGGGTCGTTGAGAGAGTTGGCCGCGCGGACCATCATCGAAATCCCATGCCCCTGTGCCATCGCTGATGTCCAGCCAGGAACCAGCTGAAAAGAGCGTTTTTCTTTGTTGAAAAGCAACTTTACTTACATCGGGATAATCAACCCTTTCTTTGCCAACATCTATCGGCCAGGTCCCATTTTCCGTCTGATGATCTCTGAGCCAAATAGCTGCGTTCTTGAATTCTTCCAAATATCCAGTTTTCGCCAGTTTAACAGATTTGATAATTCCCTCTCTTTCGAAGCGAATCGAGTTGATTCTGTCCATTTTCCCGCGAAATCGACGGACAGATTTTTGATTTCGTTTTCCGAGACCTTTCAGGGCGTCGTTGAGGATGTCTCGTGAAATACAGCCTAAAGAATGACTTGAATTATCATTGAAATCGAGAAGATCTTTACCTGGTTCATTTCTTTCCCCGATTCCAATCACAATCAGCGCCGCGTAGCCCCGTTTCTCGTGTTTTTCGATCATTGGAACTTCTTCTGGCACTTTATTCGCGATGTAATGAATTTCGACTCTTCCTGTTCGCTCCTTCGAGTCAGAAGTGGAAATACGCGGACTGTGATCGACGATTATCGACGATCCTGGAAGCAGTTGTTCGTAACAGACGGTGAGATAGCTGTTGGAATGTTTCTGGAAAGTGCTGATTGAACAGGGTGGGTCGAGGTCCTGTTCAAATTTAGAGCCGCACTAAGAAAGTTGGTTGAAAGGGGGACAAAAGAGAGGAGGGGGAATCTGTCCGGGTTTCGGGAGTCCCGAATCGGGACAGAAGGTTAGTCCTCCTGGGAAGCGGTCGACTACTCCATCCCCCACTACCATGAAGAGTTAAAACTTACAGAAGGAGTGTAGGATTGCGAATCATAGCTACTCGTTGTGACGTTCCTCGAGTACGCTGCCAGTCCGTATTGCGCGATTTGAACCGGGTAAAAGTATCCTTCCGGGCTCCACTGTGTCGAAAACGGAACACCTGATGGAAAATCGGATTTCAAATCATTCATTTGTCAGCTTTTTACCTTCGACGCCGGAAATGAGTTTCACTCGCTCTCGGGACTCGACGCGGTAGTTTTCGAAAGTCATGAAGGACGAGTTCGGGGTGTATTCTTTGTCACCTTTGTAGTTCATTTCGCTAACACAAGTAGTTTAATTTTTTTTGGGTGGAGAAAGTCGAACCTGTAGCTATTTTTGAAGACAAACTGGTCTTTCTCGCCGCCGAAATCGCCAAAGACATCAAAAAACGACTTGACCCAGATCCATGGGAAATAGACCTCATCGCTTTCGTCATTTCTGATGCCGATTATTTGATTCTCAGCTTCACCGTTGATTAAAATTGGCAGCTTGGAGTAGTTGGGAGCTTCTTCGGCGTTGTGTGAAGACGATTTTGAAGAAGTGGTGAAGAATTTGCTGGCTTTGATGAAGTTTTAAATAATCAAATTCATTCATGAAAAAAATTAATAAAAATACTCTTCCTGCGATTCCAAAGAAAATTCCCAAAAAGAGCTGTCCATATTTCACTGCCAGTCGTCTGATGAGCATATCTTCTATCGTCGAAATCGAGCAAAAATTTCAGTTTTCAACCTTTTTCTCTTCTTCATGCAAAATCGATAAATTTCTGAAAAGAAAATACTTTGAGAGGCGATTAGGCGAGAAATTTGGGGCCATTCGACAGCTCGTAAATAAGCCCGAATGAGCAGAAAAATTAACGCAGAATTTTGGCTGCTCCCGCATTTCCCAAAATCCTGGATTTCCCAAATCCTGGATTTCCCAAAATCCTGAATTTCTCAAAACGCCAAATCAGGATTCTGCCGATTCTGGATTTTGGGAAATGCAGGATTGGGAAAAGTAGGATTTTGAGAAATGAAGGATTCAGCTTAAATTGGTCTCCGTTTGCCCGAAAAGAAGCCGATTCTGGCTTCTTTAACCCCAATCCTGGCTTCACCAACTTCAATCATATCTTCGCCAATATCCTTGATATTTTTGGGTTCTCCATCGTCAATTCTGGTACATCTTCAATCCTAGCTTTACCGACTTCAATTCCGAATGTCCGCTTCTCCAATGTCAATCCCGGCCTCTTCGACGTCAATCCCGACTTCTTCAATGTCATCAATTTCAATCACAGGCTGTGATTCACAGCTTTTCCAGCAATAATCTCATCTTGGATAAGCCATGAATCATGGCCCATGATCGACATTCAAGAAGCAATTATAGAGAACTGAGAAGTCGGGACTGACATCTGAAAAGCTAGGATTGAAAAAAGTGACGGCCGGATCGGATTTAAAGAAGCCGCGATTGACGCTGGAGATGCCAAGATTGACGTATGTAAAGCTAGGATCGAAGTTGTTGAAGCAAGGATTGAAGTTGGTGAAGTCGGGATAGACTGTGGAGAAACCAAGAAATTAAAGTTATATGATCAATCAATTCAAATTTGGCAAAGCAAGAAAACTGACTCAAAAGAAAAAATAATCCCGCATTTCCCAAAATCCTGAATCGGCAGAATCCTGATTTGGCGATTTGAGAAATTCAGGATTTTGAGAAATCCAGGATTTGGGAAATCCAGGATTTTGGGAAATGCGGGAGCAGCCCAGAATTTTGATATCAGCTGACTTGGGACAAGATTTTAAGTAATACAGTAAAACGACTATATGACAGTAAATTGAATTTACCGAACCACAAAATTGGTGGTTATTAAATAATAATGAAAAAAAATCGAGTTTACGATTAAAAATTTGAGTTTAAAATAAAAATCCCGTGCTGTTAAAATTCTAGAATTTTCTTTCGAGAATCTTCCATTCTAGAAAATTCCGCAGAGTCTGGCGCAGACATTCATTTCTTTAGTGATAAATTGTCTTCTCTGTGAGCGCGCCCCCGCATTCTTCGCGTAGGCTCGTGCCAGATCTCTCCTGTTTTCGTCAGACGCGTTTGATTTTTATTTCCGCGCCACTCCCGGCCTCAGTCTTTCACTTTTCGAACCAGAAAAAAAGAGAGAAAAACGCGAAAAAATGAGCGACGTGGAAAATCAAGCGACTGAGAAGTCGAAGCTGAATGAAACTCCATCTGATAACTCTGGATGTTACACCAAAGAAGAGCTTTTAGGTAAGAAATTGAGAATTGTCTGCACTACCGCGGCTTTTATATTCTTTCTCGGAGCTCAGCGCGGCTTCTCTATCTAAAAGAAATTGCAATTCTGAACATAAGACTCCACTAAAATCACTCTTTTAGAGCTCTCGGATACTCCTGGCTGGAACATGGCTCGTCGAGTTCTCCTGCTTCTCTTCTGGATCTCCTGGTTCGGCATGATCGCCTGGTCGGTCCTCATCGTCGTCCAGGCTCCGAAATGCAAGCCCGAGCCCGTCCAAGCTTCTTTCACTCAAGGCGCTCTCGGGCAGCTCGATTGCTCAAAGAACACCTCTGATCTCGTCCAAGCCGTCAAAGATCTCGAACACGGAAAGTTCCAAGGCATTGTTCTCTCTCTCTGCCCTGCTGGAAGCGAGGAGAAAATTGGTGAAGTCCTCGGCGCCGCCAACGCCAAAAATATTAAAATGATCACTTCCATCGACGCCGCCGACTTGGACTCTTACGATTACTCGCTCAAGAACTCCACTTCTTCTGGCGTCATTTTGCTCAACGTCGATTCCGCCCTCACTCTTGCTAACATCCCGAAAGATTTCGACGTCTTTGTTCAGTCATCCGACGCCGGAATCACCGTCGCCGGGGACCACTACTGGTTCAAGTCGGTCAACTCCATCAGCTCCGCAAAATCCTGGCTCGCCGAAACCGTCGGTGCCTACAATCAAACCGAGCCAACTCCTGGGGTTGAGAAATGGGCAATCGATTCTGACGCCGCTACGAAAGAAACGCTCTGGATCGCAGAAGACTTTAACTCTGTCGCTCAAGTTGCTTTGACCGGTGCTCTTCCTGGTGGATTCGTTTTCCCAGTCGAGATGAAGGATAAGTTTGGAGAGCTTTCTTCGATTCGTGGTCAGCAAATTCCTCTTCGCGCTATTTCTGTAAGTACAAGACTATCAATATTTTTTGCTATATGTTTTGAATTCAAGAAGCCCCTTGCGGCTTGCGTTACAAAATGAAAATACTCAACGCAACCAGGGTCTCGAAAAATTGGATGTGGGGCGGTTGTTAGGGCGCCCCCTCTCGCTCTCAACATCGGCGCGCTCGTTGTTCACTTTCAAAAACAATTTGGGCTGGATGTTTGAAATATAGGCTCGCGCCAAAGGGAAAGTAACGCTGTAGGAATATGCAAAAATGTTCAAATTCAGTGAAACTTAGACTTAGAATATGTAAAACTTAGAATATGTAAAAATTATTTTGAGATTCGGGGCAATTAGCTATTTATGATTGACAGATCACAAAATACACGTTCAAGTAACTAGCACATTTTGGACGTAATAGTTGCCCATGAATTCGATATTCTTTGCAAACAGGTAGCTTACCACTTCCAACTGTTTTGTTTAGATCACCCGGTGATTTTTGTTACAGTAGGTCAGAGTGTGCACCCACTGAGATTATGGGGCCTTTCGATGCCCCGGGGAGCGCGCAAAGCACTAGCGCACTGCCACTTACACTCATTCATATATACACCGCGTCTACCTGATAAAATCCCAAACTAGGCAGCTGGGGTAATCTGAAATATTTTCTTCTGAGTGTTTCTTGGATTTTTCATGAAAATACCGATTTAAAACTAAGATTATAAAGATATCTAAAAATTATTTGGATAATAACATCTTTTTTCGCAAATCAGATATGATATTTTAATCATTTACTTGGAAGGGCGACGTAGGGTACTTATTTGTTTATTTCTATGAGGCGAGGACCGCGTACTTGTTGGTGAACAACCGAGCGCCCGTTGTTAACAATCGCCTCCCGTTGCGCACAACTGTCCGCGGAGGGTGGCGCAACATCCAGCCCACCGTTGTTTTCTCGCGCAAACATCTAGGGCGCGGGGGTTGAAAGCGAGAGGGGGCGCCAAAACAACCGCCGCGCATCCAATTTTTCGAGACCCTGAACGCAACGCCTTCTCCTTTATTTCATTTCTTCAGGGTTCTGAGATCACCTGGTTTGGCGACGACGCCGGCTTCTCCCGAAAATTCGACCTCCACCCCGTTGTCGATTCCATTTTCAACCTTGGCGCTGGTCAACTTGATTTGACTTCTGTCCGCGGCGCTTTTGCTGGAACTCGTGCGCGACTCTACCCAGCTGGAGAAGCTGATGATCAGATTCTTGCTGCTGGCGATGCTCGAATTTACTCTGTTTCCGAAGAGTGATCATTCTTCTGTTTTGACCTTTTTCTGATTTTTTTCTGAATTTCATCTGTTTTTCTTTTAATTAAATTTCGGCAACTAAAATCGTCCTCTTGTTCCTCTTTTCTTTGCATGTCCGCAGAAAAAAAAACGCATGAAAAATCGTTAGAATGGACGATCGAAGGAGGTCGACGATGTGCGGCTTCAAGACGCAAATTATTTGGTCGCCAAGCGATCCACGTCTTTTCGCGACGATGGAGGTTGCTGATATGCGCCATGTGCTCAGGTTTTATCATCTCGTTCCAGTTGAAAATACTCCCGAACGGAAAACGCACGCGTTGCCGCCAGAAAGGATCAGGGCTCCAAGAAAGTAGTTAAGGTCCTCTGGTCTACCATTGCCGCAGAATAAAAGTGCCAGTCACAGTGACTGCTGTAGTCAATAGCGAGCCCTTGAAAGAACAGAATTCATCAGTCCGATAACGCTTCCCTTTCCGTCAGAAAATGCTGTCTGGGTCAATTCGATCAAAAATAAACACACGATTCTGGTAGATGACAAAACGAAAGAGAAAGAAAACACGATACGAATCATCACTTTTTCAATCGTCGACGGCAGAATTGAATATGAATCTCCACTGGCGAATTTGCCCGAAAGAAGCGCGAACATGACCATTTCAGTGATGACCTTCAATCAAGAAACGAATCAGCTTCTCTGCGCTGGAAAACAGGCTCGCGGAACTCTGAGCTGCTTCATTTCTACCGAAAAGAAAAAGTTCGAGGACAAGCAACCGCTCCACATTGACGACCAAAACGGGGCAGACATCATCGACGCGGTCTTGAAGTCCAAAGATCATGTTTTTCTGTCGATGGCGTCGGAGAAACCAATGATCGTTTTCGTCAAGAATGACAACATGCGAAGAGCAAGAAGTTATATCAAAACTGGTTTCACTCCACAGGTATTTTTTTCAACAGAATATCTTTTTGCCTACTTTCTAGGGCATGTCTTTTTCCCCAGCAAACCAAACGCTCGCCACTTTTGGCCTAGACAACGGTTTCACCCAGCTGAAGATCTACGATACTCGTGGACTAGACAACTACGATGCGTACAGTCGTGATTTGGATCCGGTCTTCAAGCACACTTACAACGACACGCCAAAGGTCCAAATCCATCAGATAATTTTCTCGCGCTACAGACCGGAACTTCTCGCAAGCCTGACGACGACTTTGATGGGCGACTCGAGAGACGTGAAGCTCGTCGTTCAAGAATTCCACCGCGATAATAACAAGTACCGCGACAGGAACAAACAAGACAGCCAAGTCGAAGGGCCAACGACGATTTTTCACAAAACTGATCACACGACCATCAATCTCCCTTCACTCACTGCGATCGGCTCTGCCCACTGCTTCAGATGGTGTCCAACGCAAATGAAAATAATCTGCTGGGAGCGAAACGAAATGCCAACGCTTCATCCTGTTCACGAACATCAAGTGCCTGTTATCTCGCCAATAACAGGGGATATTCTCGTTGGTGGGGCAAAAGGAATCATTACTTTTCAAGCGACGGATGAGAGGATGGAGCGATTTCGTGCGAGACTCAAGCTGAAATATGGTCATTTGCTGGCGAAAAATATGTATAAAGAGTTAGGCAAAGGGTTGAATTTGACTTATCTTGGGGACACCCTTATTTATGCATGGAAACTTGCTCGGAATGGTTTAAGGTTTGATTTTACGGGTCATAAGGGTGTCGCTATGTTTATTTTCCGAAAATAACCCTCGAAAAGCCGCCAAAGCCGCAGAAAAGATCCGAAACTACTCCTCGATCCCGGATGTAACATCAGATCCTCGAAGAGAGCGTGATTTCGCTCAAATATGGAAATATCTCATTCGCACGAAAAAAGCGGACATTGAATATTACAAAAGTAAGCATATAATTTTACCTTTTCATCCTTTTTAGGCGGAAAATAAAGAGCAGGAGGAATCGGAGGAGCCGATTCCCCGGCGCCAGCCCTCGAATTCCAGAGGAGGTAGTATAAAAATGCTTGAATCTGACGATTCCCCTAAATTTCAAGTGATATGAAATTTCGGAAAAATAATATGAAAAGGAAAATTAGAAATAACGGCTTACAAAAAAGTGACTTTGATTCAATGGATTATGCTGTAGAATCTTTAATTGAAGAGCTAATTCAATAATCACTAATTTGAGCGTCTTTTTACGAGTCTTTTTCAGAGTATCACCTGAACAGGAATCGAATAACGACGGGAATCGCTGGAACGCTGATGAATAAATACAGAACGGGGATGAAGGAGGAATCGGAGACGACAGAGGGCTACTGGCAGAAGTCAAGAGACGATGACACATGCATTTTTACGTCGAGAGTCTACACCTCCGATCGTAAGTTAAAGAGTTCATTCCTCAATAAATAAATATTGCCAGCTCGGAGACGAGTAATCGAGCTTTGTGGCTACTACGACCCTTTGTACCACACGCCGAAAGAAATCTCCAACAAGATTGACGAGTTACTTCTTGAAAATCCAACCAAAGCGGCGGCGTACGCCCTCTTTTGCCGCCAAAAGTGGCGCGCGATTCAAATCCTCAAGGACCAGCGCCAGGAGAAGATGACCTACATCGTTCTGGCTATTTCAGGCTTCAATAATAACTTCGGATCGGATTGGCATCAGGAAGTTGATGAGCTGCTGAATTCAAGATCAGAAGCGAACGATCCTTATGTTCGGGCGATGCTGGGCTTTTTGGTTGAAGAATATGGCGAATATGCGTATCCGAAGAAAGTACTGAATTTGGCTGGATTAGATGTCGATCTCAAGTAAGCGCGGGTTGAAAAGTTTGGTAAAATCAATGATCTAGGATAGCTTTCGCAGCGATTTATCTTTCGGATGATATTCTTCCTCGTTATCTGCGAACCTTGGCGACAGAACTTGACAATCAAAAGTCGTTGATGGCAGTTGCCTTGTCTGGATTCGAAGGTAAGCCTCTCATCTCGATATTTTTATGTTGATATGCATTCATAGATGTTGATGATGCACGGATCTTTGATGGATTTGAGATTCTTTACGATTATTATCAAACGATTCCGGATATCCTCTCCCTTCAGGTATAGTCAACACACTTAGAATTTATGACATTTATGGTCTTTTAGACGATCATTTACATCATCTTCCATGGCTACAGTTATTCGGCCTTCAACTGCTCGAAACGACGAGAGAATCTGTTCACCGAATGGACGGAAGACTACACTCAAATTCTTCAAGACAATCAGCTTTACAACGATCGTTGCGAGTTCGAACACGTCCTTTACAAAATCATCCACAATCCTGACGAGAAAAATGGCCACAGAAAGCACCCTCTTCATAGGTAAAATAAACTGATGATCCTCTTCTTCATGTTTTAGCACAATGTACGAGCTATGCCAGTTTTGCAAGAAGCCGATCAGCGATCTGTCAAAAGGAGAAAGATCAAAAAGTCGCGGAAGAAACCCTCCCAACGCGACAGAATGCATGTGCCAGAATAATGACTACACTGCTGGCGCGCTGGATAGAAGGGTCTGTTCGATTTGTCAGTTTCTTGTGACGCAGACGAGTGAGACTCCGCCAATTCGAGCTTTTGGGCAAGCGCATTATCAGAAAAGGTTTCTGCATTCTTGAAAGCCCTATTTACCGATATTTAGCCATCGTTGCGACTGGGTACTGTGCCTCTCCTGCGGCCACGGTGGCCACACTCCCTGCCTCAAAGCCTGGTTCATGACCTCGGAATACTGTCCTTTCGACGCCTGCAAATGCATCTGCAAAACATGAATTCCCGAAAACTGACGAATTTTCAAAAAACTTTTCAAAGCTGCCCCAAACTTCTTCAACTTTCATTTTCTCACAGTTCACAAAAAATACATTCAAATCCAACTTATTTTATTTATTACTTTTTAGTGATAAATCAAGCGCTTCTAAAATTTCCTCGTTGAACTTTTTGTCTTCTGTTTCTTTGAATTCGTGGATCTGGTGAGCAGGAAAAGGCATCGGAATCGGAACAGGGATCGGAATCGGGATGAATCGGACGCCAGAAATGAAGTTGGGAAGAGTTATCTTTCTTTGTTGATTTTCGTCTGGCCGTGGAAGCGGAAGAATTCGACTTGAAGGGGGGATTCTTGTAGAGGGAAGTTGTGGTTTTGGTAGATTTCTGATAATCGAAGGGTTGTGAAGGAACTTCCTCGGCCTTTTTCGCTCCCTCAAGTTTCAATTATCCACTTTTTTATGAAGAGTCTTTTTAAAAAAACTACGATCTTTACCTTTTTTGAATTTTGTCATTTGAAGCATCAATATTTCTTGAGAACGATCTCTTTTTAATTTCTATCCCGAACTTCGTCTTTTTAAACTCGGCCCTTCTCGAACTATTGAAACAGCTCTCAGTGCAAAATTTTCCAAAATTTTCAAAATCCTCAAAAGCGATTCCGCACCAGTCGCATTTTCTCTCCTGCTCGATTTCTTCTTGATTTTCAATCTCTATCAGGTCCTCATCTGCGCGCTCGATTTTGACGGTAATAGATTCTTCGCTTTCCGACATTGCTTGAAAGTGAAATTCTTATGTTTTTGCTCTTTGAAGAAAAGGGAGACCGAGGAGAGCGCGGGGGAGATATCCGATTTCGGCTTACAGAGCTGAAATTTCATACCGCGCGTGTATCTCCTCGGCTTCCTTCTTTTATCACGCGAGTTTTCTTATTTTCGGAGTCGACTTTTTTCTATCTGTTTAAAACATATCTTTTGCAAGTTTAAGAGATAAAATAGCACTTCGAAGTTTATTTCAATTATTGAGCAAAGAAATGTTTCGCAGCGGTTAGGTTTCTCTTTTCCGATGCCAGAAACAAAAGAAACCAAGAGCCAGGAGAGCTAAAAGCACGGCAGAAATAAATCCAATCATGCGCCAAGAAGAGCCATCTGTGGACACGACTGACCCTTCTAAAGTTCAGAGCAAATTCTAATTCTTTCCTCGGCAATTTTTGAACTTTTTCTTGGCCATTGAGGAATATACTGCAGCAGTTTGGCTCATCCAGAAGTTCGTTACATGTGTCAATTTGTGACTCAGCGTAGTTCGAATGATCCCTGTAGTGGATAATCTTGTAGCAAGCTGTAAAGATCTGGCTTATACAAAATTCTCTTCCGACGTTGCTCTCCACACAACTGTTTGAAAAAATCAGGAGGAAAAGAATTCTGTTTAGCACAAATTTCATCCAATTCATAAGTTTTTTTATCGTCTAGTGATTTTGTGCATTTGAATTTGACTGTCTTGATTCAAATTTGTTTCTTTGCTTTATGCTTTCCAAATGTCTCGAAATTTCCTCAGTTCAGAGGGCTTGATTAGTTATCGATTGAAAATTTTAATTCTAGTCGGGAATTTTATTTGGAAGATCAAAAAGCAGAATGATAGGATTTTTAGACAAATCCAAAGTCAGGTTGATCACGTGAGTTCATTTGTTCTTGCTCGAAGACGCTGTAGTTTGCATTTGACATCTGAGTCACTTAATTTTTTTGAATTAACAAGTAAAACTCAAAATTTTAAACCTGAAACTTGGGAAAGAGAAGGCGCCGGGCTCTGCGCATTCGATTGTCTAAAAACCGAGCCAGAAGTGGTCGAATACATGCTTCTCATCGTCCCATCAGTCGTCATTGTTCCTGTTGGTCGCTTGATAGTACTGTCGTATCCGAAGCGTGAGAGCTCATCAGGGGCGTAGTTGTCCAGCTGATCATCTCCGACGCGATTGGCGATGATGTGGACCATTTGCTCGCGGACCTTGTCGATTTCGATCGATTGGGAGTCTTTGTCCTTGATGTAGCTAGTCAATCGAACCAGGGTGATCGCAGCGTATGTTACTGTCGCTTCTGACTCAGCCTAATAATGTTTCTTAAAAATGTGTTTCAGACTCGTACCTGTAGAAGAGTGAGCAAATCTTCCTTCAGGGAGGATCCATCCTCCAAATTCAACTTGTACAAAATCTCCCTTGTTCCTCGATCAGCTGACATTTCGCACAAGAATCCGGCCACTGATCGCTGAAGATTTGAATGATCCAATTGAAGAAGAACGATGACTCCAGGAAGAATATTATCTCCGCGGATTCGTTTTCTTGGGTCTGAGTCACGAGCCATGAGCTAAAAAATCAAGGAAGAGAATTGAGAATTCGATATTCACCTGGAGCGCTCCACAGCAGCCTTCAGCAATGTCGATCATGTCGATTCCTTCGCTGACGATGTCCGAGCCAGTAACGATTTCTTGCTCAGCGTTGGTTAGCAATTGGACGAGTTTTGAGATCAAGTCCTGGTTCATGAAGAGTTCGCGGTTGCGCTTGTCGTGGCAGAGATTTCGGATGAAGCCGATTGTTGCTTTGACAGTTGGCCAGGAAGCAGATTGAGGTCCGGTCAGGAGTTGAGTAACCGTTGGAATGAGGGTCTTCGATGGACGAAAATAAACGTAGATATGAGAGTTTGAAAAAAAAATCTGCGCTGAAAATTATTGAAAAATGATTGGTCCTATCATTTTTCATCCGTTCCTGACATTGCTTTCTCGCCTTTTCGGCCCAGGAACCAAGCTCTCCTGACTCATCCCCTCGATCTCTTGTCACGTGTCTGAGTGCAGTTATCCCCGGCTCAACGACATCATCTCTGAAGCCATCCTTTGAGCTTGCCCGCTGGACAACCCGGGTCATTGCCTGAACTCCTCCAAGCTCGACGAAGGTGGTTTTGTTGATATAGTCATTGCAGGTCAAGTTTGACAGGATTCCAGCAGCGCTGATGACGTGGTTCAAATCATGCGAGGAAAGTTTTTTGATGCAGACTTCCATCAATTTGCTCGGATCGGCGCTTTCGACTTGGTTGATTTGATCGGAGATGTTTCTCAGCGTCCAAAGAGCGTCCATCGAAATGTCAGATCTGGAATGAGTCAAGTAGTCGATGAGCGTGTCGATTCCGCCATGATCGATGATCGTTTCTTTGTTTTGGTCTTCCACGGAAAGGACTTTCAACAGCTTCAATGCGGTCAGAGCGGTTTTCTCTGCCTTCTGGGAGTAGCGGAGGATTTCTAGCGCTTTTTGAGTGCCGCCCATTGATAAGATGATTCCTTTGCTTTCCATCGAATGAAAGGCTAAAATATGCAGCGAGTCGAGCACCATTGGCAAGAAGGGCACTTTCTGGTGTTCGGACATTTCTCGATCGATCAGTTCGACAATTCTCTCCACCCCGCCACAGATTCTAACTGCTTGCTTCGCCGGTCTGCCAAGATGTCTCATCAGCGTGTAAAGCGTGTTCAATGCATAACTGACGATCCTCAAGTCTTTCTTGGGCAGCATTCCGACGAGTTCAGGAATCGTGTGCGCCTTGAAAAGCCCCTCTTGCCCAGCTGGACATTTGGCGATGTTGGCCAAAGAAGCGAGGAGTTTTGCTTGGCCGCCGTGGCGATTTGCCTTGATTTCCCTCGTGATGGCTTCGAGGAGGGGCTGGGATTGGGCGAGACCGGCTCGTTCCGCTGGTTTTTGAGACATTTTGAAAACGACGTCAGATGCGCGCTCAGCTGTGGTTTTGTTTGAACTTTAAATGAACAAGAAATATTCTTCGAATTTAAGAATACCTGGTCAAAAGAGGAATTAAATCATTCACCGCTGTTGCTGCGACTAGCGCATCGTCTTGATAAAAAATCAGCTCAAGTAGCGCTTCTCGCAGTTCAAAACTCGGCACCGCCAGTTTTTCAACACAAGTTGGCTCGTCTCCGATCGACCTTGGTCCTTCATCATCAAGCTGATCCGGAAAAAATATTGCTTCAATCCGACCAAGTCGCTTCGCTATTTTTTCGGGATCGTAATCCGTCATTTTTTTCTCTTTTTTTTTTTAAATTTCGGTGAAAATGCGCCGCGAGCGAGAGAGCGTCAAATAAGCAAAAGTAAATATTTGAAATATTGTGAATAGACTTGAATCATTTGAAATTGAACATATTCGGAAAAACTTTCAAAATGAGAAGTTACGAAAGAAGCCCTGTCTAACAAGGTATCTGTTTCTTTGAGCTATCATAAAAGATCATTTTGAGCCTTTTTAGTCAATATATCTTTATGAATTTAATAATGTTTAATCATTTAAGTCTGATACGGCATCAACGGACACACGATAGTAGTTATTTGTCTTCAACAAATTGATCTTAAATAAAATACTGATACGTCAGATTCTCACCGAACTTATGGTTTTTACAGTTTTTTTTATTCTCCGAAAATTTTATTGCAAAAAAGAATCTAATTTCTTGTTATTTACTTTGTCAACTGTTTCTTTGCAAAAAATCTTTTTATTCATTCAAAATTCTCGCTCTGGGTTTCCTTAAATATTCCCACAAGATGATAAAATGTGAACCGAAATTGAAAACCCCAGCTCACCTTTGCTCCTTATGTTTGGGGACAGTTTCGCAGTTGTTTACTGCATCTGCTTGAGTTGTTGATCCTCTTCAAATGAACCCGTAGACTAGCTTACATCTCGTGCATTTCGTAAAAGCGAAAAAATCATGAGAGAAAAATATAAAATACTCTTTCTTTTTTTCATCAAATCTGCTTTATCGCAAGAAGAGTGCTCTCAATCAACGCTTGAAAAGTGCGATTTTGAAGCTACTGCTGATGCATTTCATTCCTACGAATTAACAAAATACAAACCAACAAATCTGTTTGATGTGGATGAAAAATCAAACCAAGCTCAAGAAAGAATCGTTATAAAAACTCAAACATCAGAAAATTCGCAATGCCATGTTTTCGAGTCTTCTGGATCTCTGCTCTTGAAAAATGAAAACACTTACTGCTCAACTTCGAAAAACGACGCTTCGCTGAATGATCTGAAAATTGTCGCTTCAATTTTCGAGCACGAAAAATTTTTCAACGAAGAGAACGAAGCTGAAGAGATAGACTATTTGGTTGAAGATTACAATGGAAAATGCGCCACTAAATTTAGCAAAGACGGAAACGGCTTCAGCTGGAGAAAAAACCTGGCGCATTGTTCAGGAAAATCGAAAAATGTGGCGACGAAAATCATCGCTCAAGCAGTCCCTCTTGTCAATTCTACCCTAACCTGCATCAACTATGATTCGAAATTCAAGTGCCTCGAAAGTCATATAACGAAATCAGCCGAAATTCATACGAAAATAGAGCTTGAGCCATTTTTTTCATTTCCGTCAAAATTTGACTTCGACCTTTCGAACTTTAAAAAAGACACTCTTGAACTCGCCAAGGTCAAACAAAGTTCCTCCGAGTTCGATTTGCCGATCGGCGAAGCCTTCGAAAAACTCTGCAGCTTGGGTCCAAAGCCAGGGGTAACTCACGAGCTGAGCAAATATTTTCGACGCGCGCGGGCAGATCAGCTGGTCGACTTGTTTGACGAACTAAGCTACAAATGCTCTTTCAATGAGAAAGAATGGAGGAAGCTTTTCAGGACGGTTATCACGTGGTGCGATTCTTTCGATTGTCTTGAAGCCGCGGAAGAGACGAAGATTCTTTCCGATGATGAAATTTCGAAGATGATTTTGACGAGAACTGAATTTTCAAAACCGCTTCTCGAAAAAATCATGAATCTGGAAAACAACAACCCTTTGAAATTCGCTGCTTTCATCAATTTTCTTCCCCAGATGTCATCGAAAATGGCGCTAGAAAAGCAAAAAATGATCGAATTCATCAATTTCTTTACTGAAAACAAAGAGGAAAACTGCGACTTGGCAACAAAAAGAATTCTCTCGGAAAAAGGACTGATCGACCAAAATTCCATCTTCAAATGTTTTCATCAAAATGAAGAATTGGATAGAGTCCTCATTTCTGGAGCGAACGATGGTCAGTGCGAAGATCTTTCTGGATTTTATGAGGACTTGATTTTCTTCGGACATGATTCAACGGAGATAAGAGCAAGGGCTTTTCTGAAATGGATGGTCTGTCCGACGAGTGAGAAGATGGCGAAGTTGGAGAGGAATTTTGAGTTCTTGAGCTCGGTTCAACTACAGGATTGGATAAAAGTATTCGTTCATTCATCATAAAACAAAAACCAGAAATAAATACAAACACAGCAGAATTTATAATATTTTTATTCACCAAAATCGAACACTTTAAATTAATATTAGCTGTATCAGCGTATAAAACCCTTGGCTAGATTATGCTTCAAAATTTATGAATGACTCTAAGCGATTATTATTCAAAAAAGGCATTTATCAAGAGCTACATGCACTCAATCCAATTCTCTTCCGACCCTACCCGTTGGTACTTGAAGCCTTTTATCTTCAACCTGGATCTCCCGTTCGACCCCTCATCCCTTCAAAGCTCTTTCATCAATCTTCATGTCCCGACCGACTTCCACTCAGCAACAGTAGAAGGCTTCACAATCTTCGCGGACGATTCAGAATCAATGCTTCCTGAGCTTCTTTACTCAAATGCTTCCTTGACATTTTATGGCGAAACATTCGATCTAGCTTCTTTGGAAATAAGAAAAATCAACGAGGATAATTCAAAAATTGGCATCGGCGCAGAAATCGGAGTTTTTGGAAGAAAAATGGTGAGCACTCAATTCGACAGTGGCGATTTGGAGCGAATGAAGGAGCTTTTTGAGTGGAACTGGTGGACTGGTGATTATTCAAACCTCCTCCCGGAGCTAAAGACAGGCGAGATAGATCTCAACTTCAATGAAATTCTTCTCATGACGGATTTCTCCATCCCTTCTATTTACGGCGACTATATGGACTTTTCTGGATGTCTTATTGGCGCGAATCAGTTTGAATTCGATTGGGCCTTTTCATCCATCAGGGGCGTCAATCTTCTACTTTCTTCCGACATAAATTTGGAGTTCAATGTCGATGTAAGTTTGAACAGAGCGAGATTCGAGGAAAGTTATCAAATCAGCGTCATGGAGGAAACAAAAGTCAAGACCGAGCTGAATTTCGCACTCGACAGCTTCGGCAACGTCGAAATGTTCGGAAAAATCAGCCCGCCGAAGTTTCAACTCGGCGTCTCTGAAAAACCAAAAGCAATTCTATCTGACAATTGGACGATATCAGCGCCGGAGGTCTTCCCGGATTTGGTTTTCAAGATGAAGAAGCTCGATGATTCGTGGCACGTGACTGTTGAGGATTTCATTGAAGGGAGAATTAAATTTCTCTCAGAGCCATTTTTTGTCGACTTGAATCTTGATGGCAAATTCGGCGATGAGTTTTTGCATTTATACACATTAATTTCGGCCGAGGAGAAGAAAGTTCAATTCCAATTAAAAACCGACTTGCCTTCGGAACTTTTAGACGTCTCTTTTGCATCAGGAAATCAAATTTGGACGGTTTCAGGTGAGAAAGAATATCTCAACTTCGGTGGAGGCTGGGCAGCATTTGCCAAATATGGATCAACTTTCGACCTTGCAAATACTATCTTTATCCGTCTTTCTCAAAATGATGAAAGCTCCAAATTCGAGGCAAAATTTTTGCTGCAAGAAAATGTCTCAAAAGCGCTGCAAATCGACGAATCCTTTGGTTTCTTTCATAATTCGACGGGGACATCCCTTTCGCTAAAAACATCACTTCTTGATCAACAAGCAGGGGTAAAAATTGATCACGATTTTGATGAAAAAAATACTTACTCAATCGGAATCAGAGGAAATTTCGGGGATAATTTGATTTCCCAAAGCGCAGAAATTAATCTGAACGATTCTAAAACTCTATCAACGGATGCTTCTTTCGCGAAAAAAGACCATGATATTGTTATTCTCGGGTATGAGGCCAGATTCTTCATATCTGTTCAGGAAAAAGACAGAATTCTCGCATTCGAAGTCGAATTCAATGAAGTTCAAGACAGTCAACCAACTGAAAATGGATTTTTCATCGGCGGAAAATCGCAATTTCTCATAAATGGAGCGCAAGAATCAAAAGAATTCACCCTCAAGAACGAAATCTCAACGAAAAATATCTTCGCGAAGCAAGCACAAGTCACAGATAAAATTCAACAAACAGTAGATCTCAATATCGATGCCTCAGTCATTCAACGACCAGAACTTCTAGAGCTCAAAGTCAAATCTACCGATGAAGAGTACTTGCTTCTTTCCTATCTTTTGAGAAATTCGCCAGATGACGGCGACGATCATTTTTCAACAATTCTCCGAGCAAATCTCTACATCCCATATTTGATAAAACTTGAAAATGGCTACTTGTTCATCGACACCTACAAGCTGCTTTCTGCCGATCACAAAATAAGAGTCAACGCAAAGATATCTTCTGTCCTTTTAACCTCCGACCCTGCTGAGTATGATTCCCTTCCCAGGTCGAATTATGCAGTTGCCTTCGAACAAGATGACTTTAAAAAGATCAAAGGGGATTTTGAAGATGGCGAGGAAAAGTACACAATTGCGTATTCCGTCGACTACAAATTCGATGAAGAAAGCATTTTCTCCAACATTTCTGCTTCCGCGAAAATCGACCTGGGAGGAGTCAACAATGAGTTCATGCTTGATATTTTCAACAATGAAAACGACGCGCGAATCGACGGCGTCTACATAGCCGACAATAATTCCATCACTTTCCAGAGCGCTTTTGACAAGAAAGGAATCGCCTCAACAGGCGTCCTGTCAAAAATCAAGGAGCTGAATTCTCCGAGCGCTAAAATTCGAAAGATCGGAGGTTGGCAGTGGAAATTCAAGCCCGAGTCTAGCATCGGATCGCTTCAACTTTTTCATCCGATTGAGGACCCAGGAGATTTGACGAGAATTGGGGATGTAGCTGCGTATAGAATGACCGTCAACTTCAGAAAGTATCGACGATTCGGAAAGGTTTTCATCAGCGGCAAGTCCAAATACCCCGGAAAGTACAAAAGAGCTGATTTCGTTGGAAACCTCGACACTCTTGCCAAATCGATGAATTTTACCTTGACAACGGATGAAGATGTGAAAACCAAAATCGACTTCGCCATCAACGATGCCATCGAACTGCACCTCGTCGACAATGTCTTTTTGTCCAAATACCTTCAAATCGACCTTTACTTCATCAGCCGATTTTTCGAGAAGAAACGATGGAGGCTAAGGAGTAGAATTGGCCACGCCCTGGCCCCTGTTTTCGATTGTTCAAGTACAGGGGACATTACAGACACGACGATTCTTTTCAAATCCTCTTGCTCGGGAGAATATTATGACAAAATTGGATTCGAGCTTCAATCGATCAACAGCGCAAAACAAATTTCCTCGACCATTTTTGGCTTCAATCGCGATCTTGTCCTTGATGTCGATATTCTCGACGAAATCAAGAAAAATCTCCTGATCATTTATCACGAAAACGAAACGGAAATGATCAAATGGAGGAGTCAAGGAGCATTGGACTTGAAAAATCAACCAAGAGTCATCATCTCGACAAGCTGGAAAAACGAGAAATTTCCAGAGCTCGCTGAAAATGCCGAGTTTGAATCGGGATTCAGAGTAAATGAGCTTCAAACGAGCATTAATAAAATCGATGTCAAATCGATCCTCGCGAGCTTGAAAAACTTCGACATCGAGCATTGGACGATGGTCTCTTGGAATCAAGAAAAAATCCACTTCCGACCGAAACTCGCTGTTCATCTAAATGACGATTCTCTTTCGGTCCAAGGACTTTATCATTTCGAAAACTCCCTCAAAAACATCAATCAAGACAATGGAATCGAATTCATCGGCTCAAGATCCGGCGATTCTGCAGTAGATTTCGTGGAGAAACTCGCTCAAGTTCTCGCTTCCGAGAATCTCTCAGACCTAAGATCTCGTCGATCACTCATGTTTGGCGAAACAAATGGACTAGCAAAATTGAGCGTGAAAATTGACAGCGTGAATCATTATTTAGAAATTAGCGGAAATGGAAGAATTCTGCGATCAGGCCAGGTTGACATGACATCGTTGTTCTCAACATCCTTGGGTTTCCTCGAAGAGTTTTTTGGCCCCTACATAAAACTGAATATCAAGGGATCGAGGCCTTCCAGGATCCTGCAAATCGCCCTCGACAACCGAACGAAACGACAAGAACTTGAACTCGCTCTTGAAACATCATCACGTGACTCAGGAAAAGAGAAGAAAATCCGCCTCAGAAACGTCAAATTCGCTCAATCTTTCGATATTCTCAGCAGTTGGCCTAGAGAAATTTCGATGAAGGGTATTTGCCAATCAACCACGAGCTCGCAGGAGAAATCGTTGGTTGAATTATTGCTGGATGATTTTTCTGTGCGATGCGATCGGCTTGATCTAAAAATAAGAAAAGACGCGAAAGATATTCTTGTCGGTCTTGATGGCAGTCTTCAGCGAGTCAACAAGGAGTTCCAAGGAAGTGTCGAAATAAGAACCAAGGAGTTGGAAGAAATTCCGAGAAGAATGAAAGTTTTGATCACGGGAAATGACATCAGCGAAGAGAACTTCCAAAAAGCCGATTTTTATTGCGGCGTTGATCCTTCAAATTCGACTCAACTTGCTTCGAGAAATCTCTCGACGGAAATAAGTCGCCATCTGTCTAAAAGAGTTGAGTGTTTTTTCGTGGCGAAATTTGACCTTCAGTTTTTAAAATCGGACAAGGATTTCGGAGAGTACGACAATCTCGGTAGCGGAGAAACAGTCATGTCCGTTGCGAATCTTGGCCAAGAAAAATATCTCTTTCAGGCGAATTTTGACCCGGATGAAGTTACGTCAGAACTTTTGACTATCAGCAACTTCGTCGGATCTTTCCTTGTCGGCGAGAATCTGGAAAGTGTAGCAAGAATACAGTATCAGCCAATGTCAGATAAAAACGACTGGGTTGCATACTTGGTCCGACACGATTTTTACCCGCTAGAGTCAGAGCGCCCTCTGGATTCTCACGATTACAGATCGATTTTGATCAAGAAACAAGACTCAAATGGCTTGCTCGAAAGTTTCTTTAAGTATTACACCGCTCATAACAAATTGAAGCGATTCCACGAGAGTCTCGAGAATCTTCAGGTTTTCTTTCCATTTGTTAACGAGCCGATTCGACTGGAACTTTCGAACAATTTTGAGAAAACTGAGCTTTTGACAGAAATAGAAGGATACAAAGTCACTTTCTTGGGATCTTATGCTGAACTCAGATTTGGGCTTCAGAAAAACAATTTGGAAGAAAGTCATATAATTTCTATTATAATGGATTTCAACGATAAAAATGACGACGAGACTTATGCATTATTTGATTACAGAATTTTCGATCGCGTCTATTTTGGAGTCAATTTAACTGACATTATTGGAGTCGGAGAACAATCGGGTTATTTCGATGGAAGAGCCGATGCTTTCGTGCTACAATTTATAACAAGTCAAAAGGAAGATCAACCAAAAACAATTCTAACGATGTCAGTCGGTAAACAAGAAGAACAGATGATACATGGTTTCTTTAACATTCATCATAAAGACACAACTTGCCGTTTACAGACTAATTATTCAACTGAGGAAGAAAGTTTTGAACTTTCATTCAACTTGATCGAATCCCTAAAACATCATTTGAACCTTGTGCTTGCGACCAACTGGGAAGGAGATAAAATGTATGATCTCTTCATTCATCCTTCTATCTACTTGGCTGGCGAGGACTTCTTATCTACAGCGATTTTTGTCGATCTCCACGAAGAAATGAAAAATATACATGGCAATTTTTCGATTTACCCTGAATCCGATCAATCATCTTTCGTTAATTTCAACCTGGCAAATAATTTCGACTCTGAATTCGACGCTGGCGAAGAGTTCCGTTTTAAATCCAGTCTCCTCCCTCTCCCCGATGTGACGGTTTCCGACCAGCTCGAGTTCGACCTCAAAGGCCTTGGAGGAGTCTACAAAGTTTCCACTGAATGCGGCTTGAATGACAACAACAATGAGGTCGTCACAACGCTTCTTCGCTGCCCTCGATTTTTCTCTAGAATCGGGAGGGTCAATTTCGAGACGGAAGATGGCCCCGGCTCCGTTTCTTGGAACGCGGACAGAAAACTCGGGAAAATAATTGTGCCAACCGAAGATTCTCAAAAAATCTACGACCTGAACTTCGGGAACAATTCGGTGTTCTATCAGCATGATGGTGAATTTCTCTCGGCAAGATGGAACGACCAAGAAATTTCGATTCAAAACGAGCTTGAAGATTCTTGGTCGCCAGTGGATTTTGATGAATTGAAGATTTCGTCGACAGAAGACGGGATTCAAGTCAACCTTGATTCGGAGAAAATGGACGTGGATGTTGTCATCGACGGCGATGGTGAAAACTACTCGATCAGGGTCGAAAAAGACGGCGAAGTTTCAACAATCGAAAAAAGCGAAGAAAAGCCATTCAAAATCAGCTACGGCGAAAACATGAATCTGGAAATTGAAACTGACGCTTCTGGCAGCGAATTTTCCTGGAAATCGGAAACGAGCGAGGGGTCACTTTATTTTGGTCTCGGCGGAGTTGAGCTGAATTCTAGAGATGAACAAGGATCAACACTTTCAACTGGTCTTCGATGCGAAATTAACCCCTTGAATCCGAAATGCAAGGCTTGGTTGAATGACAAATTTGTCAAGATATATTCTAAGCTCGACTATGAAGTCGACTACAGCCAACGAATAAAAATTCTAGCAAGAATTTATTTCGAGCAAAATATCTTCGAAGAGATTCCAGAGTATTTGGCGGTCAATTCAATCGGTGCTGTTGGAATCGGCGATAAGCAATATTTTTCTTCAGGCTTCGGATACACTACGGAGAAAAAAGAAAAAGCATCGCTTTCTTCATTTTTTACCACATCAACGGAAGAAGACGACTACGTTGTCGAAGTAATGGCGGCAAATTTTACAGAAACTGGATCAATAGAAATAAGGGTTTCAGATTTTTATGTCGATGTGTTTTTCTTCTCCTTGACTCCAGATGATTACTCTTTCTCCACGATGTTTAATTTCAATAAAAAATATTTCGACGATCTAGATCACTTTACAATTGGATTTAATGGACAACTGAACAAAAAAAATCCCCGTCACTCGGGTTCCTTCCAATATGGTGACTTACGTTTCGATCTAAATGTCGCACGAAATGTCGACAATAGCGATAATCGTGTTCCTTTTAAATTAGCGTTCGAAGCGGCCGATACAATTACCCAAGTGGATACAGTGGAATATTCAAGTTCTGAAGCTTCTTTAGTTTTCTCTACAGATTTCAGAGGCAGCTTGAATTTCGAGTTTGATGAATCAATGATAACAGGAAAGGTTTTTTTGCCCCCTCAAATTTCATTCAAAATACTCTCAAATTATTAAAAAAAAACCATTAAAGCTGGCAACATCACACTGTGCTCGCAGACTTTCGATGCCATAGGTGCAGAAAATTGCATTGACCATCTTACGATCGATTTGCCTTCTCTTGTCTACGAGACAAATTTGCAAAGCTTCAAAGATATTTTGACGTATAAAATGCATTTTAACAATAGCTTGGTGGAATTTGATGTTGGAATTCCTTGCTTTGAATCGGTTCTTGATTCGAAAATGGAGTTGGAAAATGGTGGAATTCAAGATTTTGAAGATGCGGTGAATTGTTTCGGGGAAAAAATTGGCTTGGAAATTAATTACCTGGCTTTGCTTTATCGCAATTTTGACGGTTCGCGAAGGAATTTGCTCAAATAAGAAAAAAAATAATGAAAAAAAAATTGTTTGAGCAAAAATGAGCACTTTTGAAACAATCTTCGAAGCGCTGAATTTCAATGAAAACATGACAATGGCTGAGTTTTTCAATGATTTTATCCAGAAACGACTCGAGTCAACCGTCGATTTCCATGAAGCTTACGATGAATTGGAGCGTCTGAAATTGATAATCGAAGAAAAACTGGATGTCGAGTCATTTTTCGTGAAGGTTTGAAAATTGTACTTTTCTTCCCTTTATTTTCAGGCGTTCTTGCTTCACATAAACAAAATCATCGACGATATCGAAAAGGCCGTTGAATACATAGAAGACAATTTCCCATTTTCAATCGCTCCTGACCAAGTGCAGCTGATTCTTCCTCATCCTTTGTTCCTCCTCCAAGTTCCTTACAGCTCAAGTTTACTGTCATCTTTGTCATTTTTGAACGAACCTGCTTTAGAAAAATTCAATGCACTCACAGAATTCTAGAGATTTGACATGTAAATAAATTTCAATGGAAAATTGCTCTGTTTTTTTTCGATTAAGGGTGTCACTATCGAATCAACAAAAATCACGAAATCGATGTTGACACCCTGTAGATGACTGGTGTGGGCCTTGCTAAGACTGAGGGACTACGGACAGTGGCCAAGCCTTTATGCGGCGGAGCAGCCACCCGCGGCGCAGCGGGGCAGCACCACCGCGGTGGAGGCTGCCGTGGAACGCGGCTGCCGCTGAGTGGCAATGCTCCTTCGCCCCGGCTCAGCCCCTGTCCTCATCCCGGTCCTTTTTATTTTATGAATGGAATTTGCACAGGTAAGTGGGAAAGGGGCTGAGCTTGCGTCGGAGGCGATCAGTATGTATTCATTTTTCTTCTTTGGGTATCTCAGGAAAGATCTGCGTTTATTCGCTAGAACGAGCTTTCTGAGCTCGTCCACGCTGGCTTTGATTTCATCGTTGAGCTGGAATTTTTTCGCTGAGATCTGCTTTTGGATTGGCATGAGAAGCTTCTGTACTCCTCTGATAGCGTCTGAGAAGAAGGCGTATGCGCCACAATAGCGTTGGGCCTCAAGTTTTGTTGTCGGGTATTTCAGCTGTGCGAGGCTTTTGACTTTCTCTTCCGGTAGCTCAATTCCTTTTGACGAGATTCGCATTCCGAGGAAATTGATGCTTTCTTGGAAGAAGTTGCTTTTGCCCACGTTCAATATCATGTTGTGTTTGCCGAGGCAGGTGATGATATCAGTGAGGGCTTCCATCGTATATCTCTTGTTGCACACTACTAACAAATCGTCTAAATAAAGGAATTTTCTGTATTTGTCTTCTTTCTTCGGGATCTCGTCGATGGTGGTTTGCATCACCTTGCTGAATATTCCAGGACTGCTAGCTAATCCCTGTGATAGCACTGTGAACTGATACGATTTTGAGTTGCTTGTGAAGGCTGTGATTTTTCGATCGGAGGGTTTTAACCGTATGGAGAAGAAGGCGTTGCTTAGATCCAGTTGGATGAATTCGACTTCTCCAAGTTCAATGATTGCCTGGGTCACCTGAATGGTAATCTCCTTAATGCCCGGGATTGGGTATTTTGGTACGACGATTGACTCATTGACAGTTTTCTTCCCTTTTGAACGATGGCTGAAATTCACTACTATGCGTCGCTTAGTTCCCTTGTTGATGATAAGCATCGGTGATGACCAAGCCGATAATGAACCTTCGATGGTGTTGTTTCTCAGTAGTTTATCGACTTCTTCTTGCTCCATTTCCTTGTCCAGGCTTGGGTAGTTCTTCGCGTTGACTATGTTGTAGTCTTTGGTTAGCTCAATGGTAGCGATGAGTTTTGGGTGGAATCCTATACAGCTTTTGGTATACGAAAGGATATGGCTTTCCTTCTTGAAGAGGTCGTCGACGGTTTTTTGATGTTGTTTGGGAACGAGTTTGAGCTTTTCTTGCAGTCCTCTTGCTTCGTTGTTTGCTGAGAGCGTCTGTCTATGTTTCTTCCAGTTTGCAAGTTCCTTCTTGATGATCTCTTGTTCGGCGGATGGTAAGTTCTTGAGGGCAACGAGGTTGTTAACTCTTCCAGTGTTGTCGCGTCTCTTCAGGAGTATCTGGTTAGCTTTAAGAGTAACTGGCTTGGTTGATGTGTTTGTCACTTTCGCTAGTTTCGTTGAGTTGTTGGGCGGCGAAGTTACTTCCACTCGGTTCTCGATCTTCTCGTAGTTGTTGAGATTCTCGAGTTTTTGTTGCTTTGACAGATTGAATTTTATCCACTTCGACTCACCCGGTTCGACTCGAGTGTTTGATGCGTATGAAATTTCACTGGGTTCTCGTACCATGTTATCCTGAGATTTGGTAGCGTTGATTTCCAGTGTTGGGTAACGATTCGGGGAGTTGAAAATTGTCATGTTCTGTAAAATCGGCATTCCAATTATAGCGTCGAATTGTTCATCATCTCGTAGTGGAACTAAGAATGCGGTAAAGTTTTTGATGGTTATCTCGTCGTTGAGGATGAGTGTGGTGACTTCGTTTGTGGAGGCCTTGTCCTTGGCGACTCCGGCTTGAATGTGCGTTTTTCCGATTCTCCTTGTCGGTAGTCCAGTGATGTTTGAGTTCACGACGTTGCAGTTGGATCCTGTGTCGATTAAGCCTCTTATTTCGGAATAACTGCCATTGTCTAATCGTATTTGCGCTGGAATAATCGGTAACTTTTGTGGGGATTTTGCGAATTTTTATTTGATTTTTTCTCTTCAGCTTGGGAAGGGCGGTTTCAGAAAGTAATTTTTATGTATTTTTATTTTCGCGGTTGGCTGCTGCTTCGGCATTCACGAGCCCAGTGGCCATACTTTAGGCAACGACGACACTGGTTCTTGTCAAGGAATTTGACTGTTCTCCATTGTCGGCTTCTCGAAGTTGAGCGGCTGCTTCTATCACCTCGTCCGTTGCGGCTCGAGTTTCTGTAGTCTCGGCTTTGGCTTCGGCGTCTGTCGTCTCGGCCTCTGCTGTTGGATCTTCCGTAGCGGCTTCTGCTGTTGTCTCGGTTGTTACTTCTGTTTCTGTCGTATCTGCCTCTGCTGCTTGATCTTCCTTGTCTTCCTCTACTGATGGATCTTCTTCCGTTTCTGGAGCTTGATCTGAATCGGTTACGGTATTCTTGTCGGCGTGAGTTGCTGCTCATGTAGTTCGATTTGTAGGTTCTTCTTGGCTCCGATTCCAATAGAATGTCACATAGGTCGTGGTATTCGTTTCGTTGGTTTTCGGATGAAGATTTTGAGATCTTGCTTCGTAGTTTGAAAAGTGGGGAGTTCTTGATTGATGATGGCAGCTTCCGCTCAAATATATTCAAGCATAACGCGAAGTTTGTTTGTGCGTTGTTGTCTGGATTGGCTTCTGTCACGAGCGTTAAGAGTTTGTCGAAACTGTATTTGGACGGCTTTTGAACTTGAAGGTTTGTGATGGCTTCTTCAATTTGGTTCGTATTTCGTTTATTAGACGATTCGATTGATGATAAGAGCTCATCGCTGGTGATTTCCTCTTTGTTCAAAATAAAGGTGTATGCGTTCTCTCGGTGGTTTTCAGCTAGTGCGGCAAGGATGGTACTTATCTTCTTGTCTTCGCTTGCTTTTGTTGCGGCTAAGAGTCGTTTAGCTATTTTCGACCACCTGCCGGGTGCGTCGTTTTCTCCTAGTTTGGGAAGATAGAGTGTTGAATCCGCAATGACAGGTTTGGTGTCATCTGATGCTGAGCTTTGGTTCACTTGCGCATTCTTGTTCATCTCTCTGAGTTGCTCAGTGATTTCATCGATTTTGCTGTTGGTGGAGCTCGATTCGACGTTTTCGGTGTTGGTGGATGCGTCAGTGTTGGTGGAAGTGTTTTCCATGGTCGATGTTTTGGCTTCCAGTCGGTTTCCTTGAGTGTTCGTTTTTGGTGGATTGAATTCGAGGATGTATTTATTGTTGAAATTATCTAATTCCGTTGGGGATAGTTCTTCTGTTGATTTTTGCGTGAAAGATGATGGAGCTCGTATATCCGCTTTAGCAGAGTAGTAGTCTTTTGCGGGTTTGTTGTCTTCCTTCTTGTAGATGGCGGTTGGGATCCAGAATAGTTTATTGTTTATCTGTACTTGGCTGACTTCGATGCAGTCGTAATCTTCGAGTTCGGCGAGAGCTTCACTTTTGCTTGCGGCTTTGTTCGCAATAAACGGTTTCAGTAGAGCTTCCCGTATTTTTTGGTTGATTTTTATAAACATAAACTATTGATCTTAATCCCTGCCTGAGCCATTCTTATCTCCGAGAAGGTGAGGTTGAAACTACCTGCCGAGCTCGAGAGAACTTCTCGGCAGAGTGTCTTATCCTTCTCGGCTTCCTTTCTCTTGCTTTGTCTCTGGTTTTGTTTTCTGGTTTTTCTGGTTTTCCAAATTGAAAAAGAGGGTTCTTTTTTCTTCAGTCACCAGTGTAGATGACTGGTGTGGGCCTTGCTAAGACTGAGGGACTACGGACAGTGGCCAAGCCTTTATGCGGCGGAGCAGCCACCCGCGGCGCAGCGGGGCAGCACCACCGCGGTGGAGGCTGCCGTGGAACGCGGCTGCCGCTGAGTGGCAATGCTCCTTCGCCCCGGCTCAGCCCCTGTCCTCACACCCTTAAATTGCTTTCGGTCAATTGTACAGTAATGATTTTACAGTAGTGAAACTACAGGCATGAATAAATAAAGCATTTAAATAGCCCAAAGCAGATTTATAATGGCTGAATGGATAATGCGCCATACTTGCTGCTGATAAATGGCCCATTGGGAGCACGAAAAGTCTCTTTAGCGCGAAAATATTCAAAAGCTTTCAAGTTAAATAATTATCACGTGTTAAAGCAAAGAGACTCAAGTAGAGAAATGAAAAAGGGCCGAGCAAAGTTTTGATTATCAATTCATTTTCAATAGATTTTCAGTTTTTTGACTCGAGAAAATCATAATTTAATGAGTCAACAAATCTGTAACTCACTCTGTACTTAACCCTGGGCAGCATCGGATTCGTGAATAAATCATCAGCAAAGCTACAGTACGCAGCATTGCACATATTTTTACCCTTTTTCATTTCTCTCGTATCTCACTTTTCCCGCTCAAAAAATGGACTGTCTGCATTTTGAAAAAGAAGAGAAAACAGGAAAACTCAACATGGAGAAACTGATCGGAGGCTTTTTGAAGGCAACGACTCTTGTTTTGGGATATTTGGACTTGTTGATTTTTCTTTTGCCATGTTGGAGGCAAAAAGATCAGGTGAAAAATGAACATTTCGAAAACCATAACTCGCGGAAATTGAGCGTTTGTATAGATTTTTTTATTCGAAAATTTATGAATTTAACTTATCGCTCGCTTTATCTAGTGAATTGAGAATCATAAATTTTTATTATTATCATCCATATTTTCAGACAAACACGAAAAACAATATCGACGTCTTCGAAGGCCTCTGGATCCGTTGTTTCAAAACCTTCCGCTCGGAAAACTACCAATGCTCAACAATCGACTCTCCTGTTCAAGAAAAACAACGATTCTTTTACCTTATCACTGTTTTACTGACATTTCTTTACAACTATCTCCACAATGGTCTTACGAACAAGATTCCCATTTTTTGGCTTCTTGGCGGATCAGGTGGGAAAAAAAGAGAAAGCGGACAGTTTTGTGTTTATTTATAGGAATTCTGTCAATGTGCATCTGTATATACGAGTGCGTCAATATTCTCAACGAGAAGGAAATCAACTGGTTCGGTAAAAATCTCATCACAACGAGAATAAAAAAAGTATTTTATTTCAGAAGATGCAATAACTCATCAGCTGACCTACGAGCCCGGGTTTTGCGTATTCATGTGTCTTTTGATAAGGTAAAACTAATTCATAGATGTTGAATGAGATATCTTATATTTCTAGCTTCTCGAAAATTGTTATTTCGATCATCGTCGGATATAGAAATTATGTAAGAAAGGAAACTTCTTACAGTGAAAATGTTCTTTTATAATAAAATATATTTGTCAAATCAGTTCGATCATCATCTTTAAATTTTCGAGAGCAGCTAAAACGTTTATAAGCTATGAATCATAGCCTATGATTCAAAAATACCCCGAAAAAATAATTTTGCTTTTTTAAAATTTTCAAAACAATTATGGTCCGCGCTTTTCTTCGGATTTTGGAATACAGTGAAACCCCAACTTAAGGCCACTTTTTGGATGACAGCTAATTTCAAAAGTGGCCTTAAGTTGGGTGATTCTCCAACTAAGTTGGATGACGCTAAAATTTTTCTATTTCTGGAGCAAGGGATTGAATCTGGCCTCGGAATATGGTACACAGGAACAGGGATTTTATTTTTTGGCCCATCTGCGAAACAGGGAACATGACAGAACTTTTTTCTCGTTATTATCATGTCTACAGACAGTTTCAACTATAAAAGTCTCTTTATAACATATTTGAAAGAAATTCCAAGAAAATTTTTACGAAAAACTAGTAAGATGAAGTTTTAGAACTTTTTGCAGGCAAAATTCTTACTTTACCTGTTTTCATAACTATCGATCGCATTTGAATCATTTCTTGTTTTAACAACCTCTCAAGAATAAATCAAACAAGGCACTTACTGTTTATTCAATGAGAGAATTCTCTGCCATTTACTGAATAAACTTTTCTTCACTTCTTTTCCCTCCGAAATCTTTTTCTTTCACTTTCCTAAAGTTTCCATGGGGTCGGGTTCGTCAGTCTGCAAGCCAAAAAAGAGCTATGAAGTTGAAGAAAGTGGGGCGGAAAAGAAAATAGAAGAGAAAGCGAATGCCCCGCCGCCGACAGAGACGCTCATTCAGGACAGAATTATAAGTGGAGTAGTTTTGGTGGAGAGTTATGGCTGCGAGACGCAGTTTTTGCCGGAAATCTGCAGGGTGAGTTGAGGGTACTACTTTCGATTTCCCAAAAGTCCGAATATGATCTTTTTGATATCAGAAATATGAAATGGTAAGATCAACGATTTACTGGTTCTGAGCTATTCAAGGCCAAAGTTGGGGAAATCGAAGGTGGTACCCTTAAGTTTAGAAAATGATTCCGGTGACTTATTGCCGCTTTTAGACATGCATCTCCAAATTCTGGCAGCTTTCGTCTCTCCATAATGAATACTTATCAAACAACTATCACAAATCACGTGATTCGGTCTCCAAACTCCAGCCGCAAGTCGACCTGGTCGGTGAAATTTCAGCACTCGTGAGACAATCAAAAAATGACTTGGAAAAGAATTTCATCTCCGCGATTGAAGGATTTTCCGGGGCTTTTGGCTGGTTTCAGGGAAATCCGGATCCAAGAGCAGCGAAGAATTTTGTGATGGAGAGTAAGAATTCTGGCTTGTACTTCTGGAACAGGATCAGAATCAATGAGCTGGAGGAGAGTCAGAAGGGAGAGGTGAAGAAAATTAAGGAAGAAATCGACAAAATTTTCAGGTTTTCGAAAATTTTTGAAGTTTTCTAGGGTTAATTTTTCTTGAAGACAACTCATGGCATATGCGTCATCTGAAAATCTTCCTTCGCAGGCAGAACAAGGGGCAACCAATTCGTCTCCTCCGAAAAAAGAGCCGGTGAAAAAACTCGAGGGCAAAAAATGGATCATCGAAAATGCTGAGGGGACCTGGGACTTGAAAGTCGAAATGGATCAGCGAGTGCACATCATCTCCTCTACCGGTTTGGGAGAAAAAGGGATGGTAAAAAATTGTTTAGGTGGTGGCTCGATAAAGGGAAAGTGCAATTCGATTTCTGTGGACAATTGTAAAAACTTCAATTTTGAGTTTGACTCGGTCATCTCTCAAGTGGAAATCATCAATTGCTCAAAGGTTTGTCATTGACTCGTTTTTTCTGCCAAAAACTTGGAAAATTTAGGTCGGAGGGCAAGTTAAAGAAGTCTGTCCCTGCTTATCAATCGACAGTAGCAAGTGAGGAAACTACAGTAACGAAAAATACAGTCAATTTATAATTTTAGCGATGTGAGATTTTTCATCAGCGATAAATCCAAAAACGTCGAAGTCGTCGTTTCTAGAGCCAAAGATTCCATGCTCCTGATCGAAGAAGCCGACGATTTCAACGAATACCCGATTCCAGAGCAGTTCAAAATCAAATATGAAAACCGAAAACTGGATGTGAAGCATGTCGATCACCTGTGAATAAAAGTGAATCAAGTCGTAAAAATTCATTTTCGTCATTCAAATTTTGTCCGATTTAATTTCGGTTTTCACTTCTGACAGCGCGTTTTACGACCGCTCGTATATTCTGGTTTTAACGAGCTTTGTTATTCAAAATCGGCAGTTTTTCCCGTAGCTCCTCATTTTTAAAACCAACTTGTCGGATCTCAGAAAAGCAGAGAGTCGCGAAAGGGAAAAGCGATGAGCTCAGCAGAAGAGACACAGGTACTACCATCTAAAGACGTCATAAAAGAGAGTTTTATTTGTGGTGAATAGCACCGGTGTGCTTACGCTTATTATGAAGAAATTAGAGAAATTGCTGCTTTTTTATGTTAATAACTTACTAACGAGAGAAATAACTGTTACTCATATTGTTCTTTAGAAACAACTAATGAATCGCGTGATCGAGTTAAACAAGAGCATTTGCTCTTTGATCGAGCTTCTTGGAGGCAAAGGAATTCCTATTGTTCTCGATCAAATCAATTCTGATCCTGGGCAGAAGAAAATAACTACTGAGCAAACCATCGAAGCTGAGACAAAAACAGAACCAGAGACGCAAACAGTTGAGGAGAAAGCTGAAAAAGAAGTAAATGATGAAGACGATTCCGAGGCTGAAAAAACGGTCACTCAAGAACCAAAAGAAGTATCTCAGGTCGAGCAGGAAGAAACGGATGAAAAACCTCAGACTGTCGAAGAAGAGACTGTCGCGGAAGAAACCCCAGCCGTAGAAGAGACTAAACCTGAGTCTACTGAACTCAACGAGCCCGTTACCATTGACTCCGAAGAAACCACTCCAGCTGAGGAAAACAAAGAAGAGCAAAAGCTTGAAGAAGAATCCTCTGAAAATGCTGCTCAGGATCAAAATGAATCCGTAACAGACCCAACGGACGCTGAAGTAACCGAAAATACAGATGCCACAACTACAAACGAGCAGGAAGCTTCACAAGATCAGCAATCCGGTCAAGACGAAACAAAGGACGAGAATCCGGTACAGCAGGAATCTGAAGGTTCACAAGATCAAGAGCAGGAATCAATTCAGGCTGATGCAAATCAAGATTCTGAAAATCAAAATGAGGAGACTCTAGCTGTTCCTGAACAAACTCAAGAAACAATAGAAACACATCCTGATGAGAGAACAACTCAGGATGAATCAGCGACAAATAAACCTGACTCACAAGAAGCAACGGAAGCACCAAAAGATGAAATTGATCAAAAACTCGACGAATTACAAGCAGAACTAGAATCGGACTCAACAACGACTCACGAGGAGACTGATTCTTCTCAAGTCCAGCAGTCTCAAGTAGCAGAAAACGAGGTAGAAAAAGTCGAACAAAAAGAGGCTGAAGACAACGAGGACTCTCAAGAACCAGTTGAAGAGGTAGATTTTTGTTGACGTTGAAAATATACATTTCTATTTATCTAGCAGTCAGCTGAAACAAGTGCTGTAAACGAACAAGAAACAACTGAAGCTGAAGTCCAAACAAACCAGACCCAAGTTTCGAGCGATCAAAATGATCAAACTCAAGAAACTAAAGAAACTCAGCAAATAACCAACGACTCTGTTCAAATCACTCAAACCAAACAGCAAGAAGATGATGATAACGAGGAGGAGGAAGAGGAAAGCAGCGATGAAGAAATCGAAGTAACAACGGCGCAAAAGACAGAAGTTCAGGCGAAAATCGATGAAGTGATTCCAAGCCAAGAAACATTGACGAAACAGTTTGAGAATATTGATGAAAATGACGATGGAAAAGTCGAGTTTGAACAAGTCGCGTGAGTATGCCATAAATTGACGCGTGAAATTATATGACATTTTTAGACGTCAGCTTTATGCTAGTTTAAAAGTCAAAGGGTAAAAGTAGTTTTTCGTAGTTTTCTTTAATATTCACGATCTTAGAATTTTTGATTCCGTAGTTCTCAGTTTTAACACCCCCTCCTATCAAGATGAGTTCTTACTTTTAACGGCCTGTATACCCTTAATTTTAATATCGACAGGTTATCCTAAGGGAAACGGTTTGAGTTCTTTGCCTGATTTGAAGCTTAAACTAAGGGTCTACCTAAGTTTCGGAAAAAAAGGAGAGGGGGGTCCTTAAGAAGTCGCCATTGAAATTTCTTTCAGGAAGGAAACATTTAAGTCCCTGTCAACAACAAAAGTCTCAGAAGAAACCTTCGTTGAAGCAATGGTATGATCCCAACAAAAATATAAATCCTAAAATCTGACTCAAGAAATACTACGCAACATACTGGAAAATGGACACGACAGACGGAAATATCTCCAAGGAAGAATTCCTCGCTTTTTGGCAAAAATTTTCCGATCTGTTGAACGAAATCGATCAAAATAAGGATCAGACGATTGTCGTCATCGAAATCACAAATTTTTTGAAAGGTAGCCAAACCCGTCGTTCTTTTTGCTTAAAAATTTCTAGCACAAGCGCAAAAACACAACCTGAAAAAAGCGGAGGACAACATCATGGTCTACGTCAACCAAATCTTCCGAAATCTCGACACGGAAACGGACACTGCTCTCAGTGTTTTGGAATTTATGATGGGCTATCCGATCTTTTTGAAAGTCCTCGAAGATTACAAACTTGAGCAATAACCACAATCCAACGATGACAAGTGCTTTTGCATGTTTCTACCCCGCTTTTCTGCTTCTAACAAAATACATGTCTACTCTTGATCTTCTTTTCGCTCGAGGCGCCTGAGGCAATTGAACTCGACCTGAATTAAAAAGGGTTGAAGAAAGACGGATTCTTATTTTATTTCTACTAAATTTTTCATCGTCATTTTAGCTACTATTAGCAGCTTGAAATATTGATTGGACGAAAAACCATAAAAGATTTTTCGAATTTTCACAATGATATATTTTCTTTATGAGTTAATTTGAGATAAAAAATATTCGAAATCTAGTGATCTTTCGTACTTTGACAGCTTTTAGCTTTGAAAAAGCAACGCGTAAACCAACAGAACCAGCATTCTTGTTCTCCAAATTTGATTTTCTGAAGATCTCTCTATTTACAGTTGAACTTGAATTCACGGAATAAAAAGGGATAAGTGCACTTTTGGCATAATGCCATTTTTTCCAATTTGGAAAAAATGCGTCAAAAAGAGCTAATTAGTAGGAAAAACCAGTATTCTTGGAATCTTCTTTAACTGATGCTCCGTAGTTGTTTCATCCGGCGCAGTTGCATCAAATTGATAAAAATCTAAATTCAGTCAGACAGGTTCGAAAATACTCAAGAGACATTTTATTAAAAATTTATAGGAGTTCATCAAGCTGCAATGATCATTCTTTCATTTGCTCGAAACTGAAAGACATATGTGACCCTTATTCAAAATGAATATTTTGTAATAAACATCCTGAATATTTTTATTTTCAACGAAGATTGCATCATTTACTCAGCTTTGATCTTTCAGTTAAAAAAGTACAAATGCTATTCTTTTTGTGTTTTTTTTTTTCAAAGACAAATTGTCTATTATAGAAGCGTACCTTTTTGTTCAAATTATACATTGAAGACGGACCCAGACCAGTTGCTGGAGCCGTTTTAAGGAGAATAAGTCCAGTTCCAACAGTCATAAAAAGCAAACTGACAATCAGGACAAAAAGGCGCATACTGACGCTAGGTTCAAAAAAGGTCGAAAAATTGGGACTTTATTTTTTTGATAAAAAAATGACCTAACGAAAATCGCTAAAAATTCTGAACCAAAAACAATGCTGCCTATTCGATTCTTCTGAACTTTCGATCCCTCTCTTGAACATGTTTTGTCTTGAATCCCACTTATGTTGACCTAGGCTCAAGTTATGCGCCATTTTATGAATAAAAAATAGAACAAAAAGTATCGTATTCCAAAAACTGGAGTTATTTTTTGCTGCGCGATCGGTTTTATCGCGAATTTTAAATACTGCTTATAAAGGATGCGTTAAAAGTGATTATTTATTCATTGCTAGTTTGCGGGCAAAAATTGAAAGGCCATTCAGACCAGCAAATTTTTAAGATATATTTTTGGCATTTTTAATTCGCTTTTATAATGTTAAAGCAGACAAAACGCGAAAAACTTTGGTGTTTGCCCGAATACACAAAATTTCACGATGATAAAAAAAATTGCGACAAAAATTTGCGACAAAAATCGCGACAAAAAACTTGCGACAAATAATTTATAAATAAATTACAAATAAATTATTTACAAAACCATTTGATCGAATAGATTTATCTGATTGGTCAAAAATTTGTCAAAAATTTGGTGAAATTTGTCGCAGTTTTGTCTCTTACTTAAAAGTTTCTTTTCCTTGCAATGTATCTCATTTTAGAAGTTTCTGTGAGAAATAAATTTGTGTGGTCATCTTTTTGAATGACATTGTCATGATCGACAATGTGACATTGTCAATGTCGATAAATGATTTTTTTCGACATTTTTCTGCTGAAAGACCAATTTTTTTAATTCACCAAAAAGTAGTTTCTTCACGAGTTCATCCCGTGAAGTTCACGGCCTGAACTCATTGTTAACTGTAATCTGGTTAAAAACAACTTGTTTGAACCTCTTTCAATAGTATCTAGTAGACTGATCATCCAGAAAAATTTCATTCGTTTCTTCGTTGTTTTCTTTGTTTTCTCTATTTTTTGGACTCAAAGTAACAATCGTCAAAATTGATGATGCCTCCGACATTTTCCTTTCGTTTTTTTCTCTACTTTTTTTGCGCACAATCGGGGCAATTCTTTTTCGGTCTGCATAATTGATCAGCAACACTAGCACCCTCGAACAATTTTAACTGCTTCGTGTCAGAAAGTAAAGAATTATTAATATTAATTGACCTCAGCTTTCAAAAGCAATTTTTTCTTATAAATATGGCTGTTTTCTCGGCTGTTTTTTTCAGTTTTTATTTTAATCAAAGGGGTTAGGGTAACAAGATAAGATTTTTTAACAAAAAAAGCAGGATGAAAATACGAAAATTCGGGTAAAACCAATTTTTGAAGTGAATTTTTGGATAACCAATAAGATTGCTTTATTTGGCCTACCGGCAAATCCAAACCCTTTCCGAAAAATCTGTTCCAAAAATTGGTTCTACCCCGAAAAATTGGGTAAAACGAATTTATGGAAGTGATTTTGTGGATAAGGTTTTTGATTGGCTGATAGGCCAAATAAAGCAATCCTATTGGTAATCAAATATGCACTTTCATAAATTGGTTTAAGCCGAAAAATCGACATGATCACTTGTTTGAAAGCATCAAAAAAGGATTGGAAAAATCAGAAAATCTCGTCATTCTCATTTCGTTGCCGATAAAACCGGGAATCCATGTTCGAATATTTCTTCTTCGGAGTTTTGATGGTCGAGACGTCGACTGCTAAAAAGTTTTTTCGAATCGAATTTATCAAAAAATCCTACCGTTTGACGCTGTCCTCGATAGATTGAGTCGATCGAAGATCTTGTTAAAAATCCAAAAACAGCTTCGACAAAAAACAAAAGAGAAATCATTTTGACCATGATGAAAAGTTTTTGTCGGAGAGAAAATGTAAATCATCCTCTGTTTGGATCAATTATATACAGAGGTAAAACGTCATATGCTCAGTGAGGATGTCATCCTATGAAAATGGAAAGAGAATTCCGGCTGAATTCCATTCAAAATCAAAAAAGCTCAATTTTCCGTCTGCTTTCTGAATTTATTAATGAAAATCTACGACGAAAAATTCCAATCTCACCCGATTTTTATCCGAAATTTCAGACTTGAAAAAGGGCTCTTTCGATTAAATAAAGTATATTTGCATAATAAACAGTATAATTCGTTAACAGTAAAAATAAGGGACTAAATTCTCGTTTCGTAAATGCCCCGTTTTGTCATCCGCCTTGTATCGCACTGTTCAATTTGTTCAGCATTTGCTCTAAAAAGAGGATTCCTGAGACTTTTGAGGATAAATATCTACCTTGATTTTTTCTTGGATTCATCGTCAGTTTGATACATGGCTTCATTTATTGTTCCAAAGTGGCGGGGTCTAAATCATTTTCAAAAAAACGGACACCAAAAAGCCGCTTGCGGCTTTGATCTGAAAAATAAGAGATAAGCCGCGATTTCGCGCGGCTTTTTTGATCTTATTAATGAAAGACAAAAAAGCCGCGTGAAAATTCTGAAAAAGAGCCGCGCTCTTTCCGGCTTTATCTATTTTAAAGCTTTTAGTCGCATTTAAGCGCGGCTTTACATTCTTTTTAGCTCGAAGCCGCAAGCGGCTTCTCGATCTTTTTGTTGAAGACAGAAAAAACCGCATTTTTGCGGCTTATCAGGCCCTTTCTGGCGCGAAGCCGCAGGCGGCTTTGTAAGAACGGAAAAAATTGACTTTTGCTTGATGGTAACCTGTTCGTAGAATTTCTCGGTTCGTCGACAAATGTCTCAAAGTCGAAATCGCGCTGTCTCTTCGCACAGCGCCAGGCAAAGAATGAGATGATAGCGATGATGACAAAAAGCGCGAAAAGAAAGGCTTCGTAGAGGTCCGAAAACATGAGAAAAAATAAGCCAGTGACCGTTTATGGCATATTGAGGATTGATGTCGCGATGTTCGTAAATTATTAAATCGAGGCGAATCATTAATGACAGACAGCGAATGGAAAAAGGGCTAACGGAGGAACTGTAGTGGACAAAACAGCTGTCGAGGGAAATTATTGATTCAAAAAAAGAGTATAAGGGGAAGATGTCAGGAACCGACGAAAAATCCGGACAAATTTTTCGCGAAAATTTCAGCCAATCAGAAGACCGGATTCGGCTAGCCGGCCAATAAGCAGCCGAGTAGCCGCCAACGCAAAGTTTGTCGGTTGGTGTCAGGAACCGACGAAAAATTTGGACAAATTTTGCGTGGGCGATTACTCGGCTGCTGATTGGCCAGTTAGCCGAATCCGGGATTCTGATTGGTTCAAAATTTCCCTGCAAAATTTTCCGAAATTTTTTTGTCGGCTCCAGACACCTCCAACAATTTGTCGAGATTTTTGTCGATTCGGGACACCACCCCTAAATAAGGGTATCAAGGGCTTATTTGAAACATTTTGTGAGACTCTTATCCTTTGAATTTGATATGAGTTGGTCCAAAAGCATGTTCTTTTTCAGCAATTTTAGTCGGCGTTTCTCGATCAGAAAAATCCTCTTGATTACTATCGTCTTCTCTTATAAAATCAAGGATCATTCTGATTTTGTTCTGACTGAAAGAGCATTTTTGAAGATTGCGAAATGGGGTATTTTAAGATCACTTTGCTGAAATTATTCAAAAAGGTTTTTAAATTCGGACCCTGCCTAGAATGCTTAAAAGGTTGAGTCGTTTGTTCCCTCGATCAAGTTTGCTGGATGATGATTGCGATGTTTGGTTCGTAAAGGCGCTCTCTATTGCTTCCTCATCCATAAACTACGATCCATCGTTTCGATGTCTAAAACAGCAAAAATTTAATGATTGTTTTTTAAATAAAATTTTCTTTTTTAACAATTTTTATAACAGATAATTGGCCTTATGAAGAGTAAATATAGATATACCCTTATTTCCGGCTGAAAATAAATTGTTAAAAAGGGGTCGATTTTGAACCCTGTACCCTTAAATTATGCCCGATCGGGAAGGCTCAACGAAGATCTAATTAATTTGATTTTAATATATAAAATATTTAATATATATTTTATATTAATTTAATAATTAGCTCAGCAGTTTTTCTCATAAAAATAAGGGTGTCTCTCCGTCAAAAAACTCGGTTAAAAATGATCAGTTAAATTTTTTTTTCATTCTGTTAAAAAGTTTCAAAAAGTCCACAAATCATGTGTCTCTTCAGCTCCTAATCAAATCCTGTCCAAGGAGCTGTTTCTTTGAAGAAAAAAAGTAAACAAAGCTTTATCTACATGTAGTGTCTCTGTCTTAATTAGCCTCAACCCAGCGCTTGAAAAAGTATTGATCATTGTTCAACAAGCGGATTTGCTCATTTTTTCTCTATTTTTTTTTGGTAATAAGTTGGGAAAAAAAAGGCAAGGAGGGATCAGAATCAGTTCCTTTTCGGCCTCGAGAGGGATCGATTTTTGTTTCACTTAGGCGCGGGAGGAATATCTAAGTCTTACTCAATCGCATATAATAACTTTTTCAACGGCCAAAAATTAAGGGCATAGCCATCGTTTCACACACCCTAATTTTTTTGAATAGCGGGAAGGAAAAGAGAAAAATATGCGACCAATAATTCAATTATTCCAAAAAAACACCTGACTGAAATCTGATTGGCCAACCGGCCTTACTCGGAAATCTGATTGGTCCAAAATTTGAAGAAAATTCTCACATTTTTTCTCGATTAATTTTGCTTCCTCAAAAAAAAAAGAATTTCTTTTAAGGTTTTGCTTGGAAAAAACAATTGTTGAAAAAAAACAAAAAGTAAGATCAAGTCTCCCGCTGAGTTGATCTCGAGAAATCTCAGCGGGGCTTCCCTTATTTAAGATTGTGAAATCATCGATGAGTATTTTTTTCTCTTTTTTTTATCCGATTTGATACGCGTTGACAGATTTCTTCACGATTGTCTTCATTCTTGACAAGAAGCCTTGTATAAAACCAGCTCGAAATAATGATGAAGGGTCAGTTGTTGAAGAATATCAGAAATGTTTTTATAGCAAATGAAAGGAGTTTCGAAGGTGCGGAGAATACTAGTTTGTGATGGGATCGACATATTTTTTTAATATTTTCAAAATAAATAATTGGTTAATTTGAAAAAAAAATATCAATTATCAACGTCAAATTTCAAGGATGCTGTCTGGAACCGACAAAATAATTCGATAAATTTTGCGTGGGCGGCTCCTTGGCTGCTGATTTGCCGGTTTGCCGAATCCAGCCTTCTGATTGGTTAAAAATTTCAGCGCAAAATTTGTCGAAATTTTTTGTTGGTTCCAGACAACTCCCCGAATTTCATCCCAAAAAGCGCGACCTATTTCGTCCTGATTTTCCAAGGCATCACAATGGGCGCCAGCCAAGTTCGAAAATACCTCCGCTACCGGACCAGCTTCGTCAAGCAAACTGGCGAAGCTGACGCTCGTTTTCCCAAGCTCCAAATTTGCTCTTCCAGTCTTCACTCTCGCAAGAAAATCAAAGAGAATTACCCTTATTTGCCAAAACTAGCGCTTGACGAGTTTTACGGAAAGTCAGTGAATATGTACGCGGCGAGAAGACATCATCACGAGGCGGATTTTAATATTTCGACGATTAAATTGTCCAGAAATTTGAACTGGACAATGCTTGACAGTATTGATCTTCGAGAATTCATCAGCTCCACAACGCCGGAATACTTCATCGCGACATGCAAAATTGAGCTTTTCGACTGCCGAACATTTTGGCGCCAAGTTCAAACCTTCCACGGCTCTTGCATCGCTGTGAGTCCTCCTTGATTTCAACGAATCAGCGTTATTTAGCTGAATGTAACTGAAGCTCTTTGGCAGCATTACTTCCTCCAGACTGGAGACAGTAAATCAATGGAAGAATTTGAGAAGAGCTTTTCCGAGTAATATGGATTGTTCGATTTTCTTAACGAAAATTATAGGACGCTGAAATACTGGAGTAATGTGCGACTTACTCTTGCTTTTAACCGAACAGATGTGACAAATGTAAGTTTTCAGTTGCAATTTTGACCCGAAAATTTGGCCCGAAAAAATTTTGCCCGAAAACTTGGTCTGAAAAAATTTGGCCCGAAATTTTTGGCCCGAAAAAATTTGCCCGAAAGTTTGGCCCGAAAATTTGGCCTGAAAGAATTTGACCCGAAATTTTTGACCCGAAAAATTTCCCCGAAAATTTGACCCAATAATTTCGCCCAAAAATTTTGCCCAGAAAATTGACCCGAAATTTGGTCCGAAAATGGGATCATGCGCGAGAGGTCGACTCTGGGATCTGTCACAGTATTGAGTCATTCTTATATTTTCAAAGGGTTGGAGCGCTATCAAGTGGCCTCTGTTCCTCCAACTTGCCCATGACGACGAAGAATACGCATCATCAAATACATATGCAATGACAGAAGATCTAATCCCTGTCCTGAAAGTAGTCACCACGGAAATCGAGCTCCTGGGACATCCCTTTTCCGAATGCATCTCAGAAAGCAAAACAAAACAAATTTACGGTAAGCAATCGAAAAACTCAAAATATTTCATTTCAAGATCATTCAAAATGCATTCACATGGGAATGATCGAGAAAATCATCCGGACCTGCAAGTGCCTGCCCAATTATCTTAGCCAATTTGACTCGGTTTATCAATGGGAAAAGCGGCGAAATCGAACTGTTGATGGAAGATATTGTACTTTTAGCGATCATGCCAGATGCATCAGCTTTGTTTCCAGAGCTGAACCGGACAAGGCAAGCTTTTTTCGGGCCGAAAAAGCGATTTTGATTTTGAAACTTTAGAAATGCAAGAAAAAATGTCATACATTCAAAAAGCATGTAGAAACAATTCGATATAAGGGGCCGGAGAGCCTCAACAGCGTCATGTTTTCAAAAACAGGTCGTAATTTTAAGGGGGTCGACCTCCATAATTTCATCTTTTTAGCTGTGAAAATCAACCCAGAAGACACGGAACTAGTCTCAATCGATGAACCAGGCATGTCTCTTGTGAGCATCAATTTGGATCTAAAAAAGCCCCCTTACGATAAAAACGTCGAAATCCCAAAATACAAGATTGAAGATCTCATGGCGGATATTGGCGGAATGCTGACCTTGTTCTTGGGACTGACGATGGTGGAGATCGGACAGGGGCTGATTTTTTGCATCAAAAAGGCGATCAAGGTAAAATTCAAAAAAAAAAAATTCGAAAAAAAAATACAAAAAAAAATTTCAAAAAAATAAACACAAAAAAATTTTTTTTCAAGAAAATTTCACGAAGGAGAAAGAAGAATAAAGTCCTATTTTCAATGCGAGATGGACAAAAAAGTAATGTCCAAATTCATGTCAAAAAAATTTGATTTTTTAAAATAAATTTCAAATTTGTGTTTTGACGATATTTATTGTTGGTTTTTTTTTATTTCCATCGATTTTGAAGAGATTTCATCATTGACATTCGACAGGTCGGTATCATCAAGCATCTTTGAGCGACTAAAAACGAATTGTTAAAAAAACGAAAAAAATAGGATAAAACCTGTGAAGCGAAGGGTTGATAAAGAAGGCATAAAGCGATAGGTTCCTTCAAGATCGACGAGATCATGATCCGAAAAGCCCCCGTCTCTGGTAATCAATTCCATGGCGAATATACCCGAAAAACTGAACAAAAAATTGATCAAATTCATTTTCCCTTTTTCTGCGAAGTGTAAATTGGTAGACTCTGGGAAGGGAATTCGATTTATATAACATCGAAAAGAGTTGACGCAGACATAACAGAATGTAATCGGATAAGACTGCAACACGCTCTAATGTCAGTTTGATCAAATGAAGAGTGAAATTGGTATAATGACGTGATCAGCTACGAAGCAGACCGGGATAATCCCAATTGATCGCAGTATGCAAGAGCATTTTTCCAGTGAACCTTGGTTTTTCATCGTTTTCAGAACGGTTCTTCGCGAAAATAGGATGATTCATCAAAAGTACTCTCGCTGAAAAATCTGTCTAAAAATTCATGGAATTTATATATTGAACTACAAATCCCATTAATCCCATTTTAAAATCCCGATGCTTATCAGGCCGGCTAAATTTGATGATCGTCAATTATTAAGTTAAATCATTTCGTAAAAAATAAATTATAAAAATGTTTTTTATTCTAATAGCCATAATATAATTTTATGAAAGAAATAATGATAGCTGAAACTAAATCATAATTGGCATATTTTTTAAAATATGGATCCCATTTTATATATTAAATTACATAATAAAATAAATAAAATGATTATCAGAAAAATTTATATTGTGAAAAAAATCAGAAAAAAAAGATTGGAGAAAAACACATTTTTGAAACAATGATTTTCCAAAAACTCTTGGATACATAAGCCGAAAATGTTTTGATTAAATTTTATTGGACTTCACAAGATGAGGAATTTCGATTTATTAGATTAAGTAAAGCTTGAAATCGCAAAAATAAAATTGAAAAATACGCGCGGACTTTACGCAATGTGCCGCGCGTTTGAGGGAGCTCTAGCGCCGGTTTTTCTGATTTTTCGCGATCAAGATTTTTTCCTGATAAGGAATCTTTCTAGAGATTTGCGGCGAAAAGAGATGATTCACGATGGAAAGAGACACAATCGACTTGTAATTGGATTAATTTTTTTGTTAATTTTGACGTTTGTTTATCAAATTTTATTTTTTGAAGAGAAAAAAATTGTTTCCGGGGCAGAAGAATATGATAAGGAAAAGGTTCAAAAAAAAAAATTTTTTTTTGCTTTTTTGAAAAAATTTTTGAAATAATTTTTAACTTTTAAGAATTTTGAAATTTTAAAATTTTTGTAATTTTTAAAAGAATTTTGAAAATTTGAAATTTTTGAAAAAAAATTTTTGAAAAAAAATTTTTGAAATTTGAAATTTTTGAAAAAAATTTTGGCTTTTGAAAGGAAAAAAAATTTTTGTGACAAATTCGGACAAAAAAATCGAGTTTTTGCATTTCCATTTGGAAGAAAATTAAAAATGCCGAACTTGTCAAAATAATGAGCGTTGAATGTCAATCATGCCAATTTATCCATGTTCTTTTTGAACCTTTTTGAAGCTAGAAGCGGAAAACGAGCTTCTCTCGGCGAAAATCCTGTTAATTGAAAAAGAGCTTTCGCAGCGAGAAGCGGACTTGAGCAGCGATGAGCGTACTATTTCCACGTTGCGTGACCAAATCGACTTTCTCAAAAATAACATCGGCGTGGAGGAGCTGTTAAAACACAAGGCGGAGAAAGAAGTTTTGGGAAGAATGAACCGCCCTCCTTTTCCGAAAACGCTGACGGACGAAGAATGGGAAAAAATCGAAGAAGACGACGAAATCGAAGCAGAAATCGAAGAAGTTTTCGAAGACGAGGACGATTTCGATGAGTCATCTTCGTCAGATATTCCTGAAAATTGTCCGCTGAGTGAAAAATATACAGAAAAAGAATTCAGCCTTGACCCTTTGAAGGCGAAATATCCAACGAGAAATGACAAGTTTTTAACGACGGTTTTGATGAATGGGCCGAACAATCAACTTGTTGGACTGAGGGAGACGATTTTTATGGCAATAAAATTGAATCGCTCGTATATTCTCGTAAGTGAATGTTGTTAAGGACTCCCCGTCAGCTCTTTTCGAAAGATCTAATTTCGGAATTTTTAAATTTTGACCCCGGAAATGGATTCTACAGGTCAAAAAACGATTTCGAGGCCTCATTTTTTGGGGGTCTATCTCGACTCTTACACACTAAAAATCGCATTAAAAAATTGGACTTTTCGCCGAAAATTGACAAATTTGCCCTAATTTTGGCAAAAATATTGATTTTTCATGGTCAAAACTTCTCCTTTTCAGTTCTTCTCAGCAAGTTTAACCTAAGAACGCATTAAGAACAAAAAATATTGGGTTTATAGAAATTTCTATTTTTCGAAGGAAAAAGGGGGGGGGGGTCCTTAATTATTTTTGATATTTTTTGAATCTATTTATAAAAATATTTTCAGCCAAAATTTTTCAAACACGACCACGCAGATCCAACCTCAGTCAAAGACCCTTACGCTGAAGTCTCTCCAAGTTTCCGCATTTCGCCTTCGAAGATGAAAGGTCTAATCAACGTTCATCCTTTTTCCGACATTCCCGACGTCTGCGAGGATCATCAAATAAGGAAGCGTGTTCTGAATAATTGGCCTTATGCAAAGCCAGGGCGCAGTGCACTCTGTTTTTGACAGGACGTCACAACATGTCAATTCTTTAAATGTCTCTGAGGAAAATATGTTAGCTTATAAACAAGTTGGAACACGAAAAAAGCGTTTTTTATCAATTAAAAATCGGGCTTGGAGCGACAAATTCTGGCCGACTTTTGAGGACTTGCAGAAACATCGATTGCCAAGTTGATGATCTCGACTGCGAAACGACAGAATCTCACTGTATCGAAGACATAGCCCTGCCGCTTATTCCGGAGAAGAAACCAAGGGGGCGATTTGGACAAGATGGAAACTTTACGTAAGTAAAAATCCATTTCTACGGACTAAAACAGTTTATGGAAGTGAATTTATGGACTACCAATAAGATTGCTGTATTTGGCCTTCCGGCCAATCAAAACCCTGATTTTTAAGATTTTTTATAAATCTTATTGGCTGATAAAAGCAATAGAAAATTTGGTCAATATGGAGTTCTAGATCTTATTTTTTGACCAATAAGATCGATTTTGAGAGAAAAATTCAATTTTTATTTTAAGAACATTCCAGTCACTGTATGATACTGATCACAGTTGTGCCCTGATTGGTTTCCCTTACATGGACATCAACTTCGCCAAGAATATCTTCAACGAGAAAATCCTCCCCGAAGATCGACAACTCATGGTCGACATCATCAAAGCAACCGGACGACCAACACATATCGAGGAAGTTGCCGACCTTTTTGTCAAAGAATTCATTAACGATTCCGGCTACGTGGCCCTCCACTGGAGATACAACGATGATGACTGGTGGCACGGAGGATGCGACATTGATGCAGGAGTATTCAGAGACGGAAACGGGGATTTGGAGCAAAAGGGGCCGAAATTATGCAAGCAGCTCTCGTTAATGCGCAATCCGAAGATTTTCGCGAAACAAATCGACACTTACTTGTCACGTGGTCTTGAATCTACGACCCAAAATATCAAAGTAAGAGAGAGAAAATGTATCTTTTGATAAGCCAGTAATTTAATTTTGCGGTTTGAAGAAGATGTTCTGATTCATCTTTACAAGCCATATTTTCACGCTCAGATTTCTCAATTTGCTAAAATCGAGATAATCTGCAGACTGCGCGGAGGGATCGGCAAATTTGGCACGATTATTATCTTACCGTGATTTTATTAGAGAATTATAGAGAGTAACGTCTGGATTACGGGGCTTATACCTACAAATAGCGCTGTAACCAGAATCTGCTTTGGAGAATATTTTTTCATCTTTATTTACCAAAATTCATAAGATAAGACCTGTGTAGAAAACCTGAGTCAGGCTCTGGCAGAGCTTAAATGTGAAGCTTCATTGGAGCTTTTTTAGACACGCAGAGCGGCCTCGTTTCTCGAAAATGCCGCAAGGCTGCTTTACATCTGTCAGAGCCTGACTCAGGTTTTCTACACAGGTTTTGGGGCAGGTGACAAGAACCGACAAAGAAATCCCAACAAATTTTGCGTAGAAATTCTCAGCCAATCAGAAGCCAGTACTCGGCCTACCGGCTAATTAGCAGCAGATAAGCCGCCTACGCAAAAGTGATGTGAGTGACAGTTTGTCCTCAATCGATCTCCCGTTGAGCTTAGATAGATACGGCCTTTCCGCCGAGAATCAACTGTTTTCTCACTCTCTATCAGCTGTTTTCCCTCTCGCCCTTTCTGTGCGCGATCCCTTTGGGATCATGCAGTATAATAAATATTTTGCGGTAACACGACGAGTTGGACACTTGCATAAGCACCAGGAAATATCAAATTACTGGTGACTTCACCGGAAAAAGAACGCCTTAAAAGAGACTCCGAAGATTTTTGAGAAGAAAAGAAAATCGAGAGTTTGGATAAAGAACCGCATCAGAATACTGGATCGACTACACGAATCGCCTGAAATTCAAAGTACGTATTGCGACCTTGGGCGGAAATTCGTCATAGTGGGTTGGGAACTTCGGGCTCCTTCGTTTTCGATTATCTACTGAATTGGTACACCCGATCCGATTCCCGCTGAGCACGTCTGTAAGCGGAGTCACGACGAGCAGCGCCAATTTCTTCTTCACGCAGCTGTCGACAACGTAGCTGCCCATAGCTTCACCACCTTCGTGTACAAAGCTGGCAACAGCTCCACCACCTGCGTCTACGAAGCTGGCCACAGCTACACCACCTTCGAATACGGAGCTGCCCACAACTCCACTACCTTCGAGTACATAGCTGCCCACAGCTTCACCACCTTCAAGTACAAAGCTAGCCACCGCTCCACCGCCGTTGACTACAAAGCTTGCTCCTGATCCACCGCCTTCGAGTACAAAGCTAGCCACCGTTCCACCACCTTCGACTACGAAGTTGACCACAGCTACACCACCCTCGAGTGCAAAGCTGCCCACAACTCAACTACCTTCGACTTCACAGCTGACCGCAGCTGCACCGCCTTCGAGTACAACGTTGGCCACATCTCCGCCACCAGAGTCAGCCGTGCCGACAGTTACATTAGTCAACTAACTTCTTCGACTGAAAGTGGTTCGAATAGGATCTTTTACTCGTCTCTTCCGTCAGCGACACCGATCGAGCCTTGGTAATCTTTGGCGCTCAAGAAAAATGGCCATGAACCTGACTCCAATCAGAGACTTGACTGTTGCTCAGCTTAGAAATGTCTGTCGCCGCCTTGGATTATCGACGAAAGGTCTGAAAGCCGAGTTGCAAGCGACGCTACGTGCTCATGCCCGTGCAAATCATTACCGAAAAACCGACGATTTGTCGGATTTCGCAGTAAATACAGCCAACATTGACGACGAGGAAGGGCAGGAGGAGGAGCCCGTTGTTACCACTGTGGCTCACGGATCGCAGGCTCCAGTGCCATCAGCACCGCCAGTGCCCATCGTACCGACACTACCATCAGTTACATCGCCAGCGCCAGTTTCAACAAGTTCCTTCGCGTATCCTCCACTGACTTCAAGCACTACGGCACCGACAGGTTCGACCTCAGAGAGCCCTGGAATCGCCTCTTTTGAAGCGCGTGACAACGAGAGGAACTCCCGCATCGATTCAATCAATTCGCTTTCCGGGAGAACAGCATTCGTGACTACTTCCGCGCTCGAAACTGGATTTGATGCTCGACCCTTCTCTCAACGATCTTGGAATCCAACTGCTTCTGGGCAGCAACCGACCTGGACTAAGGGTACCTCAGCGACAATGACCGCAACACCCTTCGCCACGTCACCAAAGACATCGCCGCCGATTACTCCACCATCGACACATGGGTACGCTGTGAACACAGCTGGATTGGCCAATACGAGAAGTCGGGATTTGCTTCGGAAGGAATCGCAAGACATCAAAAGCGTGAGCACAAGGTCACCTGAGCTGATCGAAATACTCCTTGACGGGATCGAGAATCTGGGCCAAATCTACGACTGGTCCGAAACACAAAAGATGCTGGTCCTACGAATCAAATTGGCACCGCAAATTCAGCGCGAATGTGGATTTACCATGGCGATGAGTTACGAGGAAGCAGCTGCGAAATTGCGAAAACGACTCGGATATAATCATTCAAAGCTCACGATGAAGATTGAGGCGATGACTCGAGGTCGAGGAGAAACAATCAGCGAAGCTTACTCACGGCTGATGAACTTGCTCAGCTCATCCGGATCCGTTTACGAAAATCTCCCTGAGGAAGCGCAAAAACAGTTGATCCGAACGTCATTGAAAAGGATTCTCCGGCCACAAGAGTACCAGCAGTTCTTCACCGTTTGGATCAGCCATCAGATGACCACTTCTCTGGCGGAAATCGCAGACATACTGGCGTTGCTGGAAGGAAGTTGGACGGTCAGCGAGCCTATCAATGATCCTGATACCCTTGGCTACGACTTGAATGCGGCCTACCGAGACATCAAATGCCATCTCTGCTCTGGACCACATTTCCTCAAGGACTGCGACGTTATAAAGCAGATGGGATCACTTGGAACGCGGATGGATGCCATGGAACAGTTGGCCCTGAAACAGGATGAATGTATCACTCGACTTCTCACGAGCATCGAGACGATCGCCAAAAACCAGGCAACATGCAACGTGGCGGCCCAGCAACCAGAACAGCGCCAGCCGGAGCAGGGTCATGGGAAGAAGAAGCACTGGGGCCAGAATAAGAAGCCGTACTGCGATGTGTGCCCGCTGACCGAAAGTGGGCACCCGCCCAGGCACTACCGTCAGGAGTGCCCCTCAAGAAAGACACAATGACTAGGCCAGCCTGACGGTAGTGCCAAAAGCTCCAATCCATCCCTTCATTGTCACTCGATCTCTCAACCGAATATTTTGCCGAAAATCCGCCTGAAAATCCTGTCTGAAGAAGTTCTTTGTCTCTGCGATTCAGGCGCCAATGTGTCCATAATTTCCTCGAAAATCGCCAACAATTTCCCTGACGCCCGACGCGACCGCATCGATGCCAGCATCACAGTTGCAAACGCCACCACCATGGTTGTCCGTGAACGTATCTGGCTTCCACTCAACTTTGGTGGTGAACCCAAGTACGAACCCTTCCTCATCGTCCAAGATCTCAATCACGATGCAATTATTGGAATGTCTGCGTTTTCGAAGCTTACCATCGACCGTGCTGCAGAAACGATCACGATCGACAAAGTCACGTTTGATATGGTCCCTTCAGGCAGAACTCTTGTCCTGAACAATGTACATGTGGCTACGATTGCCCCTCGAGCACTGACTCCGATCAGAGTTTCTGTTCCCGTTGGAAAGGAGGAAGGAGAAAATGTGATGATTGTCGAGCCATCAAACAAGGGATTTTGTCACGAGAACTCCGTTGACATCATGAAAGCGGTTTACAATGCTTCACCGATGACGACGATAATGGTTTTCAATACCACGGAGACTGCGCTGACAATCCCGTCAGGAGCGGAGGTAGCTGTTGCAGCGATGATGGAAAAGCGGCCAAATGGGCAGTTCGAGTACAACGAGCTTGTGTCCATCGATTCGGACGAGTTCGACCGCGAATGGCAACAGTTCAAAGCAAATCGAGAAATCCGGCTTCGTGGCAAGGACGGCGAACGATACAAAGACGTCGAGATCGGAAGTAACCTCACGCCACCGCAGCGACGAAAGGTGAATGAGATGATGGAGAAGCGCCGACGGGTATTTTCGACTGGCCCAACGGATCTTGGAATGTTGAAAGGGCAGGCTTTCCGGATACGACTCTTCGACGAATCCCAACGGGTATATGAAAAGCCTGTTCCTTGCCGACCAGCGTTGCGCCCGAAAGCGGAGGAGAAGGTCGAAAATTGGGTCGAGGCGGGCGTCGTCGAAAGGGGTGCCAGCGACTTTAACCTGCCCCTATTTTTTGTTAAAAAGGGGAAAGACGACGTCCGCCCCGTCCTGGACGCCCGCCGGCTGAATGCACTGACGATCCCGACGCGCTGGCCGTTACCGTCGATCAAGGAACTAATGGCTCGACTTTCCAGGGACATTGCGAAGAGCAAAGGTCAGCTGTACGTGACTTCGGTGGACGTGGCGTCCGCTTTTAACCAAGTCCGCACCGATCCAAGAGACGCCCACAAATGTGCATTCAGCTTCCAGGGAAGACAATACATTGCGCGGCGGATGTGTTTCGGTCTCCAGAACAGTCCTTCTGTTTTTGCCAACGTCATCGACAGATTGGCCGGTCACGTGTCTGGACTCAGCGTCCTGATGGACGATTGTGTGATCTGTCACTCCGACTTCGACGAGCATTTGGCTGCAGTCGATGAGTTCCTGCGAATAATGGAGGAAAACGGACTGCTCTTGAAAATCGAGAAGTCGCACTTTTTCGTACAGAGCTTCTCGTACTTGGGATTTCGAATTACCGACCGAGGAATTGAGCCACTTCAGGACAAGCTTGGGCCGATCAAGGATTACCCGCGACCAAGAAGTCGAAAGGAGCTCAGAAGGTTCCTCGGAATGACCAATTATTACTCCCTGTACGTCAAGGATGGACACCGGACACTCTCGCCCCTGCACAAATTGGCCGCGCCATCAAAAGCTGCTTTCGAATGGAAGTCGACTCACGAGGAGGCCTTTGCGACATACAAACGGGCGCTGATGGAAGTCGTCGCGTTTAATCACCGGGACGAAAGTCTGCCTCTCGTCATTGCAAGTGACGCGAGCAAAACAGGCATCGGAGCATGTCTCTACCAAAAAGAGCCGTCCGGAAAGCTGCAGACTTTGGGATACTTCAGCCGCGCGCTCAAAGATGGGGAACAGAAGCTGCCATCCCGATATTTGGAGCTGTTGGGACTCGTCACAGCACTTGAGGCGTTCGAATTCGAATGCTACAATACCCCAGTACTGGCCTTGACGGATCATAAGTCGCTTGGGCAAGTGCTCACAGAGCGAAAAATGCGAATGGATGTTCCGGTCCGTGTCACGAACTTGTTCGCCCGGTTGGCAAGATTCCAGGTCAAGGGAATCGAATACGTCCCAAACACCGAAGGAGTCATCATCGTTGTCGATGCGTTGAGTCGACAATACGAAATCAGCCCTGGGGAGGACAATGATGAAAGCGACTGCTTGGATAGAGGCTTTCTCAACACTGTGGAGCTCAGACCACGGGCATCGGAGCTGCTAGAAGTCCTGGCGATGCAAACGCGAAGAGCAAGACGCTTAGCTCAAGCAGAATCCGAGAACGCGCAAAGTCAAGGCAGCAATGAAGTCGTGATGGTGTCTGGAGACATTCCCTACACCGCCGGGGACATAATCAAGCTTCAAGAAATTGATCCTGTCTTGAAAAAGATGAAGAAGGAAAAGAAGCTCGTCGCCGATGCAAAAGGAATCTTGGTCCGCGCTGGGAAGGAGGACATCATCGCTCTTCCAGAACCACTGCAAATCGAGATCAGCAGCTTCGTCCACGCTCGCATGGGCCATCCTGGAGCACTCGCGCTAGAAAACATTCTGAGACGGAAGTTCTTCATCTCCGGTATCAGCAGAATCTGCAAGGAAGTCTGTGAAGCTTGCGAGACGTGTTGGCGAATAAAGCCGCGCCCAAAGCTGAAAGCACTGTCGCCCCCCAAGCCAGAATGCTCGGCAAGACCTTGGCAGAAATTGTTTTGCGATCTGACAGACTTCGGTCAGGTTGATCTACAGGGCAATCGCTATCTGCTCTGTATTATGTGCGATATGACGAGATTCGTTGTTGGCCGCTGCTTACCGGACAAGTCTGCCGAGTCCGTCGGGTTTGCGATGGCAGACATGCTTCTTTCAAATGGAATTCAAGGAGCGATGGTAAGGGCAGATAATGGTCGCGAGTTTACCTGCACAGTCTTCAAAGAAATCATGGAGAAGTTCAACCTGAGGCTTGCGCACATTTCACCGTATCATGCTTGTTCCAACAAGATTGAGCGCAAATTCAGAAGTTTGGGCCTAAAAGCAAAGTTGGCGAATATTCAGCGAGAAGATTGGTCCCGCCAGGTCCCTTTCGTGCTCTACCAGATGAACAATGCTCCTACTGCTGCGCTGGATGGACTCAGCCCAGCGGAAGCCTTGACCGGCCGACCTATGGAATTGCCTCTCTTCCATCTTCGCCCTGATCCGGACCTCAATGAAGACCCTTGGCTTTGGTCAGCATACATGAGCGGTTGGCTTCGACAGTGTGGACAATTTCTTGGGCAGAAATACCAGCAGCAACTCGCTCATCACGTGAAGCCAATTCAAAAGACGAAAATCAACGTGAATGACCGAGTCTGTTACTGGATGCCGATGAGGATCGGCAAGTGCAAGAAGCTTCATGTCGCCTTCAAGAACACCGCAGTCGTCACCAAAGTCATCGCTGAGAACGTCTTTGAAATACGCGACGAGGAATCTGGCGCACTTCTGAAAAGAAATATTGTCTTTCTTCGTAAGCTGCCAAGCACAAAATGAACCTTTCTTGTTTCTTGTACATACAGAAATTGCCGTGATATCCCTTCTAATCGCCGAAAATTTCAGACGTTGTTATCCTGAGAATATGCTCCCTGCTCTTCTGACCTTCCTCGCCGCAAACGCCGATGCTGACTCCCTCATCATCGATGGCGGCATTTTACTCGAATCTGCTGGATCACTGTACCTGTCCAGACAACGTTCCAGTCACTATGTGATCGTCACGCGACCCGTTCCGAAATCTCCGTTTCTCGAAATGGACTCTCCTGGATGCGATGTCGGCGCCTGCAAGCAATTCTTCAAAGCAAACCGCTGGAATCAACGAGAATGCTCCGAGGACATGGCCGACAATCGCCGAGAAGCCCTTCTCGAATCTATCGACGAGCAATTCAAGGCCGAACTCATCAGCCTGAAGGAGGAGGCGGAATTCGTGAAAGCGCACGAAGCTCACTTGATGAAAAGATTCGCCGGTGCCCCAGCTCTTATTCTGGCGGCCGCCAACTTGGGCCTGAAAGTAAAGAACACCGCAGACATCGCAAACCTGAAGTCGGTCAGCCTCGCCCAGAGCCGCAACATCGACAAACTCACCAAGAACTTTCGAAAATTGGAATCGACTGTAGCTGTCAGCCTAAACGCCACTTACGAGCGCATCTCTGCAGTTGAACGCGACCTCTGCCGCCTCAACGAAGCTGTCATCAGGAACAGGATCGAAGACTGGTCCCGTGCCTCGGTGACCCAGTATATAAGCGAAGTGGACTATGAAGTGGCAGCATTGCAACAAGGAGAGGTGCCGTTCCGAGTCGAGTGGAATAGGCTATTTTCTTCTGCCTGTTGGGGATCTTGCGCAGCTTTGGAAGCCAAACAGTGCGAACTTTATTGCGCAAACCTTCTCCGAGAGTTACCACAGGAGCTCCGACCCCAGCTTCTTGGGCTGAACATCACAGATTCTGGCCTGGACGTGCACTTCTCACTCAACTTTCCAGTTATCGAGTCACCACCGACCACGCTGTTTCGAGCGAATCCGTTTGGCATCATCGTCAAATCTACCGAATCAAACGAACTGGTCGCCCCAGACATTGCTCCATACGCTACGCAACTGGCTGGTGAAATGTACGAAATCGATCGCTTCTCTTGCCTCGGAGCAAGACAAAACATGATTTGTCGACACTCAGCCATCATGAGCGGTTCTTGCCTCCGAGATGTCAGACGATGCAATATCAAACGAACACCAACGAGCGCCTCATGCACCTTCGCATTCGAAGAAAATGGCTTGATCGTGTTTTCTGCCGGCGAGGCAGTCATTCGAAACCGCACTCTTCTCTCCGATCTCGGATCCAAACCAGAACGATTTACCGGATTCCGATACTTTCTACAGTCTGAAACAGACACAGAGATCTATTGTGGTGGAAACGACCAGCTCATCAAGATTCCGAAGACTCCGATCACTACCTATACTGGCAAACAGATCGACTTCCGACTCTCAAGCAAAAACTTCACGTTCAACACTCTCGACCTCAACAACGACGACTTCTTGGACAACGCTATCGATGACATCGACGACAAGATCGACGAGCTCGCCGAGACAGTCGACGTGAACTTCCAACAGTCAACAACAATCTCAGTGGTATCCTCTTCTGCGCTTCTTTTTATATGCATTTCAACCCTGGTAATCCTAACCTTTCAGTTTTTACGTAGAGTTCGTGGACTTGCACTTAAAGTTAACAAGGCACTGAAGCCCTTAATTTAGCTAGCACCGCTTTAGTTCAACTCCACGTCCAACTCGTTTTTTTTTCCCAATATACCGTCACTGATACCTCCTTCTGGGGGCCGGGTTAACTATAATTAAGTTTTGGTTCGATTTTTTGAGGAAGGGGAGGGAAGGCCGCCAAGGACGGCAACGATGGCTCTGTATACGTAACGGTTGCAGAACAGAATTGCCTCGATCTGGTTAGGCTACCCTTAATTATTTTCATCATGGAACTCTTGGGACGTTTTCCTGACCCATATAGGCAGCCTTTGGAGAAGGGTGGGGGTAATGCCTTATCGAACCCTAGGACTAGGAATTGACCCGACCTAACGTTTTTGTAGTTCACCTAACTTAAGTCGGTATAAGTGTCGGTTACTTTTTTGTCAGGTACTCTTTCTCTCTCGTAAAACTTCTAGCTAATACTCATAGTCAATTACTTCCATAGAACTCTGCTTTAGTTAAAACTTCCTCTTTTTATTCTCTCCTTATCTTGTGTGCGATTCAACAGCGATGCCGGAAACAACAACAACATCAACTCAAACAATCTCGTCAAAAAAAACCAATAAGAAAACTTTTCTGTCTTTCCAATTTCTGATCCTCTACTCTCGATTGTGTGTCTTTTCTTCTCTTTCTTACTATGATCCTCGCGCTACATCCAGTCAAAATTTGTGTGATATCATAGAAAATTCTTCTCATAACTCTAGAAAGCGGGGGGTGGGTGATGTGAGTGACAGTTTGTCCTCAATCGATCTCCCGTTGAGCTTAGATAGATACGGCCTTTCCGCCGAGAATCAACTGTTTTCTCACTCTCTATCAGCTGTTTTCCCTCTCGCCCTTTCTGTGCGCGATCCCTTTGGGATCATGCAGTATAATAAATATTTTGCGGTAACACGACGAGTTGGACACTTGCATAAGCACCAGGAAATATCAAATTAAAAGTTCTCGAGATTTTTGTCGATTCATGACACCACCCCAGGTTTTGGAGTCAAAAGCACCTATAATTAAGTTTCTTATTTCAGACTATTTATATCGCAACACCTCCATCAGAAGCCGATCTCATCAAAAATATGCGAAAAGAACTCAAAATCATCAACCCCGAAATTACCGTTCTTATGCAGTCTGAGGTACCAAATTAACCTTTTTCTATCTCACAAATGTTTAGCTCGATCCTTTTGTCAGAAAATTTTACAAGAAAAATAATTGTGGAGACCTGAAAGATGAATTTTGGGAAATTTTATCGCTCGTCGAGCTGGAGACATGCTTGAAAGCTTGTTAGTCCAAACGCATGTGTTTATGACTGTATCAAAACAATTTTCAGCCGTCTTTTTGGGCTCGCAAGGCTCCAGTTGGAGCAAAAACACAAACATCGAAAGAAGAATCCACGGTGTCAATTTCGCGGATGCGTCCAATGAAGTCATCATGCCTAATTTATCCGATCTGCATAATTTCAGCAGCTTGGAAATGCAAAAATCGGAAGTTTGAAAATATTTGAAAGTTTTTTGAACAATGCAGTTTTTATTTCTTCAAAAATTTGAATAAATGTAAATAAAAATATTCTTTTTGCACAATTTTTCTTCAAATATATTCGCTCATCATTGCATCCATTGCAGCAGCTTCCATCGCTTGTTCTTGAATTTGAATGTCATAATGAACCATCGCTAGTTCCTCCTCCATTTTCAGTTGATTCAGGTCAATGTCTTTAAGAACGCGTAAGAAAAGTATGGGGGTAGTAACTTACGGTCAGACTTGCAAGATTGCAAAGAAAAGCAGCTTTTATCGGAGACTACTGATCTTGGAGTGCAGACAGACTGAAAAACTCAAGGTTGGAAACTATTATATGCTGAAATGAAGCTTAGTCATAAACCCAGTTCTGTTATTTATTTATTGAATAATATGATAAAATAATTAAATTAATATTAATCATTATTCGTAATAAAATATAAAATAATATACTTTTTGAGATCCGATAGTTGAGCAATCACATGATGGTTCGACGACTTTAAGGGGAGGTCGACGAGAATCGGGATTTCCGTGACCAAAAATACGGAGAAACCCGATTAGATAGGAAAATTCTGACTTTTCGGATTGAAAGAAAAGCGTTTGAAAAATTAACCGGCGAAAAGCAGAAAAAATTTTTTGAAAAATTTTTCAAAAACTAGGGTTGAAGTTGGGGTGTCTCGTGACCAAAAATCTCGAAAACCGAGTTTTTTCTTCATCAAATATAATGAATAAATAGTTTAGACCCTTAAAAATTAACCGGCGATCAAAAAATAAGGCTTACTTTCATAAAAAATTTTTTATTGATAAAAACTATTCGATTTTCGTCAAAATCGACATTTTTGCCCATTTTTTCATGGAAATTTCTGCAAAAATCACAAAGACCTGGATTTTTTTAAAATTATTACTCAGAAATCATTTTAAAACAATGCCTAGTGCATGATAATCCGTTTCAGATAGTTTTTGGACGAAATCACCAACCAATAATTTTCAAGAAATTTCAAGTTCAAGACTTAAAATCGAAAATTTTACATTAAAATGTTAACAAATTGAGAAAAAGCTAGGGACCAAAAATACTCCTTTTTACCGAGGAATCCAAAAATATAATCAAAATTTTGAAAAGGCGAAAAAATTTTCTCGACGACCTCCCCTTAAAGGATTCCCGAAAATTGACCGAAAATATGGTCTGAATTTCAGGGCGGGTTAAATTGACCTCCTTTGTATTGGAAACCCTGCCGATAATCCCATTTTGTTCCATGAAGCTTCCGATGGCATCTGATTTTGAAAATTCTTCTTCTTTCTTATCTTTTTGGAGGTTTTGAAGGGCAAAAAAGCATAAAGAAGCATTTCTTTAATAATTCAGAAATTTGTAAAATCTCTTCCTTGATCGCAAAGCCAGCCAAAACACATGTTTCTTTAACAAAGAACCTCTAGAAATTGCTCGACATCGAGGAATATCTCAGTTCCAATGCTTGCTATCACAACTATGAATTTATCTCTACTTTGAAGTGTTCCCTTCAGTGCGATGCGAGTAATCCGCGCTAGGCAGATCTTGGCAAAGCGCTTTGAGGCAGCATTAAATGGTTTCAAATATGTATCATCTTTGTCAATCACGTTTCTCATGTCGATTCCGTTTCGAAAAGTCGATCTTAGTTCTTCAAATCTGCGCAGATCGTGAATACTTTATTCTTTTCATCAGATATGCCATAATTTTGCCATTAAAAATTAATAAGGAACAACCTGACATACATGATATGATTCCGTTTAATTCCGTTTAAAAATCGAAAAGAATGTTTAAAAAGTAACGAAAGTCAATTTTGTCTTCAGTTTTGTTAGACCTTCAAAATATTTATTCTTGGAGGTGACAATTTTCACATCGTGGATTCTGACACTCGTCTCATTATTTTTCGAGAATGGAGCTCAATGGCAGCTGCATAGAAAATGTTGATGTAAAATATTGGCTAGAAAATTTTATTCAACGGATACAGAAGACGACTTCAAGGACTCAAATATGTAGGCTTATTTTGTCTGTCGAAAGATTGGGATTCAGAAAAGGAATTTACTGGTTAGTGAAAATTCCTTTTTTTGCCTTTATATAAAATGTCAATTATATAACATATTTATGAAAATTCATAATCTAGGACTGCCTTTCAATTCATCAAGGAGGATGACAAATTCATTGGAAAAATTGTTGCTTATAAAAATTTATCGACAAAAGAAAATTTGAATACAACTAATCAAGCATGCGACGAAGAAAATTTTCCTTCTTGGGGAGCAACTTTTGTTCAGAGAGATATTCTTAAACGCTTTCCTAATCTTCTTTACAGAAGAATCGAGCGCACTGAATTAAAAGAAGAAACTTGAGAGTGGACAATCCGAGATTCAGATAGAAGTATAGGGCAAACAATTAGAATATCTTCTGGTGGGGAAGCGAACGTAATTGGTGAAATGATGGATCTGCCTTCGTGTAATGGTGCTATTCTTATTGCTATAAGAATGCAAGCTTTTGATCCATTTATATTTACGGAAGTTCCGTTTCCCTTTCATTATCATTTTCATCTCTACAAAGGTTTTTTTCTTTCGTTAATGAGGTGTTGGGCAGTTTTGCAAAAATTTAAAAGACAAAGTTTTTTGAAACGTTTTTTATGAAAATACTAAAGTAATTTTTACATCTCGTTTTCAATCCGTTGATAGCTGTCACAGAATCCGCTCTTTTTCACAATGATTTGAAATTTCGAATAAAGATAGAAACTGTAGGGCGTTTTATAGATGAGTTACCCTAAGGCCAACTTTAAGCTATTTATAGAGGGGGTTAGGGTAATGTTCAAAATACTGGCTTATTTTGAGAATCACCATTCTATGCGGTGCGTGTGCTGTAGCTCTTATGGCGCCGAGAAATCGAAAGATGTTGTTTTGAAAAAGCCGTTTTCAGCCATTTCAAGGGCAAACTATTTTTAGGCTTTTTCAAAAACTGCCTCACACCTCATCAACGCTTAAAAATCTTAAATATAGATTTATACGAGGAACAGCCACCGTCCATGCAAGATTTTTGAGAAAGGCATCCGGGGACAAAAGAATTATTCCCAATCATCCAAATGTGACAAGACATTTGGTTAATATCGAAATATTTCATCCAGACGATGTTCACGAAACAGACTGCATTGGATGGTTAACCTTGACAGAATACTTCGGAAAAGGAGATCTTCGACAATTTCTAAGAGACGGATCCCTTGATCTTGACGAACGTAAATCAATCGCTTTACAAGTGCGAGATGGTGACACCTACCTTAGAAGTATTGGAATCATCCATTGTGATTTAAAGGGAAAGTTTATAAATTTTAAGAACAAAGAATCAATCAAGCATTTAATTGTTTATTGTTAAATATATATTATTTTAATCCAGCATTAATTACTTTCAAAAAAGCCAGAAAACATTCTTGTAAGAAAAATAAGGGAAAAATATCAAGCTCACATCATTGATTTTGGAGTTATTCAAGTAACTCAACCGCGGTTAAGCTTTTATCAATATGGATATGCTCGACGTGGATCCAAATTCCATAATGCTGACCAACTTTGTAAGTTAGGAAAAACCTCCTTATCCCCTGCCCGCATATCGACCTACGCGTAGGTTAATTGACTTTAAAACGCAATTTTTTTTTTAAAACGACATTGGCTCACATTTGACATTTGAAATTCGAAATTTGATCATGTCCACGATGTAGCGTAGCATACTGATTCTATAAAATTTTTGAATTTCCTTCATTCAATTTTGTAGAAATTGTATTAAGATTCTGGCTCTGTTGCTTTCTGCAATAGCAAGCAAATATGTTCTAAAACAAGTTCTCGAGTTTCATTCTCGAATCTTATGGTTTTTCTGCTTTGCGAATGGAATACTGCTTGGACTCTTATTTTTAAGCCATTAAGAACAAATGCGGAATTCGATGAAATTGATCATATTATGAAAGATTGCAACGCTGAATTTCTGAAAGAAATGATGGAACAGAGAGTGGATATATCCAATCCTCAAAATCCTCAGTTTGAGCGTTGCTTACGAAGGCTCAAGAAAATTATCAGAATTGATTCATCGCAAGATCATTTGGTTAATTATGATAGAAATTTGACAAAATCAGTTGGAATGAATATTTTGAGCTCAAGTTTTGAGAAATGGTCATGCTTTGATTTTCAAAATGTAACGAAGAATGTACTTGCGCAAAAAGACTCGGAGCTTTGTGTTCCAATTTCTATTGCCTGTCTTATTCGATATGCTGTCAAGAATGATCTGAGTTTCGATGATAGATATGATATGTACTCCATCGACACGATTTTCAAACTTCTTACAATGGTTATCTATCCTCGAAGTTTGGCTGGATTGAACTTGAATCCAAAGGAGAAAGATTATGAGCATCAGGAAAATGATGTTGAAGCTCTGTTAGATAGAGTTCAGTATAAAACGTACCTTCGTGGCTCTGGATGGGAAATTATCCGTAGATGTGCAGATTCTGAGAAAGCTCCATCTTCGAAATGCATTGTTGAGAAAGGTTGGATCATCAGTATTATTTATATTTATCCCTTTATAAGTGCTTCTCAATGAAAATTTTATTTTTACGAGACCGTTGACATTAACTGGTGCGTATTTGTTTTCGAGCGGGCAGATATTCTTTCATCAAATGGTTCTTGATCGCGTGGAAAACAAAAATTACATCATACAAAATACTTCTATCCCATATGGAGGAGTTAAACTAGAAATTCCACTTACCAACGAATATTATGCAAATAGGGAAATGACACAAGACTGTCTTGACGAGACTGGTGCTTATGAATATCGAGATCAAAAAACCGGTACGTTCATGCGTCTGGTCAACGAAGAACATAAAAATATGATGCCGGAAAAATGGTATCTTTTGCCACAGGCATATTCTCTTCGTCTTGAAAAATGCGGAACAACTCAGGTTGTAGCTTGATGCAATTCAAAATTTGTAACAATTTTACTCTCAAACTCATTTTATAAATCTTTTGCATTAACTTTGAATTCACTGCTAAACTATCATTTATAAAACTAAATTATGCACTTTGAATGAATTTTCAATTTGACTGAGTCGCAAAAATATCGTTATTAGATCACACGAAAAAAATATTTCATAAAGAAAACTTCTGACGAGGAAAAAAAGACTAATTCTGATTCAAACTTGCAAGAAAAATGAAGATTAGATTTTTATTTTATTATAAAGTAAAGTGAAAATCGTTCACAGAATCGAAAATCTTTCTGCATCGTCACTTTTCACTCTTTTTGAAAGCGGTTTGTTCTTAAAGTAGAAAGCGTTAAATGTACAGTTGAGTGGAATTCGTTTTCTGAGTCTTGCATCAGAGTCGTTTTTTGATGAAGCTTAGTTATTTGTCGCACATCTGATTGAATTTCTTGGTTCGAAGTCGCTCGATTTGAATGGCGACTTTGTCTTGGTATCGGCGAAAAAAATACTTTCTTTCGTCGGTTTTTGGATCGTAGCCATCGAGACAAGCGAAAGCGTTCCAGAACGAGCTGAGGGATGACATGAAGCTGGTGACGGATCCACAAGGGTCGGCGTCGGTGATGACGGGAGCGACGAAGTCGTTTTCGTCTCCGGTGCCGGCGAAGTCGACACAGCTGTCGGAGGTTTTATCGAAAACGAACGCGAATCGCTCGAAAATTCGCTGCATGTGAGCGGCCTTGAAATAATTTAAAGATCAGTGGAATTTTTGAATTCATACCTTTTTGTAGATAAGTCTCTCGTTTCTCTTATGTCCGTGCTTTGTGAAAACGATGCTTTGAGTCTGTTCGAAAGCTTTGACGATCCTGTTGCGGGCGTACAGTTCGGCGGGCAATGGCTCGGCGACGAAGGTGACAGTGAAGCCCTTGTCGACGATGGTGTTCTCGTTTGATTTGAAAACGACGGTCAATTCTTCCTGGGTGCTGGCGACGTCTGGCTTGGTTCTCGCCGCGTTCTTGCCGCAGTAGTCTTTGATGAAGTTGTTGCCATCGGGACCGTCGAAGAAGAGGACAGCGTCGTTCTTGCACTCGCCTCTCCAGTTTCCAGCTTAAAATATGGTAATTTTTTCATAAATTATTTTTCATTTTTTTTTACCTTCGACCGCGAAATTCGTGAACTTTGCCCGAACGGCGTATCCTTCGGGAGCTTTTGCCGACAATCGGACGTATTGGTCTTTATCGTATTTTCCTGTCACTGGGTTTTGCGGGAGGTTGTAGGTTGTCTCAAGGTTGTCTTCTGTGAGAATGAACTCCTCCTTGAGCGTTGTGTCCGCTACCCAAATTCGCTCGTCTGTCGGTGCGCCTCCGAAGAGACTACCGCGAGCAGCGACCAGGCTGAGAAGAGTCGACCCAAGCTAGAATTATTTTTCAATTACATTATGAAATTTTTTTCTCTTTCAAAAAATTCAAGAATTTTGACGATAAAACCGAGCTAAAGCCTCGAAGCGACAATTTTCGAGCGACTAAAATTTTAGGTACTTTTTAGCCAATCAAAAGACTTCAATTGGACTTATTGGTCAAAAAGTCGCGACGGAGATTTTGTCGCTCAGAAATGTTCGTAAATTTTCTCGAAAAATAGCAATATTTTTCAATTTATGAAAGTAAAAATAAATATCTCTGTTGACTTACCTTCATAATTTAATCAAAGTAAATTTCTGATTAAAGCTTCTCTGATGCTTTTTCGATTGGTGAGTGATTTCACCAACTGATGGATTCAAAATTTCTTTGCAACTTTTTATCCGATCGTTTGGTACAATGATGGCGCTCCGCATCATTTATCAGTGATAATAGCCCGCGATGTTGATGACAACAAGAAACGAAGCGAAAAAAGTGTTTTCTATCAAAACGAATAGTGCATGTTGCAAATTTATTTCCATTTTCGGGTTCTTGTGAACCCTGGTCACTCATGAACGAGCATTTTTGAGACCAACTTAAATATTCAAGTTGAAAACCAAAAAAAAGAGAACCGTTAAGGGGGTACACATCATTAACCGTGATTTTCAAGAAGATTTTTCGATAAAAATTTGTTCCTTGACTCCCTTATGTAATTCTCTCTATGGAAACGTTCAATACTTCCAACCAATCAGAAGCCTGAATTCTGCTAACCGACCAATCAGCGGCCGATTAGCCGCTTAAGAAAAAATCTGTCGAGATTTTTTTTGTTAATTTTTGACACCAGTCCCGTTGTTAGGCTTATTTTATCAGGAATCCTTTGATTCAACCTAAATCTTCAAAAAATAGCTGATTTAACGATAAACTTGACAAACTCTTTACGGTTTTCTCGTCGATTAAGGAGCTCGAATCTCCTTAATATCTTTACTTTCAAAATAGAGCTCAATTAAAAAATCCTCAAATAATCCCTCTCAATAGCGGATGTCCTTTGTAAAAACATGCTCTCTTGTTGCGACAAATTGACTAAATAAGGGCCCGATACTTGAAAAAAAGAAATGTTTATAATAACTTTAGTTCTTTTCTTCTAGAAATCTTTCTTTCAAAACGTGATCTAATTCTATTACGAGTTGATTAATGACAATTAAAATGCCAACATTAAGGGTCTCCCATCCATTTTTCGGCAATTTTCAAACAGCATTATCTCCCCGTATACCCTTAGGAATCCTAAAGATAATGTTATCAAAATGTAGCTCGTAAACAGTTCTAGAGCAAGAATACGTTTACACGTGGATACCCTTAAGTGTAGGGTTAGGCAAACTTCGTTTTGTCCCTTTCATTATTTTAAAAATCCTCCTTTTCTTGGTGATTTGCTTTGAAAAAAAATGTCTGGCGTTCAAAAAGGTCCTTTTTGTAAATAATAAATCCTTTTATAAAAAATATATTTTTTTTTCTTTGTCTAATGTTTCGAAAATAATCTCGAGTGCGTATTTAAATGACGCACGAGATTTTTTTTTCAAATCACGAAGAATCATTTTTTCCGATGAAATTTCTTTTTTTCTTTTTGATGCTCTTTTGCAGCGGAAAACGAGTATTTTTCAACGAGCAAATGAAGAATTATTTTGAACAATACGCGCGCCACAAGTTTGGAATATCAATATTTTTCTACACATTTTGGCCACGATAATCTCTTTTTGAATATCGCTAATTTGATTATTTGACTATGGATTAATAAACTTGGAACAGCTCGATTTCCAGGAAGGAGAACGTTCAACCGCCAGGAAGGATCAAATCAACAGACTTTCGGAGAAAGTTAACAGAGAACTAGCACTTTCAAAGGTAATACTTTGATTGAACAATTGACTATTATTATTGGTTTATGACTATTTGTCGTTATAAGCACTTATTTAATACTTTCTGTTGTCCGCTTGTTAGTTGTTTTTGAGCGCCCTGAGATAGTTGCCGAATGTCGCCAAATGTCGCCGACTGTCGCCAAATGTCGCCGAATGTCCCCAAATGTCGCTGGTTGTCGCTCTATTTTCTCAAAAACTTTAAAAATAAGTCGGGACGTTCGGCGACATTCAGCGACATTCAGCGATTTCACGCGAAATTTAGCGATTTCTGGCGATATTCGGCGACTTTCTCAATCCCGTCCGCATTTTTTGTCTATCCAAGAGCACAGGAAAAATGAAAGACTTTTTAGTTTCTTCTAAAAAATGCACAGAATGCTAAGTTCCTCAATGCAAAATCAAAAATGAAGAGCGTCCAGAGCCTCCGACCAGAATACATCCACGAATTCCTCGAGCAAAAATAACAACGCTTCTTCGTGGCTGCATTTAATCAATAAAATATCAGTGTTTATTTTCAGTGCTAAATTAAAGTGCTCAAAATTACGAGCTTGAACGAATTTCGAATTTGAAGAACGAAAAATGTTGAGAATCTTAGAATCTTAGAGTTGGCTGTTGATCAGGCTATAGTACGCTCCTTGCTTCTTTATCAGCTCGTCGTGGGTGCCGGTTTCGATGATTACTCCATTGTCGACGACGGCGATGACGTCGGCGGAGATGACAGTCGAGAGACGATGGGCGATCAGGATACAGGTTCGCCCGGCGCGGGCTTTGTCCAGCGCGTCTTGGACAATCTGAGAAAGATTAAAATAGACAGCATCGTAATATTACTAATATTCATGTCAGGCCCCTTATATTATGCGAAAAAACTTTGTAAACATCACGAACATGTTCGCATATTGTATCATAATTATTTTCCAGAAACCACTTAGACCGCAAATTTCAATATTATTAATCATTCTCCTATACCTTTTCGCTTTCCGCATCAAGGGCACTTGTGGCCTCGTCGAGCAGTAAAATTTTTGGCTCCCTAATCAGCGCCCTCGCAATCGCGATCCGCTGCTTCTGCCCTCCCGAGAGCTGCGATCCCTTCTTTCCACAATTCGTTTCGTACTTCGAAGGCAGATCCGAAATGAAATTAAATGCATTTGCTTCTTTGCAAGCTCGCTCAACCATTTCGTCTTCCGTCAGTGTTTTCTTCGTCGCGTTGTTCTGAAAACAGGATTGTTGGATTGGCCTTGTTGGAGGAGAAAAAGCCTTGTTTTTACACGGCAAAGTGCATTTATATTCATGTTTTGTCGCTTGAAAAAGATCGGAAAAGCAAGTTTTTGATCTAAAAGATGAATTTGTTGCTGATGATTTTAAGGGAGTAGATATCGAAAAAGCAGATTTAAGGACCCCCTTCAAATTTTTATTCCAAACTAAAATTTTTAATTTTCGAAATGTTAGCTCGGCTTTTTGATTATAAGCAGTGATTCTTAAGGGTGTCAACAATGATTTAGCTATTTTTATTGCCCCAATTTATCAATCGTTGTTGACACCCTTAACTAGTAAAAGTGGCAATAAGAGAAAATATGAGTCTGTTAGAAATTAAAATCTTCGTAAAAATAAGCGTATCACTACGTTAATTTTCAAAAAAGCGCGATTAAAAATTTGATTATCGATGTCCACCCCTTAAGTATTGCAATTCATGGAAAAATAGTTGCTTACAACCGTGAAATGATTCGTTATTTAGATCAATATACTCAGCACAAGTCTCGATGGCAAATCTAATTTCACGATAAACAACAGGTGATGGTTCGCCTCATCACCACGTTGATTAGATGTAGTCCATGTAGTTAGCCCGTTGATTCAATTTGTGATCGAATTATTAGATCCATTTCAATAATTTGGAGGACCAGGAATCACAAATGTACAACATGCGAAAATTGAAATTGGAAGTTGACAATGAGCTGAGGAATCACAAGGTTAGCAAAAAGAGGGGCACAAGCAATGATTGACTAGTTTCCTTTATTTTTTATTAGGTGCGCCTTAAGGGTGTCAACGGCCAAACGGTTGTATAAAACCCTGGTTAAATTGACCAGTGATCAATTTGACCAGTAGGCTATTAACACCCTAAATTTGACAAATTTTGCGTGGGCGGCTACTCGGCTGCTGATTGCCCGGTTTGCCGAATCATGGCTTCTGATTGGTTGAAAATTTCCACGCGAAATTTGTCGAAATTTTTTGTCGGTTCCAGACTACTCCCCTAAAAATTCAGGAAAAATCAAAAAGCTTAGTAGGGACCAAAAAGGAGTCCTGATTTCAACGAATATCCTGTTTTATCCTCCTTGTTTAGAGACTTGTCAGCTGTGCGAAAAAATTAACGCCGGAACGCATAAAATTTTTTCAACGTCGAACGCAGATCGTACCAATTAATTGGTATCCCGCTTTTACCCCTTTTAAACAATGAAACTGATTAGCTCACTGTATAAATGATATAGATAAATAATTAGATAAATAATTCTCAGACGCTAAGCTTTAATTTTATCCCCATATTATACCCATCTCATAACACAGATATGAGTAAATATGCGAATTTCCAAATGTGCTGAAATGGCATTGAAGGGCGTTGTACCAATTAATTGGTCGCTGTGCGTTTCGGCGTTAAGAGTCTACAAAGCAGACAAAAACTTGAAGCATGAAAAATCTTATACTAAATTTGTCCATGATTTTTTCAGACAAAATAAAAATCCGCAACTTACATGAGGAGTATAAGCTTGATTGACTTTCCCTCTTTCGCTTGGCAATCCATACAAAATATTCTCCTTGATTGTTTTTTCAAAGAGCGTTGGTTCTTGTTGAACGAAGCCGATTTGCGCCCTGAGATGCTGGATGTTCCATTTTTTGACATCAAGTCCGTCGATTTTGATGTCGCCTTCTCCGTTGTAAAATCGTTGGATGAGTTGAATACAGGTTGATTTTCCACAACCCGATTGGCCGACAAGCGCCAGGGTTTGGCCTTGCTTCACTTTTAGTGGATTTTTTTCTTGATTAAGGAGGTAGTCCCTGCTTTTTGCGATCTTGGCACTTTTTGAACAGCGCTCATACAAATTTGGGCTTAAGGGTAATGGTATACATCGGCGCGGCGCTGCTCTCTCGATCCGCGCTCCGCCAGAACCTATTTCTCACGGAGCCGTAAAATCTGAACGGATAAAGATTTTTCAAAATTCAAAAGATTCTGAATAACCAAAGTAACATCTATAAACACAGCAAAAATCGTAATAATTGTCAAAGAGGAACTATCTGAAAATTGCCAGTTTCCTTCAAATGACATTTTCTTCGACATTTCTCATCCAAAATTTTTAAAAATTAAACTGTCTTGTAGAGAATCGTCAGTTCTACAAATCCTGTTTTTCAGATTTTTGTTTGAGGCTTTCATTAATTTTACATCGCAATTTGTAAAGAGCGCTACTTTTTCTCGCGCCTCTCCGCTCTCTATTTCTCACGCCACGACCTCACAGCGCTTACTTCAAGGTCGCATATTAAAATCCGAAGATCTTAAAACAAAAATCTGAAAAACAGGATTTGTAGAACTGACGATTCTCTACAAGACAGTGCAATTTTCAAAAATTTTGGATGAGAAATGTCGAAGAAAATGTCATTTGAAGGAAACTGGCAATTTTCAGATAGTTCCTCTTTGACAATCATTACCAATTTTGCTGTGTGAGTAGAAAAGACTTTAATTATTCATAATCTTTTTGAATTTTGAAAAATCTTTATCCGTTCAGATTTTACGGCCTCGTGAGAAATAGGTTCTGGCGGAGCGCGGATCGAGAGAGCAGCGCCGCGCCGATGTATACCATTACCCTTAAGTTGAAGGCTGAAAACTATATCGGTAGAAAGGTCGAACGCTGTTCTAAAGTTGCCAGTTCCCGAAAGATATTTTTTCCACCGCTCGAGGAGCTATGGTGCCATATTCTAGCCTAACCCGAGCAAAATCGCCATTTTGGCCTATTTTCAAACACGCGTAGAGCCCTTAAAAATTAAAATAAATGTAAACCAAATATATTTTTAACAAGTTTATACCTTCGTCTAAAGTTGCCACTCAACGAAATTAAGAAACTCAAAAAATCATTATTTAATACCATCGATCAAAACTTGGGTCTGAAAAACTTGAAAAATGAGTTTTTCAAAGAAGATTAATCTTATGTAGCCTTCATAGAAGACAATTTATTTATTATTTGAGTAATCTACAGACCAAAAATCATTAAAACAACGCTTTGACATTGGATAAAATAGTCAAAAATTTTCAATTTTTTGAAATTTTTCATCAAAATATTGATTTTTAACGCCGATTTTGGGGACTAAACCAATTTCTCTTACATTCGGAAAAAATGATCCATACAAAATTTGTAGCCTTTCTAACGAGCTTTTAGAATCTGGAAAGAAAATTTCAAAATTCGGATTTTCTCAAAAGCAGGGACTACCCCTTAATAAATTAATTAGATTTTTTATGAAAATAATCATGTCATATTAATTATAATTATGATTTAAATTATTATTTAAAATAAAGGAAAAAACATTAAGGATAATATAAATTATTAATTATTATTTTTATTAAAAAAGGCACGAACTAAAATAGGGAAGTAATAAGCTAGGAAGTGACAAAAAGGAAGTGCATTTTCTGAAGACCAATAAGATCTCTGCATTTGGCCTACCGGCCAATGAAAACCCATTTCAAAAAATCACTTCCTTTTTGTCACTTCCTAGCTTATTACTTCCTTATTTTGGTTCGGCCCTAAAAATATATTTATTAATTTAAAAAATGCTTTTGAAAGAGAAATCCGATCCTGATACTGTCAGTCCTTTGAGAACTTTAACATCTGGTCGTGTTGGGTAGGTGAAGTTCAAATTGGTGAAATCGACGTCTCCCTTAATTTTCTCCGGTCGCTGGCCGCTCTGGTCTGTCGGGTCGATTTCAGATGGAAGGTTGAAAAGCTCGCAAAAGTGATAGAAAAAGACATTTCTGGAGAAACGTTTCCGAGTTTAAAACCACTGGAATAAAAATAATGATAACGCGAATTTAAATGTTGTCGCGTTCCCCTTTGCACATCCGGTAATACTACTCCGATGGTTGTTTAACTTAGTGGAGTTAAGGGATACCTATTTCCACTGAAAACACAATACAATTAATTTCATGTCCGCTCCCGGCTTTAAATACAACAAAAAGGGAGAGTTGTCAAAAAGACTAATAATAATGTTTTTGAAATGTGTGCATCGCCACGTTGCTAGCGTTTACCACAAAAATACAAGGATCAGGAACGCTCAAGACTTGAAGCTCAAGTGGCTTCTCTCAATTTATGCATTCATTGAATTTATACCAATATACCTGGCTCATCCAGAAATGACATGAGTAGCTGTTTGGTCATCTTTGACCAAAAATTTCGACAATGCTGAAAATGTCACGAATGTCAAGAATGGAACGAATGTCACGAATGTCGCGGAAACATATTTCTTTTCGTGACATTTTTCAGAAAAATCTTGAAATTTTTAGAAAAATCGTGACATTCGTGACATTTTCAGTACTGACCAAAAATTTTGGAGGCGGATTGAAATCGACCAAAAATCGGGATAATTTTTCAAAAATTTTGATCAAATTTTTGACCAATCAAATTTCCGAATTTTGCCTGCAAGCCAGTCAAAAACACATTTTTAGAAAAAAATTCTCAAAAATCGCCTCTCTGTCGCAATTTTTGTGGGTTCCAGCCACCCCTAACCCTAACCCCGAAAAATCATCAATGATAATATTTTTCTATCACTCCTTCCTTGATCATCCTCAAAGCCGAAAGCTTCGCTTCACCAAAATCCGGCGCGAACGCAGAACTCTGCCCCGCCGACATTGCCCCAAAAACAACGGCCATGAGAACTTTGTAAATTTTGTCAAAATCATCTTCGGGAAGTCTTCCGCTCTCGATCAAATATCCGCCGAATTGGAACGTCGCGGCGTAAGCGAAAAAGATGATTCCCTGAGAAAGGCCGTAAATCATTCCGTAAAGCCATTCTTTCTTCTTTGCCGAGGCGTGTGGGATAGCAACTTCTTTCATGTAATTCTCGTAGAAAGTCTTTTCGCGAGCTAAAGAAGCTACAGTTCTGATATTCAAAGTAGCTTCAGTCGCAATTTTTCCAGCATTTTCGTAGGCTTTCTGCTCCTTGAGCGCCATTTTTCCGCTGAAAAGCTGCATCATAAAGAATCCAGTTCCAGCCATAATCGGGACAAAACCGAGGCAGACCAATGTCAGCTCCCAAATATTGGCAAAAGCGATGACGAAGGCGAAACCAAGGGAGAAGAAGTTTTGAGTGATCAAGGCCATCCGCGAACCAGTAGCGCCCTGTTTTGAGTTGTTCAAATTAATTGGCAAAGATCAATTAAAGTGCTTTTTGTGGTGGAATTAAATATTTTCTGTTGTTTGATACAGCTTCGAGCAATTATCGTGCTCTTGACCAAAACATAAGTTACAAGAGCACCTGCAGAAAAAGGCTGTAAGACGGGCTCATTTCATTTAGTAGAACTTGTGTTTTAAGGATCTCCTCGTCAAATGGTAGTTATTTTTCAAACATTGATTTCGCGCTGATACCCTTAAAATTTTGGAAAAATTTTTGACCGACTGAGAAGATCGATAGTTGGTCAAGGGCAACAGAATCGTTTGTGCGCCTTTTAAGGGTGTCATGGCGATAACTCGAAATTTCAAATAGCAATTATATAGAGATGCTGACCAAAATTAATCATTATTTTCCGTTTATCGCGAATATGATCTTGAAGCACATCTTTTTCAACTCAAATCCTGAACACGTGACGCATCGGTGGAAAGTCTCGTTGTCAGAGCTCCAGTTGAATTCATCGGATCGTCAAAATAAGACATATGAAGTCGCAAGTACTTTTCAAAAGCTTTTGATCTGATTCTCAAAGTCAATTCTTCGCCAGCTTTTCCGAAGCAGGAAACGGCGCCAATATTTCCAACGAAATTCAAAACGCCTAAAAATCGCATTTTATTCATTTTTCATATTTCAAAAATTTACCGAGAAGAACAAATTTGATAGCATTCTCAGCCATTGCCGCTTCCAGCTCTTCTCCTTCCAATGAAGAAACTTTGGACAAAATATCCGCGAAAATAATCGCAAAAAGCGGCTGGGCAATTCCAACGATCGCCGAAAAAATACTTCCGCAGAGCAAAAACGGCCACTCGGGAGCATTCATCTTCAAAATCGTCGTCCACGGAGCCTGTGGTAAATCCTCGTCCTCGTTTTCTTCGGATTTTTCTTTTTGGTCGACGACTGATTTTTGCGATTGGGGAGCTTTTTTGCTTGATTTTTCTTCCTTGGACTTGTCTTTGTCCTCCCCGAATGATTGCATGTTCACGAGATTCGCATAAACGCCATTTTCTTTTTTGAGCAATGATTCGTGTGTTCCTTCTTCGACGATTCTACCGCCCGCGAAGCCGATGATTTTATCCGCGTTTCGGATCGTTGAGAGTCTGTGAGCAATGACAATCGTTGTTCTGCCAACTGAAGCTTTCTCCAGCGCCTGCTGGACAATCGCTTCTGATTCTGTATCGAGCGCCGAAGTGGCTTCGTCCAAAAGAAGAATTTTCGGATTCCTGACCAGCGCTCTAGCAATCGCCACTCGCTGCTTCTGGCCACCAGAAAGAGTCGCTCCGCCTTCGCCAACTTGAGTGTTCCACTTATTTGGAAGGCGCTCGATGAAATCAAAGCAGTTTGCCATTTTTGCAGCTTCGTAGATTTCTTTGTCAGTGACGTCCAATCGACCATATCGAATATTTTCTGAAAAAAAAGTTTTTTTTTATAAAAGAAGGGTTAAAAATATATATATTTTTTCCAAAACAATTTCTAAACAAACCTTTAATTGAAGCATCAAACAAAACGGGCTCCTGAGAGACGACGCCAATTTCCTCCCTCAAGCTCTTCACGTTGAGCGTCTTGATGTCCACTCCACCAAAATAGACTCCACCCTCTTGCGCATCGTAAAATCGTTGTATCAATTGAATACACGTGGACTTTCCACTTCCGCTTTGGCCACATAGGGCGAGGGTCTTTCCGACTTCGGCTTTGAACGAGACGTTGAACAGAATTTGCTGGTCCTCGCGCGCGGGGTAGGTGAAGGAAACGTTTTTGAAGGTGATTTCTGGCTTCGCATTCTTGTCAAGTTTTTTGCCGGTGTCGGAGAGAGGATCAATTGGGGACTTTCTGTCGATCAACTTGAAAATTTCGAAAGCAGCAACTCTCGATTTCGCAAAAACTTCGACATTGTTCCCCGCCGCCGAGAGCGAAAAAGCACCAGTCAACATGGCGAAGAAAACAAGCATGACATCTCCGATTGTATATCCATCTCCGACGATCAATTTTCCGCCATACCAGAAACCAAGTCCGTAGGCAGAGAAAAGAACAAGGAAGAGAGTTCCAAGGGAAAAGCCAGTCGAGACGTTTTTCTTGATTCCGACGCCTTTTGCTACTTCTAGATTTTTGTTGTAACGAGCGAGTTCTTCTGCTTGACCGGAAAAGGCGGTTACTGTTTTGATTCCACTGAGGACTTCTTCTGCTATTCCACCAGCAGTCGCGTACGCGTCCAGTTCTTTTTCCGTGTAACTGGTGGTGACTTTGAACATCACGATGGCCGAGACCATCAGAACAGGAAAAATCGACATGATAACCAGAGCCAATTTCCACCCATAAATAAAGGCGATCACAAAGCCGGTTATGAATCTCGCGATACTTTGAACAGTGATGCCGATTTTATCCCCCATTCCGTCGGAGATCTTTTTGATATCATCAGCAAGTCGAGTGTTGAGTTCACCAGCAGAATTGGTGTCAAAAAATCCGATATCCTGGCGAAGCACTGAGTCGAAAAACTTCGCACGAATTCTTGCCATTTGATTGGAAGCCTGCGCCATCAAAAACCAAGTCTGAATCCATCCGCAAAGCCAAGTTCCGATTCCAAAAACAGTGTAGAAAATCGCATAGGGCCTCATTAGCGCAAGAATCGACAGCGTTCCTTCTAGTGCTTTGTAGACATAATCATCGAGCAGTTCTGATTCGTCATCAATACCAGTTACTTTCATGCAGGTTTCAGCATCAAAGCACATGCAGAAGAATTCATCGGCAATAGTTCCATTGACATCAAATGCGGCAACGCCAACGAAAGACCTTGAAGAAAGCGGACCGTTGCAGTATTTGTCCGATAGCGTTTTCTCCTTACAGTCATCGGGGAAATTCGTGGTCACAAATGGTGGATTGCTGGTTGGGTTCGGCATCGGATACAGATTTGGAAGAGTCGTAGCATTGGGAGCAGTGGCGTTGAAGCATGTTCCCAAGCCGCCAACAACAGTGAACGAATCCGTCATTTGAGAAAAGATGATGAACATGAGCGGCATGGAAGCACCCGTGCCAATAGCAGCGATGATTGCGATCAGGAGGCTGAGCTTGTCTTTTCCCGTCGCATATCGAAACTGAAAATGAAATTTGGGCAGATGTTGAGAGCCAATTTTTTTAATTTCTTTTGCTTTATTATGAGTGACAAAATAGAAATCATTTATATCTTACTTATTTGATTTTTATCCCGAGAAGCTTTGAGAAGCCCGTTAATAAAAATTTAATTATAAAGCCAAATTTACCAAGTCGCCGTAGGCAACCATATCCGCTGGCTTATTCTCTTCCTCTTCCTTTTTCTTCTCATCTTGGCCAAAATCCGACTCTAGTTTTTCCTCTTTTTCCTTGAGCGAAATCTCTGTGCCCCCGTCTTTCGCCATGTTCTCGCTTGGGTGAACTTTCTTAGCGTCGCCCATTTTTTACGAAATCATTTCAAGTTTGCTCACTGAAGACAGAGTCAATTTGCTCTATGACGCGCTTTATCTGTAACAATTCTACTGAATCCGAGAGAAAGAATTTTATAGCGACTGTCTGACCTTCCGCTCAAAGTTCACGACAGAAGCAAATTTTCAAATAAATTTTTCAAAAATTTTTTTAATAAAAATTTTATTCAGACTGTTTTGTAAAAAAAAACAAAAGGCTTTTTAGAAAGCTTAAATCTTATAATTGTCTCTTTGTCTGATAGAAATAATTGGCAAGAATAAGTTTTTCAGCTCGTAATAAAAACCTCTTAAAGTCTTTACTACCTTAAAAATCAACCAGTGAAACATACCTGAGAAATGAAAATCGAGTTGCAAAACTGATTCTTCGTAGATTTTGATTTGATTGAGTGAGTTACTGTATCCGTTGCTTGGTGCAACTGCAGAACAAATTTCCGAATCAATGAATTACAGTCTCGAATATTCCATTTTTCCAAATTTTCGATGCTCTTTATTTTTAAAATGAATTTAATTCAAATAATTGAAAAAGCAAATAAGCTGCTTTTTCGTTTATAAATTGTGTTGTTTATTTTGCAAGAAGAATATTTTCCGAAAAAAGAAATTAAAAAACCATAAGTTTTTATCCAAATCAGATCGACTGGTATTTTTTTAAAGACGAAGCTGTGAACACAGTAAACTAAAAACTTCTTTCTCTTCCAACAAATAGTTCGCAGATAAAATAAAAAGTAAAATTCAGAAAAGACTGGTCGTGCTCATCTTCGTCCAATTCGCGTGAAGACGATCTTCATGAACCATTTGCGCAAGTTGATGAAGCTGTAATTTTACAAGCGCAATTTCAAGTTTTTCAAAAGCTTCATCCATTTTGCATGTTTTCAAAAAGGAAGAGACGATCATTTTCGCAGCTCGATTTTCATGATCATTTCGTTCCACTAAAAATTTATCAATAAAAAAACTCATAAAACTCGCGACTTACAGTAAAACTCAGCCTCGGCTCTTGAAATATCGAGATATTCAGCAAGTCTTGAAGCGTAAAAACTCGGAATCAAGCTTGAAATTTTCTCGGTAAAATAAATTATCAGGCTTTCCGGATGAACAATCGCTTCTTCTTCTTCATTTTCCGCAACAGAAACATCCACGTTCAGAATCTCGTTGCCAACTTTTAACTGCATCGAGCCAAGTTTTATTTGCAATTTTTCGATCATCGGCTTTGGGATCATAAATGTCTCTTCAACCGAAGGATAAATTGATGCAAAAACTTGCTGAGAAAGAGCGGCGGCGGAAGAAAAAGTAAATTTGCCGGCGAGAAGATTGAATTTGGAGTTGTTCTTGATGCGTGTTTTTGTCTTGCCAAGCGTTTTCCAGGAGTCGGAGGAGTCGGAAGAATCGGAGGTGGAGTATTTGAGCTTGAGGATGTTATTCTGGTTTTTCTTCTGAAAGATTTCAAATCCGACATTTTGCGCTAGAAAAAAGTTAATGAGGACGGGACCTTTAATTTCGAAATTTTAATTTTTTAATTAGCAAGGCGACACCCTTAATTTGTGAAAAAACTGTTGCTTTCTAGATAAAAAGACTCTTACTCTGCGAGAAGCCAAGAACCAAGCTTGGGACGCCCTCTAGAATCGTCTTTTCCAGCTCCATACTCGCAACTACTATCATCAAATGCGAAATCGTTTTTGTTTGAACAATAAATCTCTCATCACTTCTCTGAATTTTCGCCTCCTGCTGAGCCCAGTCCGCTCCGTTTGGAATTTTCTGAAGAACGTTGATTTTCGACGCTCTCGTTGTTGATTTCTTGAATTCGAGAGAAATCGGGAACGCGATTCTTCGAGCGTTTGTGAATTGGATGATTGGACTGATCCATTTCAAGTCCAAATGGTGGTTTTTCTTCAAGTGCTTGAGGGTGCTTTCGAGAGGGAGGGGGATGAGTTTGGAGACGAGTTCTAGCGGCTTGTCTTCTGTCAGCTCCGGCGCTACAGTCAGCGACACTTCTTTCGTCAGCGCTGCTTTCTCCTTCCCAGTCAAGAACAAGGAATGATTGATGTGCGGAATAAGCGCTAGAACAACCGTCCAGCCAGGCTCAACATCAGTCGCGCAGAAAAGCTGCTTGTTTCCCTCCCCAACGTCGGAAGAATTCGGCTTTGTTTGTCGCCCCGTGAGAATGGTTGTGTCAAGTTTTACATTTGAATTTGCGTCGATTCGGAAAAACTGAGGGCGGTGGAAATCCGTGTTGCTTTTTCGACTGATTGGGTAGAGAACAGTGATTTTTCGGGAGGAGGAGAAATGGTTTGACTTGGAGATATTGATGAATAAAGGAGGGGAGATAAGGGGGATCGAGTCGTTCTGCCAGTTGATTTTTCCAGCGCGAGGACAGCTTATTGTCAAGTAACTCTTCTCTGAAACCGAGTTCAGCGGAACAAAAATACGAAACGCGTTTTCAAGCGTTGTGAAAAAGCTCTTTTCCGGCTCGAGTTTGAAGTAAATCAACGGCGAGAAGAAGGTCGGATGAAGAAGAGGCTTTTCAGCGCCCGATTCATCTTCAAAATCGAACGATTCTTTGTCATCAAGAAGGTTGAAAATTGGAAGCGGGTTGTTGACGATTTCGATCAGGTCGCTGGGCGAATTGCCTTTCTGAAGAAAAATTGAACATTCTTGCGATCGGAGGGAGTTTTTCAATATTCTTCTGAATGTTTCTTTCTCTTCCGAACTCAGCGATTGAATTTTTAGCAAATTTTCATCACAAGAAAATCGGACAAGAGCGCCAAGGTCCGAAATTCTGAACCCGATCGAGACCAATTTCGGCAAAAACTGAACGTCAATGCAGACACGGAAGAGTTTTTAATCGCGATTGGGTCTGGAGAAAATTGATTTACTTCCGAAATTGAGAGGGATGTTTCAGACATGAATTTGCCAATGATCGAGGGAGATAACCCGTTTTGAAGAAGCTTCGCCAGGGTCGATTGGGAAGTGGAATCAACGAGGACTTCTCGTAAACGGCAGCGCTCGTCTGAATTCTTGAGAAACATACTGACTTCGGAAGCGGTAAGAGATTGATCATAAAGAAGCTGGTGGATCGAAGCGATGAGTTTTTCGTCCGCGGAAATGAGCCGATTTAGCGTTTCTTTTGCTTCCATCAGAATGATGGTTTCTTCGGGCGAAATCGAGTTTTTCAGAAGAATATTCACTGCGTAAAGATATCGTGGATCATGAGTTGCTTCGGAAATGTTCAATCCAACGTCCAAAAGTCGAGCCATCGTTTTGCCCGAAATCAAGCTGGAGAGGATGAAATTGAGGTTGGAAAGCAATGAAGGGGTGATGTATTCTTCCTTGATCAAAGTCATAAAATCAAAAAAATTCTCCCTGAACTCGACATTCTCGGTTGATCGTTTCACAGCTGTTTCTGGCAACTTGTTCGAGAAGATTTTCGAAGCCTTCACCAATTTTCTCGCAAGGTCAAATGGGATGATTTTGATGAGTTCCAATGATTTTCGCATTTCTCCCCCAGAATCGACAAGAATTTCGAAAAGCTTAGTCATCAAAGGGCCGCGGAAAAGAACTTCGGTCAGCGCTGGGGTCGATCGAGAATCCAAAGCTGTTGCAAAAGTTTCTTTTCGTAGCGCTAGAATCGCTTGACCGAGGAAAACCGGGTCGTCGATGTTTTTGACTTGCTCGAAGAAGCCTTTTCCAATCATCACTTTCGCCGCCAAAGTCACGTCTTTCGAAAGACATTTAGTTCTTTTCAGCATCTTCTTCGCATACTCCGCCCCGAAATCCTTACTTTTCAGAATTCGATTTAGATGCGACATTCTAGCGCCAGAAGAAACGACATTTGCCAGTTTTCGAAAAGAAACGCCAGAGCTAAAGAGTTTCGCAGAAGCTTTTGACTCCAAATCAGATTTGAGGACTTTTATCATTTCTTCAGTGATGTTGATTTGGTTGACTGGAAGTGGTTTTCGGAGAAAGTTGAGTTTGACCGAGAGTTTTTCTGTTGGAGTAACGGAAGTTTTTTCAGAGAGCTTTAGCTTTTCCTGAAATTTAACTTTTAAAAGAGCGGTGAGTTATCGCTTCTTTACGATACCTGTAGCATTTTTCTCGCCATCTGAATCAACTTCTTCAGCTCGACACCTTCTAATAAAACAAACTCAAAATCTATTTGCTTATTTTTGACATTTACCATCGAGCGCTCTTCTGAGCTGCCAAGGTCGGATGAACTTCTCCAAAATCGACGCTCCCGATCTTCCAGCCCAGCGACGGATGGAACGTAAAACTGGAGGATTTGAGTGGCGATTTGGGGCTTTGAAATGGCAAGTTTCCAGCCCTCAGTTTCTTTGAAGCGATCTCAAGATCAAAAATTCTAGAGTTGGGGTGTTTTATGAGAGGAGATCGGGCCTTTGGAGAGGTCAAAGTCGTCTTGTTGAAGAATGTAATTGATAATGTTCGATCTATGAAGCCGGACAGCAACCAAAAGGGATGATTCTTTTTCGCGCTGGAAATTCGCACTAGAAATTTCAAATTGAGAACAAATCTTGAGAAAAAAGAAAAAAAAATTCAAAAAAAAAATTTTATAAATTTTTTTTTCAAATTCAATGACTTTTACTAACCCAAATCGCTTCAAAAGCCTAACAATATGAAGATGATCCTTCTGCACCGCCACCGCCAAGGGGCTCATTTTCCTCAAGTCGACAATTTCAATCGGCGCTCCATCCTTCAATAAAATCTCCGCGATTTCCTTTCTTCCATAAAACGCGGCTAGGTGAAGAGCAGTCTGTCCCTGGCCATTGATTGCGTCGACTTTAGCGCCGGCGGCGAGAAGAAAGGAAACGACCTCGGGCGAGTTCTGGCGAACGGAAATGTGAAGTGGCGTGTCGCGGGAAAAAGCGTCAACTCGGGCGCGCGCTCCCTCTTGAAAAAAAACTCGTGTAAATAATCAGAAGAAAAGAAGAACACGGGAAAAGCCCTAGAACGCGTCTTCTTGAGCGGCTTACCATTGGAGGAGAGGAAGTGGTGGAAGTGAAAGTTGAGCTTACCAGCGTAACAAGATAGCTCGATGATATTTCCTTCGCAGATGTGCTTTTTTGAGGATTTCGAAAAAAATAAGGACGTAAACGTGTCAATTTCATTTTTGATCGAAAAATCGAAATCCATACGATTCTCTATGACATCTTCTTTTTGTCTCTGCGTCAAAATCATTGTTATCAAATTGTTAAATCATTTCAAAAATGATCAAGAAAGAAGATTGTTGTGTCTAGTGGCAAATGACAAATAAGTGATCGGTGCGTGTGCCCTTGGCAACAAGTGCTCTTGGGCACAAAGGATCTCGTTTTTTGGATAACGACACACACCTCAAGCACTTCGAATTTTATTGCCGCGATTTCCGTATTCCTATTCAAGCTGCCTCTCAATTTCAATTGAATCAGGAAAAATTTCACGATAACTCGTTTTTTTTTCTGGCCTCAATTTTCTACGGTTTTTGAAGAATAAAATTTATTTTGCATTCATTAAAATCGACTTTTCAGTTTTTCGAGGGAACAAAAACGCCATGAAAAGAAAGAGCAATATCAACATCTTCTTTGAAATATATTCTCGCAATTTCTTTGAGATCTTCTGGCTCAAGAATCACCACAAACGCCCTAGAATCCGAAATTATGTTGATGTCTTCACGTAATCAAACCTTTCTCTAGAATCGATTTCGAGAGGGCTCACGATTGAGATTACAACGCCATCAAGCGGATTATTCGATTCAGGTTTTCGTATGAAAAGTGGTTCAGACGGAGAGAATCCACTTTCTCTCCAAACCCAGCGCTCTCCAGTCGATATTTTCGAATGCTGAAAATGAAGATTTTTGTGCGAAAATTTTAGTCTTACATAAATTCGGTCCGCCACGAGATTTCCAATCCCTTGCGACCAGAAATCGTCTTGTTCTTCATTAATTTTCGTCAAATCTACAGCTGGAAAATCCGTCCCTCCAAGCGTATACGCCTGAAATGTCTCCAAATCGTCATCGAAGAGCTTTTCTTCGTTGATTTCTTCTTCCATCATCGAGTTCAAGTTATCCATATTCATCCTGTATCTGACCGGAACGCCGACGGGAATAATTGACCAATATGCGTCAAAAAGATCGGCTCCGGTTTTATTCAGATTTTCGAGAAACAAGTCGTCGATCAATTGACGATTCGGAATTTCGAGCGTGTCGAGGACGATTTCGTTTGATTCCTCATCGACGAATCCCTGTATCGGATGCATTTGCAGGGTCTCTTTGCTTTTGAAAATCTTCGGATACCATTTCATCTGCTTCTTGTCGAAAATTCTGTAGAGCCCTTTGTTGTACTTGTTGAAGGACATCATCTCTATCGGAGGATTTCCATTTCGACAGGATTCAAGAAGCGCGGAGGGCTGAAGCTCTAGACTGGTAAACGGAAGGACGAGAAAGTCATCCGAAGCTTGGACGAAAGAATGAAAGTATCTCATGTTCAGATCTCGTTCATCTTCATTGAAAATATATCCGGAGAAAGAAATGCTCGCTAGAAATTCTTCCGGCGTCGATTTTTCTGACTTCGCTGAGGCCGAAATTTTCAATGCCAAATAAACAACTGAAATGAAATTTTTGCTTGAAATCAAAGAAGAGAATACCTTTTGGTATGAAGCCGAACTTCGGCAACATAATTCCAGTCGCAAAGGTCCAAAAATCACCGTTGCTGTCGATCACTCCATGAGCCAGGACTGTTGAAAGACTCAACCCTTCGGGATACGATGAAGCTTTTCTGATGTCAAGGATGTGTTTCGTTTCTAGAGTTTCGGGATCATTGAGGGTGATGATGGGAGATTCAGTAAATGCAACTATCCATCCGTGAATTGGGTAAACGGAGACTACAGTATTGTCGGTAGGGAAGGATTCGTACAGATGGCGGCACCGTTCCTGAAAATTTATCTGAATTATCAACCTCGAAAAAAAAGAAAATCAGATTATGGCCAATAATTTATGGGGTCCGATTTATCGCTTTGGTATAAAAGGGGCCTTGAAAGATTTTAATTATGAATTTTTTTTACAGTAAAATGAAACAAAAAGTGAAATTTCGCTAATCATAGATCTACGTGTAAAAAGAAGTTTCTGTGAATTATTTTTGCATAATGAGTCTTATCAATCCTCTGCAAGAATAATATTGATAACAGTATCAAATGATCAAATAAATTACCAATAAGCAGAAGTACGGAAAATCAAACGACTTACCATAGAAATATCCTCTGCATGAATCTCCCCGAAATTTTCTGGCTCTGTCCATGTCCCCATTTCCGTCAAAACGATTCTCTCCTCCTCCAGATTTCTCATCGTGTGAGTACTGTTAATCAATCTTCTCTGATAGAAAACACTTCCATTCTCGAATTTGAGCTTTTGAATCATTGCAGAAGGATCGAAAAGGTGCTTGAAAGTGTCATTTCCGTACTCATATCTTCCAGGTCCGTTTCGATAAATTGATCCTTCCAGCCATTCAGGGATGTTTCCCGTGATTTCTGTCAGCTCAATGGGGTCGGGTATCTCGGACATCGATTGGTAAGCTTTTCCGACATCATCTGTCAAAGAAATATCATCATCTGCGCATAAGACGAAAGAAAAAAAGACAAGAAAAATCATTTTCTGGAAGCAAAAATGATCGAAACGGTCAATTTTATAGAAGTCAGAAGGTCAGGAACACGCCATTTTTTGAGGGTCATGAACTCCTCTGAGCTCTGGCCTTGGCATTTGTTCTCAAATGAACTTTGTGTTCCGCAAACTGGAAATGAAACGAAACTTTTCCGCGAAAAAATCATCAGAATTTCATTTTATTAATTGATAAGGACAGAATTTTCATTTTTTATCACTTCAGCGATTTCTTCTCTAGAATCCTTCTTTTTGAAGATCGATTTTTCTTTCAGCAGCGCGTTTGTTTCAGAAACTTTTTCATAAATAATCCTATTTCCGTAGCCGTCTTCTCTTGGAACTGTCGGGAGGAGGAAATAAATAGAGCCAGCGATGGCGGGGAGGAGAAAGAGAACGGCGAGTTGGTATTGCTGGGCGAGAAGGGGGAAGTAGGGGAGAGTCAGCGTTCCGCAGCGGCCGATGATTTGACAGATTCCAGAGCTGATTGAGCGGCAATTTACTTTTGAGGGTTTTCCGACAATCGGGTTATCTTTGACCAAGACGGTCAGTTTTATTGTTAAAAAACATCGTTAAATCAGAATGATCCTCGTAAAGAAACCTTTCCTGGAAAAACATCCGCCATGTCAAAGGTCGCCAGATACGTCAGGACGATCAAAAATAGCCCTAGAATCAGCGTGTCAACACGAAAATTGCAAAATCAGTTACCGAAAAAGCAGCAACAGGAAACCATCAAATCCGTCCTAAAAGTCAAGGCCAAAAGCATCGAGCCAGCGACAAGCAAAAATGAAGAACAAACGATCTTCTTTGTCGACAGTTTTTTATGAAGCGGAACTACGGTAGTTACTGTTACGAAAGCCTGCAATAACCCTCCACTTACTTTGCAATAAGCTTCCGACAGTCGCCATAATTCCGTTGACCGCGGAATTGAAATGAACTGACCCGCTCAAACTTCCAGCGTTCCATAAAAGTCCGTAGTACACGAAATTCGACGTTATCTGGCAAAAACTGAAGATAACAAGGACCAATAAATAGTGTCGATTGGGAGGGACGTCGAATTTTTTGACGATTAATTGATCTTTCGACATGTTTTTTTGGGCGTCGAGGAAGATTTGGCTTTCCGGGATGAAGTAAAGACTGAAAAAATTTTCTAGAGTTACATTTCTTCAGCTGACTTACCAAATAAAATAAACCAAAGAGAAAATAAAATTCAGCAACAGTAGCTCTCTCCAGTCTGGAAAGTAAAAAGCAAACAAGCTTCCTACTATAACCGAAGCATAACTGAAGATCGACCACAGTACAAAGGGCGTAGAAGGCCAAAAGACTGCAGTTTCTTTTCCATAAAGCGGAGTTGTCAAAAGAATCGAAGCGGCAGAAAAGTGGATGAAAAACCGGCAAATGGAGAAGATCACAAAATTATTCGAAAAAATATGCAGCCCTTAATCTTCTTGAAATACTCCTACGGGAAGAGGACTTACCAGTAGCGATAGCGTAGATAGAATTGCTAATCAAAATAGCTCGTTTTCTTCCAAAACTATCGCAAATCCAGCCATTTATCAAAATGCAGCAGAACTCGCCCAAAAGCCCATAAAACAGCAAATTCTTTCCTTTGATTGAATTTTCGCAAACAAGGAGAAATTCTGTCGTCAATGACTCCCATCCTCTTTCTGAGTTCTTTCGGGGGATGAGGATGTTTTCATGATTTTCTGGAACTCCGGTTGATGAAAAATTGAATGTCGGGTCTTTTTCTGAGCAATCATGATCGGGCGTTATCTAAAAATGAAGGAATGGATTTTGAATTTTCGTGATTTTACCTGGCCAAAAATAGGAAATAGGACTGCCAGTGTATAAAGAAGATTTCCAAACTGGCTGAGAAAATGAATCTTCAGTTCTGCCCATTTCTCGCTTTTCGCTTTCCTCATTTTTTTAACTAAAGATTTTCTTCTTTATGATTGATTTTTTTCTTATGCGAAATTGAATTCTCCTCTGATTTTGGAGCATTGATGGTCAGGGCCGCCCTCAAAATGGTAAGTAACATCAATAATTATCAGAATTGATTGTCTTTCTTTTTTGTCGCTTTCAGACACAATAGCATGCGGTTTCAAATGTTTTTATCTTTACTTTTACGATGCGGTTGAAAATGGCCAGATTTGCAGTTTACCTAAGACCATCGATTCTGATTTTGACTTTATGACTTTCAGCTGGGTTAGCACTACAGAATCGCCGATTCGGCAATTTTTTCTTGAAAATTTTAAAGGCCGTTTTTTGACTTAAATTTTCAGTCAAAGGCGTCAAATCGAACTCGAAAAAAATTAATCAATAAATTTTTCTCTCGTTTACTTACGAAAAAAGCTCTTTATCTCCAGTCGAAAGAACAAGAACAAGAAAAATCCAAAGAAGAAGAGCGCGGAATCGATCAGTGAATCATGTGCAGAAGGCGCTACATGAGATTCTTCATGTTCCAAAACACTTGTCCCAAGGGATGTTTTTTTTAATTCTACTGAACTCTTCTTTCATGACGTTTACACGCGAACATATACCATCAGAAGAAGTGAGTAAGGGTGTTGTAAAGCAGACCTTTCAGTAGACAGAAAGTGGCAGCTTCCGGATTATCGGGAATCGTTGATGTTGACAGGTTTCCCAGAGAACACTTCGACGACACGATACACGCCGTCAAGCATTACAAATGGTGTTGGCGATGACACGGTAAACTCGACTCTGTGTCATTGGAAGTCCCGTTTCCTTGGAAAAGAGCGTGAATTGGAAAAGTGTTTGATGCTTGTTTGGACCAATAAAAATGAAAAAACCAGGTCCTGCGACAAAGATTGTGTGGAGTCCACACTGTGGACTTAAATTATTTTCTGATCGGTAAAAATCTTGAAAGTTAGGCTGTGATAATTCTTATCATTAGCAAAGTAACAGGCGGAGGGAGCCAATTTTGAAAAGTCTTTTCAAAAAAAAATCAAAATCTATCGTATCTTATAATTATACGGCTGGCGGGACAAAACCCTGACACCCCCTGCGAGCCGAGATACTACACCTCGCTACCAGCCCGATACAAATCGCCGAAGGAAAGTGCTTGAATCTTATAACAATATCCTCTATCTTCTACGGAATAAAATTATTCCGATTAGCTTTGCTTTTTATTTGTAGATCTTTAATCGTGACCAATAAACTTTATTTGTATTAACTCAACCCAGGTAATAAACAATGCATTCTTACTAGTTATTTTACTTATTTTATTTCTCTCTCTGCCATATCTTCGAATAAATAAGACAAATTCAAGTATTGAACTTCAGTTTTACTCAAAGAGACATTTTTCATGGAAGCGTCACCTGGCTTTTTTCTGACTCGACAAAGGCACAACCTGTCACTTTAGTGTGCTCTAGCGCTCTTTTCTGAGAGTATAAAACCTCTCAGCCTTGTGTGAAAATCATTCAAACTCACAAACCCTCAAGTTTCTAACAAAAAAATCAAATGAACATGAATTTGATCAGCCTGATCCTCTGCCTCCTCACAACTGTTGTCTGTGGCTCTAGAATGCGAAACCTCCGACATCAACGATACATCCAGCGGATGATGGATGAACGATCAAGATCCGCCAACCCAGAGGTTCACCAAATCGCCTCAACCATCGACAGACTTTTGGAGACGAAAAGACTGATGGCTTACTACCATCTTTTCAGCAAAAACCTCCCCGTCGACGACTAAAAATCCACTATTTTCTTCCTTGATTTCAAACATTTTTTTATGTTGACTTTTCCCTTCTCTTTGAACAAAGGCTTTGTTGATCCCGAAATTTTCCTCAATAAAAAAAACGAAAAAAATCAGTATTTTTTATGTTTATTAAATACATTTTTTTGGCAATTCAAAAATTGAAATTTTAAAGATTCAAAGATGGCAGATTAGGTTATTTTACTTCCGCTTCAATTCGCTTATTTGTACAGTGAAGTTATTGTGAATAAGGAGATACTTTACAAAAACAGTGGATTTCAAATCACTAATGAATCAATTATTTATAAATTTTTTTCCTTTCAGGCAGTTCATAGGTCGACTGCGGGCATTTTGCGGGCAGATTTGCGAGTTTCTAGAGCTGCTATTTCTTACGCTTCGTCGTTTTCGTTCGAAATCGGGCTGTGATTCGTCACTTGATTGGAGCTTGGAGTCTGATGGTTTTCGCTTTCCATCGGCTGGGAGGGCGATTCCGGGGCGAATTGGACCTGGCCTGAGGGCTGTGACTGGTCGATCGGGTCGGATTGCGAGCTGCTCGCGGGAATTTCTTGCGCGGGCAAGTACTGTTGTTCTTGTTGGTTGGACTGTTGCTGCTCAGCCCGCTGCTGCTGCTGCTGTTGCTGCTGATTGGTCGGATGGTTCTGCTCCTGAGCGCCACCAGCGTTCGACTGATTCTGCTGGCCCGGGGTAGAGTTTTGCTGATTTGGACCATCGGTGCGCTGGAGCTCGATCGTTTGCGGCTCGATGTAGGTGATGTTTCCGTCCTTTGAATTCTGAGTGTTAGAATTTTGGACAGAATGAGGAGCGCTTTGAATCTGGCCAGATTGAGCAGTGGAAACAGGTGCTTGAGTCAATGTGGCTGGCATTATGTGGCCAGTCGGGGTGAAGTATTCACCGTTCTGAATCGGACAAATCAAGAGTTGAACAACACGCCGGTTTTGTTTTAACGAAAACAAAATGGCACAATTTTGAGAAACAAGTGGATGAAAAAATGGCAAAAGTTCAAGCTTTTTTCTTTTCACCACACATACTAGACTTCATTTTTTCGGGGGAAAAAGCCCGCCATTTACGTTTTTACTTCTATTTGCTTTTTTTTTTCTATCGGCCTTGAGGCGAGTGCGCGCCAAATCATGAGCGGGTGTAGCCCCGGGTTAAAAATTAATCGTTTCAAAAAGTGTCATTTTGTGCGTTTTTATGTTGAAAGGGAAAATGAGTAGGGAATCTTACCATTGTCATGGCGCCAGTGGACATGAGGGAGTTGATGGAAAAGGGATGGTGAGGGTGGTAGTTCGGGTCGGAAGTGTTGATCAGGAACTGGGGTTGATAAGCGTGGACGTATTGAGCGTGGCCGTCTGGAATCGCGCCTTCGGGAGCCCATTGGACGATCACTTGTTGTCCTTCTTGGCCGTTCGGGTCGATGAGATTGAGCTGAAAATGATGATCAAGTTTTTGAAATCAAGGAAGAGTGCTTCCACCAAAATACAGTTTATTATGGAATTTTTGGACATCAAATTTTTGGACATTTTTTCAATTTTAAGGGGTTTTCTTGGGAAACTTTTTAAAAATGCTTGTATCAAATTTTTGGACATTTTCTGCGCCAAAATTTTTATTCTACAATGAAAAAACAGTTATATCATAAAATTTGACATTTATTTTTATTTAAAATTTTACTTTCTCTTTCAGAAAGATAGAATTAAAGGTTTATCTCGTTCCCAAAGAATATTTGTGTCTTTGGAAGAAGGAGGAAAAAGAGGATGATCGATTTTTTCCTCAAAAAAAATTTTTTAAGCGATTCGGCTGGGACATTTTTTTTGGGAGCGTGTATCGAATTTTTGGACATTTTTGAGAAAATCATGGGACAAAAAATGTCCAAAAATTCCATAATTAACTGTAATTCGATTACAAAGCTAAAATTTAGGCAAGGGCTGTCCACCTATGTTGAAACCTGAGTCAGGGTCCTCAAAGAGCTTCTACAGGAACCTGAGTCAGGTTTCTACACAGGTAAAAATCAAACTAACAGATGCATTGTTTTCAAAATCTACCACCGAAATCGTACCTTCACCATTCTTTGGTCTCCCAAAGATCATGCTGAAAAGGTACTTACCGGGACCAAGTGACTTACCGGGACACCATTGGCATCGTGATAAATCGCCCTTCCATCGCTAGGCAAGACTTCAATCGGCTGGCCAGGTTGGGGCGCGCTCCCTTGGCTCACTACTTGCTGGATCGATTGGTTCGGCTCTGGTTTTATCTGCGGCTGGGAAGAAGTGACGATCGAGGACTGCGAAACGATCGGGACGAGTTGGATGCCGCCGGGGGACTGATGATGACTGAAAAAATATTAAACTCTCAAATATGGACACAGACTCAATATTATGTTTAGGATAACAAAGAAAAGAAAAAATCAAACGATCAGAAGGGAAAAGAATCAACAATGAGGAGAAAATCAAAATTTCAACTAGCGGGTTCTAAGAGTTCTAGAGGTACTAACTGGCTGGTCGTCGCGTAGACCGTCTCGTACTCGACATGCTTGTCCACAGGGGAGCCGACTGAGACGCGCGGGGGCTCATTTTGATAACTAAAGAAAAAATTGTTTAAAGAAAGTGGAAAGAAATTGGGCGATGAAAGAAGCTTTCATTAAAAAAGAGGCTCAAAACCTGTGTTGAAAACCTGAGTCAGGGTGTCTTTATCGCATTGGTAAAGAGCATACCCTGACTCAGGTTTTCAACACAGGTTTTTTGAGTCATGATTGAGGATTTAAAGCTAGATGAGTTACTTTTACTGTTGAATTATTGGCTTGAAAATTGCATGCTTTACAATGTAAAGTTTACATCCGAATAAATTGACTCACCTCTTTTCGGTCTGCTCATACTCCGTATTTTCCTGCTTCAGATCCACTCCAGGTTCGTTTGTCTAAAAAGAAAGGTTAAAAATCATGCCCCTTTGAAAATTAAAATTGCAGCCATACCTTTACCTTATTTGGGCATTTGAACCGTTTTTGTCTTCTCAAGTAGCAGCCATTCTCGAACATGTTTCCAGCATCGTCGTGGAGCGCCCAGTAACTGCCCTTTCCTGGTTTGTCGGGGGAGCGGGGGACTTTGACGAAGCAGTCGTTGAAGGACAGACTGTGGCGGATTGAGTTTTGCCATCTAGAAAAAAAAATCAGCTTTTTTCAATGAAAAGAACTTTACCTTTGTTGATTCTGTCTGTAATAAGGGAACAGTTCCATGATCCAGTTGTAAATCTCCGACAACGTCATCATCTTCTGCGGCGACTGCTGAATCGCCATCGTGATGAGCGAAATGTAACTGTATGGCGGTTTTGCTTGGGAAACTCGATCTCGCTGCTGAATTCCAGCCGGTGTGGCTGGCCCGCCGCTGGAGCCCTGGGAGAAGCCGCCGATCGACATCGTTCCGTTGTGAGAAGGAGACTCGAATTGAGGTGGCTGGATCATCGCTGTCGAGCGCATTTGACCAGGGGTGGAGACGTAGACCGTTCCGCTGTGCGCCTCGCTGAAAAAAGGGATGAAGAGAGTTTTCTAGTGGTCAACAATTGTCCGAAGATTGCTGATAGAACTTCGGATAACGAGTCGAAGATTGTCAATTTTCCGAGGAAACGCACTTGGCCAATCAGAAGCCGTCACGTGCTCGAATAGAAAATTGACAATCTTGGACTCCGTTTCGAAAGTTTCATCGACAATCTTTGCCAAAAATATTGAATTCTTTACGCCTTTATTTTGAAGTCATCAATTCTCTAGAACTTCTGCTTTTTAATTTTCTCTAGAACGAACCTTGAACCTCTTGAACCCCTTCTCTTCAATTCTCTAACTCTTGTATAAGGACCATTGATCCCGTAAATCAAATGAACAATTTTCATGATCAAAAGATTTTCGTTAAATAAAAAGGAAAAAGCAAATTTACTTTTAAAAAAATAGACAAATATCCGCGGAGAAAATAAATACCTCCGAGCGCAGGGACAAAGCTCGACTCAAATCGGCCAACTGGCTCAAAACATCGAGACATCAAGTTTTATAATTTCATTTCATAAACCGGCTTTCTTGAAAATTTAGGAGTCTAGAAAGTTCTTCATTTTACAAAAAATATGCACTTTTGAAGCACTAGAAAATCCATTGTAGATGTTGATTTTCTAGATAAGTATAAAAGCGCCACAAATATGGGCGCTTCTTTTTGTTTCTAACATGGGCGACCCTTTGTTACTCGATAAAACGCTGGCACTTTTGAGTTAGTTACTCAATAAAACGATGGCGCAGCAAAAAAAAAAAATTTAATCGGTAAAACGATGGCACCCTTGTTAATCGAGGCGCGGGGCTCGCTGGATTGACGTCATCGGAGGACTCTCTTGCTTGAAGATAAATGAGTGGAAGACATGCCATACCGATGAAAGTAAAGAATTGCCCGGGAATTTTTAAATTAAGGGATTTCCGGGATACATCTCATTTTTGTCGAGTAAATAATGAGATTGACGCTTGTTTTGGAAATTACTAAAAATCGAGCTTTTTTCATATAAAATTAGTTTTTAGAAAGCCAAAAAGCCGGGAATTTGAACACAAGAAAATACTCACTAGCCCAGGGCCCCAGGCTGGGGAGATGAAGCTCTTGGGCTGAGTTGAAAGTTTAGCAGTCGCTCAGCTCAGATGAATTATAAATTACGTTGCGAATCTAGACTATTGTCAATAGTCTATTGAAGCCTGTTTCCTGACCTTATTACACAGGAATCTGTCTCAACTCAGGCCCTGAGCAGGAAAAACAGGCCTGTCTTTAGTCAGGGACAGGACAGAAACAGGGTTCCGAGATTTTAATCCCAATTTTGGAGAGGTACACAAGACAGGGCCAAAAAACATCCCTTTTTTCTCAGGTACACAGGACAGTGTCCCAAAAACAGGAAACAGGTCCTGTCTAAGGCTTTTAGACGGGTCAGGATGCCGAGCCAAGAGCTCACGTCAGTGATTGCTGAAATGTCCTGCTCAGCTCAGCTCAATTCAATATTTTTCTGAGAGAACCAGCTCAGCTCCCATGTGAGAAAATGTAACAATAAACCCTTGTTAATGTGGGTCTACTGACAAGTAAGTATAGCTGAGTGGTTAGTGATCACCTTAGTGAGTGGCGGGCGCGAGCTCGATACCTCTTTCCTAACATTTTTTTCAGCATGAGTCCTCCGATGACGTCATGCAAGAGAGCCCCGCGCCTCGATTAACAAGGGTGCCATCGTTTTACCGATTAAATTTTTTTTCGCCGCGCCATCGTTTTACCGATTAACAGAGGGCCGCCCGCCACAGTTTTATTGAGTAACTAGTTAAAAATCGCCAGCGTTTTATCGAGTAACAAAGGGTCGCCCATGTTATACGTTTTCTTACATTGTAAGTTCGACAAATAATTTTCAAGATCATTAATTTGTTCCTCCATGAATAAAACCGATATTTTAATGTTTCTAAAAGAAAACCACTAGAAAAATATCTCGGCAACCTGAGTAGAAAGCCTGAGCTAGGTTCTTAAAGGCTAAATGAAAAGCTGCGTAGCGGCTCTTCTCAACTCGAAGCCGCTAAGCGGCTTCGCATCATAACTTGTTTAATAGTTTATTAAAAAAGTCGCGAAGCCGCTTCGCGGCTTCGATTTCATAAACCCGCTACGCGGCTTTTCATTTTTGCAATTAAAAACCTGACTCTGGATTTCTACACCGGCTGTCGATCCCAGTCCTCCTACCTTTTACACACTTGGACACTGGTACATTGAAACTAACCTGGTAGGCTGAGCATAGCCGGTATGCCCAGTATGTCCGACATAGGTCCCCGGCGAACCTCCATTGCCACTTGGACTTCCATTGTACGGATGATATCGCGGCTGCAGAGTGTTCATCTGAAAAAGAAGCATCAAATCAAGCAGCGCTAGAACAATATTGACCCGGGCTGATAACATTTGTCCAGCATAAATTTAACTAACCGATTTATACAAATGAAGAAAGAGAGTCAATTTGAAATATCGACGACTTTTCGTTTGACAAATAAAAACACGCTTTTTCTATATATCTAAGGGCCTGCCCGCCTCGGGGGCAGTTCTAGCCCGCCCTGGGGGGAAAGAAGAATATTTACCTTTTGAGTTGTATTTATTAAATAAGTATTTTAACTCTCTCTCTGTATATATTTGGCGCTTCTAAATAGAATCGATGACGAATGATTATTTTACGAAAGAGAGAGAACGAAAAACTCTCGCCTCAGGGCAGGTTAATCTTTAACCTCTTTGAAAGAGGAATCTTAGGAAATAACCGCCGCCAGGGAGGGCACTAGCCTCGGGGCCAGTGAGTCAAAAAAACGCGGCTTGTTCTGTATTTGAGCAGCAACATGTTACGAATCCGCTTTATATTTGCAAAGCGCAAATATCGGGCAACGGTCTCGGGCTCATTTGACAGTTTAATTTCGACTCAAAGGGCCGCTATTTCACTCGTAAATTGAGTGCAGTCTCTTTCTTGAAGTACAGTCCTCTGGAATTCTCGCTAGAAATGAGTGTTTCTTCACGAGAAATCTTTTTGAGATCATTTTTGTTGATTTCTTGATCATAAACCATCATTAACAACAATTAGCATTTTTAGATTGCTGGTATTTCTTATTTTAAAAATCAATCATTCAATATTTTTCGTTTATTTTTTCAATTTTTCGTAATTATTTTTTAATTTGATAATTCAATAATTCTAATTTATTAATTTTAAAATAATTTTAATAATTATATAGATTTTTTTATAATTAATTTTAAGAAAAAGGAGCGAACTCGGTATAAAATAAGCGAGTTAAAATTTTCCCTCTATTATTTTATTGATATTTATAATTCATGAAAGTAAGCCATAATCGGAAAACTCGCTTGTTTACTTATTTTATATCGAATATTGCTTTTTTTCTTATAAATTTGATGAATTTTCTTGACATAAGCGGTCGGTTGATTTTCAAATCCGCCCGATTTGCAGAAACCTTAAACTTGGTTTCAGCTCGATTGGGCAGTTATTTTATTGTTTTGGAGAAATTCGAATTTAAATTCGAAGTTTTTAATTCAGCGTTCTCACGAATCAATGAGTCATGATCATCCTGCTCCACTTCACTATCAAAAATACTATACAAATAAAAACTAACTCTCATCAAAAAATCTCGATCTCTCTTACCGGTTTTCGATAATCTCTTAGGGCGAGTTTTGGCTTTGCGTCTGGACACGACAATGTGCCCATTCTTCCTTGCCCTTTTTTCCGATTTCCTGTTCTCCACTGTGTCCTGCGGCCGCAATTCTTAATTCTCCAACTTTTTCAAAATGCTCGTTTTTTGTGATTTACAAAAAAAAATCTTCCTTTCGAAAATCTTCTTATGCGATTTTACTTCCGCCAAGTCGACTCATTCGTTTTCACTTTGCCGTGACGCTCTGTCTGTTTTTCACTCTGTTTTCAAAAAACTGGTCCTTCTTGTTTTCTGCTCTGAGCCGCCTGCTTGTGATTTTAGCCGCTTTCTCTTAAGTTGAACCGTAGAATGGATGTAAAGGCGTACTTCTTCAAACAAATCGCTTTTCAAAAGACTCCGCCAGGTTTTCGGCGGCCAAGGTTTCATACTGTACTTCTTCTTTTTGAAGTTTCCTAACAAATGTTCATTTTTATTAATTTTTTTAAAAAGACACCCTTAAATTTTCTTAGAGGGGTTATCGTTGGAGTCCATGATTCAAGCCATCCAATATCTCTAGAATCTGTGCTAGTGGTAAGGGTTAAGGACTGGGAACTCTGAACGGGGGTCCGGGGCGGGGGGCGAAGCCCACTGGTTTAGGTCTTGTTAGGGGCAGCTCGGTAGTAGGGGGTTAACATTCGAGCTGCCCCTAACCCTAAACTTAACCCCCACATAAGGGTTAGGGTTAGGGACCCCGTTAAGAGTTTCAAATCTCTTCTCAAACCATTTGCCCAGATTCTAGAGATATTGAGCTAAGTTACCGTCTTGGCTCAGATAATCTTAAAATAAGAATTTTACCTGATAAGTTTTAGTACTCCTCTATGTCTCCAGAAAAATTCAGCGCGCGCGAATTTTTCTCCCGCTCTTGAAAAACGCATGTTGAAAAAAAGAAGGAGCTCTTGGTTCTCGGCGATTTGAGACGTCTTCGCCTTGCTTGGGATTAAAATAAAGTTGATCATGGATAATAGAACCATGGTTAAACGACGATGGGCAAATGTTTATGCTAGAGAAATATTTGAATTTTCTTCAGAAAATAACCCATTCGTGACTTTTCTTCCTTTCATCAGCTAAGTTGTTTGACTTGTGCACCCTTAATCCGACACGCTAGATCTGTGAGACGAGCGAGTTTGAATCGTTTTCTTGCCACTTCAATTTTCTTGAAAGAAATTGGCGGTTTGGGGGCTTAGAAATAAGATTTTTGAAGCCGCGAGCGGCTATTTGAATTTAACCACTACTATGAATCATAGTCTATGATTGATTCGAAACCTTTTTTTTGATAGTTTGAAAATAACTATCTTGAAATCGCAAACTTCTTAGAAGCAAAAATTCGCGGCGACTTTTGACAGCTGAGATTGACATTCTATTTGCACTGGTCAAAAGGGCCTTTCCCTGGCTCCTCCTCGGCTCTTACTTTCGAACGCTCCTCGAGATAAGTCGGATGTTTGCGCGCAAAGGTACCGCTCAAATATCGCGTGTCCGGGGTCGCCTGGATTTCGGGAAAGTGAAACTGGACCATCTGAGGCAATAAATGTCCATCAAAATTTGTTCTAGAGTGGTAACCGAGCCACTTGAGGATTTTTAATCTATTTTTTCGGAAAGACAATTTGCCCGACCGGATGAATTCAATCTTTCATTTTGGTAATTCCATTCTTCCGAATGTTTGCTCGGGAAACTGCGCGTTCTTTTCATATGTTTTTCAATGCCTGTTTTCGAGTTAACGACCTTTTGAACGTCATTATTATACGATATTACAAAAGCTTTATCAAAGACCTTAAAGTGGTGCATATTTTTTGCATCATAACAGTCAATTAATAATTTTAGAAATTTCTTTAATATTAAATTAATGAATAAATAAATTGTAATCGTTTAATAAGTCAAGTTATTAGCAAATCGAAAGAATCATTTTCTACCAACAGGAAGTGGCTTTTTTACAGAGAAAATGATCACACCAACAATCATTTTATCAGTAAGGCTTTTTTTATTTTCAACAAAAAAAAATCATCTTTTAGATTTTATTTTTGATCATATTTCAAGTTTATGCTGTATTTGGACTTATACCAACCCATCTTTCAAGAAACGAGAAACTAAAGAACAACAATTATTTTACACGAGTGAAAGCAGCCGGATTTATCAACTCACTCTTTATGGCTCTTAGTAAGCAGGATTTCTTTAAATTAAATATTTAAAAAAATCTTAGTTGTCTCTTTTCTTTCTTTATACACTTTGATATTCGATGAAGAACTTATGGAGGACCCGGTTCGTGGAAGCTCACAGATTTCAACGTTTATCTTTGCATTGGCATTTGGCTTTTTTGCATTTGAAATCGGCGTTATTTCTCTCAATTTAATCGGATATTATTTTTTTGACGATTTTACCGCCACGAAACTGGTTGAAAAAAACAAATTCTACGAATATTTGATCGATGAAACTATTCAGCCAAGTTTTGAAATCCTCCCTTTGCTGAAAGTCTGTCTCTGCAAGTAATATTTCAATCATATTCTTTAGACTAATTGTTTTAAGAGAATTTAAAGAAAAACCGCAGACGCAGTGGCAAACTTTTGGGCATCATGTGATCGGACTTGTATGCTTCTTTGTTGCTCTTCAATGGGGCATGTTTTCTTACTTTATAAATTATCGACTGACTGCTGAGATTTCAAACATTTTTCTGAATCTCATTTTTCTTTCTAAAATTTCTCCTTCATTCTCATCGAGAGCTAATGATGCAATAGGCATGAGGTAAATCAAGGGGGTCCCCGGGAAATTTAAGGGGGTAAGGGCCCCTAATTCTGCCGGAAAAGCTGGATTAACATCTGTTCAGTTTTGTAGTGGTTTTCATCTCCAGCCGAATTTTTACAATGCCTCATTATTGGACGACTCTTCTACCAGTTATTTTCAATGATGATGGCAAAATCCCACTTTTCTTCAAAACTGGATCTCTTCTCGTCAGTCTCCTACTCGATTATCTGAACATAAACTGGGGAATTCTGATTATCGAGAAAGCTGTTCAAATTTTCAGAGAAAAATGAAAGGATGAATAAAATATCAACCCCTGATTTTGAGTTTTTTTTTTAATAAAATCATATAAGTTCGTGTCGAGAAATCACGTGGATAATCATTTCAGACCACTTTTGCTGAGGCAGGAAAACAAAAACTTGTGAAAGAATCACAAATGTTTCTCATCTCCTTGACCCAAAAAATAAACTCCACAGAAAAAGTTGTAAAAATTATTATGACAGAGAATTCAGAAGATGAAATAAAATTCGATGAGAAATCTTTTGATCCGCCAATTTGGGTAAGTAAAATTTAGAGAATAAACTCATTTTGGCTCTAGAAATTGAAGCGGTATCAAAATGCCCTGCTCGTTTTTTGGGGATTTGCGGCTGTTTACGCGCTCCGGGTTAACCTATCCGTCGCTATTGTACAAATGGTGCCGCCGGTTAAGAATTCAACCAAAGGAGAATGCGCGAATTCCTCTTTTACGACTCCTCAAGTTTCCTATTCAAAACCAAACGATCCGACTTACGATTGGACTCCCGAACAGCAAGGGATTATTCTTGGGACCTTTTTTATGGGTACATCACTACGCAAATCCTTGGCGGATACCTAGCCGATCGTTTCGGAGCGAAATTATTGCTCGGATTGGGGATTGCTTGTACAGCATTTTTCACGATAATAACAAGGCAAATGGCTGATGCTGGTTTTGCAGCGATGATAGGAAGAGTTTAAGCTGGTTTTTTTTTCTTTTTTCGAGGACAAAAATTAACTCTTAAAAGCCCTCCGGGTGATAGAAGGAATCGGCGAAGGAGTAACTTTTCCCGCCGCCGCAAGTTTTTGGGGAAAATGGGCTCCACCAAATGAGCGCGCTCGACTTGCTGGTTTTTCATTTTCTGGTGCTCAGTTTGGTACGATCATTTCGATGCCGCTCTCTGGCTGGCTTTGTCAGACGGTGGGCTGGTCGGCGATGTTTTATATTTTTGGGTCGATCAGTTTGGTTTGGGTGGCGCTTTGGTTCTGGTTTGCTGCGAATTCACCGGAAGAGAGTAAGACTATTGATCCAAGGAAGGTTTTCTAGAGCTTCTTTACAAAATTCAAGACGACTAAAAATCATTCTAGAGCTTTCTTCTCCTCTTAAAAATCGAGAAAACTGAAAAAGAGAGCGAGAATTTATTGTCTCACAGATTCCGCCACCGAAAGAAAATCATTCTGTTCCCTGGAAAAATATCTTCTGCTCACTCCCTTTTTGGGGAATCTTAATGACGCACACTTGCTACAACTGGACTTTCTACGCCTTTTTGACCTGGTAAAATATCAGTTGTTGTGTCTCAACGAGTTTAGTCTTCCGAAATATCTGAACAACGTCCACGGATTCGACATTTCTTCCGCCGGAATCATCGGAGCCCTGCCCTACATCTGCATGTTTCTTTGCATCATCGCTCAGGGCAATCTGTCTGACAGACTTCTTGAAAAGAAAATGCTCTCTAGAACTGCTGTTCGACGAATTTTCAATTCTATCGGTAAGTCATTCTCCTCTTTGTCTGCGAAACCTGCTCTTAGGGACGATTTTGCCAGCGATAGTGCTGCCATTTATAACCGTTTTGAGATGCAACAAGGATGGAGTTGTGGCGCTTATTTGCTTGTCAGTTGGACTCTGTGGCTTCGTCTTCTCGGGGTACAATACTCCTAATCATGCGGATCTGTCGCCAAGGTTTTCCGGTGCGACTTTTGGGATAACCAATACTTTGGGAACCATTCCAGGCATGGGTTAAAATGGGTTTCTCACTTTTTTTCAACCAGAAAGCAGATTTAAACTCAGAAAAGGCTTTCTAGCGCCGCAAGTGGTCTTGATGATAACCGGTGATAATTCTACTTCTGTCGATGCTTGGTCCCCTGTTTGGTATATTTCGATGGCGATCAATCTTTTTGGCGCTATTTGCTACATGCTCACTGCTTCTGGGAATCTGCAGCCTTGGGATTCGGGAGCGATGCTTTTGAAAGACCAGTGGAAATTCGAAAAAGCGCAGTTTTGCTTCAGAACAGAAGAAGATCGAGAAGAAATTCTTGAAAATCCAAATTTTGTTGAATAAATTTTCTGTAAAAAAAACGAGTTTGGAGGCGTGTTCGATTTGTAAATAGCCGCCGTCTATAAATCAAAGATTATACAAAGAGGAATCTTCTCTCTGTTCCAATTTTTCCGTCAGAATTGATTTGATATGAGAGAGAAAATCGGAATTCTAGAGGAAGATGAAAATGATCATTACTTTCTCAATGACCCTTTGTACATCTTGACCTACAGTTTGAGCTACCCAGCTATCTGGTGTGCTCTCCAAAGCTTGATTACAATCTTTCCATATTTCAAGGTTATTGCTTGGTTATAATTGATGAATGATCAGCTCATGTTTTGTTTTGAAGGATATCCCAAGAGTAACAACGATCATTTTTTGTATCTCCTGTATTTGTTCGATAATTGCTGGTTCTCTCGGCTTATCTCAAAACTACATTGCTTGGTACCGTCGACCTTGGCTTGAAGACGATAGTCTTAGTATTAGAGACAGTCTTGATCTGTTCTTTGACACATGGGAGAGTTACTGTCAGATTTGGAAGGCGAGGGAAGCGATGAATGTCCTCTCAGCTCTTTTTTCTGCTGTTTGTATTTGTTGCTTATTTTGTTCGAGAAAAGCAGTTATTGGTAAAGATGCAATGAAGGAGGTGGTCTGGAAAAATCTCATTTTCACTCGTAAGAAAAAAATCTTCAAAAAGGAAATTGAGTTTTCAGAGTCATTTTTGGGCTTTATTTCATCCCTTTTGGCCGCAATTGCCATTTGGCCGAATGCAAGGCCTTATAAAGAAGATTTTCCTCGACTTGGTCAAACTAACGGGACCTGGCCAGTTTGCACAATCGACAGAAGAGATCCGATTCTCCCAGACTTTCCGCTTGAAAAAATTGGCGGAGAAGCGCCGGGAATTTATGGGTAAATAAGCACTCTTGAATTAACAATCTAAAGAAAAACATAGCATTGGATTTGGTTTTGCTCATTTGACAATGTTCTTCCCATTGCAATATTTATTCAACTTTTCGCTCGTTCTTGATCTCGCGAACATTGACCTGAACTTGATTGTGATTGTAACAGAAATCATGAATGGAGTTGCTGGTGTTTTAGGAATGCTCATGCTTTACGGAGATCCAGGTTAATTCTGCCGAAAATGTCGATATTGAAAAAAACCTAGGAAGCCCTTGGTTAACAATTATGCGACTGAGTAAATCTTGGACGAGTTTTTGCATCATCTCTTTCTTCTTCTCCGTTTTTTCGATAATTGCTTTCATCAGAAGCTTCAGACATTGTGAAGATGAAGAAAAAGCGACAAGATGGGCATTTCTTATCAGTAAAAATTTTATTTTACTAAGAGAAGGATTAAAAATTTTTAAGAACTATGTTCAATTTTCATCGTTAATTCCGTGATGTCGATAGTGACTTGGCCAGAAGACGATTGGGAAGACTGGGTATAATCTTTGCTTGAAATTCTGGAAAATCCAAATTTTGAAAAATAAAATTTCTGAAACAAGATTATTTCTGATTATCAACGGTTTTGTTTTGCTTTATTTTGTCATAGATCGTATTTTAAATTTCTTCATTCATGGATAAAAATAGCAAAAATCATGACAACCGTCATTACAGGCATCAGGTGATGATTCGAAGAGAATCGGTCGATAGCACTTTCCTTCGTGCTCATTAATGATCGTCGAAGAGGTCACGTTTTGACCATCCCAGATTGCTTTTTCCACGTAACTGCGAATTTTTTTATCTATTGAGCAATTAAAGATTTACTTGTAATCGTTGTTTCCGCCAAATGCAAGGAAGAAGTCTCCGAAATGAATCGAAGATCCGACATCATTAAACTAAAGATTTCTAATCATCTTATGAAAATTTATCCTACTGATTGCAAAGCTCCAGCAAAATTCCACTCATCATCACGCAATAAAAACACATTTTTTGTCAAGCCGCCTATATCAATTAAATAGCCGCCAATTGTCAAGACTCCATTTTCGATTGACAAACATGTCTGACGTTGAATATTATTAGGATGAGATGTCGAATATTCCCACCCACTGAAATTTAAAGTATTGTTACATAAACCTTGTTTGCTACCTGGATGAAAGAATTTCGACCTTATTTGTCAATGAGGGTGAGAGCCCACCTATAATTATTGGAACATTTTCATATTCAGCCATACAAGCATATCTATGATTAATTTGCGTGCTCGATATGGCTCGGGAGCTTTCACCATCAAAGCTCTCGCAATGTGCGGAGGAACCTCTGCATAAGATAACGGAGTCTGTTCCCGAAGTAATGGTCACGAGAGATCCATCAACACCATTGAAAGATTGAAGTAATTGCTTTTCAGAATCTTGAATTGTGCAGCCAATAAGTTTAGCGATCTTATCATTAATTTCGTGAAAAGAATCGGTTCTTTTACCTTCTTTGAAACATCGCTCCGTGAGCCGAAAAAGAAATGCTCCCCGTGAAGCATTGCATGGCCAGACCACTCAAGATATGGATATGTTCCATTAAACGGAGACTGGTAATGACGCGTTTCCTAAAGTTACTAAAAAACAACAAAATTTGCGCCAAGTGTGAACCTTGAAGCTTCCATCAGCGGAAATAATGTAGTTAAAACTCGTGATATCATTTGAAGGACGATTCTGGCAGAGGGCTGTTACGTACGGTTGGCACTTGTAACCATCTTTGCAAGAACAACCCATCGGACACTTTGGCATACAAGGACAGTATTCAGACTCATTTTGGAACACTTCCGAACACTCATGGAGGCAAGTCGTATTTGCCGTGCATGAAGTGATGCAGTCATTAAAACGCCCAGAACCTTCCTTCATGCATTGTTGAAAATATACGTTATCAGTCTCTGGGCTTCGGCATGAACAAATTGTATTTGGACAATTTTCACAACCGTCGGGGCAGTCTTCATAGCATGGACAAGTTCTTGAGCAATCTGAATCATATTTCGGAAAGTGATAAGACACCGTGATAAGATCTTTTTTTGAAGCATTACCGGCATAAGGTATCATGCACAATCGTTCACACGCAGAAGTCGAGCGAGCCTCAACACAAGCCAAGTACTCATCCCAGCAGAATTCCTCACATTTTTCACCGAGGTCAGAATCACTCAAATATTTTCTTTGAGAGCTTATAAAAATTCACTTACGGGCACGAACGAATAATCTTTGCTCTCTGCGCTTCCGCACAGGAACTTAAAAATATAAGAAACACCCACATTTGAGAAATCTCTTGTGAAAAATTTTCCGCTAGTCAGAAGATTACCGTCCTCCTTGATATTTGCCCATGCTTGAGACCATTTACATATGCGAAAATAAAATTCAACGAGAAAAGTGACCAAGGTCAACTGCTTCCAAACAGTTCAATCAATTTCTCCCGATCATCGATATGAATCTTTCTTCAAAAAATAATAACACAGTCAGCTGCGCAATTCGCGGAAGATTGTCACCTCGTCCCAAAGCCACACCCATATAAAAACTGAAACTTCAATCTTAGTCTCTAGAACAACTTTGAACCCTTTTTGTACAAATACAATCAGAGTGGTTTTTATTTGAAAATATGAGGGGACTTCAGCGCTTGACATTTACACGCCTTTATTCAGGTATTTTTCGATTTTTTGACCCATTTAATCCAGTAAAAGCTCGAAAATTCGGGCAATAGACAGGAAATGAATTTCAATCAAAAACATGTTTTTAAAGAAAAAAGAGAGCAAAAGGGGTTTTTATCATTTTTCAAAAGGCAGGTTTTAAAAATTAATTTAAGCTTGCTTAATCGGAGTCCCCTCAAGCAAAGGTCAGCGCCGTTCGGGTGTCGAACATGGTCCGGAAATTCTCCGAAAACATGGGATCGTCAAGAAACTCAGAAAATTCAACAACGTCGTTGATTCTGGAAACATTCGCGTCGTCGAAGATATCGCTGATGACTTCGAGGGAAACGTCAAAAACCCAAGAACCGTCGGAGCGAATAATGAACGAATCAGAGATGCGGTAAAAGAGAGCTTGAAGAAGTACAGACCCGTGATTTCTCTTGGAGGAGATCATTCCATGGCCATTGGAACCATCAGTGGATCTGCTACCTTCCTCGGAAAAGCGCCCGTGGTCATTTGGGTCGATGCTCACGCCGACATCAATCCTCCAGAATTGTCACCATCTGGCAATCTTCATGGAACACCCCTTAGTTTTCTTCTCAAAGAGCTAGATTCTAGCAGAATCGCCTTACCCGGCTTCGAATGGTGCGATAGTCAGATTGCAGCGAAAGACATTGCTTTTATTGGATTGCGAGATGTCGATCCGACTGAGCTCGATATTATCAAAAATCATGGAATCAAAGGTACAACAAAAATCATCCTCGAAATAAACTTTTTCAGCTTTCGACATGAACGACATCGACCGACTGGGAATTTCCCGCGTTCTGTCCGAATGCCTCGATTCCACCGACCCAAACGGAACTCGAGACATCCATCTGTCCTTTGACGTCGATGCCCTTGATCCTTCCCTGACTCCTGCAACTGGAACTCCTGTCCGAGGAGGGCTTTTCAAGGAGGAAGGAGAGTTCATCTGCTCTGAACTTGCGAGAACTGGAAGGCTCTTGGCGGTGGACATGGTCGAGGTCAATCCGCTGCTCTCTGATGCAGATGGAACGACTAGAACTTGTGAAGGTATGAGTTAAACGGTCTTACAACTCCTTCTTTTGCTCAAGAAAGCGATTATTCTCTTCTATGATTTCACCATTCTTAACTTTTTTTCAGCTGCGATCTCACTTCTCCAGCATTGTGTCGGAAAACGCGCGTCCCCACCATTTGAGCGAGAAGACAAGTACGTCCCCGAAGGCTCCCGAACACTGAACTGACCAGAAATTTTTTTCTTCAATAAATTCTATTTTTCCAAAACTCTGACGCTCGCTGATCCCCTTATGAAAAATTAAGGGGCGCTGTAATTAGACGATACTCAGCTCTTTTGGCAAGGGCAGGGCCAAAAAGAATGTGCTCCAAAATCGATCGCCAGCTGCATTTCTTCGTTTCGGGCGACACGCATCTGCTCATTTAAGAGCTCAGAAAAGTAATTGAAAAAAAACGCAGAAAAGATGGCTTCTTTTATCGAGTCTAGTGATAATAGAGAGATTTCCAGAAAATTTCAGGTGTTGCGTTCGGGAAGTTTCAAAATTTGAAATCAAAATGCTGATTTGTAGACATAAAAATCTGCCTTGAACTTGTCACGATTTTAAGGAAATAAAAAAATGTGCAAGAAGAATACGAAAAAGAAAGAAAATACGATAAAAATACGAATCGTGACAAATTAGGTAAAAAATGAAAATCTGTAGCGAAAACTCCCACGAATTTAAAAACCTATTTCAAAAAGGCTATTTGACTCAAAGAAAATTGTCGTGACAAAAAATCGTGACAGAATTCGTGACCTTTTTGACGATAACGATCGTGATTCTATCGTCTTTATATCCAACTTTTTTCATAATTGTGTTACAATTATCGTGACTTTCTTAGAAAGACTTCTTGTCTGTCACGATTCGTGACTCACGAATCTAGCAAAAGAATAATAAATAATTTTTACTGTTTTGAAACCTAAAAAGATCATAAATTCCCGACTTCTCACCGACTCTTCATCCGAAAAAGAAATCCTCAACCTGGCAATTATTTATATTCAATATTTGACAAAGCAGGTTGATCAACTTGAAAACTGAATCATAAATAAACTAAGAACTCGTCCGATTAAATTTCTCAGCAAAGCGCTCGAATTTTATTTTTCTTATTTAATTCTGGCAGTACGAGCTCAATTCGAAGTTTTCTGATTGAAAATCAAAGCAGTAGCCTTCAAAGCAGGTTCCGGAAATCCAGTTGTAATCGGCGTCCTCGTCGAAGGACTCGTTCCAGGGGCATTTTCATCAAACACGACTTTTGCTATTGAAAAAATGAGCTTTAAAATGGAAAAAGAGGCCTTACAGTTGGAGAAGCAGAGCGCCGAAAAAGATAGGGCGGATGTCGACCGCGTCCGGCCACATAATTGCCATGGTGACTGCCCAGCCCGTGCAGAAGTGTTCTGATCTCAGACGTTTGCAGTCCCTTCTGTCGCCTCAAATTACTGTTAGAATCAATAGATACGAACTAAAATGGCAACTGTCGATTCTCTTTCGAGGGAAAGACATTATGAAAAAATGTCCAGAAAACTGTGTTACGCGACTGATATTGTCAGAATTATCTACTCAGTGACGGATTTATGTCAAAAAGTAGGGGCTTTTGGGCAATAATTTGGTACTAATAACATGAAACCCAACCGAAGTAACGATAAAAACGACTCTTATCACGCTTTTTTGATCGAAACTAGAATTTTTTATCAGAATACCTCGCTTCTATTGTTATTTTTCTAAAACCCATAAGACTATTTTAAAGATCAAAAATAGATATTTTTTGAATAGAAAAAGAGTGAAACCAAGTCTTCAATGTTAAGAGAATGATTAGTGTTATGTGAAATGATGTCTTCTATCTTGACTGCCATTCTTCCCTTACCCATATTTGGCTAACAACTTCAAGAAGAGTTTCTCTCTAATTGAAACCATTCTCGATTCTCTGATGAAAAAACGACCTTATGAGATTGAGAAGAGCAAAAATAGAATAAATTTAATAATTGAAATCGGAGCACCGACTTCTTAGCTTTTATCATTCAGCCTGCGTCATAACTACCACGAGTTCGCGCGCTGCTTTCGTAAGAAAAATCGGATATTGAACTCGGGATTATTGAATCAAATCAGTCGTCTGCTTTTTTCGCCAAAATTGATGCCAGATCAATGTTTGGTGAAAGAAACTGGTGAAAGAAAGTGTTTTAGTCAGTTAAACTTTCTACTCATGACGTCGAAAAACGATATCGTTGCTTACTTAGTAATTTGTCTTCGAATTGTTCGTGTCATAAAAAATATTTGTAGATCAAATTTTGAATAAACTTATGGTTTTTTCAATTTTTTTTTTTATTTTGGAAATTTCATGGCAAAGTGCGTTTGAAAAAAAATCCTTTTTTTCTTCCTGAAAATTAAGATTTTTGAGAACATGAGTGAATTGATGTCGTTGGCTTGGATTTGTGGTCGTTGTTCTATTGTCGTCGTTGGGTACAAAGCATCTAGCGGATGAAGTGTGGGAAGCGAGCGCGCTCTTCTGCATTATTGCTGCGCCACTGTGCACTCCAAAGTCGCCAACATTCAAGCGCAAACAACCAAAAAGAATCGACGCCTTTTTCAGAAACCCTCAAGAAGAAAAGAGAGAGAAAGAAAAAGAAAATGGAGGAACCAGTTCATGATTCTTCGAGAAGAGTGGTTCTCAGCAGAAAATCTTCAGTCTTGCTGAACAGGTTTTAAAATTTTAGAATTATAAAACTTTAGTTGATAAAGGAAAAAAATTGGCCTCTTTATAAAAATGGACAAATTTGGGCAAAAAAAAAACCTGACAATTTTGACTTTAATTTTGGGCAAATTTTCGACAAATGCGACTCGAGAAGAATTCGTCTCAAAAAATCGAATTTTTGTCGAAAATTTCGACTCGAAAATAATTGGTCGATTCGAGCCATAATCGCTCAATATTTTATCGATGAAATCAAAAAAATTATGTTTAGCCTTATTTACGAGAAGAAAAAGTATAATTCTGACTCAAAATTTGAGAGGGAAAGTGTCAAAATGTTTCATCTGAAAGCAAAAATTTGCCTTCGGAACTATGTATGTACTGTCAAGTACTTCTCAAAATGACTGACAGCTCCTGATAGCGATCAAGAAAAACATAGTTTGGAATTGTCTGATACTGTCCGAATTGGGCCAATACGGGAGTCGAAAATTGTTTAATTGCGTCGATTAGGAGCTCTATCAGAAGTCGCTTCATAAACATTTACTCTCCCATCCTCATGGCAACTACTGGCAGTAGCCAATTTATTCGCTTTTTGATTACACAGGCGTTTTTCGAAAGACATTTTTTTGCTTCTGTTCTGACAGAAAATGACATTTCTTTCAGAAAACATCTGGGCAATTTTAATGTCAATTTCAATTTTAGTGATTCGGAAGCGACGATCCATTCCACCGACCAAGCCGCTCTTCCGCGTAAAAAAGCCGGGATCTTTATCGTTAAGCTTCGAGGTAGCTCACCACTGCCACCTGAGAAAATAGAAAATAGACTAACAGTAGCGCGCCGAACTCAATTAAATCCAACCGCAGACGCCAGATTTCATCTGCTCGGGCGGATTAAACTTGTAGCTGAAAAAAGTGATCGAAAAATCACGTGACATCTCAACTTTCATGATTTCTGACTCAGGAAAAAACCTGAGTCAGGGTCTAATTGAAGCTTTTTAGAACCCTGAGTCAGGTTTCTTCTCAGGTTTTTGAGCCAATTTTCCTGTTTTCTTGGACGTCATAGCAGTAGCTAATTATTTTCGCTAGGCACTTATGCTTTTGCAAACAAGCTTTTGTGAGACAGGCGCTTAGCCCATTCTATTAAGTTCTAGCTTCAAGCAGCTTTTTAACAAGTACAATGGCGTATAAACAACAGTCCGAGACATCAATTCGACTCTGACTTTCGATTACTGTAGCTCCTCTTTCAACATGAAAAGTCAGCTTTCTTAACACTCCCTCCGCGTGACAGTAACCACCCTGTAACCGAATACTGATAATTGAGCGCCGGCAAAAATGTGGATTCCAATTAAGCCGGCGAACTTACAGTGGACCCGCTCGAGACTGAACCGTCGGCGTTCCGACTACCTCCGATTAACTCTAGCTCCGACGGTATTTCAAATTTGATACTGTAATCATGTGAAAAACGATCTTTAAAAACTCTCTTAAGCGATTTCGCCAGGGCCCGAAATAACCAAACGTCAGCGATCTATGCAAGGTCCTCCGGTAAGAATCAAAATAATATACCGCGATTTTCATTTCTTCGTGGCTTTTTTGATGAAATGAAGAAAGTGTTAATCGAACCGAAAATTGAGAAGCCGCTTGCGGCTTCGAGTAAGAAAGAACTGAAGCCGCGCGAAGCGCGGCTTTTTCCTCTTTTTTACTCGAAGCCGCAAGCGGCTTCTCAATTTTCGACTCGATTAAAACTTTCATCATTTCATCCAATTAAGCCAATCAGAAACGAGAATCACGGAAACATCTTGAATCGATTTTCAGGTAAACAGAGCATCAGCATTACGAGCTTATGCAGTGCGCCAGCGAATGGATTACGGCTCCAGTTATGCAGAGGACGCGTATCTGCCAAAACGCTTCCGCAGATCAAGAGCAATGAACTATTCGCGACTGTCGAACTCGATCGACAGTTCCGGCTATGGGACACGGTTTTCAAAATTCAAAAAGATAAAGAAAATCATGGAAGAGAATCTTTTTTTCCATTTCGAACCCGTGAAAAGAACAAATCAATTTTCCGGCAGGTCGTCGCCAGACCGATGGTCTCGTGGCTCCCGAATGTCGAACTCTCGCTTTTCCGCTGTTCATCCTCTTTCGATCCGAAGTCACGAAGAAATTTTCCAAATGGGGCCGACAAAATGGACGGATCAACCAATTCAGTCGAAAATTGGCTCTTTAGGTACTCTTTTATTGTGATATATTTGGGGTTAGGGTTAGGGCTAGGGTTAGGGTTAGGGTTAGGGTTAGGGTTAGGGTTAGGGTTAGGGTTAGGGTTAGGGTTAGGGTTAGGGTTAGGGTTAGGGTTAGGGTTAGGGTTAGGGTTAGGGTTAGGGTTAGCCAACCATCAATATTTTAAAAGTCCGATCTTTTAAATTATCGAAAATCTTAAGGGTATCACTCCGAAATCAAAGTTTGAAAAAGTTCTTTCCATTTGACGGAGGGGTCCTTAATTCATATAAACATCTTCATAGATAATTTCGATCACGTTCCGGGCGGAGGAGACAAAGACATTAACGAGATCAAATATCGATTTAATGCGCCAAATTCCATCTCCAGTAGGGTAATTAATCTTTCCGCAATTATAAACTCGCTACTTTTTATTGATTCAGACAAAAGTAATTTACGGCCCGCGACGAGATAGAATGTCAAAAGACGAAGAAAGTGGTCTTGAAATCATGGAAGAGAATCTGTTTGACAAGCCACATGAAAAGGGAAATGATTTCGAGACCATAAAAGTAGACAATGAAGAATTCGAGCAGCTTCCGAACTGGCGATTCCGGCCGAAACAAACTCGATCCAAGTGTGGAACTTTGGACAATGTGAATCACCGGCCAGGTGGCGGAACCAACAGAATTTTCACGTAAGACAACGGCGCCAATTCCGTTTATACCTCACCTACCTCAATGGGGGTTAAAATCACAAGGAAATGGAATTTAAGCTGACGAGATCTAACTTTAGTTTTGACAATTATTTTTCAGGGAAAGAATGCCGTGGCAAGAAGGATACAAATATGGCCGATGAAGATTTTTGCTTGGTTATTCATTTTTTCTGTATTTATATTTTTTCAAGTGCCTGTAACTAAACACAAATAAAGTTCAATCATTCGTTTCAAATTCCTACTTCAGTTAATCAGGGAATGCATTTTTTGGGCACAAACGAAGGAAAAGAAGTGTACTTTTGAAAGACCAATAAGATTGCTGGATTTGACCTACCGGCCAATGAAAACCCGGAATCTGAGAATCACTTCCTTTTCTGGGGTGGTGTCTGGAACCGAAAAAAAATATTCGACAAATTTTGCGTGGGCGGCTACTCGGCTGCTGATTGGCCGGAGTAGTATAATGTCTGGCTAGGGCTTAGCTGCAGGCCGCCCTTTCGCCGCGCCGAGTCCAAAATGAAAAAAGTGAAAAAAAGGGTGGATTTTGCGCGCTCGACATATGGGGACCCCGGGGCAAATACTTGGAAAATATTCAGACTTTGACTAGGGTGGGCAGGCCGTACGGCAGGCCGTTTGGACTCGGTGCAGTTTTGGGCGATTTGCAGCCAGGCTCTAGCCAGACATTTTACTCGAGTGGTCAATTAAGTGGTCAATAAAATAAATCGTTCGATAAAAAATAAAGTGGTCAATAAAAACGAGTGGTCAATAAAAGTGGCCGCTAGGCTCTAGAATCCTGGGGCGTGAAATTTTAAATTTCAAAAGATCTTATCTGCATAAATAACGACAAGTTGCACCCATTTTCGCGGAAGAAGGCTTTATTGCAGGACGATGGTGGCACAGCTGGCGGAAGATGTAGATGCTGGATGTAGATGATGCTTCGATTGCGGTCCAATCTAAATTGATTAAATCAAATTCCAATAACACAAGGCGTGAAAAATTGGCGCTAGAAACCGAGGTAGGTATAAATGCGCTCCAATTTTCTAGTTGTCATTTAAAATCAATATCTACAGCAACTGAATAATGTTTTCTCTCAAGGGCTTTACGAAAAAGATTGGAAAAACCCTCCAAAAGAAAAATGTGCCGTTTTTGCGAACCAAGAGCCAGCGACTGCGCAGGAAGCTCAAGATCATCTGCAAGCAGCAAGAAAAAAATATCGTCGACTACACGGTCAGCTACGGAAGCAAAGCTGCCATCAATAACGCCTTTGGCAGCACCATCTCTGTTCTCTTTTGATTGTCGTCCACGTGCTTGCTGACTAATCCCCGCCTACTAATTTCCCGCCTACTCTTTTCCCACGTGTCCTATAGTGCAATTTCCCACGTGCCATTCTAGTGCAATTCTAAATTCATGTGCAATTCTTATTCTAGTGCAATTCTTATTCAAGTGCAATTGTTATTCTAGTGCAATAAAAAATGAAAAAAAGTTTGGTGGTTTTTGATTGTCTACCGCGCCTCCAACTCCGGTTTCCTCCTCCTCCTTGCGGGTAGCTTGAGCTGAGGTGTCAGCTATTTCCTGGTGCTCTGTACGGCCGCCGTAATAGCCGCCGGAATAAGCTTTGATTCTCGTTTCGCCCCCGAAAGAGCTTGGTCACTGGCGAGAATCGAACTCGAGGGACCACTAAGACCTTGATTTAGGTTTTCCTACCTGCGCCAAACTGGCACGCTGGCTGCGAGACTTTAACTCCAAGTCAACTCGGCTTTGCAAATGGAGCAAAAGATGTAGGGCTTGAACATGAGGTGAGCGTGAGGTCGATTTTCCAAGTAGCACTCGTAGCAGTAGACGCTGCCGTCGACTCCAAGAAAAGACTTTTTAAAGTTTCGTTTTGGCATTTTGTTCTCTGGCTGATGAATGATGTCTTCTCTTGCCGATGAATGATCTCTCTCTGACGTGCTGTATCCTTTGAACCGTTTATCAGTAGATTTCGATTGAGCGGAATACCGTTGGACTGAATAATTGATCTCGGCATATGGATATCGAGTGGAGGAGCACTGGTGGAGCTGGACTGGGTGGAATTTTGGACTCAATTGTCACATTTAAAAATGCCCATGAAAAAGGTGGAAATTGCCTCAAAGATTAGCCTGAACCAAGTACCGTTGATCGGCGTCAACTATGAAGACGAATTCCGATCAATCGAAGTTCGCCCGACTCGAGTTTGCGGAGTTCCCAGCGACGAAAGTTTTGAATTTATTCCTCAGAGATACAGGGAAAATGGCGTCGAAAAAATTGGGCTCAAAATTGTAGTTCATCGTGTCACCGGTATGTTGAAATGTTCTCTCACCTTCTAATAAATTCTAGTTGATCCGGAAACCTACTCGACCAAGGGCCAAAGATGTCTGATTCCCGTTGTCGACATTGCTCAAGGAGGACTTCGAAAAAGTGGCCCGCTGCTCAACTCGAATCGCCCCACAATGATGCACACGACTGATAGCAACAACGAGTACACTTGCCGCTCCTACGAAATTGAATACTCTCGCGACGCCGACTCGCTGAAAAATCAAAAATTTTCAATGCCCTACAATCGCGTTCAGTACCCGCGCTACGAAACCTATTTTCACGACATGCGAAAGCGATTCAGCGGCTATTCGAACAAGCTTTTCAACTCGACTCTGGTGTTGTTTGCTGAAACTACGCTGCGTGACCGCTTTTACAAGGACAAAACTTTTGACCAAGAGACCGCCAACGATCAAGTCCGCCGCATCCTTGGCCAATTTCTTCCGATTGAGCAGTACGAGCTAGAAAAAATGACCGATTACGATTTGCGAAGGTTCACCGAAAGCGTAAAAACAGTGAAACTTCGCCAGCAAAAAATCGGCTGTTGTGCTTTCACCGCAGATCGCCTCGAGGATTACATTGGTCGCCTCGATGCCGAGCGCCGGCGCAGACGTGAGCTCTATGTTGCAACTACTGGTGGCGGTGGAGATGTTGAATTCGACTACGCGGTTTCACCTTTTCGCGTCAAATGTTGCCGCGAAAAAATTCCCTGGAACGGTGTGCTCTTTGTCACTGGCAACAATGGAAACGCCTCGCTCGTCCAAGATTTTCGCAACAGCTTCTACAATCCCGTCTTTCCTCGAATCATCCGCGCCGACATTAATCCCCATCGAATCTTTATTGACCGGGTTCGTACGCGCACAAACGATGTGCCCTTTGAAAATTTTCAGGTCCAATCTTTTGGACGACCGAGATTCATTCTTGGCGCAAATAGAATGCCAGTTCCAATTTTGCCGCCGCAAGGACAAGCCGCCGATCCACTGCTCAACGGTCGCCAAGTCGAAGAAACTCTGCGCCCCGTCGTCGTCCAAGAAGAAAATTAAAAATCTCTAGAACCCACTCTGCACCCTGTTTGTTATTGTTGTTTTCAATAAAAAAATTGAATAAATTTCTCTAGAACTGCCCCTGGCGAGTGTGAAAAATGCAAAAAAATGCTCAGTTTGGTTTTTGCAACCCTACAGCAAGGATCAATTTTTACTTTTTTGAAATGACCAAGCAGGTGAGTCGAAATTTTCGCAAGTGAAGCTTGCTGCGACTGTGGCTAGTAGCTTGCTTCGACTGTAGCTTGCTGCAGTGTTGAAAAAACAATTCTAGAACAAATTTGTTTAGACAACGGCGGCCAAGCGAACCAACCTCGCCAAATCTTTGGCACGAGCAAGCGCCAAGTTGGCAGCTGCCTCGAGAATGCTCTCCCAGCCCGCTGAAGCTCCCGAAGTTGGCCGAGGAAAGATGTCCTTCTTTGGCGGCAAGAAAAAGGGCGAGCAGCAGCCCCAGCCACAGCGACAGCAGCAGCGACAGCAGGAAAACCAGCGCACCTACCAAGAGGCCCAGCCTCAGCGAGTTCCGTTGGCTCCTCCCGCGCCCAAGTATCCCACTCGCGCGCCAAATGGCGTCAACTTTGTCGACGTGGACGCTGACCAGCTGAGCTACTGCATCGACGGCGCTTCTATTTTCGAAGGTAAGAGTAGCTCGAAAAAATGCTCAACTAACTTTTATTTAGACAACCTTCGATTCCTCCGCCTCACCCAGGCCAACACCGTCCTCGAGCGCGCCGCCTTCGCCAAGGAAATGTGCGACATCCTCGACGCCGAAGAGACCCAAGAGCATCGCCTTGTCAACGATCTGCGCGCGGAGCGGGTCAAAATTTTGATCCGATCGGCCAATGGCCGCGTCCTTGATATTTGCGGTCGCAATTTTTAGACCCGCTCCGTGTGCCGAGTTTTGCTCTGCTGATACGATTTTAAACTTTGTTGGCTTGCTGGCCTGCATTGTTTACTGTCATTGTCACTTTGCCAAACTCGCTACTGTATTTCTGCAAAAAACCAAATACAATTTCTAATTTTGTATAAAAACATTTATTCTTTTTTGTTGTTTTGCGGTTGAAAGTAGATAAAGCGGTTGAGTGTAGAAAAAGAGTGTTACAAATGAATGCCGAATCGTATAGTTACTCGTCGTTTTCTTCAAAGAAGACGGGGTTTGGCCCCAACTCGGGAATGTCAGAAAAGGCGTTTGTATAAAAGGTCGGCGTCGTCGGATCTTCTACGTCTTTTCTAATTATAACGTACTGGTACCGGCATCGACGTTCTTTGAAGAGCTTTCGGGCGGCTTTGTAGCAGGCGCTGTAGCCGAGCTTGGTGGCGATGGTGGCGTTGATTGACGAGTCTACATGATTCGGCAGCAAGACAAAGCATGTCATGCAATTGCTAAAATAAACAATTAGTTGAGGCAATTCTAGAAAATTCAAACCGATAGAGGGTGGAGCTTTTCGACTTTTGATAAAAATTTTGGGTGATGCCAATTAAACTAATCCCCAGATGGCGTCTCCCATAAACAAAGAGATATTCGATTGCCCGGTTTTCAACGCACTCTGCCCACTGATCGTCGAAAATAATCAGAGTGTCGCGCTGGGTCTCTTTAAACGTGTCATCAACCCATTTTCTAGTGGGGAGACCTTCCATCAAAAATAATCGCTGATGGGCTGGGGGTTTAATGTTCAAAGGCTCCAGGCGGGGCATAAAGTAATAAATGGTCGAAATTCTTCCCCTTATGCCCTCTTTTTCAATGAGCTGTTTAGCTACGTGGGTCTTGCCTGTGCCCGTACTTCCGCTAATAATCGCCGCAAATGGATGTTTGAGCCGCGTGTCCCCAAAGTACTTACCAAGAAAACTTGAGCCGATCATTCTGTCGACTTGAGTGGCAAGAGAAACTTGGATTTGAAATAGCCTTTAGGCTCAAAGGCCCGTTGATATTCGGGCTTTTTTGGGCTCGACTCGTGCTCGCAGAAAGACGACGACTTTTCCTCCTTGATCCAAAACTGTGGGCAAGTACTTTTTGAACTCGACGTCGTCTCGCTTCTTGGGATTAAAACTGTGGAGATTAATAACGCACTGAATGCGCGATCCTCGCTTCAACAGCTTTTCAAAATCAAATCGGGGGCTCGTGTCTTTGCGAACGCTTCGCTCAATGAGCAAGTTGATCCAGTAGGTGCCCTTGGGAGGATTGGAGAGCTTGTGTCCGTCGATGAGCGCCAAAAATGGCGCCGAGAGAGATTCCTCCTCCTTCTCCAAGATTGGAAACGCGGTTTGGATCTTTATAAAGGTCGGCGTGTAGGGGGCGGCTTTGGCTTTCTTGACGGAAGGCTCGGGGGTGCAGTCGTCTTCGTCGTCACCGTCGTCTTCGTCGTCGGAGCTAGATGCTGGTCGTGGAGGAATGTGCTTGCGCTTCTTTGGCGACTTGGGTTGAGATTTGTCGTTGTTGTCTTCAGGAGTGGTCTCGATTGCTCTCGAAGTTGAGGGTTGATCTTCGGCGCCGAATAAAAAGTCCAAGAGGGCCTTTTTGCTGATTCGAGTTGGGGATGGGGAGCTGCTCCTTTTTCGTTTTCTCTGAGGCGGCTCAGGTACGCGAAAATCTGACGGCTCAGGCCGATTATCAGAGGGCGATGGAAGTGAATTCTCTTTTTCGGGAGACTCTTGCTCCCGGCGGAGTTGTTCCATGATTGAAGACATTTTTGTACTTTTGTAGATGAAACCGCAGTTTATATTGGGTCCGATTTTTGTAGGTGGCGCACTCAAAATTATGAAAAAACTGATTTAAGGGAGAATTAAATATTAATCCTAGATTGATTACTAGAGAGAGGCATAATGAGCGCGGCGCATGGGAGTGAATGAAAACAGCGAGTGTATACTTTAGTCTGACTCCAACTGAATTTGGACATCTGTTTGACGACATCGAGTACAATCCCGACACAGGTAGGGTAAGGGCCCGCGGCCCTCGCGCAAATGGCGAACCCTACCCGGACTACACCGAAGAGGAGACGCGAACCGCCCAAATGGTTGCAAGATTTTCAAACCGAGCCATTCCAATGGGAAAATCGTACTCCTACAGGCCTAGAAACATTGACATCGAGCCGACGCAACAAGAATACGAAGTCGAATCAGAAGACTCACCAAAAAGATTTGCAGACAACGAAGAGGCCCCGAGGCCGGCCGCGGAAAACTCCACTTCCGCTGGACCGCCCAGAGGCGAATATGAGCCAAGGCATGAGCCAAGGCATGAGCCAAGGCATGAGCCAAGGCACGAGCCAAGGCATGAACCAAGGCACGAGCCACGGCATGTACCAAAGCATGGTTCCCATCCCGAGCCAAGGCACGATTCCAGATACGAGCCAAGATACGAGCCTCGCGAATACGAACCTCGCCATTACGAACCCGACTATTATGAACCCCTATTTGACCCAAGATTCGACCCCCGATTTGACCCCCGATTCGACCCAAGATTTGACCCCAGATTTGACCCCAGATTTGACCCCAGATTCGAACAAAAATTTGATCAAAAATTTGAACAAAAATTTGAACCCAGATCCAAGCGGGTCCGATTTGAACCCAGTCCAGGCGGCGGCAAAATGGCAAGATACGATGACCGAGGAGCTCAACAGAGCAGGGCTAGGAGATCCAACTGGCCCTACAGTCGTCAAACCGATTCTTACTCCGGCTTTGCTCACCCAGAGCCGCGGCCTTTCTTTTTTGACCCAATGCGTGGGGGGCGAGAAGAGCGGCAAGACGACTTTCCTCGATTTGCTCCAACCAAGCAGTGGTACCCAAAAGACTACTTTTTCGGAGCCGATGGAAATCCCCACCAGCAGCCCGAGCTCGAGCCAACGGACAGTAGATCAATTCGGGAACCCGTTGGATTTGCCGGACATGATGCCAAGGACAGTTTTGCAAAGCGGTCTGCCCAATTCCGAAAGCAATTTGGAGAGATCCAGAAGAATAGCAAAGATGCTCAACCTAAGGTCACCGCAGTCAAAGTTGAACCTGGTCACACCACCGCCACCATCGGCGACGACGACGAAGAAGTCGACTCCGACTCAGTCGAATCGCGCGAATCAAGCGACCCCGAGCCCGAAGGAGCCCCAATCAAGGACCTTTCCAATTTTTGGAAATGAGCAGCAGCAGCGGGAACAACGCCAGCGGGAACAACGCCAGCAACAACCAAATCAACAACAAGAACAACAACAACAACAACAACAACCCAACAACAGTCAACATTTATTCTACAATTTCAACGAGCCAACTGCATATTCGCGGCTCGATGTGGCAAAAATGAAGCGGCGCAATGAAGTGCTTTCTCGCCACAAGCCGCTTGTCAAAAAGTTTAGGCGAAATCCCGTCATTGCAACTGGACTCTACACGTGTCTTTATGCAGATACAATCGAAGCGTACAAAAACGATGCCACCGTCAACTCTGGCTATCCATACATTTTGGTAGTTGTAGACGGATTGTCTCGGCAATCTTTTGTGCGCCCCATGAAAACCAAATCATCTGCCGAATGCGCTCAGCTTTTGGGCGACATATTTTCCACGCTAGATTTGCCTGGGCACACCATGTTTATGACGGATCAAGGAAACGAATTCAAGGGGGAAGTTGCGCTTCTGCTCGACGACTGGAACATGACGCCCGTAAAGCTAACCGGCGTAAAAGCTGCTCTTGCTGAGCGATTCAAGTGCGTTGAATAATTGATAGCTTTTGCATGCAATTTTAATTTGTTAAATTCAAACGGATAACTTAAGTCGCACGCTGGAAGATCGTTTGGAGCTCTATTTCGCATCGCACAACGGAATTCGCCGCTGGATACACATTCTTCAAGATGTCAATGTTGCCTACAATAATTCTGTGCATAGCGCAATTAATCGTGCTCCCAGTAGCGTTAATCGTGCAAATGCGCGCGAGCTTTTTGATTATTTGGAACTCAAGCGCAAGTACGAAGAACGCACTGGCAAAAGTTCCAAATATTTTATTGGAGATCTTGTTCGAATCCCTCTCGACACTTTACCTGCAGCTAAATCATCCCGCTTTAGGAAAGGGGCGCGCGCAAAGTGGACCAAAGAATTGTACGAAATTTTTGATATTCACTTTGGAACTTTTGAACCAACTTACTCTTTGCGAGGTCCCCAGGGCCAAACTTTGCATCGCCGTTACTACGAACCCGAAATTAATTTTGTTAAAGACAAGACTGAAATTTAATTACTGTCGTTACAATTGTCGTAAAAACTGTCGTTACAACTGTCGTAAATTTGGTCGCTTGGTGACTTGTAAAGGTTAAAATTTTATTCAGTCAAGATTGGGGGAATAATCGCACTCGATGGCGCGCCGACGAAAGAGCAAGAAGAAGCAATCGCCGATTGCATTCCTTGTGACGACCCGAGGCAAAGTACTGTCTCTCTCGAAACGAGGAATAGTGTCTCGGCCCAAGAAACGAGCCAGCGCCAAGCGACGAAGACGAAGATGATTATGCTCGTGGCAATTCTCGTCACCTATGTTGTCCTCGTTGTTTTCCGATTTATTGATTGTGCTCGTATATTGGAATATTTGAAAAAGCTTGTCTAACTCAGTTGTCTAATGCAGTGCGTTTAGAATGGCAAACGAAAATTATGGAAATCTCATGTTCTTTCGCGGAAGAAAGCGCGAACTCAAAGAAACTCTGGATCCGTACAAGGGCTACAAAGTAGTGCCGCGACTCGGCAAAAATGACTGTCCGGAAATTACCCGTTTTGAAGTGCCCGATGACAAGTACAGTCTTAAATTGTCGCAGTGCATGTTTGGCTGCAATTTTAAAATGCCCTCAAATTATGTGCCCGATAATGATATTTTGTCCAAGGGCATTAAAAAATGGACTTTATCATTGCAGATACTCGGCTCTTTTCGTCTTTTGACCCAGCCGAGTATGGCCACTATAGCCACTGTGAGGCCAAACTCAACAAATCAACAGTGGCTCAAGAAGTCGAGCTTTTCTCCCAGGGAAGGTTTGACACTTTTGATGCAGAGGGCCCGAACTTGAGCGCTTCAAAGTGCATCACACTAATTTCGAGGGGAAAAGCTAAATTTGGTCGAGAATCGGCAACAGTTTGCCACCGAGCTATGGGAGCCGGCTGAGATAAAGCAAAAATTTGTCAAAGAAGACGGCATACGAGATCTGGATCCCGTATGAGAGACTCTTTCACGAGTACGAAGTTCGGGCTCCCATTATGCACGGCCTGTGCAGACAGGGTCGAGTGCTCCCAGCCGGCACCCGAGTACAAATTGAACTTACAATGAATGAGCAGTGTTATGCTTTAATGCGCCATTCCAACTTTCAAAAGTGCCGAGCCAAAATGTCCCAGCTAGATCAAGTCAGAATGCCCTTTCCCGAAGAAATTCAAACTTTTGAAAAATATTGGGCAGCACAACAATGCGGGCCAATGCGATTGCGCTGAAAAATTAAAGGCTAAAAAAATTAAACGGGTAATTGAAAAGTTCAACTCTGAATTGGACCCGTACAGCGACGACGAAGTCAACATCAAGGCAACCGACATCAAAACCACGGCTGCCAATGGAACGGATCTAAAATGGTGGCGCCCCCACGACATCATCGAAGACATGGTCAAGACAGAAGAAATTGAAGGACAAGAAAACTTTGCCGAAGACGAAAAGATGATCTACTTTTTCAGGGAAAACAAGCTGGATCCAAAGGAGCGACTCAAGCCTCGAAATTTTTGATGGAATCAGTCTTTTGCGATCCAAAACTGATGCCGAAAGACCAATTTCAACTGGACGGGATGGTGAATGTGTTATTCCATTTTACTATCCGAAATTCACCCGAAAGACACTTGGAACTGGAATGAGCGAGTACGACATTGAGTTGAGCGCAGGACCTGTTCCCAAAATGATAATTTTCACAGGAATGCCCTATTCACAAGCTAGTCAAATGACATTTGAAAAGTGCATCTCAAAGACTACAATGGAACATCCATTTTTCAAAATTCAAGAATTTACCATTTACATTGATGGTCAGCCTGCATATCGATCTCCTTGGTCAACTGCAACTCAGCACTACATCAACTTTATGAAACACAATGGACGATGGGAGAATGCAGCTACAGCTAGCGGACTCGACTATTTTGTCTTTAAAGGGCAAAATTGGTTGGTGCCGCTCATTTTCGACAATGATGGTGAAGGTCAAACTGCGCTCGTTACTGCAAAAATCAAATTTGCCGATACGCTTGTGCAACAATGGGATGCAATGATTATGAGGCTGCCAGTGCGAGAGCTGTTTTTGGACGCCAAAGCTCGAGGTATTTACTCACTTGGGAACTCACTAATTATTATTATTATTCAGAGGCATCTGTGGTGGGCGGTACTCGGGTCATGAAAACTACTGCAAGGGGCACAAAGCGAAGGGCCGAAACTATCCCACCGCCTCCCAAGGCTGCTCCAAAACGAAGACGAAGGGGTTAATTATGCATGTGTATATTCTAATAAATGTTGTTTTATTGAAAAAGTCTTTTTATTCAATTATTGAAAAATGAAAGTTTCAAGATTTTTAATAAATCGTGAAAAGCATGAATCTGAAGGTGCTCGCAAGCGCCGTAATCGCTTTTTGTATTCGAATCGTCAAGGCGAGAGATTTCGTTCAAGAACATCCGATGATTCCTCTGATTCCGATGATGATGATGGAGGCTGCAAGACCAACTTTTACCACGCAGTCAAGCTGGGAATAAATTGGCACCGTCTGTCTGGAGGTAAGCAGCCAAAAACAATTTCGCGCGCCTTGTGGGATAAAATTGTGGATGTCAATGTTGATGATTTGGTTGCCGAGTTTGGCACTCCAAAACGCAGCGATTTTCCTCGTATTGAAGAGCGACTCGGAATTGATCTCTACATTTTGTATGGGGGACGTTATGCGCCCCTGGGAATTTCATATAGGCCCTACAGAACGTCTGGACCTAGTTGCATTCGAAACGTGCTTGGCGAGCTAGAAAAACTTGACCGCGATCGGCCGCTTGTTGTTTTGCAGAGTAGTAGGCCATTTTTCCATCGCTTGGGCACGTTTCATTTTATTCCAACTCGCCGCGTGGCAGAAGATTTTGACAAAAATTGGATTTCTGTTTGGAGAGCCATTGTCAACTGTAAATGGCCAAAGTTGAGCCGGGAAGAGCAGGACTTGAAAATCGAGCACGTGAAAAAGGAGCTGACGTTGGCGGAAAATGAGCGGTTTTCAATTTCCGATGGTGTTCTTGGCCGGATAAGATCTCGCTTTGGAGTCAACATTATGCTTTATACTGGCAATGTTGTCAACGATAATGTGCGCGATCGTCGTTGTTATTATGGCGCCATGCCGCTCAAAAGTCACAAGCAGCTGCATCTGCTCGTCGCTGGGCACACAAGTGACACTTTTTTGGACCAATTTGAAAAATTTGCCAACGTGAGCTACAAGCGCCTTAAAGCCGAGCCCTGGAGAAACCCTGGCCTTGCTGCTCACCCCAACTGGCGAAAAAGTCGACTCGAAAAGTATCCTGACAGTTTGAGAGAATTGGCTGGTTTTGCTGGGACTTATATCGCCACTGCTGGAACTGGCGGTGCCGCCGCTGGTGCCGCTGCCATGCAAGACGAAGACGACTACAACTGTGCCGACTATGGCGACCTTACCGACGTCGACGAGCGGTGCGACTCTGACGGTGACGACGACGTTGACCTTTTTCCCGAGTACGACAGCGATGCCACCGATATTGAAAACGACGACGACGAGCCGATACGAAATTTGGGTGGACTTGTGCCCAATGTATTTGACGAAAATACCCGCGTGCGAGTGCTTCAAAGTTCCGAAGTGAAAGATATGCCGCGCTGCCCCACCCAAAACTGTCCGTATACAAACGATCGCCCCGCTCGAATGAAAGATCACATCAAAAAGTGCACTCTAGAGCAGAGGCGAATTATCACGCAAACGGTGCGCGGCCGCCACGTGACCGACTTTATAAAAGAAATTGTCAAAGATGGTTATTTGCCACACGAGCAATTTGTCCAAACTTTTTACATAACCTACGACATAGAATCGGTCATGTCGAGCGACTCGCTTGGCCGAATTGCGTCAATCTATGGCTACGAAAACACCAACGACTACGGCAAGAGCGAGGGCAATGGCGACGATGACGACGGCGAGGACAATGGCGGCGGCGAGGAAATGCAAGTCGACAACAATTGTGTTTCAATCAATGGATCAATGCAAGCACTGCCGCCGCATTTGCGACGCCCAAAAAAGTCAAAAAGGGCAAAAACCCCAAAAAAGGAGCCGCTTCTCTCTAATCACAAATTCCACAATGTAGTCTCAATTGCTTGCATGACTAGCGATGGAGAAAAGGAATGGTTTTTGAGAAAAGATCTCAACTACGAAAGTGGCATAATTATGGCGGCCAAGTTCGTCAAGTATTTGTCCAAGCTGAGACAGCGCGCGGCCGAAAAATTACCTCCATGTCTTCAGCAAGGGATCGACATGTACTCTTACCAGCTGAGCAAAGATGCCAAGGATCAATTTACGCCCGAGGAGCAAGGCGTCATTCGCAAAAAGCTCAACTACCTCAAAGAATTTTTCAAACTCAAGTGCTACGCCTGGAATGGAGAAAGCTACGACTTGCGAATATTGATGCCGCTGCTCACGTCGGTACTGTATGATTTTGTTGGAAGGAAATCAAATCAGCTCAATATAATCAAACGTGACGGGGGCTACATGATGCTCGAGTGTGCGGGAATAAGTTTTCGGGATTTTATGAACCACGTGGGGCCGATTTCTCTTGAAAAATTTGCTCGATCGTTCAACTTGGATCCTGCCGCCTTTTCCAAAGGCATTTTCCCCTACGACTTGTTTACAGACATGGAAACCATGTATCAGACAACTCAATTGCCGCCCTATCCAGCGTTTTCGTCTTCGCTCTACATTCCGTGCAAAGATCACGCGCTTGAAATGAATTCAATTATCAAGAGCAAGTTTGAATCGGGCGAGTGGACGCAGCTCAACTTTTTCGAAAAACTCGACGAGTACCTTGGTCTCGAGCGACTGTACGATTCTCCTGCGCTCAAAGATTTGCCACCAGATTGTCCTCCCACAATGATCCAGTACATTTATTCGCATTTTGAATGGAAGGGCGACTGCTACGAGTGCGATGCTGAAAATGAAGCGGTGAAAAAAATGTTTCACATTTCGCCCAAAGCCTACAATGAAAGTCTTGGCCTCTGGGATGAGATTGCGAAAAGCGTCAAAAACATGCACATGGTGCAATTCCTTGTCAACTACAATTTAAACGACGTGCGATTGCTGACCGCGGCGATTGATGCCTACTCGAAAAAGTGTCTCGAAGTTTTTGGACTTGGCGCACATGGAGGACTCTCAATTGCACAGCTTGCCCAAACTGCAGCATTTATGCACTATGATGAACAATTGCCGCCAATTATTTCGCCGCCCAAAGAGGCAGAAAGCTTTTACAATGATTTGCGCGAAAATCTTACAGGCGGCATCTGTCAGTCTGTTCACCGAGCAGTTAATCTCAATGGGCCCAGTGACGATCTTCCCAAAGAGCTGTGGCAATCTACAAATGGAGAAGCCTTTTGCGACTTTACAATTTACGATTTCAATGCTTTGTATGGACACATGGCTCGTCAACCGCTTCCAATTGGCGCCGGAATGCTGTACAAGCGACAGACGAGCAATTTCAACAATTTTAGAGCGACTCCACTTTATCGCAAAAAGGAAAATCCCTCACTCGAGTCGATCCGCTACCTCGAGTACTTGAACAAAAACTTTATGGGCGATCGCATCAAACATGCCTACAATTTTGTCGAAAAAAAGATTGGGCGATATTCGATTGACGGCTTTGCTACACTTTCAAAGATTTTCACCAACAGCGATGGCGAGCACATTGTTCAAAAGCTGCTTGTCGAGTACAATGGCTGCCATTTTCATCCGTGTCCGCTTCTTTCCTGCAAAAAAGTGCTCTATAAATCCGCTAGAACACGTCGAGTTTCTGTCAATGGCAAATTTGTCAACAAGGTTCTTTCGACGCCCGAAATTGTCCAACTAGAAATTGAGCGCATCCATTCGATTGTCGACACATTGCGCGAGCAAGACAAGATGCAAGACTGGGGAAAGCCTACTCTAGACGGGCAACATGTTCAAGGCCTCCAAGGCCCACAAAATTTTCACCACGTGTTGCGCATCAAGTACCACTGTGAATGGGTCAAGGAAAAGTCGATCATTTTGAGAAAACGTCCCGAGATGCTCTACAGTGCCGATTATCCGTTTTTGTTTGACGAAGTCGTTGGCGAAAATGACGTTAGGGAAACCTTTGCTCGTCGCATCGAGGGCAACAAGACGCAATTCTTTGGCTTTATTATGGTTGATTTGAAGGCGACGCAAGAAGTTTATGATCGCCATCCCGAAATTCCGCCCATTTTTGCGCGAGTAAAACTCGAAGCTGGAGACTGCCAAGGACACATTGACCGCATCATTCCCCCAGATGTCAAGAAGCGAATGTTTCCCAAGGAAGACAACATCTTTTGCTACAACAAGGAAAACTACTTGTGCACAAGCGATATGCTGGCATACTTGATTGACCAAGGCTACGAGTATGAAATCAAGTACTTTGTCAACTACTATCGAGGAGCGCCCTTTGCCAACTTTGTCAACAAAATGGTCAAGGAGCGAATCGAGTGCGAGAAAAAGGGCGACGATGCCGGCTCAAACATGTACAAGCTCTTTTTGAACTCGTTTGTTGGAAAATTTGCGCAAGCAAATCATCGCTTTGTAAATACAAAAATTGTCGGTGCTGATCGTCTCCGCGAGTGCTTTGAAAGCTCAATGTTCAAAGCTTATAAACCGATTCGCGTCGAGGATGTGGCAATGGACCCGCTTCATGAAGTTGTCATGCGCAAGTCGACCGTTATTGAGAATTTGGCACTTCATATCCAAGTCGCCATTTATCAAAACTCGAAGCTGCATTTATTGCAGTTCAAGGACATTATCAAGGATTTCATGATTCCTGGAACTGTAAAATTTTGCTATTGCGACACAGACTCGCTGGCCTATGCTCGAACAAGAGCGACGCTAAAAGAATGTGTCAAGCCACACTTGGTGAAAATGTGGGAGGAAGCTGTCGAGCCACAATGGTTTGCTGGAGAATCGGTGGAAAGTCAAAAGGAGCCGGGGCTGCTGAAAGAAGAGGCATCGATCCAATCGGGCTGGTTTCTAACACTTTCGCCCAAGTGTTATGCATTGTGCCCAAAAGAGCCCTGCGAGTTGGAGAAGCAAATTGTCGACCCAAGAAATGAGCATCGAACGCTGGAGATTTTGCACACTTTTGCGCAGCCCGTACGGGAGCCCAAAATTACGAAAAAGTCGACCAAGGGATGCAAGACAAAGATTCAGCTTTCGTAAGTAGCCGCGCACACAACAGACCGACTAATTTATAGGTTTTACGAGTTTCTGTGTGCTGTATTTGGAATCGATTATTACCAGCGAGTGACGCGAGATGTGGCCCAGTTTTTGTGGAATCGAAAGCGCGACAGAATGGAGACGGTGACAACAACGCGCAAGGTCATTAACCCAATACTGACAAAACGACTGATTATGCCGGACAAGGTCACTACTCGACCCCTCAGGCGTGCAAATGGATCTCTAATTTAGCTGTCTTTTCAAGCTCTTTTCAATTCGTTTTTCAACTGTGTAGCCGTAAATAAAAACTAAAATACAAGTAGCCATAAAAATCTATTTGCAGAATGAGAGGTTTTCGCGAGCGTCTAAGTGAAACGGTCGAGTACATTCGGCGCCAAAGAAGTCGGTATCGGCGCTCTGTTCCGTTGAGGCCTCCACGCAATCCAGTAGATGCAGACGAGAAAAATGATTACGAGTTGTCGCCAGAAGAGCTCGATTGGTATTATCCCGCCTCGAGAAACATTATCAACTGGCAAAGCGAAAGCGACAATCTTGGCGAGGGAACCAAGGCGGACATCAAGTTTCTCAACGAGCTCATTCCCAACAACAACATGGAAAGCGCTTATCCCGACCCCGAAGAATATTTTGAGCCGATTGAAGAGGAGTGCCTGTATGCGCTAGATTCTCCGCTACAATATGCGCCAATTTACTTTATACGTAAGTTCGGACGAGCTGTTTTACATGGGTTTCACCAAAACTAGAAATTCAAATTTTAAACTTTGCAAAATTGAAACGCTAGTATAAATTTTCAACATTATGGCTCACAGAGAATTTTAGGAGATCATTGGGACCATCACAAAATGTCCTTTGCTGGGGATCGCTGGAAACGCCATTACGAACTGTGCAATCGGTACAGCATCACTTTGCTCAACACGTGGGATATTCAAGAAACGGTGAGAAAAATTGCGCACAATCTCAATGGGCTGCTGCGCGTTCAAGTCGACGCCTTTTACACAACCATAAGCTCTAGAAGATTGCGCGATCGACAGGGAAACTTGCACGAAATGAGCCCCAAGGTGAGGATTGTATACCCCAACACCTGGGGCTCAGTAAACGACACCGAACTTCTTGTAACTCCCGCCGACATTGATCAACTTGTGCACGAACTTGAACCCGACGCCTTCAAAAACAAACTCTTGATCAACACATTTCAGCGGCGCAACGTGTTTCAAGACTCGAATGTGCGCCTTCATCGCCTGCTCGCTTACCAAGTTGTCGTTTACACGTTTCCGCCCTCGTGGATACATTCCTAGCTCGACCCTGCCTGGCTTCAACTCTGCTTCTTTAACCCTGCTTCAACCTTCATTTTTCTGCAACTCTGCTTTTCCAAACTAGCTTTAAATGTGCGCAAAACCTGCTCAACTTTTGTAAATAAAAAACGATTGTTTAAGATGAATATTTACAATGTTTATTGGCAGTTTCAATCATGTTTAAAAAGAGGTTTTGAGATTTTTTTGGATTTTTGCTTTTAAATGAATTCAGGGCATAAATAACGAAGAAAAGCATAAATGGCGAAAAAGGGCATAAATGGCGAAAAAGGGCATAAATGGCGAAAAAGCATAAATGACGAGAAAAGCATAAATAACGAGAAAAGCATAAAAAGGCGAAAAAGGGTGAAAATGTACAAATGTTCCAGTAAAAGCAGTTTAAAGGTGTAAAAAATGGTGCCACAGAAAAAAGACCAAAAAGGGGCCGCGCATATATCTCTCACATTCCTTACATTCCTAGCCGTATTGAACTTGTTTCACACGTGTATCCTTTTCTAATATAATGTTCGTGCATTCTTGAACTGCAGGACAGGCTTGCTTGGGTGCTATGGCTTGGTTGAAGACACTTCATCGTGAGAAGGGCGTTAGAAAAACAAATCTGATTATTTGTCTATTGTGCTTTTTGGTGATTTACCTGAAAAGGGGTCGTTTTTATTTGAGGCGGCGGTGGCGTACGCCCCGGTGGCGCTGCTTGCAGCTGTGGCGCCAGTACTGACGGCGGCGGTGGCGGCGTACGCCCCGGCGGTGTCTACGGATGAAGCACGTGCAGAGGCTCGACGAGTTGGAACTCCGACGACGCTTCTAAAGACGGAACTGATGGTTCGTTTTCGGCTGGGAGCGACGAGGCGGCTTGGATCAAAACGTCGCTTGAGCGGGCTTGGCGGCTTGATGTCAAACGCTAGAATTTTTGGTAAAAAGTGTGCAAAAAGTGCAAAAAAGCGCAAAGGGCGCAAAAAGCTTACCTGTGCCGTCGAGCTTTTTTGTCTCGCAGTAGAGTGGAAAGTCGGCTGCATCCATGCCCAGCGTTTGCAAAAGGGATCGAAATTGCGATCGCCTCTTTGTGATGAGCGTTTGGTTGATGACGTGGTCGTACTTGAGGACAGATTTAAGGCGGAGCATCGGATCTTCTTGCAGCGCAAAGACGACGTAAAAGTTGGCGAGTCGATCCAGCAGTACCAACATTGTGTGCCTAATGAATGAAGATAGCTTTATGAGTCACTCATAATTCTAACTTCACTCACCTGTGATTTGCGATGCACGTGCCGCGCAGGGTCTTGTGGGTGCGGAGGAGAACGCGTCGGGATTGCTGCTGCTCGGGCGACAGATTCTCCAACGGCTGAAAGACGAGCTCCTTTTCTAGCGCTGTAAAGGAGAGCACTTTGGTGAGTCGCTGCTCTTCGCTTTCGACAAATTTCACCAAAAATTGGCGAATAATTCCGAGCATCGAGAGTGCGACGTTTTCCGAGTTGTGGTGAAAGGAGTAGCCCTTGAGCAGAGCAAGATCCTTGGCGAGCTTCGGCAGTTCGACCTGGAGAAATGTTCCAAAGACTCGCGGAGTTTCCAAATCGTGGTATCTTCGGCCGAGTCGATTTTGGATTGGAAGCGCCAGGTCCTTGTACGTGTAGTCGACAATGTTGGCAACGGTCACCAGATGGGCGAATGCGTCGCTGCGATGAAGAGTCGTCCAGTCGATTTCATGCACAGTCGGTGAAAACGCTTGCCGCGACTTGACTTCCGAGTAACTCGCCATGCAAATGCTTTGCATAATCGATGTCAGCTCGGTTGTAACGTCGAGACCTAAACCGTTTTGTGAGTTTTTGCTTTGCTAGAATTAGAACATACCGACCAAGTATTCGCTGTCCTCTGGTGCTGCGGTCGAGTCGTTGGTGAGTGGCGAGTTTGTTGAAGAGCAGATATTTCGCCCAAGGTAGCTGACGGCTCTCATATCACCATTCTCTTCTCGCCCCGTCCAATAAGACCTCGGAATGAACTTGCAATCGCACGCCGCCAAGTAAAATTCCGCGAGTCTATTCACTGATTAGTATACGCAAAGCGGCAAAAACTTACGCAATGGAAGCGCCAAAGCGGCTCGAGTGCGGAATCGAATCGAGCAAGTGGCTGGAGAGCAACGATCGCTGGTGCACATTGTCCAAGGTCAGCGTCTTTTCCTGGTGGCAGCAGACGAGAATGTCGTCGAGCAGTTGATTGAAGAGTGCGTCTGCTTCGACAAGAGGCCAAACTTGCGGGAGAACGGTGAAACCAAATTCGCCCTTGAATGAAGTCGGCATTCGAGTAAAAATGCCCGTGTTTTCGCGCACATGACTCGCCAGCGAAGACGAGTAGTCGACCCAGGTGTTGCGGGGGACAGTTTTCGCGTAAAAGAGCTCTTTTGGAATGAGCCCTGATGCACTAGAATACACTTGAAAAATCTGTTGACTGCGATGGCTTACCTTATTGCTGGTTTCGCGTGAAAACCGCCTTGAGCATCTGATAAAGTGCGAAAATCGCCACAAATACCGCCACCAGTTGAATTGGGTGGATCGACAAATTCGACTCGGGAGCAAATTGGGGCGGCATTGTCGAAAAGGTTGGCGTTGCCGTTGGCGTTGCCGTTGGCGTTGCCGTTGGTGTGGCCGTTGGCGGTGCTGTCGGTTCCAGGGCTGGTTCCAGGGCTGGTTCCAGGGCTGGTTCGAGAGCTCGTTCGAGAGCTCGTTTCCGGGCTGTTGTCAGTGCCCGCTCCGACGACAGTTTGTTCAGAGTTGCTGGAGGAGTCGAGGACGCTGTTGATGGCTCGCTCGAGAATGGTGAAATCGTTGTCGCTCTCGTAGGAGACCGGGCTAGGCTCCGTAAGCGAAGGACTGGCGGTGGAGTTGACAATGGGCGTTCGAAGTGGCTCTTCTTGCGACCGAACGGGTTCAGCTCGCTCATTCGCTTTGTCACCGCCGTCGTTGATGGAGTAGCTGGTCTTTGGTGGGGATCCAGAAGTGCGGACGTTTGATTGACCAGGTCCCGTATCGGCGGCGTGGCTGGTGGAGTTGGCGTTGGCGTGGCCGTTGGAGTGGCCGTTGGCGTCGTCGTTGTTGGAGGCTGCGTTGTTGGCAGCGCCGTTGTTGGCGCTGTCGTTGTTGTTTGCGGCGGCGGCGGCGGCGGGGCCGACGCTTCTTGATCTGACTCGACTGGTGGCAAGAGGGACAAAGGTGGGAAGGGCCGAGCCAGTGGTGACGACTCCCGCATACGTGGGGGCGCTGGTGTTGCTGGACGCGGAGTTGGGTCGGCTTGCAACAAAGAACGGCGTGACCGACTCCGGGTAATTGGGACGTTGAGACCATCCGAGTGGCCTTGAACCCATGATTGATGTCGCTCTCGTCGTCGTTGTCGGCGCTGGACGAGTCGCTCGCGGCCACGTTGAATTGATTCCGGCGTCAAGGCAATATTCCGATCCATATGTCATAAACTAAAAATGGCACCTTGAAAATTTGAAAAAATTTAAAGTTTTAGAGGCACAATTGGAAGCAATCAGGCGGTGGAGGAGTTGGCGGTGGTGGCAGCTTGAGTTCGCTTTCTAGACAAAAATGAGTAAAAATCAAAAGGCCTAAAACTTACGAAATATAGTTTCCAAAGGCAACCAGCCCATCGATAAAGGTGAATTCTTGATCGTTGGGCCCGTCGAATTCATCCAAAAGCTTTTCCATTTCGCGGTAAAAGACGCCGCCTTCGACTTTGGGTTCTTCTTTTTTCGGCACAAATTGCCCATCATCATATTGCCAGCCGAATCGCCAGTCGTATTCGTATTCGGTGGCGGCGTAAGTGTGCTTTGGCTCCGTCGTTGGCTCCGTCTTTGGCACCGTCGTTGGCTCCGTCTCTGGCTCCGTCTCTGGCTCCGTCTTTGGCTCCAGCTTTGGCTCCGTCTCTGGCTCCGTCTTTGGCTCCGTCTTTGGCTTTGGCTGCGGCTCCAGCTTTGGCTCCAGCTTTGTCTCCAGCTTTGGCTCCGTCGTCGGCTCCTGCTTTGGCTCGACAACGCTAAACGGTGAAACCTTGGCGACTGGCGAGTTGCTCCAATACTCGTTCTTCCAGTAGTCGTTTCCTTCCTCGGAGAGCAGCGACAAATTTGGACGAGCGGGCGATGCGATCGGCGACTGAAGTGCCGAGACAAATTCTGGCGATGAAGTCGCCGACGGAGTCGCCGAGGGAGCAGGCGAAGCGACTGGCGTTGAAAACGGCGTTTCCACAAAGAGCTGTCGTCGCAAAATCCCAAATTTTGCCGGCGCATCCATCAGCTTTTTCAGCGGCACCGTAATCTTTGCCAGCTTCTTTGTAATCGGCGACTGGACATCAAATCGGGCTTTGAGGGACTCGTACTTGTCAATGTGCTCGACAACATCGGGCGGAAGGCTGGCGAGATATTGCTCCATTGTTTGTTGCGGCGTTTTCTGAAATAAGAGTTAAAAATCAATAATTGTAATTTTCGTAAAAACTTACCGCTTGGAGCGCAGAGCTTCGATTTTCGGGCGGCGTTCGCGAGCTCTCGAAATTTGAAATTTCGGTCTCGATTGAAAAGGACTCTTCGGACAGCTGTGGAGAATTTGTCGGCGGATTTCCTGACAAGGTCGTTGACGAGGTCGCCGAGGAGATTCCTGGCGAGGTCGTTGACGTGGTTGGCTGACTTTCTGACGAGGTCGCCGCGGAGGTTCCTGGCTGGTTTGAAGCAGCGGCAGCAGCAGCGGCATTTTCTGCAGCAGCACGTGTTGCAGCAATTTCCTCTTCTTCCGCTCGACGGTTGGTGGCTCTGTTTGTCCTCTCTGCATCAAGAGCTGCAAAATATTCAAAGTCTCTTCTGAGCTCATAGGGGTCCTCACCTTCGGCATCGACTTCTTCCATGGGAATTGTTTCGTACCGTGAGCGCACCAGCCGGCAATGCATTCCAAGAACGATCAATACCACCAAAAAGGAGAAAGCGAGGCCGATAATTAACAAGAGCCTACGGGGTGGTTAGCGACGCCAGGTACCTTGAGCGCATGGGGTACCCTGGCGCACACGGGGTGCAAAAAAGGAAAATAAAATAAATGAAAAAATAAAATTAAATGCACCATATGCGCGCCAGGGTACCCCGCGCGCTCAGGGTACCTGGTGAGAAAAAGCACCTAGCGTACTCACGTGAGAAAATTAATTTTTCCTTTTTCGACAGATGACGTACGTCCCGACGTAGGGCTCGGTGGCGCAGGGCTCGTCGACGTAGAGCTCGGCGACGTAGGGCTTGGCGAGTCCGTTTGATTGCTGCTCGTTGGGATCTCGGCAAAAGTTGTCTCGACCGGCAAAGTTGACATGGATGTTGTCTTGACCGTTGACGTTGGCTCGGGAGTTGGAGGAGTCGGCTTGGACGGAGAAGAGGCCTTGGACGACTTTGGCTCTGGAGTTGGCGGTGGAGACGGCTCCAGCGTTGGTGGTGGTGGTGGAGACGGCTCGGGCGTTGAAGGCTCGGTCGTCGGCGGCTCGAGCGTTGGCGGAATAGTTGACGAGGGCTTTGGGGCGTGTTTCCGGCAAATCAGGTCTTGGTGATTAACGAAGCGGCTGCAGTATCGTCGGTGCTCTTCGCTTGTCATCTCTTGTGAGCTCAAGCTCGCCGCCAAGATCAACCAAACGAGCATAATTCTAAAATTTTTGATTAGAGCGCAAGTACAATTGAGTGGTCTAGATTGAGTGTTTGAGAAAGAGTGGCACAAGTTTGAACAATTTAAAGCTAGTTTTACGAATTTGAAACAAGCGGAATCTAGGAGCAAAACTAAATTTGAAGGAAACGGAATCGAAGCAAAACTAAATTTGAAGGAAAGTTTGAAGCAGAAACTAAATCTTAAACAGTCAAATAAAGCGAAAATTTAAAAGCACAAAAGTATCAATTGAAAAACGGGCAGGAAAATGTTTTGAGTGATGGGTGCATGTTAGTACGTCGGGTTGGGTTAGTAGTGGGGATGGCACTTTTATCGGCGGCGAGTGCAGCAGCGGCGGCGACGAAAGTGGCGACGGCGGCAGCTAGTTGAACTACAACTTTGATTAGAATTTGGCTCTTTTGATCGACTTACCAAAGTGCAAAAGGCGTCGGACTCGGTGGGTCGAGAAGCAGCATTTGCGGCGAGAAGATTTTGCGCCATTGCGCGCTTTGGGAGCCAGCCGACGAGGTGTTCAAAAGAGCGGGCGGTGCTGCCAATGGCCCACAAGATGGGCTCGTCGATTCGGCGTACTTCGTTGACGGAGCGAGCGTCGCGGCCGCGGAGAACTTTAAAGAGCGTTTTGAAGCGCTCTCGCTCACCGGAAGGGTCGTTGTTTTCTTTCGAAGAGCGGATTTGCTCTTCGTTTTCGCTGATGGCGCTCTGATAGAGCTTGAGCTCCAAATTGTAGCGGAGGAGCTTCTTTTGGATCGGCTTGATAGTGCCAGACATTCGGCACTCCTGAAATTTGTTAATTTCTTGTCGCAAATTGAAAATCTTACCATTTGATTCCATCGAATGGCTCCCGGGTCGTATTCGGGAATGGTGGCGCAGGGAATGAAGCCGGCGACGAGCAAATAGGCCGCCTTGACGTTGGCGAGATCGTCGATTTGCCAGTCGGGCCAGGGATGAGCCACCAACGGAGCAGTCGTCACGTGCTTGTAGATTTTGGGGGCGGTTTGCGAGTTGATGGCGTCTTCAACGTTGAGCAATGACCAGCCTTCGCTCGGCAAATCAATCTAAATTGCCACTTTAAAATTTTGCAAGAGCGAAAAAGACTTGCCCAGATTCGCAGCGACGAAATCGTCAAGTATCCGTCGACGACTTTGAATTTGGGGAAGAAGGCGCCGAGCTGAAGCCAGTTGAAGACGTGGACCGGCTTGTCGGTGATTGGGAGCCCCTTGAGCAACTTGGCCAGCTTTGTGCCCTTGAGACATCCGGTGAGGCCCTCTGCGCTCAGATTGTCATCGACAATCGAGTTGAGGTTAGAAGCGATGCTCCATCGCTTGACGGAATTGATTGGGACCAAGTCGGGCTCGGGATCCTCTTGCGAGTCGAGCCAGCGAGCCACGTTTGGATACCGCTCGGCACCAGTGAGCGCTCGAGTCGGCGCTGGAGCTGTAGTCGGCGCTGTATTCGGAGACGGTTGTCGAGGGAGCGGGGAAGCGGGCTGCGGAGACGGTTGTCGAGACGGTTGTCGAGACGGTTGTCGAGACGGTTGTCGAGCTGGCTCTGGAGACGCTTGTCGAGCTGGAGAAGGCTGGCGTTGCTCGCGTTGCTGGCGCTGTGGCTGCTGGCGTTGGGGCTGTTGGCGTTGCTGGCGTTCGGGCTGTTGGCGCTGTGGCTGCTGGCGCTGGGGCTGCTGTCGCTGTGGCTGCTCGCGTTGCTGACGCTGGGGTTGTTGGCGCAGAGGTTGTTGGCGCAGAGGCTGCTGGCGCTGGGGCTGCTGGCGCCGAGGCTGCTCACGGCGTGCTGGCGAGTCGTTTCGTCGCAGCCGCTGCTGGTAGAGAGGAATTCGGGGGTGGCCCTGACTTCGTCGTCGAGTTGGCCTTTCGATTGGCGGGTCTACTAAATTTTTGATGAGATAAAGCTTTTTGGCGATAAATTACCGTTTTGGCGGCCACGAGATCCGTAGATGGGCTGATCGGCCGAGTAGAGCACTAAAAAATCGTTATTGATGCCAGATTTGGTTAAATTTGCCTCTTCGGTTGTATTTGCCGGTTTTTCGGATTGGCTCCGACATCGCTGCAGACAGTTTTCCGGATTTGGTGCGGGGCTGCTCCTTTTTACGGCAGTTTCTTTTAGAGCGCCGAACTCTAACAGGCGAGACATCTAGCGGACTCTCCATCGCTCTAGAATAAATTTTACGGTAAGGTGGGGCGGGGGATTGACTATCGATGAAATTGATCAAACGGCGGGAGTGGGGGATAGATTGGACAGTAGTCGGGAAAACCCGTACGGGAACCCGCATGAGAAATCGAAGGAGAACCCATATGGGAACCCGTATGGGAACCCGTAAGGGAACCCGTACGGGAACTCGAAAAAGAACTCGTATGAGAAAGGGTGTGGTAAGCGGGTGGGTAAATGGGAGAACTCTGCAGAGAACGAGCACGAGAGTCAGGCGGAGAAGGAGGTGCCGAAGTGGGACGCGAAGACGGGTACGGGTACTGGTAGGGGCTGAAATAAGGCGGAAGAGGTGCAGGAAAAGTCGGACGAGTCGCATAGCTGGCGTGAAGTTCGACATCTTTGATCCGGGCGCCAACTGTTACCAAATTCTGATTTGACAGAAATTCTAAAAATTCATGTTAACAGGTTTTTACAAATTTAGACTTACTGGACGCAGTGTCAACGACATCCGAAACGACGTCAAGGGCACTTTTCTTGCGAGAAATTGCGCCAGTTGAAGCGCGTCGCGTTCGAGGCGGAGATGAGCTTGTCGAGCCTTCACTTGAGCCCGATGGTGCGCTAGTCGACGGACGATCTCGGAGCGATAGCCGGGCTGCTGAGGAAACGATTCCCTCGGATCGAAAGGCTTAAAGTAAATAAGGGGGCCCCTCGAAACTTGAACTTACGACGCAAGACGCGGCTCGTAGTTGTCTTTACGACGGTCTTGATCTTCCGGGCATCGCGGTCGATTCGAGCAACGGCCTCGCAAACGTATTCGGTCGCTTTTTTGCGACCCATTTTTTCTAAAATTGTAATTTTAGCTAAAATTTTAGCTCAAGCCAGGTTGGCGAGCCAAGTTGGCGAGCCAAGTTGGCGAGCCAAGTTGGCGAGCTTTTTTGCGCACAGTCGACTAAACTAGCAAAAGCAGTGGAAGAGCAGGTGCAGGGGAACTAGTTGTAGTAGTTGTTGATTCGCTGGACGCTGCTGGTGTGCTGCAAACTTCCGTCCCAGTTGATTGGCGTAGTTGTTGTCGACTTCTGCGTCATGTCGAGCAGCCCTTGCCCTCCGAGGATCTTGATTCGATGCGTGGTGACCACCTGGAGTTGGAACTTGTTCTTGCTGATCGCGGTGGGATCGTCGGCGCATGCAATCTTCAGCGACGGCTTGAAATTCAGGAGCCGGTGATGGTTTGTCTTGGCAAGTCCGCTGACAAACGCGCGCTCGGGATTGTCGCGGACAAAGAAAGCATCGATCTCGTCATCCTAAAAGTAAAAGTCAGCAAAAGCACCCGTGTCTAAACTTACCGGGGTGCCAAAGTAGGCACTCGGCGGCGGGGGTGGAGGTTTGATTTGAGCGCTCGCCATTGCTTCTCGAGCGCTTTCCGCTTCGGTGAGAACCTTGGCGTTTTCGGCGAGCAGTCGTTGCCGGTCAACAGACGGGCGAGGTGGAGGTTGTGGACGTTTAGGAGATGATCGTGCCACGCCAAATCGAACAAATTGGTCGGCAAGGGCGTCCAAGTCGTCGTTGTCCTTGTCAAAAGAAAGTTTTTGCAAAATTGAAAAAATTTACCTGTTTGAGAGCAGCAGCTGGTCGTCCGCAAGATCCAAATCGCCCTCGTCGTCTTGCGCGGCTCGAGTTCCGGAACTGATGCTGGTACCGATTTGGCTGCTCATCATCATCGCTAGAGTCGTTGAGCTCTCGCGGATCCTTAATGCTCCGTTAGAAGTTGAGCTTTGATTTTGCTCACTTAAAAGGGGGCACTACCTGTCGATCGCCGCAGTGGCCGATGACGCTCAGAGACGGAGCTTCGATGAGAGGCTTAGATTCCGAGCTCCGACAAATGTGCACAGGATCCCGAATGAACACTTTGTGCTTGGGCTCCCGTACGGGCTCTCGTGTCTCGGCGTCGGGCTTTTTCTGCGCATCGGGCGGCTTTTGGAGCGGTGGCGGAGGCTTCTTGAACGACGGCGGCGGCGGCGGCGGCGGCGGCGCGAATTCCGCTGGAGTCTTGAGCGGGCGCGGCGGTGGCGGCTTGGATGGCGGATCGATGCGGGCGTAGAATTTCTCTGGATCATCAGAGCCGACAATTGTCGACTCTTCGGTCACTGTCGAGAGATCTGGCTTGGCATTCATTTTCTGGGCCGATTTCGACATCCTGAAATTTTTAATTTTTCACAAGAGTTCTAATTAAAGGGATAGAAATTTGGAACAGGGTTAAAACAGAGAGATGATGATACAGGCTAAAGCTAAACGAGAAGAAACGCTAAAGATGATAAAGCTAAACGAGAAGAAAGGCTAAATGATAAGAAAGGGATCAAGAAGTCGAGGTCAGGAAAAGCTTGAGTGATGGAATGATAGATGAAGACGAGGTGTTTTTAACCAGGGACAATGTACAGGGAGAAGCCAATTCGTGGAAGAACAATTTGGAGGGGTTTCAGGCGATCGTTTTACCAAAAGGCTCGAAAAGCGGCTTCGAGCGATCCTAAAATTTCAATTTTAGTTTCAATTTTAGTTTCAATCAAGTTTAAACTTACCGACAACCATGTCGAAAAAGAGCTCGCCCTTGTAGTCGCCGTCGGATTCGTCGAAGCCAAAGGACTCGAAGACGACGTCCATTCCGGAGCCGAAGTCGCCGGAGCCAAAGTCGCCGGAGCCGAAATCTTCATCGTCGTAGATGAAAAGGGTGTCGTTGGAGGTGGCAAAGTTGGCGACGCTGGAGTTTGCGGTGAGGTTCATGGCGGTGAGGTTGGTGGCGGTGCCGTTGACGAGGCCGTTGACGAGGTCGTTGACAAAGCCAAAGTCGTCGAGGCCAAAATCCATCGGGGGGACAGAAATTGACAAGTTGCCAGCGGGTGGCGCTAAATGATTTTTAAGCGCAATTGCGCCAAATAAACTAACCAATCAAGCTGCGCGCGAAGCGTCCGCTTAAGCAGCGGCGTCGAGCCGGAAACAGCATAAGAACCAATATCATCACCGCCACCGTGAAGATGCAGCCGACGAAAAACCAGGAAAACAACATGAGGTTGTTGACTCGCTAAAATAAAATGCCAATTTTCTTTTGTTTCAAAATAAACTTACTCGAAATCCGCTGAGGTGGGCCACGATGATAAACTTCTCGACCGTGATCTCTTGATGATCGAGTAGGGAGATGAAGAGTCGGCGTGGGTCAGGGTGTCGGGCAGGAAGCTGTCGCTGGAATTGCTCCGCATTCGCCTGAAGCGTATCCGCGAGCTGGTTAGCCATCGACGAATTCGACATGTCCAAGTCGCGCTCTTCGTCTGGCATGGACAGGGATGAAGTGGATGTGTGGCTAAATTTGCAATTTTAGTTTTATTTAGTTAATAGTTAATTTTAATTTTGCTAATTACTAGTCACAATTTCTAGTCTCAAAATTTTCTGGTACTTACGATCCAAGTGACATGGACGGATACGGGTAGACGAAGGCTCTCTTGATGTTGCGACGGAGCCGCAACCACCAATTTTCCAAATTCGAAATGTTCACGCTGAAAGTGAACATGTTAGTGACGCGGCAATTATCAAAGAAAGAGGGGGCAAAGAGTCAAAGGCGCCACAAAATTGATAACAGTCGGCACAGTCTTTCTCTCGATCAGCAGTTTTCTCTCAGCAGAATTTGACCTTGGGAACATCCGGACTTTGATAAGCATCGGAATGTGGCCTTTTTCGTAATTTTGTATTCGGGCGCCATCAAGAAACGAACCCAGAGCAATTCTCGAAAGTACAAATCTGACGAAATCTTGCGAAAAGGGAAAACTCAACCTAGATTTGAATTTCAAAAAATGCATGGTGACTCTTGGAATTGTGCTTTTTGCAAGCTTGCACTTTTGAAACTGGCTCTTTTTCCAAAAATATGAATTTTCGACGCGACTCTATGGAATTTCGAGGCGGCTCTCTGGATTTCCGAGGCGGCTCTCTGGATTTTCGATGCGACTCTATGGAATTTCGAGGCGGCTCTCTGGAATTTCGAGATTTTTTAAAATTGGCTCTCGGCTTTTCTGGCTCTAATTTTTTTCGCTCCATTTTCTACTCGTGAGTTTTTAATTCCTAAGTTTCGCTCCATTTTCTACTCGCAAGTTTCTAGCTCTATTTTTCAAGCTCTACTTTTCTAGCTCTATTTTTCGCTCCGCTTTCTTCTCTTAATTTTTGCTCCGATTTCTACTCTTAATTTTCGCTCCGATTTCTACTCTAATTTTTCGCTCCGATTTCTACTCTTAATTTTCGCTCCGATTTCTACTCTTAATTTTCGCTCCGATTTCTACTCTAATTTTTCGCTCCGCTTTCTAGCCCTGCTCTGCTCGACTCAGACACTCGTAAATGCAATCAATATCAAGAATCAGTTGCATTTTATATGAAAGATAAATTGAATTTATTTTTGAAAACAGACTCCCGTGGAGTTTAAACCGTTAATTTCGTCGCTGCAAGACAATGTTATTCTTGAACGCGGTCACACGCCCATTTTCGTCTTTGACGAGGATCAGCGCCCCAACTTCTCCATTCGCCAATTCCTCGCGGAAGTTGTCGTGGTTGAGGTAGATCTCGGCGAGGTTGTTCTTGAGGGAGACCAGCTGCTTTTTGAAGGGGGTCGCGTCGGCCGGAGCTAAATTTTGATTAAGAAAGTTTTGATTAAAATGATTTGATTAAAAGTTCTTGATTTAAATTATCTTGATGGAAAGTACCTTTGTGTGGCGGCTCGACAAAGCTTTCAATGCGAAAGATTCGCGGGGTGTTGAAGTCGGTTGGCCGGCCCAAAGTTCCATCCCGTCGGTACGCCCGAAGGACAATGTTGCCCTGCTCGCCAATCTGACCGTTCTCGCCGGATCGGAGCTCGGTGTAGGTGCCGTTGCCGTTGGTGGAGTTGCCGTTGGTGGAGTTGCCGTTGGCGCCGTTGCCGCTGCCGTTGAGGACGGTGGCGTTGGGAGAAGGGCCGGTGCCGGTGGCGTTGAGGGGCTCGACGCCAGAAATGCCGCTTACGTCGGCGCCGCCAACAAAAACGCTCTCGTCGGGAGCAGCGACGCTGCCGCCAGGTACGGTGACGACAGATCGGTTAGCAGGCGTGGCTGGCGCGACGATGGTTGTTTCGCCAAGGTCGGCGCCAACATCGACTTCGTCAAAGACGGTGACGATGGAACCTTTGAAGGCGTTGCCGGTGCCGTTGGGAGAGTAGTTGCCGTTTGAGGAGGAGTTGCCGTTTGAGGAGGAGTTGCCGCTGGTGGAGGTGTTGCCGTTGGAAGAGGAGGAGTTGCCGTTGGAGGAGGAGTTGCCGCTAGAAGAGGAGTTGCCGTTGGAGGAAGAGTTGCAGTTGGAGTTGCCGCTGATTGAGCTGGGCTCAAAAGAAGAGCCAGTTGGGAAGGAGGAGCTGGTGTTGTAACTGCTGGTGGTGGGCTCGTCGGAGGAGCTTGAGCTTTCGCCGCCAAGAAGAGCTCGCTCCTTGATCGCGAGAATCGGGTCCACGTCCATCAGCTCTCGCTCTTCTTCGCCGCTCTTTGAGCCAGAGCTGTAGCCAGACGACGAGGAATCCATCTGGCGAACCAAGACCACTTCAACAGGGCTAAGCGGGCCCTTTGATCGAGAAGCGAGCGGAGCCGATTTTTTTGGCGACATATTACGGATAAATCCGTTGTCGCAAAGGCCGGTAAGAGCGCCAGCCATCATCGCGGGTGAGAGCCCATTTCCGAGTGGGGGCTGAGCGTTGGTGGGAGTCTCGGGATCTGTCAAGGTTGACAGATCCGAAATGTCCATGATCGATTCGGCCATTTCCTCGATGACATCGGCGAGAACGGTGCCAACGTTGGCAACGGTGCTGGCGTTGGGGGTGCTGTTGCTGTCAGACGGGGGCGAGGAGGAGGAGGAGGAGGAGGAGGTGGGATGTCCAAGGAAGGCTCCAGCAGCAGAAGAGTCGCTCCACTCGGACGTGTGGACCTCCATTGACACGTTGTCCGAGCCGGAAGCGTCTTCGGAAGGTCTTCGGTGAGGCTGGCGGACGACAACGCGATCGTGCTTGTTGAGCCATCGCAAGTCCAGCCCTCTTTCGCCCCTGTTTGCAAAGGGGTCAAAGTTGGTGGTGCGCATGGGCTCCTCGCTGCCGTCGCTGTCAGGAGAGTTGTTGGGTGTGTCGTTCTCCTCGCTCGTGTTGACAACAACTCGACGGGGCTCGCTCTTGTTGAGCACGCCATCGAAATCGTCGCTGTCGGGTTGAGAGGAGTCGCCGTCGGAAGGAGCCAACGCTCGGTAGGAAGATTCGACAATCTCCAAAGCTCGAGCGTGAGCAGCAGCAGTAGCACGTCTCTTGGCCTTTTCTTGGGCTTTTTCAGCAGCACCTGGAGCGCCCATTACGAGCAGATAATCGGTGTCGTTGACACTGTCGTCGCTGGAGCTGGTGGGAGGAGCGCGGCCGTCTTGGAATCGCTTTCGGGGGCGATTCTCAGGATCAGTCGATCCATCCATTTCCCAGTTGCGCTTCTGGGGAAGCTTGGGCGACTTTTCTTCGCAGGAGCAGTCGCTGGTGGGGACGGCGCTGGTAGTGTTGTCGTTTGGGCGAGCAACGGGTTCTTCGACGAGAGTGGAGCCTTCGTTAACCCATTGGTTTCGCACATGTGGGAGGGTGACGGTCTTTTCGGCGGAGGAGGACGAGCTGTTGGGTCCAGTGGTGTTGCCAGAAGAGGCGTTGAAGGGAGCAGGATCGCGAAGAGAGGAGCTTCGTCGAGGTGGTGGATTGTGGAAGCTGTCCATCGATTCGTCGAGCAGAATTGATTGCCCAGCCTCGATAACCGATGAGAGCGCGTCGCTTGTATCGGCAGCCGCGGAAGCAACATGCTGGGCCGCGATTTCAAGGTCTAAAGACTTGTTTCCGGAAAATCGACAATGAATAGGGATTACCTTGCGATTGCTCGGATCCAGCAGCTGGTCGTAGTGGGGAGTCGGCAACGGCTAAAAAGAAAAATCAATGGAGGGTTCTTCGCTGAGGGCGCAATATTGGGGAGCATAAATGTGGGCCACTTTGACAACTTTTCATCAAAATGACTTGAAGGAAAAGAGATCCGAAAGCAAAAGAAAGAGACTAGAATGAGAGATCTGCAAAAAAGAGAGACGCCGAGAGATTTTAGAAAGTGAGAAAGAGTGAAAGATCTATGTTTATAAAATGAAATTCTGTATCAGCTATGGGACTTAGGTTTTGCAACTTTGCTTAAATGATTCCAAATTTTTAGTAATTTCATTAGTTGAACTGAAATGATTCTCAACAATACGCGTCAAAATGTTTCAAAATGGACTTTAATTTGATCAAAAATCAAAACAGTAAAATGATACTAAACATTGTTTGTTAATCGTTCCATACTGCCCGTTTTTAAAATGATTCTAAATGTTCTACACGAAAATGAGATTCAATCGACGTTTTTAAAATGAACCTGCAAAAATTATTGCACTGAAATCTACTGGCGCATTTAAAATGATTCCAATAGTATGTCATTTATTAAAGAAAAAGGGTTTAAAATGAAGCTAAATCTAACAGACCAGTATACTTTAAGTTCTGTAGACTATAAAATGAAACGCAAGGAAACTTGAGTGCAAATCCCCGACAACGAATAAAATGATTCTTGATAAAAGACAAAAGATAAATAAACGCGACGCCCCATAATATAAAATGAAACGTTTCGTTCAGCGTTAAGTTCATTTTTAAGGAAATTTTTCTAATATTAAAATGAAGCTTTTTATTCATGAGGCCTTTTCCACGCGCCCATATTCGTAAAATGAAACGCTTCCCTCAATAAGCCTCTTCGAAGCCCCCATTTCATAAAATGAAGCGTTTTGTTCATAAGGCTCTTTTCCAGTCGCCCTCTTAAAATGAAGCCAATTTTGGTACAATCTCTACGCATTAGACACATAAAATGACCCCAGAGTCTTGATATCCTTACGATAGGCATTTGTTTAAAATGAAACCCTTTGAAGAACGTACTATCCGTTTTCAACCCGATCCATTAAATGTGTCAAATATCTTTACTCTACTTCTCGTGGCAATAAAATGCTGACAAAAAAATCCTCCGCAAAGCGACCAATATAACCTATAATAAAATGTTAGCAAAAATTTTCCTGCAATGTTCCCTTTATAAAATGCAATCAGTATAAACATACTCTACTGTACCGAAATGACTGATTAAAATTATTTTAGCTCTAACTCTAACTTTTTCTAATTTTAGGCAGTCGAAATCGTATTGTAAAATGAATCGAGAGATATCTTGTCAAGCTCTCTGAAAAGCGAATCGAGCCCTGAAGACAACAACGACTATAAAATGCTCCAAGATTTTCAACGCTTATATTTAGTCCGCCGCCACCGCCACAAAATAAATGATGGCAAATTTGAAAACATATAATTTCCTACTAACTGGACATATCACGTGTGATACGCCCAAAATGAGTCCTTTAGTAGACGATATAAAATGATTCAAGTATTCTTTCACCATTTAATTAAACTGCGGTTCCAAAATGAATCTTGTAGATAGTCAAGGTACTCTTTTGTCAACTCTGAAATGAATCAAGACTTATAGAACTTAGTGGTGTCCGAGTCGTAACAAAATGAAACTTTAAAATTTTGAGAAAGTACCAAAGCTTCTCCCCTGCGCTTAAAATGAAACACTATACTCTCTTTGGTGTTGATGCACATTTCGAATTTAAAATGAAACTAGACCGTGGCCGCCAATATTCCCGCACTTGTTTTGAAATGAATCCCAACAATAAACACGAATGTTACCAAGATGATTAGAAAATGAAACCATTTCCGCTTTGGCAACTATATTCCCGAGCGAATTTGAATAAAATGAGCCCGTTGCGTAAATGATTCTAGCCCAAGTTTAGTGATAAAATGAATCGCAACCATTTTCCTCATTCACATGGCAACGTATGTTAAAATGAAACTATAATCTCCTCGTTCATTCCATGCGCACCGACATTAAAATGAAACGCTATGTATACTGTCTTTGCGACTCCCATTCTAAAATGAAAACCTGACACGTTTTAGTTTTGCAAAGAAAACTTTTGAAATGAATCTAAACGATCTCGCAACTGTCACAAGAATAGACTTCTTTGAAAACTCTCTCTAAACTCTAACCCTTTTCAGATCGACAATGAAAATCGGACCTGCCAACCATTCAAATTCAAGAACCAAGAGGACAAGAAGATATTTGAAGTCAGTCAGTCAGAAGCGAAAGAAGTGAAGATTTTTTTGGCCCTGTAAATTTCCCCCCCTCTCCCTGCAAATAAAGTAGTAGCGCACTTACCTTCAGCAGTTGCTTCTTCCACGGTAGAATTCGCACGCAGGCGTTCGGAAGCGGTCTTGGACCTAGTTTTCATGATAAACGTAGAAAGCGCAAAATGCAGCTTTTGTGTCGAGCAACGAGTGGCGACTGATTGAAATTTGAAATTTCGGCCTCAGGTTGACAACAATTCTAGAGATTGTGAGCCCTTTTTCGCAAAAATACGGAATTTCATCAACACCCCAACCATTATCCACAACAACAATTTGGGTGTTCTAGAACAACTGTTGGGCGTGTGGGAAGGCTGAATTATTAATCCCCATGATTATATTAGCATGTCAATGAAAGCTATTAGACGCTGCAAATATGCCAGAGGTAAAATCTTTTTTAATAATTCTTCTAGGGTACTTGTTGCTAAGAGATTTCCAGGGTACCGTTTACCGCCAATGGACCATTTCAAAACTCAAGGAAATTGCCGCCAAGCTCGTCAAGGACGGCACCTTTCCACGATTCCACGTCTTTGAAGATCAGCTCTCCTTTGACATTTACCAGTGTCTTTTGGCGGCGGCTTGCACCAACCCAATTTGTCAACTGAAATGCGAGTACCTGCAAGAACTCGAGAGCAACATCTGCATGTACGAAAACAACTTTCGCATAATGCCCGACGATTTGAAGTACTTTATGCATGATTATGAGCCTCGCCTGCCCAGCCTTACCGATGAGGACGTCAAGGAAGTTTGCAAAGTTGCTGCCGACGCACTTGCCAAAGAAATGAAACTCGAAGACAACAAGGAAGACAAAGAGTCCGAGTAAAAGTTAGCCTGATTTTCATTTATTTGCGACTGATTCTTTATTAAATTCTTTTAGCGTGCAGTGATCAGATGAGAGCATTTAGAATGGGTCAGCAGCTGAGTACCATCAAGCCAGTCACGTGGAAAAATACTTTTACCCGGCGACAGCGAGCGTGTGAATTTGCGAGCGACCAACAAGACCTCCTCCAATCAACGGCTCGCCTTCATTTCTGCTCCAATCGCTATCCATGCTCCCATTGTGCTAATAAAGGTTCTTGATTTCTGAAACTGTGTTCATTTTACCTTTTGCAGAGAACAACGGTCGTCGAGTAGAGCAGAGTTTTCCAGCTTACGGGCGGCGTTTGTAGTTTCAGCAGCGGAGTAGGTTCCACTTTCGATGACAGCTTCTCCGTCGACTTCCAGTGGCAGCAATTCCAAGCACTTCCGGTGGCAGCTTCCAATTCGTCGCTAAAATTTTTATCCCCCCGATTCTAGAGCCTTTCGGCCACTTTTATTGACCACTCGTTTTTATTGACCACTCGTTTTTATTGACCACTTTATTTTATTGACCACTTAATTTTGATCGACCACTTGAGTAAAATGTCTGGCTAGAGCCTGGCTGCAAATCGCCCAAAACTGCACCGAGTCCAAACGGCCTGCCGTACGGCCTGCCCACCCTAGTCAAAGTCTGGATATTTTCCAAGTATTTGCCCCGGGGTCCCCATATGTCGAGCGCGCAAAATCCACCCTTTTTTCACTTTTTTTCATTTTGGACTCGGCGCGGCGAAAGGGCGGCCTGCAGCTAAGCCCTAGCCAGACATTATACTACTGGCCGGTTTGCCGAATCCATGCTTCTGATTGGTTGAAAATTCTCACGCAAAATTTGTCGAAGTTTTTTTGTCGGTTCAAGACACCTTTCCCATTTTTCTTGGTTCTGATTGAAAATTTCGACTCAAACGTCCAATTTGGCTTCATTTCGTTTTCGGAAGATATTGATTTGACAACTTTGTCGAAGGGCATCAAAAATCAGACAGGCAAAGACTTGGCTTAATTCTAATTAAATCTAAATTGGCCCTTCCCAAAAAATATATTCCCATTTGAAAGATGAAAAATATCAGCATCGAAGTAGAAACCGAGCCAGAAACGCTCTATCTTCTGGTCGACATTCCAGAAATGATAAGAAAGTACAGAGAAGAGCATCCGGAAAATTTGAAGCTTGCGGAGGAACGATTGAGGCCCTGGCTGACGGTTTTGTCGATTATTCTTTTTCTCTTTTTCAGCTTCATTTTCTACAAAGCGGTGAAGATTTCCGATGAGATTTTGTACGGACAGCTTCCGGATGATAACAAGGTTTAGTTGAAAATATAGGGTTTTTGGCGAATAAGAATTTGAAGGATGAAACACTTCAAGAAACAATCGACGAGCTCGATCATCCGCGATTATCACAAGAATCGATTGAATGCACAACATTTGCAAAAATTACGAAAGAAGCTTTTTCTGATGATGAATAAATTTGAATACTTCAATTTTTTCGCACAATACTTTGTAAATTATTTATTTATTTTTATTAAATAAGTTTTTGTTCAAAAAAATCTCGACAAGTTTCTTTTCAGAAGAGAAACAAGCCCTCTCGTCAGGCGGAAATCATTTTTCTTCTCGTAGATCGCCAAACCGGCGACAAGCGCGACCTTGATCATCGCTTTCTTGATGTAATACTGGGTCCAGTTCATCGCATCAACTCCCGGCTCGCCTTCAAGCAAGTATCGTTTGATGAAATCTTTGTCCGCGGTTTTGTTGTCGTGCTAGAATCGTCATAATAATTTGATAAAAAAAAATCTCCTACCGGGATCGGCTTGTCAGGAACAGGTTTGCCAAGAAACTTGCAAAGAGGTTCCCAACCGTCTTTTGGGTTCCAAACAAGGAGGCGTTCGGCTGGGACGATTTCTTGTACTCGACGGTTGTGGCTTTCGTATTGGTCGACCGCCGCTTCCCTGGATAATAAAATGCAATTTAATATAACATAATTAGGGAAACTCGACGAAAAGGTTTCATATCCACAGACCCGGGATACTAGAACTTACGGTCCCTTATCCCGAGAGTACCAGATTTTTGCCTCTTTGGAAGGCCAAAAGTGCCCCGGGGCATGAGTCAAACCCCTTACTGTCAATAGTCAAAATGATCCCCAGCTCCTGGGCTTTCTAAATATGTATTATACTCCCTCCCTACTAAGCCCAAAAAAAAGCTCACTTTTCGTCGAGTTTCCCTAAACATAATATATAATTAAAATTGGACTTTTGACATCGGGAAAGTCGATTATCCTACCAGTATGGTTTCATTATTTTGATCATTTGTTCGCCTGTAAAAACAGTCCAAGGGGCTGGAAAAAAGTCCTGATCGCAGTTTCTGAAGAACCCTTTTTTCATCACTTCCTGAAAAAAATTTTCATGGACAAAAAATCGTTCTTTTCAAACATGAGTGGTCCAATTAGCTCGATTCATGTTCGGACTAGTCCAGCCCATGGCAATTGTCCGGTGGTAAAGCCAAAATCCCGGGTTTCCGAACTGCTTGTTGACATTTTCGAGAAAAGGGATGAATGAGTTTTTCCAGACTTCCGTGCTGTCCCGGACGGTCAAGATGACCTTGGCGTTTGGAGAAGCGTGGTAAAGTTCTTCCCAGTAGACGTTCCCGGGGACATCTTGATTTGCCTCGAATCCGTGCTTCTTGTATTCTTCTATCACTCGATGGATGGAGCAATGGCCTTTCAGGTAGTCGTACCAAACTTCGGACAAAAAGTGGATGTTTTCGCTCAGATCCGCGACCTTGTAGCCCAAAATTCTACAAAATTATAATTTATTAATAAATGAAGAGAAAATACCGAAGAGCATTTGAGCAACTTTTCGAACAGGTTTTTGGAAAACCCGCGCAAATTATCTCCATTCAGTATTATCTCTCTCGAAATGCAGAAGGCAAAGTTTCTTTCGTAGATAGTTCGGAATAAGAATATTTGTCATTTCAAAAATCATATTTGAAGAATCAATTGCAAGGTCGTAACGTAACAGGTCATTCAAGTTTTCCTGGGTTCAAATTCTGTGTTTGTTCTCCTGGGATATTATCAGTGCAGAAGACTTTGTTTTTTTTTGTTTTATTTATAGAATTTTTTGGGAAAAAATTGTCAGAAAAATTTGGTCACCTTCGTTTTCAAAAATTCAAGTAGCTTTTTTGTCAGACGAAAGTCATTTTTCTTTTCGTAAATTGCCAGTCCAGCGAGAAGAGCGACCTTGACAATGGCTTTTTTCATGTACCACTGCGCCCAATTGGTAGCGTCGATGCCAGGATCGCCTTCGAGCAAGTATCGCTTCATGAAATCTTTGTCAACCGTTTTGTTGTCGTGCTAGAATTGCTTAGTTAGAACGCCCTCTTTTTTAAAGAGGCGTCTGGAATCGACAAAAAAATTTCGACAAATTTTGCGTGGTAATTTTCAACCAATCAGAAGCCTGGATTCGGCAAACCGGCCAATCAGCAGCCGAGTAGCCGCCCACGCAAAATTTGTCGAAATTTTTTGTCGGTTCCAGACACCATCCCTCTTTTTTTACCGGAATAGGCGAGTCAGGAATAGGCTTGTTGAGAAATTGACAAAGTGGTTCCCACCCGTCTTTTGGGTTCCAAACGAGGAGGCGGTCGGCTGGCACGATTTCTTGGACTCGACGATTGTGATTTTCGTATTGGTCGACCATCCCATCCCTAAAATAACCCCTAAGAGTTATCAAAAAAATTACGAACCAGTATGGCTGCATCGTCCGAATAAGCTGTTCCCCCGTAAAAATGTGCCAAGGCGCCGGGAAGAACTCCTGATCGCAGTTTCGCAAAAACCCGATTTTCATGCACTCCGGCATCATCCAATTGAATCGATTCATGTTGGGACTTGACCAGCCCATCGAAATTAATCGATGATAAATCCAAAATCCTGGGTTGCCGAACTGGGTATTAAAGCTCGCCGCAAATTTGTTCCATGAGTTTTGCCAGACTTCTGAGCTGTCACGAACCGTTAGGATGACTTTTGCAGTTGGAGAAGCGTGGTAGAGCTGTTCCCAGAAGACATTGGAGGGAACGTCTTGGTTCACTTGAAATCCATGTTTTTGGTATTCTTCGATTACGCGATGAATCGAGCACTTGCCCTTCATGTAATCGTACCAGACTTCGGACATGAAATGGATGGTTTCGCTGAGATCGGCCACATTGTAGCCAAGAATTCTTTAAAAGAAGTGATTTCTATCTTGAAATTGGTATCACCTGAGCGCGTTGGAGCAACTTTTTGAGCCGGTTTTCGGAAAACCCGCGCAGATTATTTCCATTACGGTTTGTTCTCTCTTTATATCAAGAGGTCTGAGTATCTGCCGTTTCTCCTCAAAGTGGAACTACCAAGATCGATTTTGTTAAATATTTGCGCATTCAAGGCTACGATCGGGGAAATAAATGAGGTCTTTTGCGGGAAAATTTGTCCTTGGTTTATTTACAGTTCAAGGTACAGAATAAGAAATATTACTATAAAAAAAAATTTAACCCGAAATTTCTTCTGTTACTAGACTGGCAGACTAACAACAGTTCTCTGACCATCTGAAAACATCAAAGAAGGAAAAAGTCTCTAGACAATCGCTTTCCTTGTTTTTCTCAGCACTTGTTCTCTTAGTCGCTAGAATAAAGCCAAAATAAAAAAAAGAGATTTTAAGAATATTTCACTGTAAGCGGAGCGATGCCTGCTGACTGTCAGAAGATTTCTGAAAAAGACAAAGAAATCAAGGAGGAGCCACAAGATGAAGATCAATCTCCAAATAATGCTTCTTCTTCTTCCTCCTCAACGGTAAAAAGCGAACCCGAGGACACTTATACTTTCGGACAGCAGGTCGAGTTCCAATATTTTGAGAAAAAATCCATGAAAGAAACGGTTTTATTTGAAAAAATTCTGAACTCAACTAAAGCCAACAGAACCTGTTGAAGTCAAGGGATCGGTCAAAAGCGCATCGAAAAATCAAGCTCTAGAAATTATCGATCTTGACGAATCTCAAGAAACGCAGAGCATTCAGGCAGAGAAAAACATAAATAAGCGACAGGTAGAAAAGCTCCGCAGCTCATTTACGGCCATTGACATTTTATTCATTTATGAGCCCTTATGACCCAGTTATTTCCTTTATTTTTAAAAATAATTTTGACCAAATAAGCTAATGTTTAAATTCACCCCAACAGAATCGGCAAAGCACCAAGCAAGCATCGCAAAAAGGCAAAAAAAGAAATCAACGAGCAAAGTCCTCAAAGCAGAAAAACTCAAGAGCACGAAAAAAGATCGCCAAAAAGCCTGAACCCGTAGAAGAAAAAAAGCACACCACAGATGAAGAGAAATCACCAGATGAAATAACAATCCTTGCACCAGCCGAAAACGAGCCGAGTCGAAAACCCAGCTTCACGATGGTTCTCAGATCGGCTTCAAGAGAAAGCGGGCCTAAAGAAAAAGCAACGAACAGCAACTCCGTTGGAGGCTCCGACTCCGAAGACACCAAATCCTTGCTTGATTCGCCCGAAGAAGATGAGAAAATTAAACCACCAGAAGTGAAAACAGAGCCAAAGACTTTTGATTGTCTCGAAAGAACAAACGAAGCAGTACATGAGAGTAAGTCCAGAACGTCTTACGTCATCATATTTTAACCTAAGTGCACACATACGTCACCAACTTGGCCTTGCAAAGCAAACTTGAGGAGAAAGACTCGGCGAGGTATAAGACGATCATGCGGCGACGCGATCAAGTCCTACCAGATCTCGCTCGAATGCAATGCCAAAGCGACATACAACTTACTTTCGCGAAGGCACCAGAGTTACAGCTAAAATTTCCAACTAAATTCATATGGAATTTTTGCTAGAAAGCTTCTCTAACTCGAATAAAAGCTCGCTGCTTCGGGGCAAACAAAAGTCAGTGCTAATGCTTTACGCAAACGAAACAAGGAACTCACCATTGTAAGTCCTTAAAATCCTTTTTGTAAAAAAAACTAATATTCAGATGGGCATTGGAGAAAAATTAACGGTTGGAAAGACGAATAAGACGCTAGAAGTTTTTGCGAAAATTGTCGAGGATAAAAATGCCGTCAAATATCTTTTGGAAGAGTTCTGTAAGTTTCCCCCTATTGTTCCCGATTTTCAATGATTTCAGTTGATGAGCACTTTGATAACTACTGGCAAATGATGACCAAAGATCAGCAAGACTGCTTCTTGCCACAAAAAGAGGCTCCGGAGCCAAAGAAACGACCCACCAAACCACCGAAAAAAGAACCTACGAAACGAAAAGTTGGCCGACCAAAAAAGACAAAGAAAAAGCAAACTGCTCCCAACCCGAATCGACCAATGACGCGAAGCAGGTCAAAACAAGAGGTCAAAGAGGAGCCAAAAGAAGAATCGATAGAACTGAAAGAAGAGCCCGAAGATGTTTAAATCCTTTCTTTTTTTTCTTTCCTTTCAAACCTATTCTGCCATTTACCTCCAATTTGCACATAAGCTTTCTTCGATTTCTATTTTTATTGCACAATAATAAAGAAAATAAGTCTTTTTGAACTTTCGTGAATAAATAAAAAGCGGGGATAAATGAGAAACGGGACAAATACGCATGCAAAAAGTGAGCAAAAATCAGTAATCTGTTTTGATCATGACTTTGACGCGAGATTTTTTGCTCTCCAAAAGGCTCAAAGCTCGTCGTTTTCGAGAGATCATGCAGACATTGCAGTTTCCTTCAGAAGGATCGCAGATTGAAATGTCGCACTCGATAGAAATCGGGGCGGAAGAGTCGACGAACTGGAAGCTTGCGAACTCGAACCGAGCTTCGGGAGTCAATCCACTGGAAATGATCGATGTTGAGTCATCGGAAGGGCAGGCGTTTTCAATCAGAGCATATTCTTGGAAAAATTCTTTATAAGAGAAAAGAAACAGGGATTTTTCAACCTGTTCCGTTAGAATCTTCCGGAAAAGCAATGCAATTTTCAAGCGCAACAGCCAATTGAGAGTCATCATTCTTCACCTCGATAAAGACCTTATCTGGAACCGAGAAGATATGATCGGCACTAAAATAAGTCCTTTCGTGAATTCCCAATAATAAAATCACCTTGCGGGCTCAGCAAAATCAGGTGAGTCGTAAACGGCCATTCGAACATTGAACGACCCAAGTTTCTCGCCCAAATCGACGATGAAATGGTTCACATTGACTTTGATTCCCTGATCGAGGGAAAGAGTCTGCTTGGTTTCCAGAACACAGGAGAATTCAAGCTCCTAGGAGAGTCAAATGAGAAGAGTAAATGGATGGTTTTTCCTTACAATTCCGAATTGCCGGGAAATGATTCCATTGGAGACTCCATTGTCTTTCGTGAAAATTGTCGAATTGTAAACAAGCGAGTCTCCGATCATTGTCGGGTCGACAGTACAATTTGGCGAAAGAGTATCAAATACCGAATTGCCCCCTTCAACTCGGCCTCTGCACTCACCAGCTGCTTCTAGAAACATGTTCAGCTTATGAAATATTCGTGCTGATATACAATTTTGTGCTTTATATAAAACAAGTTCGGATACCCATGAAAATTCCAGCTGGCATAAATCCTTTCTCTTCAAGAGAGCAGAGAGGGATTTCAATCTGTAAAAATCCACCGTCGCAAGAAACGACTGAGTCATCGAAGGTCTGAGTACATTCCCCTGGTGATCCAGTTGATGGAGCGTCAGTCGTGGTCGTTGTTTCCTCAGGTGTTGTCGTTGTTGTTGTTGTTGTCGTTGCCGAAGCATCTGTCGTCGTCGTTGCGGGCGCATCTGTCGTGGTTGTCGCTGGCGCTTCTGTTGTGGTGGTTGTTCCTGAACCATCACTCTTCACGCCGTCCCAAATGCAGCTCGGGGTGATCACCGTCACATCCCATGCAACACCTAGTGGTGGGCAAGTTGCCTCAGTTTCGATTTCCGACCACCAGCCATATTCTCCGTTAACAATTGGCCACTTGTCAGCCTGCATCAGAAGCCAGCTTCCGAACCAGGGCTCGTAAACAACAGCACTTCCATCATCACAATCAAAGACGTCCTTGTCATTGAAAGTTTCGCCGCTGGAGACGCATTTTCCTGCAAATCCCATGTTGAAACCACCGCAACAGCCCTTGAAAAATTCATATAATAATTTAATCGGCCATTCTTACCAAGGCGGTTTCTGGAAATTTCGGTTCACACTCAGCAAGGCTTCCATCTTCATCCTCTCCAGCTCCGCAGTCAACAAGTCCGTCGCAGATTCTGTCGGTGAAAATTTCCCGCGTGAAACCGAGAAGATCCCCTGAGGTACAATTTGCCGTCTCTTTGTACTGAAAATTCGGGAAGTTCGTCGTGTCACTTTCACAGTACATCCACTGCAGTTGCTTGGCATCTGTCGTTGTTACTCTGTATCCGTCGCTGAAAGTCGCTCCGGATGATTTGATGGTCATAACAGGATTGTTTCCGATTGCACTGCAGAAGGAACAGTATGTCATGACTGATTCGACTTCCAGAGGACTGTCGAGATCGAACCAATCGTCGATCGGAATGACGTCGTACGATTGAGGCATGAAGGTCGCGGAAGGGTTGTATGAAAGGAACTCATCTCGATCCGGCCGATTGTGTTCATGATTCACGCCAAGCGCATGCATCAGCTCGTGCTGGACCGTTGCGTGCCCATTGCAACTAGGCTCGAGGGCGATGATCTGCCAAGTTTCAGGAACTCCAAAGTCTGTGACAGAAACCGCCCCAGTGTTCCCGACGAAGCCTTCCCAGACTCCAAGAGAGGAGTAGCAACCTTGGCTGGAGAGGACGTAGATGACTCCATGAGGATAGGTGGTTGAAAGAAGCTCGGTAGCGTCAAGATATGGCATGGAAAAGCAGGCAAGATCGGATTCGATTTCTGCCATTGCTCCCTGAAAACAACCCGTTTTAATCAGAAAATGCTCATGTTTCCACCTTGATCATGTCTTCCTGATCCGCTAGATCGCTAAAAATCCCGTATGGAACCATAACTGGCCCTCCAGTCTCCAGCGGCTGCCACTTACTGTAGCCATCAGTAATTCCTCGTCGTTTTCGCCCACCAGACGTCTCATCGATGACATTCACATACGTCATGTCAAAACCGGCTTCCCTCAGTCGATCAGCCTATAATTAAAACTCTAAATCATGGTCATATGAACCGTTCATTTTCTGCTTCCGATGGCTAAAAAATGAAGTAGCCTCGTAATGAAAATAATTAAAGTTCTGGTTAATTGCCCGAACCACAACGCAATCAAAGATGTGACTTTTATGAGAAGAAAAAACGTAATTCTGAGTTATCTTATTTCGAAATTTTCATTCACAGATTATTTTACAGAATTATCAAAAATACGCGACTTACATCTTTTGGGCTGACCCAATAGTCGTTAAGATTTTTTTGGTTTGTAACTCCAGATTTGGCTGGTTCTCTTGGCGTTCCATGACCATGTGGCTTTTCAGCGGTTTGATCTGGAAAGACAAAAATTGAATAAAAAAATTTTGAAAAAAAAACTATAATTTTCATTTTTCAAAGTTTTTAAAATTAACGAATAAAGTTATTAAAATTTTTTTAAAAAAGAAAAATCGACAATAGATTTTTTTCGACCGCTTTCCTGAACGGCAAGCGCCGATCCAGCCAAAACCGACTGTAAGAGCTTCATTCTCTCTCTCGATCAAAAGTTCTTCTCTTGACCCTTGAGTAAAGTATCAAACTCTGAGTTCAAGCTCGACAACGCGTGCGGATATATATATGTAGCATCGCAATAAAAAGTCGCCAGCCGTTAATTCACTCTTCACTTTTCAAGGCGCGCTATAATTATGACGTTTTTTAGATTTACTGCTGATATTGTCCGCAAGATCTAACGAGACGTAATTGCTTTGGATTTATTGGTTTTTATTTTCGTGGCTTTATGTCAAAAGAATATTCGACTTTGTAAGCATCTGTCAAATTATCGACTTCGGAGCTGATCATGGAGACTAGGGCGCGATCTTTTGTGATATTAACAGCACCAAATCCTCCAGCGTACTAAAAACAAATTGTCGGATTAGCCATCTGAGAATTTTACTTTTTTCGTGAACCAGTATTTATGGCAAATAGCGCTGCCGTTGTCGAAATCGTTCGGCTCATTCCGCGGATGGCACGCTACTTCTGGGCGAATCTCTGAAAATTATCATGAGTCTGAAAAAAAAATTTGTTTAGTTTTACCTCCAGTAAGAACATACGCCATCTCGGCTCCTGTATCTAACAAGGCTCCTGCTCCAACTAGAAAAATACTTCGAAAAATGAATGAAAAAACGAGATACATGTGAAATAATGGACATTATTCGTAATTGTTTCGTTCTCAGGCTGCAATTTTGGCGATCTCTGTGCATGTTCCATCGTATGTCTGAAAAGTCTTCAAAATTGAACATTAATAATATGAGGTTAAACCGATGGCCCTGGAAATAAGCAGTGACGTTGAACTGCTCCATCAGCGGCTCGAGTTTTCTGAAGATTTCATAATCGTAGATTCCCTCTGTATCAACGACTTGATAGTGTCCGGCGACAAAGAGATAATCAGCATTATTAGAGTTTTCGAGCTCCTTTTCGATCCATTCCCAAGCCCAAGCGGCGATTTTCGGATCTTTCAAAAGTCAAAAAATATAGACAAAAAAATGAAGAAAAAAAAGCTGATTATTGAGACTTTCCGACAGGGGCGATGTTATTGACGCATTTTGGATCCAAGTCGTACACATTGCATTTATTTCCGTCCGAATCCGTATTTGGTTTCGGTCGACCACCAGTGTAGACACCACTGAACATCGGTGTGTCGATCATGATCGTTTTGACGACAACGCCATCTTCAGTCGTGTATTCAGTCGTGAAAAACGGGTCTAGAAATCGCTTAGCAAACATCATGAATTATTCTCTCCGAACCAGGGTGAGTCCATCGTTTTGTTCCAAGCTCATCCTGGCCATATTTGATCTGGGCCCAGCCATTTCCTCTTCTTGGCAAATCATCATCCCCAACCTGTGGCGGGAGGACATTCCAGTCATGATTTCCCATAGCTGGGTACCACGGAACCATCAGTTCTTCCGAGTCGTAGACTTCTTCGAACGTCTTTTTCCAGCGCAAATCGTGCTCGTCGACGACTCCGTTGAAGTAGAAATGATCGCCGATGGAGAGAACATACTCGGGCTTAAAAATATAATTTACGATAGCAATAATTTTCGCGGGTTTTTTCAATTTTATTAATGATTACCTGGAAGCTTCTGGCGTATTTCATCATACATCTTGCAGAGCTCAACTGCAAAGTACTCGTAAATCGTGGCTCTGGCCGACCTCCCCAGTCGCCCAAAACATAAAAATTGAAGCTCTCGCCGTTCACAGACTCCTTGATACTGAACGTATCTCTTTTGTTCCGAGGGAATCGGTGAAAGAACCAGTTGGCTCGATTCGCTTTGAAAAGCAAAAAGGAAGAAGCGATGGGAAAATTTTCATTTTTATTTTTTAACTTTTGATCACGCCCTGAATTTTGATCAGAATTGATGAGAAAGTAACAGTTGGAAAATTGCGAGTTCTGATGGAAAATCGGCCCCTCAAGAAATTTCCAGCAGATTATGGTCAAAAACGAAGAGTTTATTTTTTGGTAGAAAGAATTAGCAGTAATAACGATCATTGAATCTGCACGTCACGTGAAACTTCTTTCCCCTGCAATCTTCCGCGGCCCATTTGTTATTTTCTTTGATCGCAACACATCTTTCCAAATTCATATTTCGCTGATTCGTGTCCCAATTTGTCAAACTCACGGTCCGGGTTGCGTTTTTCTCGACTTTCAAAAATTTTTTCCTGAATTTATTTTTTCTTATTCCAAGCCAGTCAGTTCTATTGAGTCCTTTTCCGGGCTTGGCAATATGTGAAGAAAACCTGAGTGAGAGTCCGAAAAAAATTTGGACTCGAATCGTTGAGCAGAATCAAAGTTGCAAATTTTTGAAAATTTCTTTTGAGCGGAGCTAGTTGAGCTGGGGTCAAAATTGAGCTGAGCTGAGCTGAGTTGGGGCTTCCCTAAAAATTTTTGAGCTAAGCTGAGATCAAAATTGAGCTAGTTGAGCTGAGCTGGCTCTTTTCGAAGAACCATTGAGCTGAGCTGACCTTCACTTCAAAATTGCTGAGCTGAGCTGAGCTAGCTCAGATAGCGCATCTCAGCTAGCTCAGAGAGCTCAGCTCAGCTCGCTTAGATAGCTCAGCTAGCTCACAAATTTGCGACTCTGAACAGAATTGACACAAGTTTTCTTCACAGATTGCGAAAACCAGTTCCTTCTCGTCTTTCCGAAAAGATCTCGAATTCCTCTTTAGAATCATAGTATGCCAGGGTTCCTCCAACCAATGTCTTGCATGCTCGTTTTGCTCTGAAAAAATTAAGCCTTACATGATCAGGAAGCTGGAGAAAGCCGACGCAAGTTTCATTTGAAGAAATTGTCTTTGAAAATGGAGTGGAAAAAAGAAAGTTGAAAATTTTCATTTTTTTTATTTTTGCCTTGTTTAGTTTAATTGCGAGAAGAAATGGTATTTATACCTTCTTTGATAAACCGTGAAAGCATCTTTTGATCCTTGATTTTACGGAAATTTTAGAAGAGATAACTTCTAAATGAAATATGCTCTTCCATTCTGAAACCCGAGATTCCTCGCTTAGTAATACAGGTGCGCTGTGTGTTAAATCCAGTCATAAACACTTTAGTTGGATGGTAAAAGCGCTTGAATCTGAATCGGTAGTCCGCATAAGTCCCTTTCCCAGCTTGTAACATTTTGAAAAAGCGCCGCGGGCCAAGTATCAATGCCTGAAAAGGGTAAAAGAAACATGTCGCAAAGTAATTCAACCCTTTTCGTGAAAAAATAATGAAAAAGAGAAAAGCCCAAGAAACATATTGGGATCGAAGCGAAATCTTCAAAACAGCGTGTTACACCCTTATTCTTCTCAACACGCTTCTATATCTTTGCAATAGAGAGTTGTATCTTCATGCGAGCTCGAGAATTTTTTACAAATTGGGGATGGTTGAGAAGGTTTATACGCCGAACTTGATGGAAGATGAGCACTTGGACCTGCTGCTAAAAGGGGTTGAGAAATTGATGGAGAAGAGCTATGGGAATCCTTATCGAACATCTACTTTTCGGCTCCCAGGTAGATATGATTCATATCATATAAAGAGTATATACGAAAATTTAATAGAAAAAGAGTATATTTTCCTAACGTTGACAATTACCTGGGTCTAATTCCTATCAATTTATTCTCAAATTTGACCCTTGAAAAAAAATACGAATTTATTAAATTATAAGAGCTTTTATGGTTTTTCATACATTTTCTTTTATTATAATCTTTTAATGGCGTAAATCCAAAAATTTGTTAAAATAGTAAACAGAAAATTACCCCGTATAAAATTCAAAGCCATTGGATGATATTTTTCTTATCGAATCTTATCGATGAGCGGCGCCCTGCTGTGATGACTACTCGAATGTTTCTTCCGCATTTTTAAGCATTTGAAGTTCAATAGTTCTTATCAAAATATTGAATTTAGAGCGAAAAGAAGGGATCCATGTGAAACCACCAGGAGATCGAATCGCAGCCGATGAAGTCGACTACCTCTTCTACGGCGCTGAAGATGTAGGAATGCTAGCTGGCGAGTCAAGAGCGACAGACCTCGATTTCGACGCTTATGGAACATCTCGTCATTCAAAACATCGTCCTGGCGATCATTCTTTCGAGCGAAAACAGCTGAGGAATATACTCGGGGAAGCGGGTAAATACAACGGGGCGTTTTTGGACACAAGCGGAGAAGTTGAAATTGGCGAAAATGGAATTTGGGCGAAAAAGACAATCACCGGCGCTTCGAATCTCGAGGAATCTCTTTCAGCAGAAGAAGCGAAATTTGAAGATCTTCAGCCACTCGAGACATGCCCGAAATTCGCTCTAGAACTTGACCAATCAATTGAACCAGCGACAAATCTCCGGAGCGATAAATTTCTTTCCGGAACTTACATCTGGGGCCCAAACAATCAGCTCCGCGGGATGAGAGAGCTCATTTTCATGGCGATCAAAATGAATCGAACTTTGTCAATGCCTCCATTTTTCAAACACTGGGCCTCCGACGAGTCCGCCAAGACTGACAGATCTGCTCCCGTCGCTGCCGGAGCGAAGATCGACTTGAATCTTTTGAGGGAGTTTATTCCGATTGTTGAGCCGGAAGAAATGGCGGAAAATTGTGATCATGAATTCGATGAGTTTTGGGCGGCGAGGAGAGATTTTTGCCATGGGGACAAGATGAACAGGATCAAGTATCATCAAGATATTTTAGGTAAGAAAATCTCTGACGAAAATTTTTTGAAAAAAATTTTTTCAAATTTTTTCCAAATTTTTTTGAAAAGATTTTTTTGACAAAATCTTTTCGACAAACTTTTCTGACAAAAATTTTTCGACAAATTTTCTGACAAAAATTTTTCAGAAAAAAAATTCTTACATTTTTAAGGTTACACAAATATCGACATCGAAGAAGTCGGAGACCACCACGACATGGAAGAATACCATTGCATCTCGAACACTTCCCCCATTTACCCCGAATGGACCCAGCTCCCTGAAAAGATGGGAATTCTCCTCCCGAACTCAAAAGAAGCACTTGAGAAATTGTACAAAAACGAAGGCAAATGCGCTCTCTTCCTGATGCCATACCGAGCATTTGACTTCAAAGACGTCATGATCGACGAGGACAAACTCGATCTTCGCCAAGACATTCGAGGAAGCATTCAAGACGACGAGGATAATTTGTATCCAGAAGTGCTCACACCAGAGGAGCAAAAGCTCATGGGCGAGATTGTCCTCCATACACAACGGCCAAAATATGTTCGGGATATTTCTGAGAAATTCATTGAAGAAGTTTTGGGAGGAATGAATTATGTTTCGATTCATTGGAGATATAACGTCGGCGATTGGACAAGACACTGTAGGAAGAAGCCTTCGATCCAGGTTCACCGACTTTTTTCATCGAATTTTTTGAAGAAAAACTTTGAAAAAAAAAATGCTAAAACTCACTTTCTAGTGCGATATTGTCCAGCGAATCATCACAGATGTCCAATTCGTCGCCGAAAATACCGCTGAATATGTCCAAACCTACAATTATGAAGCACTTGGTCAAATGAAGGTAATTTTTTTGACCATTTTCAAGATAAAAAGCATTTTTAGCATAATCGATTTCTCGACGGAAAATTCATGCTCGGAGAAACTGACGAGTCAGAGCGGCCAACAGTGATTTACATTGCTCATCCACCGGATCAGAGAAATTTCGTCGATGGAATTAAAAAGATCATGAAGGAACAGTCTCCCGGCTTGACAATTTTTTCCGGGTCCGATTCTTTCAACTGGATAAATAAATATCTGGAAAATTGCGACGAGTTCAAAGACGAAATTCACGACGTTCACTCAATGATTGATCAGCAATTGTGTCTTCATTCCAGAGTACGGCTTTCGATCCTAGAGCATTTGCTCATTCATTTTCAGACTTTTCTTTGGGCAGTTGGGTCGAGCTGGTCGACAAATATTTTGATGGAGCGGCATCTTCATGGAAAAATCCACGGCGATGCGAAAAATACCGACATTTTCGAGCGTGCTATTTTGTCTGGCAACTAAATATTACTTTTTTCTGTACATTTTATCTGATTATTCCTTCAAGTATTTATTCAAGGTTAATAAAACTCGATAAACAACACTAGAAAGCTTTCTTCCAGTTACTACTGTAGTTGATTTCTTTTCAACGAACAATGTGACAATGATAAAGGAAACGTCACACTCACTTACTCAGTGCGTAGTGCCAAAAATACTCTGAGCCTAATTCTTGATTCTCGATTTCTATGAGAGAAATCTATTCAAAAAGATGTTCGACAAAATCCCAATTTGCGGCGATTATTTCACCCGCCCAGATCAGCAATTGTGCTTTTTTGACCAATGCTTTTCATTACAGTAAGTTCATATTTTCTTCCTCTTCCTCATTTCTAGGGCGGCAAATATCGTCGTAGCGGCTTTTATCATCGCATTTATTCTGGCATTCGCAGTGGGAGCGAATGATGTTGCAAATTCTTTCGGAACTACAGTTGGTTCAAAAACTATTTCGATGAAAACCGCTTGTATTTTGGCCATTATCTTTGAATCCTGCGGCGCTGTCTTTTTGGGCGCAAATGTCGGCGAAACGATTAGAAAAGACATTTTTGATGTCTCAGTTTTTGAAGGAAAGAGGAATGAGCTTTTGGTGGGGATGTTGTCGGTAATGGTGGGTTCGGTAATGTGGCAGATGTTTGCGACGTTTTTGAGATTGCCTGTTTCTGGAACTCATGCCATAGGAAAGGTTTACGATGGTCCATTTTCATTCTTAATTAAACCGATAAAAGTCATCGAAAAAGCCTGGAAAAGTCGGCTCAATGGTCGGATTCGCCCTATTATCTGATGCTTATTCAACTATTAACTGGATCATTCTCGCAAAAATTCTCCTCATTTGGACCGTCTCGCCGCTTATTTCGGCTGTTGTTGGAGGCGTTTTCTACTTGTTTACCCGCCATTTTATCCTCCTCAACGAGCACAGCTACCAGCGATCCCTCATCGCCCTGCCCATTCTTTACGGCCTCACGACAGGCATCAACGTCTTTGCCTCCCTTCATCACTCTCCAAACGTCGGCTGGTATACCATGCCAACTCTTTTCCCACCCATCGGCGCAGCTGCTTTTGGGGCAGTTACGGGGCTCTTAGTTCAATGCGTCGTAGTTCCGCTGATCAAAGAGAGGATCAAAAATGAGAAGAAAATTGAAGACTCGAACATTCACGCGGCGAATCGGCTTTCTCGGCAGAGCTCTTTACGGTCATGTTTTCAGTTTAAAAATAGGGGGTTGATTATCAAATGAAAAACAAAGCAAAAGGAGTCAGGGACCTCAACGGTATCAGAAAACGTCAAATCTATGCCTGAAATTCTCGCTTCCGATTTTACCAACGACGAGCTCCATCTTCGTCGATTTTCAATTTCTGAAATCAAGGAAAATGGAATCACAATTCCGATCCCAAAAGCAAAAACTCCAGAAATCATCGAGTCTCCCAAAACTTCTCTTCCTTCTGAATTTGATCGGCGCCGAGCAACAGGTAGAAAAAAGGGTTCTAGAGATGATGGTTTTTGCTTCTAAAAAACCATCGAAAAACACCAGAGGTCAGGATATCAAATGGTTAAGTGCAATTCACACCATCTGAGCAGAAGACACTCGAGAACTCGCGAAATGGTATCAATTTTTTCAACCTCCATTTTGTCAATTTACAAATTGCCAATCATAAGTTTTGAAACACGCGTGGATTGATTTTTAATGAAAATCAGATGATCTTCTTCTTATCTTTCTCTAGAATTAATGAAAACCAAACGGCGAGTAGGTTCGGAAGCGGATATGTACCGAGATGATGAGAATCGACCGGCGCTGACGACGGAGAATATAATGAAACTACTTGTTAGTCGGCTTTCTCTTCCTTGATTTCGAAAAATTCTAGGGCGACCGAAAAGTGAGGATTCCCGAGGTCATGCAGCTGCAGAGGGAAGTAATGAGAGATACTCATGTGAAGCTCAAGCATCAAGGTACGAATCTATTTGTTGTAAATACGCGAAGAATCAGATTCGGACTTCGAAATCGTCGTTCATAACGGAGAAATCGTCGATATTCACCGAAAAATCGACGATGAAGTGCTCGACTCCGCAGCGATCAAGTTTGACACAAGCTCTATTTCTTCTGTTGATGAGCAACTCAAGGCAATCTTCCTTTTATATTCCCTTCTGACCGCTTTCTAGACCGAAGATGAACTAGAAAACTCAAGAACGAACAAGATTGTCTTCTCATTTCTTCAAATTTTGACCGCTTGTTTTGGCGCCTTTGCTCATGGTGGAAATGATGTCAGTAATGCGATAGGCCCCTTGATTGCGATTTTTCTGATTTGGACTGAAGGAACTGTCAATCAAACTGGACATACAGTCGGAGTCCAAAATAAGGGACTTTTTTTGCTCCAAAATTTTCGAAAAAAGTCCCTTAAATTGGGTCATCAAAGCAAAAAATATGTCCCTGCCAAATTTTTTTAAAGTATATTTTTTGCAGCAAAATAAGCTGAAGTCATTGTTTTTGTGGCTTTTATGACATTTTTGAAAGAGGAAACCATATTCTGAAGTGGAAATCACTTCAGTTTGCGGCAAAACTGGTTGAAATCAAGGTTATTGATACCATTTATTGGCTCTCAGCTAACCGAAAAAGCTTACTAATCTCAGAAAGTCCCTTAAGTTTGATTTTTTTCTGCCGCTGATTTTCGGCATTTTGAGCCAAAAAGTCCCTTATCTTGGTGTCCCTTATTTTGGACTCCGACTGTACTCCAACGACTATTTTATTCTTTGGAGGCCTTGGGATCTCTTTAGGTAAGGTGCACAAGCCCTTATCATAAAACATTGCTAGGGCTTCTTTGCTGGGGACGGAGAGTGATAAGAACAATGGGAGAAGATCTTACTGCTTTGACTGCTTCTCGTGGTTTTTGCATTGATTTGGCGTCTGCATCTACTGTTCTTGCTGCCAGTTTTATTGGACTCCCTGTTTCGACTACGCACTGCAAAGTTGGCGCGGTGGTGGGTGTTGGAGTTGTGAGAGATTATCATGCTGTTTCGTGGAGAGTTTTTAGAAATATCGTTGTTGCTTGGTTTGTTACTGGTAGTTATTCGTCAGCGAAAAAAGCGCAAATTTCTTTTAGTTCCGATCGCTGCACTTCTCGGTGGCTCGACTTTTTCTGTTTTAAAAATAATTCTAGTTGACCGAGAAATTCTTTCTGATTCTCACTGCCTCAATGAAGAATAAATGATGATAATCAATTTGTTATTATAACTTATAATTTATAAGGACTTTTCGCAGCAAAAAAAGGAAAAGTTCACTAAGTACAGGAATTGTAGATGCTTTCAAATAAAAGCGATCCCGGTTCATCGCTTCCGCTTCCCTCATAAAAGATTGTAGGAGTCGTCATGACGTTATTGCTGACATCAATTTGAAATTTTTCAACGGCGTATCTCCCAACAGAATAGATTTCATTATTGAACATGATCGAGGGTGACATATAATGATCCTTATAAATTAAAGATTAATGAAACTCTTAAAGCAAAACGTACATTATTCATAGAGCCAAGATTCGTCCATCTAGCATCACGATACATGTACACTGCTGTTGTCACGGAGTAACCGCCTATTGACAGCATCGCATCTTCTACTCCGAGACAAAAGTTTGCTTCAGTATAACTAAATAAGAAAAAAACTAGGTAGAATTCATTGTGGCTTGATTACCCCTCATATGGAAAATTAGTTGTTGTTGACCATGAGCCTGAGTTCGCATCCCTAATGTCCACATATTTACCCTGTCCATCACTATGATTCGATCCAACGGCTATACAAATTTATAAAAAAGGAGTGTGATAAGTTATTTTACCAAGAATCGTTGATCGATAATTTCCGACGCATCCCATAAAGTGTAAGTGACTTGTTCTGTAAGATTCAACACCAACAGATGTTCCATCGAAATTCATGCATCCTTTATAGTCAAGTTCTTGTGAAAAGCAAAGAAGAACCTTTGAGGAGTTAGGAAGCACGACTGCGGAGTTTCCCCATGAGTGACTTTCAAATTTCATAAATATGTTTTTTTTCATTTATTTGCGTGAATTGAAATTAAATTCTTTTAATAAATGTCTATTTGGAATTTGTCCTGTATGTCAAACGAGTCGATAGCTCCTCAAAAGCGCATCCATTTAAGACAGCAATCTTATAAATTGACTTGAGTTAAATATAAAGAATTATTCTAACCTTTTTAGTGTCACTCTGCCCCCCGAAAATATAAAAATTGCCCTGAAAAAAAGCATGAGCGGCCTGGTAGACATAAGATGAGTCTTCGGTTGGATAGAGGAATTCTCTTGAGTATGAATCACCGTCAAGACTAAGTTGGTAGCTCCGTATTTGATTAATAACAACGAAGCCGTCGCCTTCGCACTAGAATACGAATATGTAGGCAATTTCCTTTTAATCTATCTTTTGGTCGACTAAAACATACTTGATAATCCGAGCAAAATGGACAGCCTTGAGGGCAGCCTTCATAGCAAGGGCAATTTTTCATCGATGCAAGAAATTTATCTGTACAAATCTCATAGCAATCATATTGAGAATTTTTACAGTCGTCAATACACCAATTGAGCTCCTTAAAAATGTAAGCTAAGGTTTTACTATTGTTGAGTCTACATTTTGATTGATATTTTTGCATCTTTGAAAGTCCAAATTATTTTCCAAATCATCACAGGGACTTGGAACGCAAAGTGGATGAGGGCAATTCTCGCAACCAATAGGGCAGTTGACGCCACATGGGCTTTAAAAATCATTTTTGGTCAAAAAATAGATTTTTACCAGTCCGACAGGCATTCACCATAAATGATAACGCATTCACTAAAATATACATTATCTTGATTCTCAATCTCAGTTATTACTTCTCGCAAACGATCTCCGAGCATTCCTGTCTACATCCGATATAGTCAACCCTGCAATCAGTGTCGCACAGAGAACCAAGATCGTAGTCGCTTTTACATAGAGATCAATATTTCTACTCATCAAAAAACCTTACGGGCAAGAGTAGTTATCTCTGTGGATTCCCATTTGTAGTCCTTGGAAAAGCACATCGTCTTGAACGTCTGATGGGTATTTCTGGTGACTTTTGATCTTCTCTGCCGAAGATGAGATCACAAAAACTACTAGAAATATCAAAATCGATCTCATATCTAATAAGTATGTGAATTATTTTTTGGTCAAAACAAAGTCAGCCTGATAAAATATAAGAATTTATCTCTTGAGTCAGTGTGCGAAGAGAGTGAGAGTCGAAATTGAGTGCACTCAAGCATATGCAAGTTTCTTATTTGATCCTGCGTAACATTTGAAGAAAATGAGGAGAATCCTTCTTTTAGAAGGTTTTTCTTTTTCACCTGCTAGCTCACAAGATTATTTGATGGAAATAAAAACTGATGTTTAAAATAATTTATTGAAATAAGGGCAGTTTTGATGAATTATAGGATCTTTACATTCAGGCGCGTACGGAATTCCGAAACAAGGGAAGCTAAAAGTCCAAATTATAGCGATTACTTTTCCACTTTATTTTTCTCATTGATTAATTTAAAATTAACTTACTTATCTGTTTTATAAACGAGTGGTCCAAAGAATATAACAAATGTATTGAGCACCAAAATCCCTAATATTTTCGGCATAAATCCAGCAAGTGCCTTAAAAAATGATGAATTCATTTATTAGTCCAAATCTACCGAGTTTGTCGTTTTTAGTTTTCCATTTCCAAAGGCAATCGCATTTGGAGCAGTTGCCGCTTCAAAGCTTCCATAAAACAGAACAAAAATTACAAAATTTATACCATCAAAGCTTTTCCTGGAAGCATAAATGACAAAGAACAAGCCATACAACTGGGAATCATCAGATAGAGAGGATGAATGCAGATCTTCAGCGCCAGTTTATTCAGCAGAGGCATAAACAGAGCATTCGCAGCTGTATTCGACGTGATTTCCGTGAATAAAGCTGCAATTACTGAGCATAACAGGCAAATTGCCCATGCATCCCAACCATCAGTTATTTTTGCTAGCCTTTTTCCGGTTTCAAAATAGTGTTCCTTTTGCTAAAGACATCTGGAGCTCTCTTGAAACCGTTCCCATTGGCGATAAATTCTGAAAAGCCCGACTCATCTGACGCAAGAGCAATTGCGAAACCGCCGCCCATGAGAATCAACACGCCCCAGGCGCATTTTCTTTGCACAATTTCCCAGTTCAGTATTCCCTCTGCCGGTCCATCTTCAATCTTGATATTCTTCGAAAACATACAAAACAGGCCAGATTTTCCCTTTGGCAAAATGAACAAGAAAATAGCGATGATAATTACAGCCATCCCATCAGTCATCCAATTCGGAACCGGGAAGAGTTCAGCCCACCCGCTCGCGTCTTCTGAAGGGTCACGTGAGATCCAGAGAATGACTGTAGTGACGAAACAGATCAGGGACAAGTATTCTGCCTGTTTCATCGGGCCGAGTTTTTTGTACTCGTCTCTGATGACCTGATTCGCTTCTGGACTATTTTTGCAATTGAGCCAGTCTTTCGGGTTCCAGCCAAATCCGAGCCCCTGGAGCCAGAAAAAAGAAAGAAGAAAAACGGTCAACGACTGGACCATGGAATACTTTGCCCAGTTTGCATAAGTCAAGTCGAAATAATCATTTCCATCTACATCCGCGTATTCTTCGTAGAACTCGCGGTAGTAGCCGGCGAGGTAGACGTTCAAGTCGGTCCCGGTTAGGGTTGCAAGGCCGCCGATGTTGGCTGAAAATGGGACGCAGAGGAGGAGGTAGATTTCAAGTCGAGTTGGTTTTTCGCTTGGCAAAGTTTCCGAGCACTAAAAAATTTTTATTCAAAGATAGGGTCGAAGGTATTTACCGTTGAATCTAGGCTGATTTTATCAAAGCCTGTGATTTTCTCCTCTTTGTCTTCATGACTATCACCAGCTTCTTTGTCTGCCTCTTCTGAGATCTCCCCTTTTTGCGTTTCTTTCAACTGCTCAAGAACGCTGATCACGATTGGAATCATCAACGCCGTCGTTGACGTATTTGTAATGCACATCGAAAGCAACCACGTGACGAGCATAAAGCCAAACATCAACGCTCTCGGATTCGAGCCAATATGCATCAGGGTTCCAAGAGCAATGCGTTTGTGCAGATTTGATTCTTCGATCGCAATTGCGAGCATGAATCCGCCCATAAGGAGGAAGTTCACATTCGACATGTATTTTGATGCGATGATGGAAGAGCTGATCATTCCAAAGCTAGGGAGGATGATGTAGGGGATGAGGGCGGTGACGGCCAAAGGGAGGACGTCGAAGATCCAGAAAGATGCGACAATGACAAGCATGTAGCTGAATAAGAGAGAGGCACCCTTATTTTTCCGTCCTTCATTTTTGATCCTACCTAAACTGCCCAAGCTTTCGAAAATCAATCCCATCCTCCTCGCCTTCCAGAACCAGCGCAAGCGGCAGCAACAACAGCGGTAGAAAAACAAACAAAAACAATTTATAATAACTCAGTATTGCCTTGATCATTTCCTCTCTTTCCGATCGGGACAAGATTTTAACGCGAAAAACTGTGAGAAATTTGCTTCTGTTTGCCAGTATCAAATAATAAAACGATCGATAAAAGTTCAGAATCGAGAGATCCGGACTTTCAAAAAGTAGAACTTGTCAGTTAAAAATAGATTATCAAATCCCACTTGTTCGATAAAAAAAAAAGAAAGAGAATTTATTTTTTTAACATAATTGTCAGAATCCAAGCGATTTATAAAAGTTTTCCCAGACGTCCATTTGATTGTCGTTCCCTCTTCTCCAAATCTTTTCGAGCTGAAAATTTCTTAATCATTGAAAAAATAAAAGAACTCTTACCAAGTCTCTCTTGTCGATTCTGTAGTCATTCAAGTCAATTGCTGATACAGTTACTTTTACTGGGATTAAGATTAAGGGGCAAGATTTGATAAAAAATGCCACAATTTTGACCGAAATTTTGGCCAAATTTTTGATCAATCAGAAATTCTCGTTCAGGAGGGCTTCTGATTGGTCTAAAATTTTGCCAAACATGATGTTAAAATTTTGGTCAAATTGTCTCATTTTCTGTGAATTTATTTCTTGTCCTCTTTTTTTAGTCAGTAATGATCCCGTTCCTAAAATCGCTAAACTCTTAAAAATCTTCATTCTGTCAATTTCTTACTGAATTGAACGATTTTTTGATTCTTTAAAGTTCTGACCGCTTCTTTTAAATTCAAGGCCGTTTAATTATGCAGAATAATCAGTGATTCACGCAAAAGAGCTGTAAAAACCGCCGAATCTACAGTGTCTCCGGCTTTATTTTTTCAATTTCGAAATCAAGGAAGACGATTTTAATATTTCAGGATTCTGATGATTGAGCTGTTTTGCTCAAAGACATTTGATTTCAGCAAAAACTCTTCGAAAGAAGGCCTCTTTTCAATAGAAATTTGAATCAGCTGCTTTATCAAAAAAGCGATAAAAATAGCTGTGAAAATTTTTTTCTCCAAAATCTGAATATTAAAAAATTCAAATAAACAGCCATAAATTCAATTCAATGAAAAAACAGAATCTGAACAATTTTTTCCGCTCAGTCAAATTTGCTCCTTGCGTCTTTGTTAACAATGCTGATAGGTCAGAGAAATTGCTAAGACGCGCTTCGCCGATTTTGTACGCCGGTAAAATGCCAACCGCAGGTAGCCAGAACGAATTGCTTTAAATTGCCGGTCACGAAAATTAGATTTGAACGCTGGCTTTTGTACTCTTCAGTCAAGAGCATTTCGCTTTCGGTAATCTTTAAATATTTACAATCACCATACTATTGATCCTTTCCAAACGCTTTTGTTAAATAAAACTGGGTTGTTTAAAAACCTGCAATGGATTAAAATGCGTTCAATTCAGCTTTGCTTAAGGGGGTAGATATCAAGAATTGGGTTTTCTGTCAGTGTTTTTTTCATATTTTTAACATAGTGACCCCCTTATTTTTTCTGCTAAAAATTAATTTCAAGTATCTATCTTTTTCCTGTGGAAGCCAAAATTTTTGATTTCTTCTTCTCTAAAATGACCATTTTCGGAAAAAAAGCGATCTTTAACGTCAAATTTTGGTACAAAATTCTTTGAAATTCGAAATTTCGGCTTCCATAGGAAATGAATAAAGGTCTTAAAGTTTTGTTTCTAAAGTTAAATAAGAGTGTCACTACTTTAACTTTGAGAGGAAAGTCTGACGGAAAATGCCGATTCTTGATATCTACCTCTTAAAAATTGGAACACATTTCGACTCACCGCTTCATTACAAATCCTTCAAAAAAACAAAGTGCTAAGGGTGTCACTTTGTTATTCTTTTTTTCGAAGCAATGAATGAAAAGCTGTTATTTTCTGGTCGCTAAAATCTGTGTTTGATTTTGACAGCCCAGCGACATTAAACCTCAGCTTGGGAACTAATATTTATAATCAGTAGAAAATTTGTATGTGTCCGGAAAAATAACTTCACGTTACTCGAATCCACCTTGTCAGCTCTCAGCCTCCAGCGTGGCGCCTAAGAGCGCACCCAGCTCCACTTGCTTCCGCGCAGGTTCAACTCAGCTTCTTCAGCGTTGATCAGAATTTGAAGAATTTCAAGCTTCTCGAGAGAAAATAAATGAAGAAATAGAAGTTGTAGAGAATGTTTATTAGGGGACTAAGAAACTTGCCGTTTTCGACTGTTGTTGTTTTGGTGACTTTTTCAACGATTGGATTTGTTGAACATCAGAAATTCATCAAAACTTGGGTCAAACAGGTAAAAAAGGAAAATGACCTCAATTTTAAGAAAAGCAGGCAAAATTTTTTGAATGCGTTGATTCCCTTATTTTATCGAAAAAATAGCTGTTCTCTTAACTTTGCTGTTTATATTTTTTATAAAAATAAGGGTATTTCTATGCTTATTTTTTAAAGTAAAATAAGGGTATCTCTTCGCAATTTTTTTATTGATATAAGGGTATTTCTTTGCTTATTTTTTTATTGAAAATAAGGGTATCTTTTTGCTAATTTCTTAAATTATAATAAGGGTATCTGTTTGCTAATTTTTTAAAATTATAATAAGGGTATCTCTTTGCAAATTTATTCTCCTTGCAAAATTTTTTATAAAAATAAGGGTATTTCTATGCTTATTTTTTAAAGTAAAATAAGGGTATCTCTTTGCTAATTTTTTAAAATTAAAATAAGGGTATCTCTTTGCAAATTTTGTAAATTAAAAATGGGTATCTCCCTGCTTATTTATAAAATAATAAGTTATAAATTTTGATAAAAAATCTCAAAATTACAGAGTCTTTAGGATTATCTGCCGTTTGAGTCGAGACAGCTCAATTCCCCCATAAATCCAAATTATTCCGCAAGTGACAAAAACCTGTCATTTATTCGCTTTTTTCCCGCTAGAATTCGGATTAAAAAAAGAGGTCTTTTATCTCTATTCAGACAGTGCCGGTTCCTGATTTTTCCCGCTTTGGGCTATTCGACATTTTTACAGAAGAAAATATCTACGACGAAGAAGTCGATCTGTCCGAAAATGACTCATCCGAAAATTCATCTGAAAAGGATGAAGCGCCAGCCGAAATCATCACGGACCCGAAGTTCTGGGAAAAGGTACGAAAGGTGAATAAAATCTGTTTTATTCCCGAATCGATCCTAAAATAATCGAATTCTAACGCGATCGAAAATTCAAGCTGAGCACGTCACGTGTTCAAATCAAGTGCGAAACTCTTTTCTCTTTTTAAGCTTGTTCGAACGTCAATCTTGCTCTTTGTTCGCTCGTGAATTTTTTTTTTGATATAAAAGTTAAAATTTTTTGCAATTTTTCAATTTTCGACCCTATTTTCTCAGAACGACAGAAAAATAGAAGAACGATTTCGAAAAAGAAAACAGCGGCTTGAAGCATATTGCCGAGAAAAAGAAATCAACGACATGCGAGAATGGAAAACAAGGAATCGCCACTTTTACGTTGGAGACGCTGAGCATAAATTACTGGGCTGTGTGCCGCTAAAAGCCGGCTGTACGAGCTGGATCTATTGGCAGGGAGGGCTTTTTCTTTGAGATGAAAGGAAGTTGTTTTCTCTTTGAAAAAACGCTGAAAAAGCTGAATGAGAGACCTCACAAAAATATCCGAACTCGGAAAGTCATTCGATGGGCGCAGCGCTTCGCTCAGTTGGTGCAATCGGTCCATCAGTTGGCCCGCAGCTCATTGCCGGCGACGATGCAACGCGATTTCTTGTTGTCCGGCATCCTCTTTTCAGGTAATTTTGCAGTAAAAAATCTGCCATCTAAATTTTTAAGATTCTACTCGGGCTTCAGACAAAAGTTCAAAAAAGCCGATCCTCTTCATTTCAAGCTCTTGAAAAAATCTGGCTATCTCCGCGAGCGAAACCAGGCTCATGAAGAAAGTACTGATGATGATATGACAATTACTTTCGCTGATTTCGGGCATTTTATTGGCTCGATGATTCCAAAATCGTCAACTTTCAATTCTCATTTCAGACCTCAGTTTCATGCTTGTCAAGGAATCGGTCCAAAAATACACGAAGGGCGTTTTTCGAGTTTTTCGAGATTTTCGAGATTATTGTTTTTCGAGATTTACGAGATTTACGAGATTCTCGTTTTTCGAAATTTTCGAAATTCTCGTTTTTCGAGATTTTCGAGATTCTCATTTTTCGAGATTTTCGAGATTCTCGTTTTCGAGATTTTCGAGATTTTCGAGATTCTCGTTTTCGAGCTTTTCTTAGAAAAAGGATTATTGACCCTGAAAAGCCTGTAATTACAAATACGACAACATCATAAAAACTGAATTTATGAACGAAGAAGCCAACTATGTCCTCCGAAAAGCAGGGTACGACATCAAGCCCTGGGAAGGCTTTGTCCAACGAGGCTCAACTCTCGGCGGCATTTCGAAAGAAATAAGAAGTGATAAACTAAAAGAGCAGCTGAGTGCACTCAGCCGCGAAGATTTAACTGGTCTAGGAACGGGGCCTTCTTCCTTATTTTTTTTAAACATTATCAGGAAAAATCCCGTTTGAAAGTCAAAAGATATGAAATGGACCTCGAAGCATTTGGATACACAGTTGATATTGAAAACAATCTTCTTGGCGGATGGGACGATTGAAAAAATCAACGAAGAGAGCAAAATTTAGAATTTTTTCTCAAAAGCGTGCAATTTATTTAATCTTCAATTCTATCCTGTTTTATATCAAGAAATTAAGAAACATGCAAAGATACCATTCATTCAATCGAGTTCAATATCGTCGAGCAGTTCTCATTATTTCATCGTTGAAATTATCAGGAGACCTGAAAAAGAGAGAAATAAACATCAGAAAAATGGCTTGAAAGATCTCCTTTTTTAATGGAAACTTACATAATTGGTCGATCAGATTGAAGAAATCGTCTTGAAGAATTCGAGGGATGAGTTGTTTCATTGTAAGCCCGACTTATTGTCCCGTAGGCCGAATCATCGATCCTTGATCGTCCCTTTCTAGAAGAATTTCTAGAGATAAGAAAAGCAGAAAAATTCTTACGAGGATTTTGATGGGGATGAATTGAGATTCTCGCCCTTGGACACGGTGATTTCAGTGCCATCTTGATAGTTTCTCGTCGTTGACATGATATTCGAGCCGCCAAATCTTGATGAAGACCTTGAGATTCCTCCGCCAGAGTGGCTTGAGTGAGAAGAGTTTCCACCAGAATGGATAGTTGTTGCTTTTCCTGAGGATTTTAGCGGCTGATTTGACTCCCAATTGGTGAATCCTGAAAAGTTTAAGATTTTTCAAAAACCATAAATACTTTTCAAATTTTCTCACAGTCAAATTTAATCGCTTTATTGCTATGATAAATTTCATAGATCTTCTATATTTTGATACTGCTTCTCAAACTTTAGACGAAATTTTCGAAAGTGAAAATTACCTGACTTAGATCTACTATTCGAAAAATCAAAGCCGGCCAATTCAAAGCGACTCGAAGAACTCTCTGGTTTTGAATTTCCTTCGCTTGAATAATTTTTTCTCGCAGCGGGAATCGGAGAAGCAAACGATTTCGAGTTGCTGGAGTAAGTCGTCTTTGTGAATCCGCCATTCGAAGACTGCTTGATGTTCTGGGAAGTCGAGGATTTTGAAAAATTCTGGCCAGAGTTTCCGAACCCTTGATTGATCGTCCTAGTGCGGGATTGGCTTTGGGGAGCGCTTTGAACATGCTTAGAAGAAGTTGCGAAACGCAGCTCGAGATCTTGAGGTGGTGGCGTTTCTGGAGGTTCAGAGATCGGAAGATGAGAATGATCATCAATTAGGGGCGCGCTTTGAACCAAGGTTGGTGCTTGGATGTTGAAAATCGGTGCTGTTTCAACTTCAATCGAATCCGCGAAATTCAACTAGAAATAAGCATGATATTTTCTTTGGAACGATAAAGAAGGCTACGAGCAAGAATCGGAGCTAACAGCAAACATCAAAATGAATAAACATATTCATCATGAAGGGAAAATTAGGGGAAAGATGAGATCATGCAAGCGTTTTTTGTTGATGTTTCGACATTCCATCAAATGAATCATTTGATGCGAACGGGGATGATTTTTAAGCGACTTCAGTTTTCTTAAGCATCAACCTCTTCGTCCTCGTCTTCTTGGTCGACTGCGATATTCAAGCTTTTATAAATGTTATTTTCTCTTTGTCAACGGAATCATTGTGATTCAAGTCAATTGCCATATTTCGGAATATATATAACATTCCTTGGTTTTTTATTGACTTGATTCTTATTGTTGAGGTCAACATCAATGCCACTCTACAAAATTTCCATCAGAAAAAGCGTCCTTTCAACTTGATCTCACCTCAAGTTTTGCCAATTTTTCTTGAAGCTCTGCCTTTTTCTTTCTCAAATTTCCAATTTTTCGCTGATCAGAGAAGCTGACTTCTTGCGAGCCAGTCAATGAGGCCAGTTCTTGTTCTAGTCGGTTTTTCTCAACCTCGAAGACGTCGTTTTCCTTGTCTTCCAAATCCCGTTTTAGCTTCAAATCTTCAATGGTGGCTTTTTGCTTATTGGTCCAGTTTTCGAAGTTGGCCGAATTGATGATCTAAAAACGAGAATTATCAAGCATCGAAATCATGGAAGAAGATTACCTTAAAGAGTTCTTTTTTGAGAGCCTCGATCTCTTTTTGATGATCAGCTCTAGACGCGTCCTAAAAATGCAAGATGAAAAATAAGCAGAAAAAAATCAGTCGAATCTGAGACTCACAAATTTGATTTTTGCTTCAGTCGTTTCTTTCTTGATTTTCATCTGCTTGAGCGTGTTTTCTTCCCGTTTTTCTTCAATTTCTGTTTGGATGAGAATCTTTCTCGATCGCAATTTGACGATGGCTTTTTGGATCTTCCTCACTGAAAAAGGTTATTCAAGAATTTCTTCATTAGTTACATTTGAGCGAAAGATTGGCATTTCTATTCGCATGCTCTGCCACATGATTTTGCGAAAAATCAAAATCCTGCTCCGCCTTCAATCGCAGCTCTTCCAGCTGAACTCTTCGATCGTAAAGAACTCGGTCCTTTTGCGACAGGATCTGCTGCGAATGAGCGAGCTCGCGAGTTTTTTCGTCGATGCTGTCTCGCAGATTCGTGATTTCTCGAGCCTGGTCGATGAGTTTGTCGCGCTCCTCGTAGCCGGTGACGTTTTCTGAGGCCGTAAGTCGGACATTGTCTTTTAAGTATGTTCAAATGGGGAAAAAAATTTGGGGAAAAATTTTGGGAAAAAAATTTTGGGGAAAAAATTGGAAAATTTTTGGGAAAAAATTTAAGGAAAAAAAAATTTGGGAAAAAAATCGGGAAATTTTCGGGAAAAAAAATTTGGGGAAAAATGTGGACAAAAAATTTGAATTTTTTGGAAGTCATTTTGAACTCGGCCCTAGAATTCGTTTCACAGCTCTTGTTCTCGCCAAAACAATCCTATTCGTCTTCAATTCCTGCAGTTTCTCCCTCGCCACTAGAATTTTCCGCCTCAATTCTTCAGAATCATCCCGCGGGTCGACGGAAATTCCATCGACGGAAAAATACAAGTTCTCTTTATCAAGACTTTTCTCTGACATTTTTTTTTCTCTTCCTCAGAAAAAGCGAGAAGATTAAACCACGAGGACCGGAGTTGATCGCGGAGGTCGTAAAATGTGAAATAAAAATCGCGGTCATATAATCGTGAAAATAAAAATAATCATTAATGAACTCAGAGGCGGCTTTTAAAAGCGGTTTCATCGTGTGTTATTTCGATCATATTAATATTCGATAAATAGGAAGAAGTTTTTCAGACAGTTGTGGTGTCTTCGTCGCTATCTTCATTGTCGATTTTCATATCTCTGAAAAAAAATTCCAGACATTTTCCAGCACAGCTTCAGGCTAAGCTCAGTTGAGCTTATTTTTCTTCGAAAATAAGCTAAGTTCAGAAAAGCTAAAAATAAGATCAGCTTCTTGGATTTTCAAAGCTTAGATTATTTCGAGAAATCTGCACAGCTGTCTTAGCCTGAAAAGCTTTGCTGAGCGGAAAATTTTCTTAGTCAAGCTAATTCGAAGGCTAAGCAAAATTGAGCTCAAGCTTCGTTAACCAAAGGAATATTTTTCAAATCTCATTATACCTGAATCGCTCCTGCATTCTTCCTTTGACGCTGTTTTTATTTTCCAAGTCAATTTTCGTCGATGACTGAAAATAAACTCAACCTTTCTTCATTTGCTTCGCTACTCACATTGACTTTTTGAACTTCTCTCGAAAGCTTTTTTTTGTAGCTTTCCAATCGACGGATTGTCGAATGCTCCTCAGAAGAAGCAGAAATCACGATGTTCTGAGAAAGCTCATCAGCAATTTTCTGCAGTCGATTTTTTTCTTCTTCGAGAGGATCGTTAAATTCATCCTCGGCTTCTTTCTTTTCCAGGAGTTTTTCTCGCAGTGCTTGTTGGGAAGCTTTCCATTTGCTGAATTCTTTTTGGTCAGTCAGCTAAAATGGGGTTTTTCGGGGGAAACTCCTCGTTGATTTCAAACCTGGAAAAGGAGAGTTTTTGCTTCGGCTATTTGCTCCTCAAGTCCGGATTTGTCCAAAAGCTAAGCACTTTGAAAGATTTTTTTCAAAAAAAAAAACTTACGAAAATTTGCTTTTTTTGCTCCCTTTCAGTGTTCGAAATCTGCTTCTTCCTAAAATCACAGTTTTTAGCGCTTTCAAAAATCAGAAAAATCTCTTACTCAGCAATTTCAGTTCGTTTGAGCTCAATTTCTTTTCGAATTTCGACTTCTCTGATTCTCATTTTTGCAATTGCCTTTTGAATTTTGCTCACTAGAATTTCAATTTGGATTCGATAAAAAAAAGGTCTTGCATTTGAGAGAAAGATGAGAGTTGCGATTGGCGTGCTCAGCGACGTGGTTTTGGGAGTGGTCGAAATCGTGCTCGGCTTGGAGTTTGAGCTCTTCAAGCTGGCATCTTTTGAGGCTCAGAATTTGGAAAAGAGAGAAAATGAAAAAAAATAGAAGTTCGATTTTGAGCCTCTTCCTTTTTTCATAAAGAATTCGCTCTTTCTCGGTCAAAATATTTTGCGAATACGCCAGTTCTCTCGTTTTCTCATCAATCGAATCCCTCAAATTCGTCAATTCCTTCGCATAAATCACCAAATCCTCTTTTGGCGCGTGCTCAGTCACGTTTTTAGAGCTGCTCAAGCGGACATTGTCTAGCAGACGCTTGACAGTTCTCGTTCTTGCGAGAACGATTTGGTTCTTTTTCAGCAATTGCAAGTGTTGCCGAGCTGCGATGATCTTTCTCTGGAGTTCTTGGGAATCATCGTTAGGGTTGATCACCGAGTAGAGGTTCTCTTTCGAAGCGCTTCTCTAGAATTTTGTTTAAAAAGCCGGAATCAAGTTAAAAACTCACGGTCGACATGATCAACTCAAAAACACGAAAAGTCGAAAAGTCGCAAATGTACTTGAGTACGTCTCTTTCCCTCTGAGAACGAAAATGTCGTCGTAAAAATTAACTGACTTTTTGCTGCCTCAGGAACATAAAACGAAAACTCGGTAAACTTCAAAGAAGCTTCCTGCGGTAAAATGAATATTATTCCTTTGCACCTTGTTGTAACGAATTTTCCGAAAGTGGTTGGAAGAAAAAATAATTGGCAATGAATTCGCGACAGCGGAACTAGTTCATTGTCAGTTTATTCATCGGCTGAAAACAAGGAAGAGTATGTAAAAGTATATTTTATGATTTAATTTCTATTTTTAATAAACGTAATTAATGTCATAAATTTATTTCAAAATGACGATTTTACTTTGTTCTTTTATTTCATGTCAACTTGAACTCTCAAAACTTGCCTTGGGATTTTTGAGCAACTGAAAAAATCAAAGATGGCGAATCTGATTTTAATTTTGATGGCAAATTCAGATCGCGCTTGTTTCATTCGAAGAAAAAACGAAAATTTTCACCAAATTTCGACGAAATTTCTTTTCTTTTTGGAGAGAGATAACCCTTAATTCGAGAAAACTGAGATATTAATAATTTTTAGTATCGGTTATTTGTCTATTAATCTGAATTTCTACAGATTTAAACTGCAGTTTCCGAGTGTTTATTTGTTTTTTCGCTTTTCATTGATTTTTATTAATAATTATTTTTATAATTCTAGATGTTTATTGTCTACGTCCCGGTTTCCGCTGCCTCGGCGATCTTCTTCATGGGGATGATTGTGTTAATTTATCTTTTCCACAAGGAAAAAGTTCGATAGTAAGGAAAAAATCGTCATTGATTGATAATTAACCATTTTTATTGGAATCTCTGATTTAAATAATTTTAAGTCTCGAGGCCAAAATTCAAGCAGCAGAGCAAAGGGGACGAGACAAGTGTGAACATAACAGAATGAATATCGAATACGCGAATGATGAACTGGCACGACAAGACGAAAAGGTAAGTCGATCTTTTTTTTCTTGAAGCAAGTACTTAATTTTTCTCATTTTAGATCGAACGGCAGACCATCGAATGGATGCGGCTGACCGAAGAAAACGCCAAACTTCGCGCGGAAAAAATGGTAGCTCAAGCCCAATTACGGAGACTCATGCGCAGAATGGCGGCACAGAACGGTGGATTTTGAATTTGAGGTAGAGATTTATCTCGTCATTTCTCTGTTCAGCATTTTATTCTTTACATGTCAACTCACTGAATAAAAAATTTTAAAAATCCGTTTTTATGTTATTTTGCCATCATATTTTTTAACAATTTTTATCGTTAGAGAATTTTATAGAAAGGGTACTCAAGTTCAGATTTTTCTCGAAAAGTGACCTGGAGGTTCAGTTCATTTTTATTTGTTTGCTTCTGAAGTAAACCTACAGTAAATTTGTTATCAACTTTGAATTTGGAACTTCTGTTTGATTCTTTCTTTTCGATTGATTTTTAGATGACAGACAATAAAGCATATTCTGCTGAAGTAAGTTTAGGTGCATGAACCTGGGTCAAAATAAATAATCGTGGAATTGGTGATGATCTTTGTATTCTAGTGGAGGAAATTTAAGATTCCTTGTTCGTTCAGATGACTGAAATCGGGGTGGGCGATGTTACCCCTTCGCCAGAGAATTTGCGCTCAGACTCGGAGTTACTACCGGTAATTATCTGTCACTTGAGTAAGTTTAAAACCAGAACCGGATGTAGGGAAGCATCTGGCGCAAGTCTGCTACGATGGCTATTCACCTCCAGTGCGAATTCTTCTCTGGCTTTCGATAGAATTAGCAATTATCGGCAGCGATATGCAAGAAGTAATTGGCACAGCTATCGCGTTCTCCCTTCTTTCCAATTGTGCGATTTCTTTTTGGGGCGGTGTGCTCATCACAATCGTCGACACAGTCGTTTTCCTTTTCCTCGACAAGTATGGCCTTCGAAAGTTAGAAGCATCCTTCGCAGTTTTAATTACGACAATGGCGTTTTCCTTCGGCTTCGAGTACGTCCAAGCTGCGCCCGATCAAAAAGAAGTTGTTTGCGGCATTGTCGTACCTCACTGCACCAATTGCGGAGTTCCTCAGCTGGCACAAGGAAAAGATTAAAATATTCGAGCGAGTACCCACGCGTTCCATCCTAATTAAAACTCATAATCATCCAATTACATCTGGGCCGTCGGAATCTTTGCAGCTGGCCACAGCTCAACCATGACCGGCAAGTATAGGTGAGTCTTGCCATTCTTTCCACTGATGGAAAAAGCCTAGACTTCTCTGTTACTTCTCTTTTCAGTGGCCAGTTTGTCATGGAAGGATTCCTCAATCCTCAGTGGTCCCGTTTCGCCCGAGTCGTTCTCACTCGCTCTCTTGCAATCGTGCCGACTTTCGCGATTGCCTTTTACTCGGATATTTCGAGCTTGACCAGCATGAATGATATTTTAAACATCCTTCAATCTTCTTCCTTTCGCGATTATCCATGTTCTTCATTTTTGTGCTCAAGCAAGGTTAGTGCCATTATTTTGCTTGAAATGATGAATAATTCAGAATAATGGGTGAATTTGCGACTGGAAAGTTTTGGACTATCTTCGGTCCATTGGTAGCTTTTTTGATTATCGGAATCAATTTGTATTTTGCTTACGATATCATTATTGGTTTTGAAACAGTAGCTGCGTATGCGATTTCAGGAGTCATTGCTGTCCTCTACTTCAGTAAGTCTTCGTCAAACACATTGATAGATTCTAAACAAAAATTCTTGAAACAAGGAGTCAGCAGCTCGAATTCATTTAAGTATGACACGCGCACAAATATGAGAACTTCCTCTTTTTTTAATTGAAGCTGTCTCCGTTTATTCTAGTTATGGTCGAAAATTGCGGAAATTCTTGAGCTTGGAACTAATGATTCTATCGCGAGAGCTATATAAAGTTTTAGCTGGCAAGAAAGCATTATTTTTATCAAGGAAAATTTTATATCATTCATGTTTTTTTCAATTATTTGCACTCATCATCATAAAACTCGATGACAGATTTATCAGCTGAGATCCAACTTTTTTTCGTTTCTTCACCTCCGTTAGGGTCCATTCGCCTATTTTCGCATCCTGGCATGAAGCAGGTGTTGACATTTGAGCCTGATCGGATCATCAGGAGCAGCTCACTCGTCCAGCAAAAAAGACACTGCTCAATAATAAATTGGATTTAATTAAAAATTGGAATTTTGAAAGAGACCTGTCACGAGGATACTGGCTTTACTGTAGACTCGTGTTCTTGTCAGGATGGCTGTCAAGGCAGACGCAAAAACGAGTGACCAAGCAAAGAGTCAAGTAGAAACTATTTTATGCAGACGAGCGAGTTTTGATCTGAAAGCTGCTATCCGTAAGTAAACTTTGCTAGGCGACCTGTGTAGAAAGCCTGAGTCAGGATCTGAAAGAACTGAAATAAAAAGCCGCGCGGCGGCTTTTTTAATAACGCGCTTCGCTAATATTACCATAAATATCTATCAAAAATTCTAGCTTAGCCGCTTCGCGGCTTCGTTCTTAAAAAGCCGCTGCGCGGCTTTTCATTTCAGTTCTTTCAGACCCTCACTCAGGCTTTCTACACAGGTTGCCGAGCCAAGTAAGTAAACTTGCTATTTTGTAGAAAAGGAAAAGTGAAGGTACAGATCTATTAAGAATTCTCCAACAGTTCACCGAGAAGCACAAATACGTATCTAATTGCCCGGATTTAATTCATTTGCTACTCGGTCTATTTGCTTTTTTTCTCGACTCAGAGGAGGAGAAAAAAACACACACTTTTTGCGTGCTTCTCTTTTTTTTTGCAAAATGAACAGTTTGAGATAAAAGCGGGGTCGTTTTGATATTAGTTGCTGGATATTAAAAATGAATGGTTAAGGTGATGGAACTCGAACAAGAGCTAACGAATCTCTCGCCAAACACAGCTATCGTCACAAAACAAAGAAGGAATTAGTCGAAATTAATTTCAGAGAAATCAGAAAATTGCAATCAAGGGAGAAAACAAGCCTTCTTTTTCTTTGGGGGAGTAATTTGAAAAACTGATTCAAGGCGGATTTTTCATAGTGACACCCTTAATCTGATTTTTGAGCAGGTTTTTTTTTGAGCCGTTAAGAAAGGTTACCCCCTTACAGTGGTATGAGCGGTTTCCGCACCCCTACGATTTTTTAAAATTACACAGTAAATTTCAAAAAACTCTATTTATTCTTTTTTTTCTCTAATAGAAAATGGCGTGAAAATTTCATTACTGAAAGCAGAAATCGAATGTCATATCTGAATCAAAAGATATGAATTTTTAAAGACGAAAAATAGGGGTGCGGAAACCGCTCATACCACTGTAATCAAAAATCCGTCACTCTGAGAAAGTCGCCGAATGTAGCTGAATGTCGAAAAATGTCGCTGAATGTCGCCGAATGTTGCTGAAAGTCCCCGAATGTCGCTACCAAACATCTCTTCGAAAATTCAGTTTTTCAAAATAAGTGACGACATTCGGCGACATTAAGCGACATTCAGCGACATTTGTCGACATTCAGCGGCATTCGGCGATTTTCTCAGAGTGACCCATTTTTCATTAAGGGGGTAGAACTAGGTTTTTCGAAAATAGCCGATTCTAGACCGGCGCTCAAAGCCAGGAGAGCTTAGATTTTCATATTCTCTCTTCGGCTGAAGATAGAACAAACTTAGATCTAACAACATTTTTCTTAAATTTTTTTTTCGTCAACACATTTTGGCGTGAGAGAGCGAAACTTCAACCCCCCTCTTCGAAACTTGCAATTTTAGCGTATTCGCGTCCTCAAATTTCCTGAATCACGTGACTAGCCAAAATTTTTAACTCTCATTTTAAGATAGTTAAACCATTTATCTAGCAACATTTTTGAGGAAATTGCGTAATCATAAGTAAAAACAGGTTTTTCTTATTAAAGGGTGCCTCCCGAAAATCACGATTTTTCGAAAAATCTAGTTCTACCCCCTTAAGGGGGTAACCCTTCTTAACGGCTCAAAATAACCTTCTGAAAAGACATTTTTTAATGATGCTTGCCCTTGATTCATCAGACTTACTATGCTCTTCTGAGTTTATACGCATAGACAAACAGCATTAATTAATTCCAAATTAATCAATACGCACCTTTAGGTCCAGATTATTAAGGCTTTGTGTCCGCAACAATATGTTTTTCGAACATAAAAGCGTGAACTGAACATTTCCCAAATTGATTCCGAAAAAAAGAAACTCAAAAGATTATTTGAAAGGAGCAGTAAACTTGTCAGGAGGTAAGGAAAGATATGAAGAAGAGAAGAGTTAAAATTCTAGATCTGTTTATGAGCGAATTGACGGAAGTTTCAAGCAATAGCTCGATTCGCTTCAAATTAAGTCCTTCGTATGTTTTTTTTCGATGTTCGTTATTTCGTTGTTCGTTTTCAATTTTTTTAAATAATTAATTTTTAAATAATTATCTATTGTTTAGTCGAAAATTTTTATTAAATATTACCAATTTTATTTTAAAAATATAATTTTTATGATAAATTTACATAATAAAAATTAGTATTTTAAACAAAAATTTTTCTTAAAAATAAAAAAAATTCCAAAATAAACTTTCACGCGATCAAACTTGTCGTCCCGTCAAATTTCGTCAAACACCCGTTAAACTCTTCTCAGACAAATTAAATCGCAGCCGCGTAACGTCGCTTACATACTGTCTCTGCTGAAGCTTGCGCTTGGCGTCACCGGCGTCATCTGGTTCGTTGCACAGGATTCGGAATGAAAGTAATCTGCCTTTTTAGTTTATCATGCATCGGGAAACTCTTTGCAAACGAAAAGGATTCCTGGTCGCTGGAAATTGGCAAAAGAATGAGCTATCTTTATTATTTGTAAAAAAAATTTCTGACAAAACTTCTAATTGAAATTCTAGCGACGTAGCTGTGACGGGAATCATCGGAATCCTCGGCTGGAAATATGACAAAGATCTGTTCTTCACCTCCTACACTGTCGCTTGCATGAAACGGGTCATTTTGAGTCTTTTGAGTCAAATCTTGATTCGACTTTTAATTATGAATGTGCAAAATCACCCAGTTTAAAGATTGGACTTATGCTGTCGATTTTTGCAATTGTCATGAACCTCATTCATTTTGCTTCTGCGGCTTCCCAGCCTGATGATGTTGGGAGGGGCGTTGTTTTGATGCTGGGCTTTTTGGTTTCAGCTGCGTTGTTTGCGCCTTCCATCATTGTTGGTCATAAATCAAAAGAAAAGGTAATCTTTCAATAAAAAAAACGAGAAAAATCAAGACATCGAAGTGATTTTCCGGATCGGAATTTTTATTAGCCGCTGAGCCAAATACAGCAAGCTAATTGGTCTTTCAAAAATGCATTTTCTTTTCTTGGTTTGTGCCACAAAAAACCCTTTTTTCGGAATAAACCAATTTATGGAAGTGCATCTTGGGATAACCAATAAGATCGCTGCATTTTGCCTACCAGCCAATCAAAAACCTGATCCATAAAATCACTTCTATAAACCCATGAACCCTTTTTTCTTTCTTTCAATCTTCCTCTTTTCAGGCTCAAAAAGTCAACAACTCGCTCGCTTCATACAAAAACTCACCAGTCGTCGCTGCCAACTTCACTCGCTCCCGTCAAAATTCTCCATTCAAGAAGCAAACTCCAAAATCTCCTCAAAAATTGCCCGAAGATCCGCTCAAAGCAAAGATCGAGCCCTTGGAACATCAAGTCTTTTTCGAAGGTCGATATGAATATGGCGATCCTGGCTGGCAATATGAAAATAGCCAAGAGCCGAAAATTTCTTCAAAAACCTCTGCAAATATATAAATTGATTTTTATTTGATTCTGTATTCAGATAAATAGTCTCTTTTGCTGCTTGTTTCCGCTTCTTTCAGGGCGTTTTTCCAGAGCGTCATCAAATCATCGAATGTTTCCAAGTGAGCAGCGAATCCGTATTGACGCTTTTTCATGAAAGGGGGTCTGGAAAAATGATTGATTGGACGGCGAATTGGAGAAAGAGATTCTAGTAAATGGCCTTGAAGAAACGAGCACGCTCTTTTATTGAGTTTTTGAGGCATTTTTCGGCCCGAAATTCACAAATTTTAGGGCAGAAAAAGGCCGTTTGTCTCTTTGAAAAACTAGTCCTGATAATGCTCAAGCTAAAAATCAAAAATCTCATTTTTCTCGCTCAAAGAAGAATAGAAACCTTTTATACCACACGAACAACTCAAGAGTAATCAAATATTACTTCCAGTGGCTAGCTCCTTGGGTTTGTCAAAATATCTCTATCCCGTACTATTTCTGCATTTTTGGTCCAGAATATGAGCAAGATGCGTATGAACCCGGACTAACAGATGTTGATGGAAGGGAGTATTTATTGATTATTGGCAATAATTTATTGCAGTAAATATGAGCTCGGACAAATCAAAATACGTTGACATTAATTTGAAGAGGAGAAAATTGAATAAAGAATATGATAGAATATATGATAAAAATAATAAGAAAATATATGATTTATAAAAATAGAAGTTATATAAATTGAAATATGAAACTAAAAGGGGAAAAGATGGATTAATGATATCATGCTTTGAAATCTTGATAATATTGACAGAAGAGCATCGAAGTCCAAGAAGGTTGTGCATTTAGCTTCCTCCGCAGGATGGTTTCTATTATAAATTTAAAAAACTGGCTCAAAAGTCAATATTTACCGTTCCCTTGATGACTTTCCAATACTTTGGATTTTTCTTCAGGCATTTGAGACGATAGTTGCCTGCATTATCTCCGTTGGCGCATTTGACAAAGCAGTTCTTGCCGGTCTTGTTTCCTTTGCAATTCCATTCAAAGGCGCCTTCAGGAGCGAGCTCTTGCTTAATGCATTCTTCCGCACATTTTCTAGTAGTGGTGGAGCAGTCAACGACGTTAGAAGGGCCGCTGGAGCCAGTGGAACCAGTGGTGCAGGTTGGAGCGGTGCCTCTAAGATAAGTTTCGAAAAATGTTTTCAGGCCAAAAAGTCACTTTTTAACTGTTAGTGCCATCTTCACCGCCGTCTCAAACCGAGTCGAACGGTATATGTATCTCTTGAAAATTCTAGAGATTCGGGTACTTCCGGTCAAATTTACGAAATTCTAGTATTCCACTGCCGTTTTTGATACAGAAATGGTAATATGGCATACTGTATGCATACAGCATACAGCATGTCAAAATGACCGCTAGAACGTGAGGAGTGCAGGGGTCTCAAAAAATAAGTACTTTTGCAAAGAAAATACCTAAAAATGATTATTTTGTGATTTTTTAGCACTAAAAATATTAAGTTTCATGAAATTTTCGATTTAAATATAGTTTTCTTTGTAGATTTATTAATAAGAGATAAATAGGGTGGCCACATAAAAATAAGACCCCAGAGAATCCCCCCAAAACCCCCCCTAGAATGTTGCACGAGATCAGTAGAATCACGTAGAAAAGAAATAAAACTAGAGTTAAGGGAGTTTCTTTGAAAAAATTGAGATCTAAATTCTCGAAAACCGCCAAAATAGCCAAAAATCGGAAAAATCTCCAGCGGAGTCACGTGATGTTGAATTTTTTGGTTTTCTTTCCTGATTTCGAAAGATCAGGGCAAAACTCATCCACAATAAGTGCAGCTCCGACCATGATCAACCATGGTCGGAAAAATTGATTTAAAAGTTATTTTTTGAGAAAATTTCTTTTTCTCTTGATATTTTCAAACATTTTAAATTCAACTATGAGCCCCGTCTCAGCCCCGTTCCGTGATTTTTAAATTTAAGGGGCTTGACGGCCCTTCGGGCCGTCTCAGCCCCGTTCCGTGATTTTTAAATTTAAGGGGCTTGACGGCCCTTCGGGCCGTCTCAGCCCCGTTCCGTGATTTTTAAATTTAAGGGCTTGACGGCCCTTCGGGCCGTCTCAGCCCCGTTCCGTGATTTTTAAATTTAAGGGCTTGACGGCCCTTCGGGCCGTCTCAGCCCCGTTCCGTGATTTTTAAATTTAAGGGCTTGACGGCCCTTCGGGCCGTCTCAGCCCCGTTCCGTGATTTTTAAATTTAAGGGGCTTGACGGCCCTTCGGGCCGTCTCAGCCCCGTTCCGTGATTTTTAAATTTAAGGGCTTGACGGCCCTTCGGGCCGTCTCAGCCCCGTTCCGTGATTTTTAAATTTAAGGGGCTTGACGGCCCTTCGGGCCGTCTCAGCCCCGTTCCGTGATTTTTAAATTTAAGGGCTTGACGGCCCTTCGGGCCGTCTCAGCCCCGTTCCGTGATTTTTAAATTTAAGGGGCTTGACGGCCCTTCGGGCCGTCTCAGCCCCGTTCCGTGATTTTTAAATTTAAGGGCTTGACGGCCCTTCGGGCCGTCTCAGCCCCGTTCCGTGATTTTTAAATTTAAGGGCTTGACGGCCCTTCGGGCCGTCTCAGCCCCGTTCCGTGATTTTTAAATTTAGGGCTTGACGGCCCTTCGGGCCGTCTCAGCCCCGTTCCGTGATTTTTAAATTTAAGGGCTTGACGGCCCTTCGGGCCGTCTCAGCCCCGTTCCGTGATTTTTAAATTTAAGGGCTTGACGGCCCTTCGGGCCGTCTCAGCCCCGTTCCGTGATTTTTAAATTTAAGGGCTTGACGGCCCTTCGGGCCGTCTCAGCCCCGTTCCGTGATTTTTAAATTTAAGGGCTTGACGGCCCTTCGGGCCGTCTCAGCCCCGTTCCGTGATTTTTAAATTTAAGGGCTTGACGGCCCTTCGGGCCGTCTCAGCCCCGTTCCGTGATTTTTAAATTTAAGGGGCTTGACGGCCCTTCGGGCCGTCTCAGCCCCGTTCCGTGATTTTTAAATTTAAGGGGCTTGACGGCCCTTCGGGCCGTCTCAGCCCCGTTCCGTGATTTTTAAATTTAAGGGCTTGACGGCCCTTCGGGCCGTCTCAGCCCCGTTCCGTGATTTTTAAATTTAAGGGCTTGACGGCCCTTCGGGCCGTCTCAGCCCCGTTCCGTGATTTTTAAATTTAAGGGCTTGACGGCCCTTCGGGCCGTCTCAGCCCCGTTCCGTGATTTTTAAATTTAAGGGCTTGACGGCCCTTCGGGCCGTCTCAGCCCCGTTCCGTGATTTTTAAATTTAAGGGCTTGACGGCCCTTCGGGCCGTCTCAGCCCCGTTCCGTGATTTTTAAATTTAAGGGGCTTGACAAAGGCTGGGAAGTCTGAGTTGATCAATCTCAGTTTCGTCCCCAACCCCGCCCACCTCCATCCGATGTTAAAATTAATATTCTACACGTTTTTAGTATTGTTATGGTATTTATTGATAATTTTTTCAATTTTTTCTTTCAATTGTTGAATTCTTTTTGGGCATGACTTAGGCTTTTTCTTAAGTCAGGACCCTTCAAAAACAGTTTTTATTGACTTCTAGACTGTTCAATTAATTCTTGGTACAGTGGGTTGCGCAGTTGGTTGCCCCTCTGCGATTGCAGCTTTGGTTGCCCCTTTGCCCGCGCTTTTTCTATTGTTCCTTTCTAGACTCGCTCAAAGTGATTGTAGGATTGGTTGCCCCATCGCCCGCTCTTTAGGGGGCAACTACCTGCGCAACCCACTGTAACTTTTTAAAGAAATTGAAAATTTTCGAATTTTTTCGGGAAAAAAATTTCTTAAACGAAAATTTGAATTTCACGGAGCTGCAGTCACTGGGGTTGTCAAATGCCCTGAATTTGATGATCCCAAAATTAAAATTGAAAAAAAATGAAAATTCGGGCTCCGGAGCCAAAAAAAGCGAAAAAAATTAGAAAAAATCGATTTTTCGGGGGCTACACCCTTAAAATTTTCAAAAATTATATTTTTTTGGGGAAGCTTTGGACCAACCCTAATCGGTGGTGGGGTTAGAAAAATGGAATTCTGAAGGGTTAATTATGGCCAATTTTTTATGTGGCAGCCCTAGAGATAAAAATTGAGTAAGCATCTGCTTTCTGCCCGAAAAAATTAATAATTGATATTTTTAGTGCTAAAAAATGACAAAATAATTATTTTTAGGTACTTTTCTTTGCAAAAGTACTTATTTTTTGAGACCCCTGCACTCCTCACGTTCTAGCGGTCATTTTGACATGCTATATGCCATATTACCATTTCTGTATCAAAAACGGCAGTGGAATACTAGAATTTCGTAAATTTGACCGGAAGTACCCGAAACTCTAGAATTAGAACAGTTAAAAAATGATTTTTTGGCCTGAAAACATTTTTCGAAACTTATCTAAAGACTTTCCAGGTGTTGTTGTTGTTTTTGTGGACGCAACTGATGGTGTAAGAGGCATCTACTCTATCTCCCTTGCATTTGACCTTGCATTTTCTCCTTCCTCTACTGGTCACTTCAGTGCATTGCCAAATGAAGGAATTGCTCGGATCTGTTGGATTCAGGGACTTGTCGATAGAAGAGATTGAGCACGGTTTTACTGGAGCTTGCGTGGGCGGCTCAGTTGGAGGCTCAGTTGGTGGCTCAGTTGGTGGCTCAGTTGGCGGCTCAGTTGGAGGCTCAGTCACAACAGGTCCTCCAACAGCACACTTCAAGTTGGTGCTCCAGTCCCATGCAACGTCCATTGGTGGACAGTCAGCAGTTGAGAAAATTGTATCACTCCAAGAAAAGCCCTGTCCTTGAAAAGCTTTCTCGGCATTCTCTTGATTAAGCATCAGCCACCTGCCATTTGTTGACCACCACGGCATGTAAAATAGCATCGTGTATCCACCTTCGCAATCCCAAGTGTCTTTATCGCCGTATTTTCTGTCAGGATTGTGGAGACATTCCTGGTTTCTCTCAGTGCGAATGAATCCACCACAACAGCCAGCAGGCGTTGCTGAATACTTTGGAGCGCATTCTACGATTGTCCCGTCTTCGTCTTCGTTGCTTGGGCAATCCTGCCACTGATCGCAAAAACGATCTATGAACACCTCTCTTATCGCTCCTACTTCATCCGGAGTCTGGCAAGTTGTCGTTTCTTTGTACTCGAAATCGGGGAAGAGACCCTGGTCAACGCAGTAGAGTTGCTGCACCTGGAGCGCGTCAGTTGTGGTGATTCTTGGGCCATCATGGATGAAAGATCCGTCTTTGAGTGTGGCGACCCATATGTTTGGGTCTTTAGCGAAATGTTTGGAGCTGTAGGACATCAGCGATCTTGGCTCGTAGATATGGCCTGTATCGTACCATTTTTCTGGAAGCATCATCTCCCATTGGCCTAAATTATATGAAGACATTTTCTTGGAGGATAAATAACCTGGTTGAGTAGTTCGCTCAGGATAGACAATGATGTAGTCATCTCGATCAGGCCTAGATTGTTCGTGAAGAAATCCAAGAGCATGGAGAACTTCGTGCTGAACAACCTCCAGCGATTGGGCACAGTCCGTATCCAAGTTGATGACTTGCCATCCTGCTGGGGCGCCGAATTCCGTCACCGACGTTTTTCCGACATCATTATTGAAGTAGCCAGGAAGAAGACCAAGTGCGGAAAAGCACCAATCAGGGTTGTAGACGAAGATGATTCCGTTTTCGTATGTCGTTGTGGAGAGATCGGCGACGTAGGGCATGTCAAAGCAGGCGAGATCGTTCTCCAGCGCGGTCATTGCGGGTTGAATATTGTCAGCATATTGGGCGACCGAAAAATGCAGAGCGTAAGGAACTGTAATCGGGCCTCCGCTCACGACCGGTTGCCAGAGCTGTGCATACGCGTTGATTCCTCGACCAACCATCCCATTTGACGCGGATGATTCGACGATTCTGAAGCTCGAAGTGTCGATCCCTGCTGCTTGAAAAGCGGTTGCAGTTTCTTGACTTATGTCGAATTGATGCCCTAGGGCCGACGCTAACAGCGAGTTGAGAAGCTTCATGTTCTCTTCAAAAGCCTAAAATACTCATTAATTTGTCTCTCAAAAAGCTTCTCTTACTCTCTCGAAAAAAAAACTGAAGACTGAATTTACTTTCCAAAAGCTGTTCATTTTATAGTCCAGGTTTGTTTTTATTGCATTAAGCAGTTCAAGATAACGGCTAATGTAAAAGTAAAAATAGACGGTTTATTTTGACACTTAGTATGGTTCACGAAAAAAGTCGATTTCTTTTCTTGTTGAAGCTAAAATAAGAGCGTTAATAAGATCAGTGGTTGTTTTAGCTTTCATTAAGTTATCCATAGTTGATGCACCAAATATTCAGCTTTATTCTTTAGCAGAGTGATTTTTTTTTGGCTCGACATATTCAATGGTTTTATACAATAATAATTGATAACAATGTTGAGACGTCAACTCGAGAGATTGAAAGCTAAAAAAGCCACTGATTTAATTAATTTGCTTGTTGTTGAGAATCACTAAAAATCAATTCGTTTTCGTGAACAATGAAAATAGCTGGAAAGTTGTTTATTCAAGAACATATGTGCATTTTCTTCTGACGCGTTTTTTCTTGTGCTCTTTGCTCGGTTCAATATTTTTCGCTACAGAGTACGTCCCCGGCGGAGATCCAGATAGGGAGCCATGTGGGACGTTGAAATTTTCCAGCACGGCTTTGGCGTTTTCGAATCGCTCTGAACAGGGTTAAATGGGTTTATCGAAGGTTTTCCTACCCTTACTTGAAAGAAAAATGTCAAGAGAATTGTCCGCTGGATTCTTTGAGAATCCAAAAGAAGAGGCGAAAATTAACGCAATTCTCTTCATTTCTTTTCGTTTTTCGAGGTGTACTGCGCTGCATTTATATAGGAATCCATTTAGAGCCCAGTTTCGAATTCATTGAATTGACAGAATGTCTGATACGATCAGCTAGACAGGGCTTGAAATTGCTTTTTGGATAATTGATTATTCAGTAGATAATGAATACAGTGTCACTGTAATTGTGAAAATGCGTAGACAACCTTGTTCAATATATGTTTATATCATAATTAGTTTTCTGTACAGGTGGTCTTTTTGATACAGTTATTTTCAATCTTTGACATCTGGAATCACGCAACCAAACATGAACTTGAAGAAATTTTTTATAGCTTTGCATTTTTTCTTCTTTTTATTTTTCGGGCGCTCGTTTTCTAAATACTCTTATCATCAAATTTCTCTTTTTAACCCGTTGCCGAGCGCGTAGCAGTTTCGCTGCAATGACACGCCCCGAGGCTTGAAAAACGACAACCTCATTGACGCCCTAACCCTAACCCTAACCCTAACCGCAGAGGGCAAACTAACGCCTACTGGTCGGCAACGGGTTAAGGACCTTCCTTAGAAACCCTAAGTGTAGGTCCTTCGAATCAACACGCACCTCAAAAGAACTTCAAGAAGAGAGAAAACGTAACGGGAAACGCGAACGAAAATGTACCAAGGTAAAATCCTAAAGGCGAGTTGAAATTTTCAACGATTGTTATTCAAAAGTCAAGATGATGGATGATACCGATATCAATGTCTTATTGATATCTTTGATGTTGTAAGTTTCTGCTTTTTCAAAGACGCAAATTTTAAGCACAAACCATTTTATGAGAACAAACCTAGAATTAAAGAGTTGAGGGAGAGCATACTCCCGTAGGGAACAAATGAAGGTCCGTAGCCAACAACAGGAGTATACAGTGGCTTCGAAACTAAAAAGGATAATAAATTTCTAGAGCCGTAATCAATCGAACCTTTCGTTGAAACCACAGATCTCGGAGCAATTGGAGGCGATTTTTGAGGCAAAGATTCCATAGAAAGAAGATTTTCCGAGAAAATTTCTTCGTCTGAAATTTCATCATCCGTTTCGACTGAGGAAGAAACAAACAAGTTGATGTTCGTTCTAGTAGTGAGTTGATCCTCCCTTGAAAAAAAGAGTAAGGACAAGTTGGGTTCTCTTTTCTTGCCTGATGGGTTCAGGATCGATTGATTCGGACTTGAGCTCGTCTGCTCCGCAGAGAGTATCATCTTCCTAGTAAAATATGAGTCATTAGCTGAAGGAAACGGCTCACCTCTGAGTCCGAAAGCGAGCCTTCACTATCCTCCTCTTCCTCCTCCGACGATGAGGACGACTTCAACAAATCATCAACGATGTCGAACGCAAAGTCGCCCTCATCCATCTCATCAGGTGAGAAATCCCCCAGCTCGAGATCCTCCTCGAAGCTGTTTTCAAAAGCGCCTCGTCCTGGTCCAAGAGCTCGAGCGATCTGACTTGGAGACTTTCGTTGAGTGATTGGCGATAGCGTGCATAACGCTCGTTACTTCGTTGAAGAAGACGTCTAGAATGAGTTTGACATGAGTTCTGGTTTGGGAAAGTCAACGATGGTGGCCCGCCGGAAGGAGCCAATTTTTTCACCTTGTGTTGTCGAAAAAGAGCATGGGGTGAATACTGTCTGTAAAATCATCCGTCGGCGACGGCGTCCGTGAAAATTCCTGGCGATAGATGGCAACTCCTGGGTGAACATGAGAATGACAGAAGTTGATCTTTTCCGTGCGGACCTCCCGAGCAGGTCGTTGACGCCTTACTGCCTGAGTCAAATGTTAATCAAGTTCAAATCGAAGATTTCGAATTCGACGAATTTCGACGAATTATTACGTAATGGCTTACTTGGAAGGTTGTGTGAACTTGGACTGCGAGGTTATTTTGGTCGTATGATGCGAGAATACTGTCTTTTTTCGGGAATTGAACAATATTTTCGAATAAAAATGTTCGAATAAATTGTTCTTTTCCCGTTCCAATGTCGTCAGAAATCCGGGTCAGATCCTCTTCAAGGCGAGGATTGGAGGTAATACTTGCATAACTTGGCGGATTCTCCATTTGCTCTTCGGAAGAGGAGTCTTCTGATTGAGACTCAGAAGAAATTCCTAAAAGATCAAATAAGATAAACAAGGAAATACCCAAAACATGATAGTTTCTCTTTATTTTTCTTAAACTTTCTGAGTTTTATGGCTTCAGAAAAAAAATTTCTTGGCTAAATTCGAGGAATTTTATCTTTAAAACAAACAATTAATTGACTGGAATTTGTGATTTTTTTGTCATAATATATTTTTTAAGTCAACGAACCTAGTCCACTCTCATCGGAAGAAAACGCCGACGACGACAGGCTAGGTTCCTTGCTTCCCGTGCCGAAAGGCCCCGTTTGATTTCTCTCAAGGTTTAAAAATATGTTTAGCTCAGCGCTCATCTCCGCTCCAGACTTGAATACGACTTCTTAGTTCATGAGTAGATGGCCACGCGTGGGGCAAAGGCCACTCGAGTATTAACACATTGATTTCCGCTTTTAATCTCTTTCAGCCAAAACTCCCAACATTCCACTCTTCAGTCACTGTAACTCACAATCATCGCAATCAATAAACACGAATCATTTTTTAATTTTTATAAGGCGAATATTTACGATCTTGGTCTTTCTTGCTTTATTTCAGAGTTTTCCAAGTTGTCAATTTTCAATTGATCTTGGCAGGGATCAAGTGTAAAGTTTATCACTTGAAGAATGGTAGTGTTGTCAAGTTTTCAAGCCAAGGTCGCGGGCAAGTCTTCAGCAGTCATTTTTCGCAGCATAGAAATCTCGAGTTTTTCGCGCGGATTGAATGATTCGTCGGTAAACCTTGCCTCGGCCCTTGCAGGCGAAGTTCTTTGCGAAGCTGTTTATGGCTGCGTAGAGTTGCCTGTTGAGTTTGCACATGTCGTTCTCGTCGAAAGCGTTGATATCGAGAGCTTCTTCGCCAAATCCGTTTTCTTTGAAACACTTTTTGCCAGTAAAAGACCTGTTCATTTGGACGAATGATCTTGTCAATCGGTAATAATATCTTGTTCCGAAGCGATTGTCTGGTAGACTATCAAAAAGTGGCTAAAATTTAGATCAATCCGAAATGAATTTTTTTCACACTTACTTCAGCATGTTTTTCGATCAGATCAGCTTTTGTTATCTCACGGATACCGAGTTCAAATCCTTTTTGTTCGTGGTCTCCGTTCGAGTTGAATTTAATGACCGCTGATCCGCTCGGAACAAGGATGGTCGGAAAGCCTTCTTCGACGTTTGGGAGATCAGGAAGCTCACTTTCGCCATCTTCGTCGGTTTCAACTTCTCCCTCGGTCATGGATCGAAAGTCCTTATTCCAATTGCTTCCGCAGAAAGTTCGCTCGATTCCATTCGCAATCACACTCACGTGATCATAGGAACAAGTCAAAGTTCTTCGCGAGCTTGTTTTCCAAGTACGGTGGACGTCAAAAGATATAGGAATGATTTCAAAGCCTTTTTTTGGGGATTGCCGGAGATATTTTCATTTTCCTTCTTGATCGGAGTCTTTCCCGATCCTTTGTTTTCGCCAAGATTGATTGTCCAAGTACATCGTGTTCTGCTAGGGTAATTCTTTGGGTACCTATCGAAAGGATATAATCTTCATTTTTTGTTTCATTAAAAGCCGACGGCTAAGAATTTCGGGGCGCACTGGTTATGTCGCCGAATGTCGCCGAATGTCGCCGAATGTCGCCACTTATTTTCAAAAAAAAGGGATTATGAAAGAAAAATTGTTTATTTTGGCCTAAATTTTCAAAACAAACTTGTTCTAGAAACGAAAAAAGTGGAAATAGTAGGAGGCGCGGCAATAGAAGTGAGTCCAGCCCGACCAGTGAGTTTCCTAACACAAATCGCGCGGAGCGCTTCCTTGTCTCGTAATTATACCAAAACAATTCTAGAACTAGTTTGTTTTGAAATTTCTGGGTTAAAAATAAGTTTTCTCTTTAAAAATCCTGGTTTTAGAAAATAGGTGGCGACATTCGGCGACATTCGGCGACATTCGGCGACATTCAGCGACATTCGGCGACATTTCGACTGCAAAAGGAAAATATCCCTTGCTTGGAGAAGTAATTGTTTGCCTATCCGAGGTTATTTCGTCGCCGCAGCCATAGTAACCACTTGATAACATGATGATACCAGGTGATATCAAGTCTGGGTTAAAAGGAATTGTTGTTGAATTTTCGGCTGTTGAGGACGAGGCAGACCCGCCAACAAAAAACGGAAAAAGCTTTAAAAATTTTTTGAATTCCTCAAAAAAATTACAGTTACTTACCTTCATCTCTTACTATTTCTCTAACGAATAACTATGGAACTGGTTTCCTTGACTTACAAGAAATAACAATCTAGGTGGCAGCATGGCGCACTGAACTTGTACTCGTGTTTCAACTTGAAGTTGTCCGGAACCTGCAATCATAAATAGATAAGCGTAACGCTGCAGTCCTTGATTGCAGGCCGATAATATTTCATTACATAGAAGTTCTTTAACAACACGATGTTAGAAACCCCAATGGCCCATTGGCAATGGGCCATTCAGAATGGGCCATTCTTGACAAATTCCGAAATAAGTGACTCAAAATATTCACGCTGGAACGCTCATTCGCCCGTTTATTGTCATTGTTAGTTAACAGTCATTTTTCGCAGCGTAAAAATTTCGAGTTTTTCGCGCAGATCTGATGATTTGTCGATGGACCTTCCCTCTTCCTTCACAAGCATAGTTTCGTGCGAAGCTATTGATGGCCGCGTTGATTTGCCCGTTTAGTTTGCACATGTCGTTTTCGTCAAAAACGTTGATGTCAGCTGCTTCTTCACCGAAACCGTTGTCTTCGTAACACTGGTCGCCAGTGTAAGCCGCTTTCATTTGGGCAAAAGTTCTTTCCATGCGGTGTTGGTATCTTTCCCCGAAGCGATTTTTGGGAAGAGACTTGAAAATTCTCTAAAAATCGGAATAAATATTTCAAAATAATTGCGGTCGAAATTACTTGCGCATGAATTTCGATGACTTGCAATCTTGAAAGCTCGGCTATTTCGAGTTCAAAGCCGGATTTTGCATAATCCCAATTCGATTGAAATGTCACCACTGCCGAGCCACTTGGAACAACGATGATGGGAAATCCTTCTTCGACGTTTGAAAGATCTCCGTCGTGGTGTTTTCCTTCTTCTTCGGGTTCGAACTCATCAAGATCTTCATCAGGAACTGATCTTCCTACCGGATCCTCATTTTTTCCGCAGAAAGTTCGCTCGACCCCATTGGCGTTGACTGTCACGTGATCGTAGAAACAGCTCAATACGTAATCGACATTCCATCCATTCCAGGTTCTTCTCCAGGTTCGGTTGACATCAAAAGCCCGAGGGATGATTTGAAAGGCTATTTTTTGGCTGAGCTGATTTTCAAATCAAAATTTAATTTTTATCATTATCAGTCAAGCCCTTTCCTTTATTCTCACCAAGATTGATGGTCCAAGTGCAGCGCGAAAAGGGCGGGTATTCATTCGGATATCTGATAAAAGAGATAAAAATTTTAAATTTCAATTTTGAAAAAATCAAAAAATTTTTATCCCTAACTAGGAGAAGTGAAGATTTCCCCCTTTGATGTGATTGCTCCACCGCAGGACTCGAAAAAACCAGTTGAGGTCGTGCTCATAACAGTCTCCCACCAGTCTGTCGTCCAGCCGTATCCGTCCGTCGGCGTAGTCGGTTCCGTCGTTGTTGATGTTGAATACTCACTTGTTGTGAATGAGGCAGAGCCGCCCAATAAAATTGATAAAAGCTGAAAAAATGGTCAGTTCTACTCGTAACGATTCGTAAGATTTTCTTCGAAAGGGATGAGACTTCTTCCCTTCTTTGTAGATCAAATTGGCTTCAATAACTAAAGTTAAGGTAACTAAAGTTTTACCAGAAGTTCTCATCAAAATTATATGAAATTTTTAATTTTTTATTTATCTCTTTCTTCAAAACGCGATTACCTTCATGACTTTCGTTCTCTCTTACGAAAAATGGTAACCGTGTCTACTTCAATTCGCTTATCAGAATCTAGGTGGCAGCCTTGGGCAGTGAACCCGTACGCGTGTTTCAAGAAATAACCAGTATTTTCGTAAATAGCGCATGTCAGCAGAATTGATCAATTGATCATGTTATGCCCCTCCCTTCATCCATCCATGTAGTAGAAAAGTCAATCTCTAATCCACCGAAGCAAGTACCTGGTCGGTTTAAAAATTGAAAGATCAAACACTTGTGCGACAAGCTTTTCCGCGCTTTCGCCGCCAGAAATTCAAAGAGAAAAAGAAAATGATCATCTATTTTTATTTTGCTGAATTTATAAATTGCTTGTTGGTGAATCCAAACTGCATAGGCCCGTTTTGCAAATAATTATTAATAATTGCAGCGTTTTGCATTTTTAAGCGAAAATTGTTGAACAAAAAAATGAGCTTGTGAAAATTGGGATTTTTGTCAAAATGGTTCAAAATATCAAGAAAATTTGCAGTTTATGGCGAATTATTGGGATGGCGAATATCTCAGGTAAATTTCTCAAAAAAATGAAAACATAAACGATCATTTTCCGGAAAAAGCTGTTTTCGCCTGATTCATCTGAACGAAATATTCGAGCCGGAAAAGTATTCCCGTCTCAAGATCGCCAATTCAACCCTTCGATCAAATCTTGATGGGCTTGAGAAATTCAGCAATCTTGAAATTCTCAATGTTTCAAATATCGGCTTGACTTCTATAAGCACGGATTTTTCAAAACTGCCGAAGTTGATGATTTTCGACGCTTCTTGGAATATGATTATTTCGTTGCCAGAAACGTTGTTGAGTTTCAAGGGCGCGATTTATTTGCATATGAATCCGATTCACTGCTCCTGCGATTTGGCCAGAATTGTTCAACAGTAAGGAAAAATTGCTGCAAGTGAAAATGATTTGAAGGGTTCGATTTGTTGATGGACCAATCGCGGTGACTTGCGATTCCTATGGAGATGTCATGACTTTTCAACAGCTTATTGCTGCATCGAAGGTACATTATGCGTGGGCGGCTATTCGGCTGCTGATTGGCCGTTGAGCCGAATCGAGGCTTCTGATTGGTTGAAATTTTCAACACAAAAGTTGTCGAATTTTTTTGTCTTTGATTCATATTTTGACAATTTTGATTTGTTGAGCTCAAAATTTCTAGGAAAATATGTGCTCCTCTACGAAAAAAGTCGACATCCCGATGTTCATCATCTTCTTCGGCTGGTTCTTCGGGCTCATGTACCTGGTCTACCGGTACATTCAACACGAAGAAGCGGTCACAACCTCACTCGACTCAAAATCTGTCCTCACCCGAGACGAAATTCACGAAATCCGACGCGAAGCATTCGAAGTAGAAATGCGAATCAGGCGAAACAAGGAATGCGAAATGGAAAATCTCAAAGCTCGTCGGTGCGAAAATGAAACGTATCTCTGCCCAGATATTCCTGATGTTGACCATCCGAGATCAACTCGCTCGGCGGAAAATCTCAGGAATAGGTTCAGAGAAGCAGGGGGTTGCCGACACAGAAGACAGAGTAAAACACTTGATGCTTTTGACTGTTTGTCTTCAGTGGGATTGAATTATGGGGTCTCTCATAAATTCAAGGTAAGCAAGGGTTTAAAGGGAGCGGCCTTGGAAAGTCGCCGAATGTCGCCAAATGTCGCCATTTTTTGCTTTTTTTTAGATAAGGAAGTTTTTTATCACGACAAAATTGCCTTTTTGGCGATATTCGGCGACATCTGGCGACATTCGGGGACATTTTGCGACATTCGGGGACATTTGGCGACATTCGGCGACATTCGGCGATATTCGGCGACTTTCCCAGTGTCGCTATTTTCATGATCCTCGTTAATTTTATTTAATCAGTACAATCTCGCGAACGCCATGGAGAAAAAACTGCAAATGGCCGTCTCCGACGTCGGGAACCAATACGAATCGTTCATGTCTCAAAATGTCTCCCGAACTAATTCAAGACGCTCCTCAATCCGCCCGACCTCCGCCCTTTCCCCAAAACTGCACCGAAAAATCACCCCACAGCAAATGTCCTCAGAATTCGCCGACTACGAGCGATCGCCCTACGCGTACCAACAAAATGTGCCGTTTCGAAGGCGCTTTGGGGATCGAGCCCAGAAATGGTCGTCGAAGAATAATTCTTTTGGACACTCGACTTTTGATTCGTCGAATAATTACAGCTTTCAGTCGAGTTGTGACTTTTTTACTCTTCCCAGTACTCCGAGGGCATCGCAGGGCTCGGTACATAACATTATGATCGATGTGCCAAGCTCAAGTCGAGGATCTCGCGGGTCGAAAAATATGATGATGGCTTCTCTTGATGTCCCAAGGTAGCTAATTTTATCGAAGAAATAAACATTTTTTCAAGGGCTGGTTCAACAAATGCTTCTCGACGAAATTCTTATTGTCCAAGTATTACTGAAGGTAGTCGAGAAAAAATTGAAAGAACCTATCTTTCTTTTAGATACTGAAATATCTTCAACTGATCAAAGTGCTGTTGTGTCGCCTCAAGAAAAACCGCGCGAGATTTTGAATACGAATCAAATTTTTGATTTTTAACTTTTAATTGCGAATAAACAAGTTTTATCATTTTTGATCCGCTTCGAATTGCTTTGAAAACGAACAGCTAGCAATTTCTTCTTTTGGATTTTGATCACCCTCGCTCTGAAAAACAGAAACAAAAATTGTATGAAAAATTAGAATACCTGTGCCATATAATGAAATTCGTTATTGTAAATATTATGGCATGCTGCGGCGTAGTCCCCATTTCTATTCAATGCTAAGATAAAAACTTTACGAACGATGAAAATCGAAGCCCTTAATTACCGATCACAGCGCCGGAGAATTCAGGAAAAGCTGCTCGTATCCTGGCAATCGCATCACTCGTCGCTTCTTGCGGACTTTTTCCAAGTCTGAAGATGGCTCAATTAAAGAACAAGCTCCATCACTTTCCTCATGCTTTCATGCGCCTGATAAGAAGGCAAAAATCGCATCATGATATCACCATCACCAGTCGCGGCGGCTCCACCTGCCGATCCCGCGTACGACCCTGCTCCTGGGATCGGAGAATCACCAACTCTTCCAGGGATTTTATGAGTGAGTCCGTTTGTTGATGTTCCAGCGGCGAGTTTGCCAGTTGCATCGAGAGCGACCATTCCGATTGTATCGTGATTTTTATTCGTCACTAAGCGCCGAATCTTTTCCTTTTGTAAAAAAACTTTTTTGTTAAACGAAACCTGTGTAGTTCTTCTTTGATCCTTCTCGCTCATCCCAAGTTTCTGTCCAATTGGTTGATAAGGACCGCAATTCTTCCTCGGATCAGGAGTGACATTGATCCAGTAATTTGGCTGGCAGTTATTCTTCTTCCACGATTTTTGATTTGTTCCGACTTCTCCGAAGTCAGCGACTCATTTTTACACCCCATAGAAAAAGCGAACTGAGAAGCAAGATCTCCAACAAGAAGTGTTTGTTCAGTGTGTTCCATCACTTGTCGAGCGGTTTTTGCTGCGTCTCGGCAGCGACGAAGAGACGCTACAGCGCCGGTATTGTAGGTCTCTCCGTCTGAGTTGTGAGTTGTGATTTGTCCTTTTGTGCCTCCCTTTTTGACTTACCCATTATCATCGCATCGAGATAGGACTCGCCATTTTCATCCGGCGACCCTCCCCAGCCCACAGAGCCATCACATCTCTCCCTCTCGCAAGTCGATGTTCCATCAGTGATCGCATCCAGCGCCGATCCACCATTTTTCAACGTCTCGAACGCATTCTTACACGCGTCCGCGAACGGCCAAGTATTAATCACAACTGGTCCTGGTTTGGAAACAAGGCTAGCTTCACTTATTTTTAAAAGAAGAATCGAGCTGATTTTCATTCTCTATTTTTTCATCCCTTTTTTGGGAGTGTTCTTTTGATTCGGAAAAACAAACAACTTGACTTTGAGTTGAAGATTCATCGATTCTGATTTATTTGAGTAAGAAAGATTTATAAATAAAAAAGAAAATCCCGATATTTGAAAAAATGGGGAAAAAAAGAACTTGTCCAGCAAATTAAAAAGACCAAAAAATTGGTCAAAAATATTTTCCAAAAAAAAAAAATTTTTTTGAAAATATTTTTTTTTTGATAAAAACTTGTCCGATAAAAGTTGTTTCAATTTTCATGAACAACAAAATACTTAGCAGGTATAAAAAGTGAAGAAACATTATTATAAATAATACGGCGGAATGGATAAAGAAAGAGAGAAAGCTCAATCGCTTGAATTTTTCTTCTTCGAATTTCGCTTTCGCATTTTCTTTCCGCCTCGAGTGCCTCTCATTCGCTTCTTGGTTTCTTCCTTGATTTCGCTTTGCAGATTTCTGAGGCGCTCGTCAATGTCCAAGTTTTTGACGAGTGCTTTTCTGTAGCTGATTGGTTCGGGGTAGGCTTTTGTTTCTGGGTATTCGAAGATTGGCTCCCCTGAAATGACATTTTAGGAAAAATCAATGAGTGTTCATAACAACCTTCAGAGTAAACAGGAGTTCCTCCGTGAACATCGTCATCAGCCCAATCCATGTCCATATTCTCCAAACTGTCAAAATCACTCAGCGCCGTCAAATCCGACCCTTCTAGACTGATCGAGCCAGATTCTGGAGTAGCTGGCTCATCTGGAGAAAGAAGCTCTTCTTCAAGCTGAAGTTCGTACTCGTCCGGAGAAAGTACGGAGTTGATTTCCGCAAGACTTTCAAGGCTTTTTCGTGGAGAGGATTTTTGGGCGTCGGTTGATTCCATGTCGGAGATAGAGAGCTCTGAGTAGATTCCTGTGTCGGACTCAGAAAAGCCACTGGAATTTATTTATTATATAGAAAAACAAGGGGTATTACCTTAGGCCATTGTCAGAGAACGACGAAGAGTTCTTTCGTCGATGTTTTCGTCCTCCTCGACAGCCTCGTCTTCTTTTCGAATTCGAGGTAATCGAAGAATCGGTCGAATATCCAGAAGTGACCAGTTGGTTCTTTTCTTGGATGATTTTCAACTTGAACTCTGAGTTTTCCCGCTGCCCTTGTTTCTTCTGTCTTTGAATTGCCCGATTCTTGGGTTCTTCGGAAAATTGATCGGTTTCTTCCAGCGAGGCGACGAGATAGTCCATCAGCATTTCCGCCCGTTCCAAGGAGCTTTGGCAGCCGATAAAGATGATGACAGCTTTTTCCCAAGCGGACGATTCTTGAATTCCCCGCCGCTCGAGAATCTCCCCAGATTCCTGGTCGTTTGGAAATCGCACTTTTGAGATTTTGGAATTGTCGATGATTTCTTGAATCTGTTTTCCCTTCTGTCCGATGATTCGGGAGATGAGATATTTCGGCACGATGTAGACTTTTTCATTGACGTCGAGGATCTTTTTCGCCATTTTGGCGATGCTCTCGTTTTTCGCGAAAATCTGGATTTGGAAGCTCGATGGATGGACGGAAATTTTCGAAACGCCGTTGATCGCCCTGACTCGCGAAATATTCAGATTCTTCGGCCCAAGAACGGCTTTCCACAGCTCTGGCCGGACATGAAGCGTTTCTCGAAAATTCTCGCGGGAAACGAGACGAATGTATTTTTCTCAAAAACGTCAGTTTCGATCTTTCCCGCGACGCAGAAATCGACGACGAAAAATTCATCCCAGTTGATGCTCGAAATTTTTCCAGGAAACCAATTCTGTTCTGAATTTCAATGGTAAATTTCGATTTTTGTCCCGAAAAAACCTGAATCAAGCTGATTTCGCCAAAAGACTTCGACTTCATCTCCTTCTTCGAGTTTTTGAGCGGGGTTCTTTTCACAGCATTTTTGACCTAAAAATTGAATCAGAAAAGAACTATTGAAAATTTAAAATTTCATTGAAATTTTATTTTTAGCTCAAATTTTTGAGTCAAAAACCAGAATTTTTATTAATAAAAATTAAAATATTTTTTTAAATAAACTTACCGATTTTTCGCCATTGAGTTTCTTGAGAAAGAACTTCCACAGAGCTCATTTCTCTTCCAAAAAATCTTCGCTCTCAACTCTTCCCGAATCTCCCGAAAACGGGTCTTCTTGAGGATGGAAAAGGGAGGACAGTGAACAAGCCCGAGAGCCTCATGAGTCGTTGTCCTCGACAGGTGACGATTTGTCACCCGCGGCGATCTCCTCGAGATAAAAGTGCGCGATATGCATGGGAAAGAAAAAAGGAGAACTGATAAGAAAATTCTAGCCTTTTATGTGCGCTTCTTTTTAAAAGATATTATGCAATCCGCTATTTAAAAAAATAAGAATGCATATTATCTTTGCTTATGTAACATGATTAAATGAAAGAAACTTAGAACCTGAGAAGAAAACCTGAGTCAGGATATAAATTTCCGAATCTGTTCTTAAAATCTCCCAAAGCCGCTTTACGGCTTGGTAATTAAAAAAGCCGCTTTGCGGCTTTTCAGTTAGGATTTTCTATACCCTGACTCAGGTACCCAGGGCCACCTGAGTATAAAACCTGAGTCAGGGTATATTAATCTCTAATTGAAAAGCCGCGTAGCGGCTTTTTATAGAACGAAACAGCGTAGCGGCTTCGCCAGAATTTAAAAACAGATTTGAAAATTCAGCTTTTTGTTTCCTGACTCAGGGTAGCCCCCAGAAAGAAAGTAAATGACAGGAAGGTTCGAAAAAAAACCGGGTGTGTCTCGGTTACCATCGTTCTTTTATACTCTCTGACGATTCTGACAACAAAATATATAAATCTGCGGCAAAATCTATGGAGACAAAACCGCATGAAATCCAAAAATTAGGAAAGAAATCTTCATCCAGAACACGTTCTATTTGTTTATGCGATGCTTCGCGGTTAGTCTGCTTGCCAAGCCTCAGAACAGCGCGTAAATTGATAAACGACTCTGCACAAAAAAGCGCCGCCAAAATTCATTGTTCTGATAAGGGACAACGAGCGAAAATATGAAACTTTTTTCAGCATTTTTGGCAGGTTCCGCCCTTGGACAGGAGCGTTTGCCAGCAGTGCAGACAGCTTGCGCCGCTTTCAGAGACGAGATCAAAGCGAACAACACCATAGCTGGTGATGGAGTTTGGAGCTGTCCAAAATTGAACAAGAATTCGAAGAAAACTGCTTGCAAAGCCACTTGCCCGGGGAACAAAATTGCTGAGTTCAAAAAAGCTTCCTTCAAGGTTATTTTTTTCGGGCAGAGTTGCGAATTTTGTGTGCTAGCTGAGCTGAGCTCTATCTGTAGCTCAGCTAGCTCAGCTCAGCAATTTTGAGGTGAAGGTTAGCTCAGCTCAGCTCAACTTTTCTGAAGAAAGCCAGCTCAGCTCAGCTCAATGCTTCTTCGAAGAAGGCCAGCTCAGCTCAACTAGCTCAGTTTGAGAAATATTCAGCTCAGCTCAGCTCCGCTCAGCTCAAGAATTTTCACAAAAGCCCTGGCTCAGCTCAGCGCAGCTCAATATATTTAAAAAACAGCTCAGCTCAGCTCAATAGTTTTAAAAAGAGGCCAGCTCGGCTCAGCTCAGCTCAATTTCGACCTCAGCTCAGCTAGCTTAGCTCAGAAAAAATTTTCTAAAATTCGCAATTCTGTTTTTTCGGCTAAGGATTAGGATGATTTTTAACTTTTCAGGTCAAATGCGGAAACTCAGAAAATGGTCCCTCCGGAGGAGTCATCAAGCAAAAACCAGCCGACGGAACCCTCGGCTGCCACGAAAATCTGTGCAATGTCAATGCTGAAAATCAGAACGTCGCGAAAGGAAGCCTCTTGCTCCTTGGAAAGAAGAGCAAGGGCGGCAAAGTCACCGAGCGATACGCGCTCAAGTGCAAGAACGAGAAGAAAAAGCGAAAAGGAACGATCATCTGCGAGTCCGACACTGGCGCTTTTTCTTCTGGAAGTCTTCCCGATTATCAAACTACCTGTGAGGCCAGCGGAAAGACCTACGAAAAGTACACTTGCGATTTCAATCACGCTGACCAAGGAAAGGGTTGAATATTTTTCATTTTACATTTCGTCAATTTTTCTCGACCCGAAACAAAGCAAGCGGTGTTTTGAACGGCAAACTCTTCTTCGAGCGAGTCGAGGGCAAGAAGAAGGACAAGGTTGTCATCACCGGAACCGTCCAATCCGATGACGCCGAGTTCGACGCTGGAGATCACGGAATCCACGTCCACGATGCTCGATACGTTGTCGCTGGTTCGCCATTCGACTGGACCGGTGGCGGAGCGGGTCAGTGCAAGGGTGCCAATGGGCATTTTTCGCTTGATGGTCAGAGCCACGGTTTTGCTACCAACAAGCTTCCAAACAGGTTCAACTAAAATCATAAGATTAATGACCTCATTGAACGAAAAATTCAGACACACTGGTGATCTTGGTTCCATAACCGCTACAGCCGTCCGCCGAAGTGGCCGAACTGCGACTGTCGATATTGAAGACACCGTCGTCTCCCTCGATCCCGCTTCCAACTTGTTTATCGGAGACCGAACTTTGGTCATTCACGCTGATGGAGATGATGGAACTGGAGTAAGAGCCGACTATATAAAAAGCTATCAGAAGTTTATATGAAAACGATGGTTATTATATACAACGACGAAGAAACAAATATATCAATATTATATCAACACGATTCAATATCAATCAATATGCAGAATATATAATATTGTATATTTCTATATGAAATCACAGTAAGAAATCGCTTATTTCATTTATTTCACGGCTTCCTTAGATTAAATCATATAATAAAAATAATATTTATATATCAAATAAAAAATAAACATTAATATATAATTTAAAATATATAATAATTAAATAAATGCATAGATTATTTTAGTAAATCATATTTGGCCCCGAGATTTATGCTTATTATCAGCCGCTTTCAAAGAAATCTGATAATCCTAATTTAATTTTATTCTTCTTCAGACAGTTGGAAATGCTGGCTCTCGACCAGGTTGCTGCGCCATCAAGCCCATCCGATACAGCTGCACCTTCGACGGCAACGCCGGCGCTGATGGCGATGTCGCGATCACCGGCACTATCGATATCCGATACGCTGATGGAAAGGTTGCCTTTTCGGGATCGCTCGCTGGCGTGCCAGAAGGAAAACACGGCTTCCATGTTCATCAAGAAGGGGATGTGACCAACAGTTGTGGAAACGTTGGCTCGCACTTCCAAGTCGATGCGGAGAACGAAATCCATGGCACTCCTGATAAGCCACTTGGTCAAAGGTGTGATTTAAGCCTCGGCCAATCAGAATTCGCCAGACGCAAGAGGCGCTCTTTCTTGAACAGCGCCACCTATGAGCTAAATTATTTCCTTTCTTCAGACACGCTGGTGATATTGGAAACCTCGTCGCAGCCGCAGATGAAACCGCAACCGCCAACTTCATGGACGCGATCGTCTCCTTATCGACACAGACCCAACCTTCATCGGCGGTCGATCGATCGTCATCCACGCTGGTGAAGATGATGGAAATCCAGACAAGGATCCAGCTTCGACTGGTGGCGCTGGAGCGAAACTTGGCTGCTGCCAGATTGTTGAGCAGGATTACGCTCCTGCAGAATAAATTTATTTCTATGGTGCTTTCTTTCTTTTTCTGTCTTTTAAGAATGAATAATTTTTCAAAAAAAAAATCAAATCAAGAAAATTTTTATCGAATTTTATTGCATTAGTTGTTTCACAAAAGGAATCGATTGCATTTAAATTCAGCAGAAAGACCATAAATCGAGGCTTTTCTAGAGTTTTTGAGTCGAAAAGGTCAATTTAAAATCGGCTTATTTCGCGACTCGCTTGATATAAAAACTCGTTCCAAAATTGAAGGAAGAAGCAAGCTTAAATTGTATTTCCTAAAAATTCATTTATTCATCGCTCCAAGTAGCCACTTTCTAAATGGCGAGATACTGGCATCCTCCTGAGTCACTCAGACAAACCGAGCTGTCGCGCAAAGGAGAAGTACTCACGTAGATGGGTATCAACTCCAGGCTGATGAATATTTCTTGGACTGTCGTTTTTGGCCGTTCTTGAAGAATTTTATCGATTTTTTTCAAAGTCGACTAAATTATTTCGCTCTTTTTTGGCTCTTTTTTCTCAATACCTTTTTGTAAAATTCCTTGAAAAAGGCGCTCGCTTTTTCTTTTGACATTCCTACAGCTCCATCAGAAATAATTATGCCCTGCAAATGTTGAACTCGGCTAGTTGTGACTCCGTTTTTGATGATAATTGTTGCTTCTTTAGTGAATCGTTTTGATTTTTGCTCGGTTTTTGCTTCTAGGAATCCGCGACCATTACTTTCTCCCGGTTCAGTTTTGAAAGAAAAATTAAGGGTGTCAACAACGATTTTGGGCATTTTTTCATTCACTTTTTTGGTATCTTGCCAATCTTTTTTATACTCATATATTCTTAGGAGACTTTTTTCAATCGTTGTTGACACCTTTAAAGAAAATCTCTCTTAGTTTTTTGAACCAAACAATCAGCGCATCTTTGAATATGACTAAATCGCGCTCCATCTCTGTATCTTGTATGTTCCTGAACATTATTCATCATATAATTCTAAACCCATCTTACCTTGTTGAACTTCCCTTTTCCCTTGCACTTGTCGCAGTTTACTTTCTTCAGGACTTTCAAGTAGACCTTCTCTTTCACCGCCTTTACTTTCAAAACATGAATATTCCGCTGCTTGATTTTTAAAATCTTGATCTTCTGCTGCTCTCCTAAAGAAAAACATCCGCCCTTTGGAAATCGCTGGCAAAGATTTTCGATCAAAATTTGTCTGAGCTCTTCTTTTTCAAAAAGCGAGATCATTTTTGTTGCCCCAGAAAAAGATCGAAGTTATCGAAAGGTAAATTTGCAAGTTATAATTGAAGCTTTGAATAATTGATAAAGGGAACAAAAAAGTGTGGCTGAAAATGCTCAATTACGTGTTTTTATCGAATTGTTTTTTGAAGAAATTTTTTGAAAAAAAAGGGGGCAGTAATATTTATTTCTGAACGGTAGAATCGCGTTCCCCTCGAGAGTCATTATTTTAGATTTTCATCGTAAGGGATGAGTCTTTTCGCGCACAAAAATTTTCGCGAAAAATATTCAATTTTCTTTCGGAAAAAAATCTCGAGAAAAAAATAGTTCAGCGGAAAAATTTAATTTCAAGGAACCATAAATGATTTTTAAATTTTGATAGTGCGAAGTTATTTTTCAACGTGTTTGTGAATCAAGTATGATATCTAAATAGTCATTTCCATTTCTTTGGTAAGCTAAAGCTGCAAGAGTCAATTAAGAGTTAATCTACTAATCATGATTGAGAAAAAGCCGACATATAAAGCTTTAGCTTGGTATACCGTATACACAAAAATCGGCATGAAAAGACCACAAATCCAAATCAATATTCTTCCCCCTTTTCACAGCTGTTCTAATAATCCCCTTTCGTCATCAATTCCAAGCTCGCTAAATAAATCCATGCACTTGAAATGCATAATTAGCACGGCTGAATCGGCGAGTACCAATAAATCGAATGCTGATTCATTCGATCGCTCGTCTAAATTACCGATTGGTAATGCATTACCAATTTTGGAAACCCGTCAGGTTTTTCCTTCGAAAAATTGAAATTTTTCTAAATTTTTCTTGATAAGAGGAATTTTCGACCTAGAGAAATCAATATTTTTTCCAAAATTAGGGCAAATTCGTCAATTTTCGGCGAAAAAACAAACTTTCAAGTGCGAATTTAGGGGTGAAAGAGTCGAGAAAAATTATTTTTTTCCAGCTGAAAATGTCCTGGAGTTCATCATTTCAACTCAGGAAATCTCTCCTATCATTTGACCTCCTCTTTAATATTTTATTTTATCCAAATGGCCGATGGTCCAAGTTGGTATCTTTCAAACAAGGTACCGGTTTGAGACTCTTTTCTTTGCCTCAATTACTCTTTCATCCAGCAGATTAACAATTTACATGGCGACTATTAAAGCCCTTCTTGGGTACTTCTTTGGGTACTTTGTCCCTCTTTTTCGAGGAAGAGATGATGATTTTGAATTTTCTTGTGATTTTTCGAGCGGGTTGGGCCGTTCCAGCAGATTTTCAGAAGTTCTTTCAAGGGTATTTATTTATTATTTTAAAATTATTAATATATTCATCAAGACACGAAAAAGCTGTTCAAAGTCAAAGGTAAGGAACTTATCTTGACTGTTTGATAAATTTTCTCAGCAGAGAAGAAAGTGGAATGATGAGCGACTACATCTCTGAGCGAGCGAAACTTCACAAGCTTCAGAAAATGATGACTAAGGTTTGAGTTGAAAATTTGAAGAAATTCGATATAGAAAAAACGGGGCGCTATGGAAATGTCGCTGAATGTCGCCGAGTGTCGTAAAATGTCGGCAAATGTCGCCGAATGTCGTAAAATGTCGGCAAATGTCGCCGAATGTCGCTCTTCTTTAAAATACAGGCATTTTGAAAGAAATATCCAGTGACATTCGGCGACATTAGGCGACATTCGGCGACATTCGGTGACATTCGGCGACATTCACAGTGACTGCCAAAAAACCATCATGTTTTTATCAAATTTCAACTCTGATCAAGCTCCAAATGTCAAACCATGACAAATCAAGGCTGAAAATCCCGATGCCAGAAGAAGTCCAAAAAAGTCGCGAAAAACAAGCGGCATTTATTTAAAATTGTTTTTCAATAAATTAATTTTAATTGAAAAAAGAATCACATTGCAAATGGATCGTGTGGTCCGCAAAGTTGTTATCTGTTTATTTACTCGGCACGTTTGTTTCGAAACCACGTTGTTTTCCACCCAGCGCCTCATTGGCCATATAAACTAGAATTACCGTTTTTCAGGACATCAGAGTTCCGATAAGGAAACGATAAAAAAGAAAAAGCTTTTTTGAAAGCGATTTTCTAGAGAGAGTCAAGCTTAAACCAGAATGTTGTTCAAGGTAAGAAAAGAGTCAAATTTCGCGATTTTACAACCACGATTTTAATTAATTAATATATTTGGTTATCATTTTAAAAAAAAGAATACTAAGAATTAAGAGTCTTATGGTTGATTTTTGGGAATAAATCAAAAATGAAAGTAATTTTTCGAATAACCAATAAGATTGCTGTATTTGGCCAACCGGCCAATCAAAACCCTGATCCAAGAAACCACTTCCATATTTTTGTTCTGCTCAAATGTTGACCCTAACTGATGATATGATATTGAAGATAAGGGCCCCTGAGATACTCATTTTGCTTTTAACCCTGTTCTCTTCCTTGATTTTCAAATTTCAGGTTGGACTCGCTGCTCTTACCGTCTACGCCCAAACTTCATCGACCGAGTGCGGCGCCATCACTCAAGTCTCCGGCAACGTCTCCGAAGAATGCCAAGACGATTACTGCTACCGAGTCCAGTTCTCCTGCCCCGCCGGCTCCACGCCCAGCCATCTGAACACCTTCAAGTGCAAAAAGGGCGTCTGGCATCCGGCTCTCGGCGCGAACGAGGTCATCAGCTGCATCGAAAACGACATCGACTGTAACTACAACCAGCTTCCTTCTATAACCGAAGGAGTTGTGGCCAACTGCAACGATGCGGGATGCACTTATTCTTGCGAAAACGGAATGGAACCGACGACAACTGGAGCTTCCTGCGATCGACAATTCGGTCTCTGGAATCTCACTGGAGCTAACTCTTCTAGAAAAATTCGATGCCCAAAGGCTCCAAAGGTTAGTTCGATCGAAAACAACGAGGAAAACCCTCCTTTAGGAGCCAAAGCATCAAATGCGAGCTGCCGACAAGTGCGGCGAATTCACTGGATTCGATGAGAATACAGTCGAAGAAGTCGACTGCGACAAGAAGTACTGTACTTACCAGTGCAAAGAGGGTCTCCATCACATCACTTCTTCCATCGCCAAATGCACCAACGGCGGCGGCTGGAAACTCGAAGGCAATGTCCAATTCATCAGGTAACGCGATCATTCAATGCTTGTTTTCAACGCGTTTTTCATGAAGATGTTTTGGACTTGAAAACACTTGGCACGAGTCCTGGAAGCGAAAGGATGGAATCTACCGACCACCCTTCCAGTGCGATCCGGATCGAATCCGACACGTGACACTTGCCGACTGCGAGAACGAAGACGACGGCGCTGTGACTCAGTGCAACGTCGTTTGCAAGGGAAAAGTTATTGATACGGTAAGAGTCCAATTCTATGAGCTCGGCATTAAATGATTATCAAAGACCCGCTGCATCAACCACCGAGGAATCTGGTCCGAAGAATGGTTCGACTGCTAAAAGAAGAAAACGCAAAAATCTGATGACCAGATAATGGATGGACGATTTTTTACCTGTATTATACTTTTCCTAATAAATTTTCTCAGCAAATTTTTTGAAAAAAATATTCTTTTTTTGACTCGAAATTTGCATATCAGCTTTTTACGAGTCCTCACACCTTGTTGAAAAGTAGAGCAACGGTCGAAAAAACTCCTTCCTTTGATTTTCCTTGTCTCAATGGATCGACATTTTACGTAATGCGGTCGTTTTTTATTCGTGCTCGACCTTGTTTGCAGTTTTCTCCGGTAGTCACAAGGTCATGTTTTAGGGTGGTCGAATTTCTCCATTTTTCTGGAATTTTAGCGAGAGATTAGTCGATAAGAAAATTTTTATAAAATAATAAATTTGTTGTTTTTAAATTTTTATTTCAAATTTTATTTCAAAATTAAAAAGTTCTTTAAAAATCAAAAATTTTCTCGAGCAAAGAATTTATGAGAAGGAAGAAGTTCCTCGAAAAAATCATCATTTCCACTTTATCTTCAAAATCAAAACTGAAAACTGATTTCGCAAGCGCTTCCAAAATCGCCCCAGTCAGCCACCCAGGCTTGGCCACCCTTTCCGCGCTGCCTTGAGAGCGCCAAGAAAGTCAAATTCCATCGTCTTATTTAAATCATCGCTTTTGCCTTTTTTCTAAATCAAATTTCATTTTGAAGATTTTCAGATAAAAAAAAAACAGAGAAAATGGGTAAAGAAGGACTTCAAGTTATCCATGCTGGATATTGCAAGACTGGAACGAAAAGTGTCAATGCCATGCTAACGGTAAGGACAAGGAGGGGTATACCCTTATTTTATTTCGTCGAGAAAATGATAAGGAAATTTTTGAGAAACGAAATGTCAATTTTCTGCTCTAAAATAAACCTTCTTTTCAGCAACTTGGCTACAAAGTCTGCGACGCGCCCGAGGCCATCTACCGCCACTGGGAGGACTGGGAGAGAATCGCCAACGGCGAGAAACCAAATGAAGTTCTGCAAAAACTTTTCGGCGCTGGAAATCCTGACGAGTACACCGCCTGCGTCGATCTACCACACTTTGCGTTTTGGGAAATTCTTCTCAAACAATTTCCCGATGCCAAAGGTAAAACAAAATCATTTGCAAATATTGAATCGGGCAACGAAAGTAAATCGTATAAAGGAGATAAAAAATTGCCGGGTCAAGGATTTTTATTTGTTTTTTTAGTAAATATTTTTGGTGTCCAATAAGATTGGCCAAAGCCGCTACGCGGCTTTATTTATAAAACAGCCGCTACGCGGCTATTAATGTTAGCTCTTTTAGCGCTTGATTCAGGCTTTTCCAAAAAACTTTCCAAAAAAATATAATTTTTTAGTAATTCTCGCCATCCGAGACGAAGACAAATGGGCCAATTCAGTCGTCAAGCATTTGGCGGTAAGAAGAAATCTTGAATCAAAAAACTCATTGGTTTTTCAGGTCGAGCGAGAGCAATTCAAAGAAATGGGCTGGTGGCGACTTCATTCTGGAATTTACAAATGGGTCTTCAATCACTCTTCTCGAGCTGTCGGTCTTTACATGGACTGGATCCGACCGCTTTCTATCGGCGCTGAATCGAGAAACTTCTACGGCGAAAATATGGACCTTTATCGCCTCAAATACAGGTTGAAATCACAAAATAAAAGCCCTTCTTTATTCCATTTTTCAGACAACACAACCAGTACGTTATGAACAACTGCCCGAAAGACAAGCTCTTGATCTGGCGAATCGAAGACGGATGGGAGCCAATTTGCAAGTTCCTCGGAAAACCGGTTCCCGACGGACCCCTTCCTCATTGCAACAGACTCGGTGGTGTCATTAAAGATCTCGAAAACTCTGTCGACTACCAGGTAAATTCCTTTTTGACCCTTCTCCTTGACCATTCCAAGGCCGAATTCTTAAAGTAACTCTTTCTTTTCAAGGCAATGGTCCGTAAGCAAACAATCTCAATAGTCCTTCGTTTGGCCATCATCGCCGCGACCGGCTATGGCTGGTTCAAGGGACTCGTCCAGCCCCACTTGCAAGTTGAAGAATCGATGCCCTTCAACTGGAAAATGCTCGCTGCTGGAGTTGCCTTCTTGTTTACAATGCGACACCTTTAGATTCTGCCTTCCTGATCGTACTTTTCTATAAAGTAAAATAAATATAAAATTTTAAAAAATATTTTTCATTGAATTTGAACTTTTGGAGCACCTTTTATTTACCGGTAAACGATTTGAGAGCAGAAATCTTTCGATTCGTTTTTGAACTTGATGGGTTGAAATTTATCACTACAGAAGCTAACGTCGATAATTTAACAGCCTTCTGGTATCATAATTTTAAATAGGAAAAAATTAGACAGTAGGCGTCTGGGCATAATCAATGAGTTCGCGGAGCAGAGGCGGGAGCATTTGGGCCGAGTTTCTTTCTTGCAAGGTTTCCAGGCAAACTGAAAAGATTATTCTTTATTGGAAAAGAGGTTTGGGTACTTACAGCATCTGAATGTTGAAAAAGCGTGGTGGAACGAGTCGGAGATGCTCTTGAGGTATTCTTTGATCACGAAATCGTCAACATCGTGGGACTGCTGTATGCTCAAGATCAGGATTCGTTTGAGGAACATGGCGCTTCTGTCGATTTCCGAAGCGTTATGAACATCCAAATTATCTGAAAAAGCGTAAAATGAATAACTGTGGGCAAAAAGGGCTTACTTCTTTGAAAAATGAATTCTGCTGAAAGAAGAGCAAGTTGTTCAGGAGTCAAATGGCAGGAAGAGAGCTGGGTCATGGCGGAAATCAAAGTTCTGAAATGGCAAAATTTCCTTTTGAAATGATGAAAAAGATCTAAATACCGAATAACATTTGTTTGAGAAAAGGAAACTGTGGAAAGCATCCATTCGGTCACCCTCTTTTCGTTGATGAGAAAAGAGCCGTCGTGGTAGAGGGTCCGGGAGAGGTTGATGATGATCACGAAAAAGAAGCGATTTGCAATGAGCTTGATTTGATCACTCTGGCCGTTTGGAAGCTCTTCTAGGCGTTTGAAATCGTCTAGTCGTTTGCAAAAAGCGACCACTTTCTAGAGCTACGGATGAGGAAAAGCGGAAATGCAAAGATCACCTCGATTTTGCAATTGAAATCAGCGAGAAAATCGTCCCAGGAAATCGTGAAGTCCCCCGCCAGCTCAGAACTGAGTTCTTCTTTTTGAGGGAAAATGGAGAGGAATGCGTGAGCGGTGTTTGAAAGCGTCGTCACGACGTGATGAGGATCCATGGATTGAATGAAGCTCGAATCTGAAAATCGATTGTAAGATGAAAAATTTGAGAAAAGAAAATTCTTGCCATTGTCGATGGAGCTCGGAGTATCTGGCCCAGATTCTTCATCGTTGGCGCACATGTCGTTTTTGTACTCTGGAAAAAAGGGTCTCGACTTTTGGCCAATAAGAAGCCGGGAATCGTTCAACCGGCCAATCAGAAGCGACCCTTGCCTTGGTAAATGGCATCCTTAGCGCGTTTCGTCATTCTTCCATATTTCATCGCTAAAAAAACAGATTTCTTTACCACATTCAACACCGAAAAAGCCAAATCAAACATTCACATGCAACGACAAAATACAGTCAAGCTACAGTCAAACTAGTGACAGGACAAAACCGTGCATTTTCTCATCACTACGTTAATCTTACCTTAAAAACGGAAGAAAGCAGAAGTTTTTTTGTCAAATTTTAAGAAAGAAAAAACGCTAGAAAAGAGGATAAAACGACTGGATTACCTGAACGACTCATGCCAATAGCGATGCACTTGTTGAATCTGCAGAATTGACAGCGGTTTCTTGTGTGAATGTTGATCTCGCAATTTCCATCCGCATTGCATTGAATCTTGTTCTTTGCTTTTTCCACGCGGCGGAAGAATCCCTTGCAACCTTTTTCTGGTTTTTCGAAAGAGCTTTTCTGCTTGAAAAATAGTAGTCCACTTTTTCCCTAACCCGCTCGCCGAAAAAGGAGAATTCAAAATAGATGACCACCGAGCAATTCGTAAAAATAAACGAAAGACGATAATCCCAAACCCTCGGGCTCTTGCTATAAAAAGATCCGAGTTATGCAACTGAGGAATTATGTAATAACTAGTTATGCAATAGCTCAAATCAAGCATGCGCCATGCATTTTGAAAGGATGATAAAACGACAGATGAACTAATTTTGATGATATTAATGAATAGATTACTGGATAATCAATGAGCATCAACAAAAATGACTATGACTTAAGGGTACGGGGAACGATATTCAAAAGAGGTTCATCCCCTTATTATGGCTCTTTGGCTCGAAAACCTGTGCAGAAAACCTGAGTCAGGGTCTGAATTTCCACCTTTTAGGCCCTGACTCAGGTTTCTTACGAATGTCGCCGAGCCCGGTTTAAGGGCGTCACAAATAAAAGAAAATTAACAACCCGGGCAAGCTTTGTTCGATCATTTCTTGACCGAAGGATTTCCCGTTCAAATCCACCGAAATTAAAACCTCCGAAAACCCGATCCTTCGCAAGTTCTCTGTCCGTAATGGACACCAGAGCTTTTGTCTCCGCAAACTTTGCACGGCGGTACCCAGTTTTTGAAGTCGTCCAGCTCGCCTTCCTGCAGTGGATTTACTTGCTGCTCCGGCTTGTTTTTGAAGCGAGGCATTTTTTCTATTTTTGTTCAACGAGCTGCTGGATTGGAGAATTTCTTGATGCTTTAAATTTTTCATAAGATTAAACAAAAGCGGAAATAATGTATTCATTAGTGAAATTCGTTAGCATAAAATTTAATACAAAATATTTAAATTATATTTAAATATTTTAAATATTAATTATCAAAATTTTGAATATCAACTTAGCTATTTCAAATTATCGATAAAAAATTATAAGTTTGATTATTAAAATAAAATTTTGTTAAAATAAAATTTTATCAATAAATGATATCATAATTATAAATATTGAAATAATTAATAAAATAATAATTAGATCGAATTTTAAACTGACAATTATTTAATAGAAAAAAATCCATCCAAAAAGGAAATGGACCAAAAATGAAGAAAGAGAGAATCATTTATCTGTATATAAAGAAAATTAAACACACCGAGCAAGTCAAATATTTTCACGGTTGAATCGGCAGATCACCAGCTCATCAATATATCTCTCCTCCGAAACTAGGTCGGTTCCAGACCTCCTCTTTTTCGTTCTGTACTTCCTTTGTTAAAAATATTTAAAAAATAGGAACTATTGTTCAAAATTGATGAAGGATAGTTTGCGATCCTTCTATTTTGGTCACTGATACGATGGCCAGCATGGCCAGAACGAGTGAGAGGGAAAAAACAGACAGCTCAACTCAACTGTCTATTTTTTCGCTATCTCGAGCCTACGCAGCGAATCTTTTTCATTCACGAATTCGTTTTCGTAAAAAAAAAATGATGATTTCAAACTCATAAAATCCACCTCGCCATTTTTGGCATCGAAAACATTGGTCAGCGATGACCCCCCTCAGCGCTCCTTTTTTCCCGATTTTCGACCAAGAGGAAATTTAGACAGAAAACTTGAACCGAGGATAAGAGTCATGCATATCGCCTTATCAGCAGTTTTTTGATGATAAGATAAAAAAGCTCACGATTTTTCCGATATTTTGATTGTCTCGCCGAGAAATTAAATTTTCGGCGATTCAATTATTCAATTATCGGCATTTAAAAAAATTAAAAAATAATTCGCCCAAGATTGTCGATAAAAAACAAGCTCAAGAGCCAAAGATTGTAAAAAAAAGCTCGAAAATCGCGAAATTTTGAATTTTTTTTTTCAATCTTTCGCTGAAAAAAATTTCCTGTCTAAAAATCCCTCCAGAAAAAGCTTGATTTGAAATTTTAGACAGCAAAGAAATCGATTAATATTCCTCGTAAAAGCAGACCGCGTTTCTTGGAAAGATTAGAGAAAAATAGACAGTGTCAAGTTTAGACGTTGAACTTGAGGATACATCGAGCCTCGTAAAATCGATGAAGGCGGTTTTTGGTTGATTAGTTTTCCTTTTTGTTTATTGCTTTGGATTTGTAACAGCTGGCGTACATTCGCGAGAACCAGTTGAGATTTTGCCAGTCTGACAAGATCAGCATGATGATGGTGGCAGTAAAGATGTAGACGTTTTCCGTGAACATGTACATTTCGTTGCTGGTTTTCAAGCTCAAAAAATATCCAAGCCGCAGGGAGCCTGACCCTGATCGAAAAAATTCTAGAGCTCGTTCCTTTGAAGATAAAACTTATACCACGCAAAAGGGATGACCGCGATTCGGACGAGAAAGAAGCCCCAGCAAGCAATTCGGTTATTCAAGTAGTACAGCTTCGACTTTTTCAAGCCAAACATTGCTAAAAAGAAAGAAATCAGGAATAGCCGAGTGAAGAAAAATACCGAGCATGAGACGAAGCTGCATATTCTGATTGAAGAAATCGGCGTAGTAGCGGTATTGAAGAACATTGAAGGCGAGGCAGCCTGCATCGATCCTGTAGATTGTCAGGTGGACGAAGCCGTAGAGGATGTGGTGGCAGATGTCGTCTGAATACAATTTTGAGGGTTTTTCATATAAAAATCCTCTTAAAATCTAAGTCAGGGTCTGTAAGATCCTTCAGAGCGGCTTTTTAAGATGTACGCTAAATTGAAGTGGCAGAATCTCGAAGCCGCTTTGCGGCTTTGTTTCAAAGTTAGCCGCTCTGCGGCATTTGCTTGAAGATCTTTCAAAACCTGACTCAGGTTTTCTTCACAGGGTTCCGAGCTGAGCAATGCTCAGCTGCTGCTCAGTGAGCATCAGTGAATCAGCTTAACCGGGGACCCTCTTATTTGAAAGAAAAATAATTGTATTTGTATTTACCAAATCCCGCCGTTTTGGTCAATAACCCGATGAACAAATCCGTCCAAAGAAACCCGATCCAGATTTGGCTAAATTTGCTCCATCCTTGCTCGCACAAATGCGGGTTGAATTGAAGATACAGAATCAGCGAACAAACAAACCAGCAATGAACGATGCTAAAAAGAACTTTACCTAGCGAAAAAATAGACATCCAATTTTAAAACTGTCCAATTTCTATTTTCGCAATGAAAAACACGGAATACAAACGCACTAAAATGTAACCAGAAATAAACTTGAAAATATCTCTTACGTAAAACGACGAAAATAATTGTCTATTTTCCGCAAATTTAAATTTACCTGACGCATTTTCTGAGGAAAAGATTCTGATCGCGGTCGGAAAGAAGTTCGAATTTTCGGCGAAGAGGAGGAATCTGAATTCAGTCGTTCAAAGTTTTCAAGTTTTCTCCTTTATGTTCCACTTTTTGTTTATAGGGCTACCTGAGCTCGGCAACCTGTGCTGAAAACCTGAGTCAGGGTCTGAAGTATCTCTACGCGGTTTTTCATACCCTGACTCAGGTTTTTACACAGGTTGCCGAGCTCAGAAGGGTACAAAACTGACAAACAGGGGCCCTTTAATATGGGGACCTAATATTTTTATAAAAATGTAACTCACGATTCTGACAATCGCTGGAAAAATGAGCGAATATCCAACAAGAATTTCCGCCATTCCAAAATAAATTTCTCTCGTCATTATCCCCATCTTTTCCACTTTCTTCTAACCTCTTTTCTCTTCTAAAAGTACAGTTTCCGAGCCGAGAAACTCTTCGTTCTCGAAATGAAGATTTGCTTGGCGCCGATTGGCCGGAGCGCGAGCATTTCGAGAATTGGGCAAATTTGAAATTTGTTTTTTTGAAATTTGCGCGTTTTTGCTGTTTTTAGCAAACTTTGCGAAACGAGACAAAAGAGAAACTCTTTTCCGTTCTCTAGAATTATATCTGCGCTGATATTTTTTTACAGATTTTTAATAAATTGTGTGAATTTCAGATAAAAAGTAGAGAATGTCGCGGGGATCGTCAGCTGGTTTTGACAGAAATATCACGATTTTCAGGTAAATGAATATGAAGAAATTAAAAAAGGAGGTGATTTACAAAGGAATTCCCTTATTTTCCCAGAAACATACCGATTTGATACTCAACCCGAGGCCGTCAGGCCGAGTATGGGGGCGAAGTCTCCTCCCTAAAATCTTTTCTTTGTTGAAAATTCCGCGAATATGCGTCTTTCTACTGAAAAAAGAGGTTGAGGGCGGGGGCTTCGCTCATACTCGGCCTAACGGCCTCGCTTTGAGCAAAAAATATTCTATAAATTCACCCTTTTTAGTCCGGAAGGTCGTCTGTATCAAGTAGAATATGCGTTCAAAGCAATCAACCAAGGCGGATTAACAGCAGTCGGAGTTCGCGGCGACACTTGCTCGGCACTCGTCATTCAGAAGAAGGTTCCAGACAAACTTATCGGTAAAGAACACGCCACCTCCTTTATCTCACGATATTTAGATGCGGATTCGATGTCCCGCGTTTGGAAAATCGGCGGCTCAAATGGATGCGTCGTTTGCGGCCTGTCCGCTGATTCGCGCGAGTTTGTCCGACGAGCAAGATATGAAACCATGAATTGGAACTACAAAAACGGTTAGCAATAGCTCAAATTCTCCTATTCTGACATTTGCTCTTCAGCTTATGATATGCCCTGCGATCAGCTGGCTCACCGAATGGCTTCAATCGCTCAAGTTTACACCCAAGAACCAGGAACCCGTGCTCTCGGCGTCGCCTCTCTCATTATCGGATACGACGATGAAAATCAAGTGCCGCTTCTTTACAGAACTGACCCTTCAGGTAGATCTCCCTTTTCTCTATTCCGAAAATGATCGATTCAAGGATACACTGCCGGTTTCAAGGCGGTCGCCATCGGAGCAAAGCAAACTGAAGCAACTAACTTTTTGGAGAAGAAACTTCGAAAGAAAACTGATCAGGAGAAATGGGGACTCAAAGAAACCGCCGAGCTCGGTAAGTGTTTCTACCCAATAAAGAGAAATTAGGTCCAAATTTGGAGACAAAAGATTGACATGTTCCTTACTTGTTGGTTTAACCATTTTTTCTAGCAATCACAACCTTGCAACACGTGATCGCCACCGACTTCAAGCCTCAAGAGATCGAGGTCGCCGTCGCCACCAGCGACAACCAATTCCGCCAACTGAGCAACGACGAAGTCGACGAAATCCTCACCATCATTGCCGAGCGCGAATAGTCAATTTTAGCTGTCTAGAACACTCTTTTTTTCTCACTCTCTTTTCACGGTAAGCCGCTTCCTTTTTCCATTCTAGCGCGCTAATTCCCTTTCAGGCAATATACGAAGTTATTACATGTATTACTGTAAATTTCCGAAAGTTCAAGAATTTCAATTTAGCCACTTTTGCTCTGTTACTGCGAGTTACAGAAAAAATTATTAAAAATAAACGGAAAGAACTCACAATCTAAAAACAACTCGTTTCTCTCCTTAGAAAAGTGCACTTACAGTAAGATGACTGTGACAGTCGAGAACGAGGAGGTGTTGAAGAGGAAAAAGACAAAGCGAGGGAAGAAGAAGCCGGCGAGTGCGAAGAACGCGACGCATAAGAAGCCTGAAAAGCAGGCGAGTCAGGAAAAGAAAGAAAAGCTCGCGAAGACCTCGTTTTTGACCGAGCTTGGTGGCCACTGTTTGTTACAGGTAAGGAAAGGATTCGTTTTGCCTGGAAGAAAGGTTTTGCTTCACATCATGTGTAGAAAAACTTAGGATCTCAAAAACCAATCTCAAATCATCTCTTCAGTCTATCCCTTGTCTTGTCGGCGACTACGTTTGTGCCATCACTGGCGATGCGATCCGCGTATATTCAGTTTACACTTCCGATTTCGTCGCTTCTTTGACTGGTCATACAGACACCGTCACCTCCATCATCCCTCACCCAACCCAGCCACTCTCTCTCATTTCTTCCTCCCTCGATGGAACTATTCGAATTTGGTCCGTCGACGATTTCGCACTCCTCAGAACCATCAGGGTTTCAAAAGATGAAGGCGTCAACGCAGTCAAAGCTACTGAAAAAGAGCTGCATCTTATCGTCAACGGCGGCTACGCAAGAATTCCGTTTCCGGAGAGTTCGGAGCGAACGATTTCAGTCGAACCAAAGTTCATCTTCGCCGATATTTTGAAAGAAAGAATCAACAAAAACGGTGGGGTCGATCGACAATGGTCTTTGAACGGAAAAGGCTCGAAAATTGCCTTCTTGGTGTCTCCGAAATTCATGAAGATCATCAGCCTTGATTCTTTAAAATCGAAAAAGGTCTCCTTCACTTTTAAAGACGGTCAAGCCGATAAACTGGACTATCACCCGCGCGAAGAGTCTGTCCTCGTGAGTTTTTCTTCCGGAAAGAACATCGTCTATTCGAACCTTTTGGAAACAAGTAGCAACAAGGCAGCGAAAGAAGCCGTCACAAACACAGTTTTCCACTGGCATCAAGGTCGTGACGATGCGGTCGACCAGGGCGGAGCCAAGATCGAATTCGACGCCTGCTACAGCACAGATGGGGTAAACATCATGTCCGGCGGCGCTGAAGCCGTCTTCCTCGTTGAAAACTGGAAGAACACGACTGACTCGAATAGCCGCGCCTTTATCCCTCGCCTCAACGCTCCGGTTGTTTGGGTGGCGAATTTTGGCGAATGGACGCTCCTGTCGCTTGCTGATAACTCGATTCAACTTGTCAATCATATGAGCATAAAACACACGATCAGTGGCTTTACGAAGAATGTGATGGATCAATACGAAGCAGGACTTTCTTGGGATCCAAATACTGATGCGATCGTGGCGAATAGTCGTCCAGGCATGCTTCAGATGTACTCGCTTGAGAGAAATAAAGAAGTTTCAAGGGTAGGTCATCAGGTCGACTGTAGCTTTTTTAATGATTGTTTTTAGCTTGATGTAACTCGCGAAAACATCGTCTTTCAATCTGGTTTCTTTTCATCGGCTTCTTCGATCGTCTTGGTCGACATTTTCGAGAAACGAATGGTTACTGTCGAGCGAAAAACGACAACAATGAGCAGTCAGCGGGACACCATTCGTCTTTGGACTCACGAGGGCGAGCGGTGGATTGATGAAACGCATATAGGATCGTGTTTTCGGAAAATTAATTGATCAACGCTTATGTTTCGGCGTTTGTAAAACATGTTTCAAGTCCGCGCTCATGTTGGGAACATCACTCACATTCAACTATTGAATCAGAAGTGCTTCATCACAGCCGGCAGCGACGGCAAATTAAAGAAATGGGAGGAAATTGACGGGCGGTGGATTACGACGCATATCGGTGGTTACAGGAACGAAGCGGTCAGGCATTTCGACGTTTCTGAGGATCAAAGGTACTTTTTCTTTCCAAAGTTATTCAATTTTTATCATTTCCTTTAGCATTGTCGCGTCAATTTCAAGATCGAAATGTGTGATTTACGCTTCTTCGAATCTTGCTTTCACAGGTAGCAATAATTGATCAAAATCAACGGACAATACCTAATCCTTACCTAAGATACGCTACTGCCTCCAGTAGAAAGTTCAAAAGGCCTAACAAGAGTTTACTTCTGCCGTGGAGACGCAAAACACAACCTTTTGGTCGGCAAAAAAGACGGCTACTATCTTTGGGATCTGATAACCTGCAGTTTGATCAGGTAGGAGCTTCACAAGCGATCTCTCTCACATCGGTTGAAGGATTATTTCGAACAAGAACGACTCGACATTTTGGAAAATCTGGAGGCATCCATCAATGGACATTTTCGTCAGCGCGGAAAAAAGCAAATCGGAAACAAGGTTACGAATTTTCGCTGGAGCAAGCGGAAAAATCAAGGTTTTCCTTAAGTCCTATCAACGAGCTTTTCTTTAACTATTCTTCAGACGACTGCAACAACGAAGAAAGATATCCTCTCTGCGCATATTTTCAGCCAGAATAAAATTGTTGTTCTTGCTAAAGGTGGATCGCTTCTCAAGGTAACTGCCCAGTCCTTGACTCCGCAATCAGACATTTTTCTAGCTTTCGTCAAAAGAAGAAGTCGAAGAACTTCAGAAAAAGTGCGAGCCGGAAATGCGTGTTCAGGAAACAAAAATGATGACGCCCGTCGGCGGAATGTTAAAAGTGACAGCCCCTGTTGAGGAAGTACAGGTCGCTGAAAAGCTTGTGTTGTCGAGCGATAAGCTGAGGGAGTTGCTCTATTTGCCCGCGTATCTTTTGCCGAAGGCGACTGACTTTGCTGGCAATCTTTTAAAGTAAGCTTCGAATCACCCTTTTAAAGCCTTTTAATTGCGATTGTAGCACTTTATTGGAAGCAAACGAGCTTTCAACACGGCAAAACGAGCTTGCCCGAGCAAAAACAGCGCCAAAAGAAGACGCTGAACCGATGGAAATTGACGAAAAGAACGAAAATTCGGACGATGAGACCTCTGAACCCCTCATAAACCTGAAACCAAAGGAAGAAGAAGTGACACGAGTGAACTTGAAGAAACTCGGAAAGCTGAAAAATCTGGAAGTGACTGCTAAATTTGGTTGAGTCTTCTGTATTCCCAAGTTTTGCAATAAAAATAAAATGAACCTGACGAATTCATCCATTTTGTTGATTTTTTTTTCTCAGAAGTGAGTTGTTTTCTCTAGAATCGCTTATTTTGAATTGATGAAAATCAGAGAAATGGTCAGTTTACAGTTTGAAAATGTCTGCGCCACAGCCAAAAACAGTAAGTTCTTCCCTTTTTTATGTGTTTTAAAGTTTCTTAAACGATAGAATGCAAGAATTTACCCTTTTTTCAAGGAGAAGACCTATTCCGTCAACGTCCGAATCGGTGAAAACCACGGAATCACAATCAAAAAAGAAGACAACTCACTTGCCAAAGTCTCCAATGTCTCTCTCTCCAAGAATACCAATGCCTGGCTCAAACTCAAGGTACTTTCAAAAACTCCACAGCAAACGCATAACTCTCTATTTCTAGCGAGAAGATAAAGTCCTCCGAATCGACGACAAGCCCGTGTGGAACATGACCGAAGAGCAGATCAACGCCCTCCTCGTCTCCAAGCTCGGCAAGGTCAACATGGTCGTCCGAAGAGGCTCCGTTTGAGAAGAAGAAACGAAGAAAACGCGACATTTTCCAAGCTGGAAACTTTTCCCCTTTTTCTACATTTCATTCCGCTTCACAGAAAACTGAACTCCCTTTTCTACCTCCCTCTTTTCATATTAAAATTGTAATAAAACATCTTTTTCAGTAAAACAAAGTCGTGGTTAGTTATTGCAGCTTCTTCTTTTTGTAGTTGAGTAGTTTCAGTGCGTTGCGGTTCAGGATTTTGTTCGAGAGAGAGGGGCAGATTTTGCGAAGCCAAATATGCGCACGGGTTTGGAAGTCGACAGGAAAGTACTCCAATTCGGGCTCCAAACTAGGGGAAATTTTGATTATCAGTGATCACTGATCATCGTCAAATTTGCACACGTTAACCTGTGTATAAACCTGAGTCGGGGTCTTGATAAGGCCGCGTTGCGAGAGTAAAACCCTTACTCAGGTAGCTACACAGGTTTCTGAGCGCGTATATCGTCACTTTTGCTTGCTTGACTTACCTAAACAGAGCGTCAAAGTAATAATCCAGCACCGGCTCCAGCGAATTGAACCCTTCAAATCGACTTGTGCAGTACTGAATCCTTTTCTCCAAGTAAATCGATTTTAAGATCTTCTTCGTCTGCGGACTCATTTGATTCATGATATTCTTCTGCAGCGCATCTCGATTCTCCAACGAAAGAATGCACGGATTATTATAACAGAAAACACCAGGGTAGATAGAGCTGAAGAAGACGTTTGAATTCCTGTTCTCGCTTTGAAGAGCTGTGACGAGGCAGCGTAACGCGCTTTTTGACAGCGTTAGGGGCAGATTTCCCGGTTCAGGGAGGTCTACAAGGTGATTGGAGTGGAATGCGATTCGACAGGGCGATTTCTGGGGGCGAACGAGCTTGAAAAAAGAGATTATTCTCGAAGAAATCGGCTAGGAAATCTGAATTCTAAGGACTCCGACTCAGATTGCCGATCCGCTTGAGCGCAGTCTTACCTCTAGAAGATCTTTCACAAGCTCCGCAATTTGCCAGACGTTGATTTCGGTAATTTTCTTCAAATACTTGACCCCGCTCCATTCAAAATCGCCAAATGCATCGACCCCCGAGTTCACCACCACCCCATGCAAGTCTTTGCTCCAAGTCGACAATCTCAGCCGCAGTCTCATCATGCTTTCGTTCAATTTCTCGTCGCTGGAAATGTCGAATTTGATCAAATAAACGCCATCTTCTCTGAGTTGAAGTAAAGATGAAGCCATCGGATCGCTCGCTCCGGCGATCACTTTTGCTCCTCGATTGATCAGGTATTTTGCCAGTTCTTGTCCGTAGCCAGAATCGACATTTGTGATGAAGATGACCTTTCCACTAGGGTCTAGCCATCGCGATTTGAGGGCCAAATTGAAGAATAGGAGGAGATACAGTGTGATGGATACAAGAAGGCTTCCACTGCTCCGAAAATCTGAAAACAAAACTCAGATCCTGACTCAGGTTTTCAACAAAGCTTCCCGATTCTTACATGAAACGATGATAAAATTGACGATCGAAAGAAGCATCATATTGAACTTAAACTCAGCATCTTTGCAGGGGTTCACCGAAACTTGCACGATTCCATCAACCAAGCATTTTCCAAATTCGGCGCTGTAGGTTAAAAATTTCTCTCTTAGTTTCTCGATTCTCTGGTCTTCAAGAAATTGCATTTTTGAATGTTTTTTTTTTTGCTGCAACGGTGCTGAGTGGGAGTTATACTGTGTCAGAAGGCAGGTTGGTTTCACACTTTTTGAAGCGTCATTTGGTTGACTCAGTAGGGTACTTTTGATACGAAGGACAACTCAAAATGCAAGAATGACTCTTTTTTCGCGTTTTTTTTTATTGTGATATAAAAATTCATTACTTTTTCTGTTGCGTAATGGAAGTTACAATTTATTCATAATCTAAGAATATTTTCAGCAGATTTCAACAAAAATACTTTGAAAATTATGCTCCAATTTTCTCAGAGCTTGTTTTATGTCTTCTGTCGTCGAGTCACTTTCAATTTCTATTGAAAGAGAGTACTTTTCCGGTGTTATTTGAAAGATTTGAATTGATTTCAAGCTTCCGAAATGAACGAGGGTAGTTTTTATGTTGACTGTTACTTCTTCCGGAACTCCACCTAATTTCTTTTATGAAGGGTTTTTGAAATATGGACTTACCCATCAAAATAAAAGCCAAGTCCCTGATGATCGGCAGAGTGGTGAAAAAGACAATTGTCATGAACAAAAAAGTGCAAATCGGATCCGCCAAAACAGCGACTTCTCTATGCCCAGGATAGCATTTGACGAATATTCCTGCGGCTAAAACTCCTATGCTTTGAACCAAATCGCCGACGATATGAACCATTGCTGCTCGAATATTGACCGCGTCATGACTGTGATTATGCCCAGCTCCAGGTCCGTGAGTGTGGCCATGACCAGATCCCCTTAAAACACAGGCGAGGAGAATGTTGAAGGCGATCGCAGCGCTGGAAATGGCGATCATGATGTTTTCGTTGAGATCTTCTTCTGGGTTTTTCATGTTTTCAACGGCTATGTATCCTAAGACCGCGGTGATGATCCAGAGAAGAATGATTGTAAAAGTAGCGCCGAGAACTTCGGCTCGATCCCAGCCGGAGGTAAGAGTATTCGTCGCGCGCCTGAATTATTTTTAATTCTTCAGCAAGTGTAAATATGATTCTGTCATAAAAAAGATGATTATTCGGGCGGAAATCTTTTTGAAAAAAAATTTTTCCGACTAATGAATTTTGCTTATTAGTAATAAGTTATTACTTTTTAGGTCGATTTACCTGTCAGAAAGCGAAATCGCCAATAAAGAAATTCCAAAAGAGAGCAAATCCGTAAGCATATGAGCCGCATCTGCTTGGACTGCCGTTGATTTCGCCAAAATTCCCGCCACGAATTCGCCGACAACGAAGATTAATGTTAAAATAGAAGCGATTATGAGCCGCTTTTTTCCTCGATCATTTTTGTGACTGTGGCCATGACTTGAACATCTATTTTCTGGCAATTCATTTTCCTCGGTTCTCTCGTTTAATTTTAATTCTTGCAAGTTTTCGTTTTCAAAAAGCTAAAAAAAAATATTTTCTAAATCCTTTTTTTATAAGTTCACCTCGTAAGAATTATTCTTCATTTTGAGGATAAATATCAAATTCTTTTTGTAATGATTCTTTTGAAAAGGCGCTTCTCTGAAAGGAGGTTTCTCACACTGTCAGCAGGAGGTAGATTTCGCAGACTGGGGGCAGCTTCGAAAGATTTTTTTATTAAATTTCGCCGTATTTGAGCGATTGCGCGAAAAGTAACGTTCTTGTGCATATTTGCACTTTCGTTATTAAACAAAATAAGGGAGATTTTTCGAGTCTTAAAAAAGAGTAGTATTGAACGGTAGAATCGCGTTCCCTCTAGAATCTTGCCTTAGATTTTTTAGAAAGGGATGAGTCTTTTTCGCGCTCAAAAATTTGCACCAAAAATATTCAATTTTCTTTAGGAAAATTATCTCGAGGAAAAAATGGTTCACCCGAAAATAAAAATTTTAGGAACCATAAATGATTCTTAAATTTCGACAATGTGCAGTTATTTTTCAGGATGTTTGTGAATCAATAATGATAAAGACCTCCAATTCAGATCATTCCTTAACAGATCATTCTAGTCAATAAATAATCATATATGATTGAGAAAAGGCCGACGTATAAACTTATACGGTATAACTTATACCGAAATCGGCTTGAAAGAAAAGTTGACAGATCAAAATCAATATTCTCCTCCCTCCCCACAGCTGTTCTTATCATCCCCCTTCGTCATCAATTTAGCCAAGCTCGCTTAATAAGTTCATGCACTTGAAATGCATTTTTAACTCGGCTGCATTGCTGAGTACCAGTGAATCAAATGCTGAGCCTTTCGATCGATCTTTCCAAAAAGAGAAAATGTCCGAAAAAGACGAAAAAGTCAACATTGCGATTTCTTTCGTCACCCTTGCTGCCATTATCGCCGTTCTTGGCATGCTAGTGGCGACTTTTTGGCGAGAACATGGAAAACCTAAACTTGTGGAAAAGACGATTGAGATCTTCAGCGTGAGTGGACAAAACACGCTTCAGCGATACTTTGGAAAGGGAAAATCATGGAAGAGTTTTTTGAAAACGACCGATGCGGAGGTCCACTGGATGGGAATTAATGAAGCAGTTGCTGGACTGAAAGAGGTTGAAAAGGATGATCTTGGATCCGCAAGGAAAGAAGCTTCAAATAACTGAATATAAATTGAGATAAGGGGACGTAAAAATGAAGCCCTGAAAAGATCTCTTGGAAAATTTATCGCTGATGAGGGAAAATTACTAAATCGAGTTGTCAATAACCAAATTCTGCCGAAAATTCCCTCAGGAACGGATTCAAGCCTTTCTTGAATGACCCTTTCAAAAACTTAAGAATTAAGAATCCGAATCAGAAAACCACCGCGCTCGAATTCAACTTCAACTGACGACATTTCTCATTTTCGTTCGCCAGCTTTTTGTTCTCTGCAATGATCTAAACGCGTCGCCTGATGAAAAAGAGACTGTCAAGCAAATTATTCAATTCTCGGAAAAGCTCGTCTCTTCGTGTAAGCTGATTTTCAAGTTGATCGAACATTCTCCGATAAAAACTCAAGAAGAAATTTGAAGAAAATGCAATTTTATGATGAAAGATGAAGATTTTTTGATTTCTTGAATAAAAAATTCTAAAAGTTTCGTTTCGAACCAATCAGATTTCTGTATTTGGGGGGTAAGCCAATCAGATTTCAGATTTTTTTTACCTCCCTTTTCAGCTCCTTATTCGCCGAAAATTTCGGAGAATCAGCAAAAAATTCTTTATTTTTATTGCTTTTGATAAAAATAAAGGTATCACTAGTCAAATCCATTTGTTTCTTTGATGTCCACCATTTCAAACTTTTCATTTGTCTTTTCATTTTTGTTGGAGATCAAAGAAATTGATGATGATCTCAAAATCCCGTCGGTATTTCGCGACTTCCGCCGTTAAATTCGCGGCGATTTGGGGTTTGGCGAGGCGCGAAATTGTGCGCAAAAGCCGGAAATATAAAAATAAAATGTGTATGTAACCGGCCACGTGCGTGTTTGCCCATGCGAGCAGATATTTTTCAGGCAAACAGCTGGATAACTTGTTTTTCAGGCACACAAATTATTTGCCATTTTCGATGAGCAGAAGCGTGAAATTCGATGTTTACGTAATCGATCAGAAAAATGTCGAGGCGCAAATTTATGATTTTCGATTGTTGACTGGCAAAATCGCAGTCACACGATTTTGGTGCAAATTTGATTGCTAGACAAATTAATAATGTTGAAATCAAGGAAGAAAATTTTTCTTTGAAAATTTATTAAGTTCCTTGATTTTGGACCTTTAGTAAAATAATAGCCTTGGCTTCGAAACCTTTGTTATGATTCTGAGTCATCGTTCAAAGCTTTCAGAACCCTGGCTCAGCTTGTCTGGTAGACATTTTCCCATTTTGATATTCTTGGAGAAAAATCCTTTATAAGCAATTTTTGATGTCAGAAAAAATCAAAATACTTTAATTCTGGCAGGAGCAATTGAAAGAAAATTTTTGAATAATTCCTTGAAATAGATTCATGCTAGTTTTTTGCTTCTCTCGAAGATGAATTTTCTTTTTGCTTTCGTCAAAATTCTCGTATGCGGATTCCACAACTTTTTTCTTTTGCATTTTCTGATTGAAACAGATTTAACACGCAGGTAAGGGCTTCATAATCAAATCGCATTTTATTGAAGATAAATATCACAGCAAGAAAATAAGTTTCAAGGCAGAGGTTTTTTGATTTTCTGTAGAATAAGACGAATTCATCTTGTTTCATTTTATCAAAAATTTCATATGAAATCTAAAACCGGCTAAATTCTTCATACTGAAACGGAACCTCACATCAAAAATTTGTTTTTCATTTTATTTTATACATAATCAAAAAGATGAAATTGAAAAAAGCAAAGAAGTCTGGGCAGTTCTGATAAAAAAAGTAAAACACGGGAAGAAAATTGTAAGGCACGCAGCGAATGCTACTGTAAACTGTCAAATGAAGGATGAATAATCAGAGTGAAAGCAAATTACACTGTATCTCGCTCTTCAGTAGGATTTCAAGGCGTCACTGAGCCACTGGATGTATTCGATCGCGGAGAGGAGGATGGAAAATTCGTCTGTTTCGAAGCTTTCTTCTTCGTTTGAAGGTGGAAGCATTTTCTGCAGCTGGCCAAGGGTCTTGAAGACCATCTCTTGTTCGTCGTACTGGTTCGTTAGCAAATCTGAGGTCGCCATTCTTGCAATTTGAAAATATCCGTTTAAATGAAACAAAACTTTCAATAATCAAGTTTCAGTTTAAAATTTCTTGTGAAAAAACAAGCGAAAATTTCGAAAATATAAGGGGCCAAAGTTCGCACCAGCGCGCCATCATCTAAGAGAGGTCACGTGACGGCGCCCCTTACTTCCGGTCTATGGTGTTTTTTGGAAATGTCTGAGCTTGTTTGTATTTCTTATCTTCATGTCGAAAATTGCGATGCTGAAGAGGATATCTTCAATAATGTATTAATATATTTATGAAAATAAAATTTTGCAAAGTGATACCCTTATTTTTTAGAATAAGCAAATTACTATTCAAAAGATCAAATTTTAGTTACTTTTTTATGAAGAAAAAACAAAATAAAATTTTTATTTTTTTCTCGTTTTAAATTTTTTAAAATTAAGGGGAAGGTTGTCATTATCCTGGATTTATGAGAAAAAGCGGGAAAACAAATTTCTTTCTTTGTAAAGGAGGCTCAAAGGAAGGGCCCAATTTTCTTGAAGTGCAAAAATAATTAGCGCAAATAATGAGTTGAAAGAGTCGCCACAAACGGACTCAAGTGCTCGTTGAATTTGACGAGGAGGAAGGGATCAAAGCCAAAACGAGTGTACCCTTAACCCTTCAACGAAGAGCCGGCAGTCAAGGGTCGCGCTTTTTTGATGTCCTTTATGATCATTGATGGTAGAACGCGCCATTTTGGTAATTATTTTTACGATTTTTTTCGATAAATTGAAATTTTTTTGTGAAATTGAAAGTCAAAGAAAAACATTTTTTGAGACAAAAATTCAAAATTTTGGCTTTTTCAAAAATATTTTTGCGAATTCTGTTTTCCGGAAAATATGTTGATCCACTTGAAGTGAAGCGGAAATGTCTCGGGTACAAGAAAAAATGCGGATCTTCAGTCGAGCGCGAAATATAAAACATCCTTTCCGGCGGAAGCACGTGTATTCCTCTCAAGCCAAAAGTGGAGGGGGCTTTTCCTTGCTTTTCTTTGGATCGATGACTTCTGGGAACTAGAATTTTTAAGAGCCTGGATTAGCCAGGGAACAAAATGCATATTGACCGAAAAAAGTGGGCTTTTTTGACTCAAATTTTTACCGACCATGAAATTCAAACAACCCATTTTCAAATAAACAAACACCCAGCATGAAGCCAACAGTACAAATTTAATGATAAGCATCATCAGAAAGCGCATAATAAGCGTCGCAGCAGGCGATCTTCAGCTGAAACAAGCCTCAGCATGTCGCCACTGATCCATCAATTGCAATCACAAAAGTTTTTGACTTTTCACACGCCCCAGGGCGCCGGAGAATATTTTTTTCTGTGCGATGTGTTTTGAACAATGTCTATTTTTCGACTCGAAAAACAGATTTCTCTCTTGTACTCAGCGTATGAGCCTGTGTAAAAACCTGAGTCAGGGTTTGAAAGAAGCTTTTCATAGAAAACTTTCTGACTGACCCTGACTCAGGTTTCTACACAGGTTGCTGAGCGCAAGGCCTCAAATTTTAGGCAAAAATTAAGGGCATTCGCCATTGACATCCTTAGGTCAAAAGAAAGCCGTGAGAGTGACTCTCTAATTTTCCCTCCTTTTCCGATTTTTCGGTAATCCGTCAGCCGCTTTCGGGCGGAAGTAGCTTGATCCTTGAGCCTCCAATCTCGATTTGTCGCCATTCTCCCATGCAGCCTTTTCCAGCCTGCCATAAACTTAGTTCAAGAGAAGGATCAAAAGTCCAAAAAAAAACCATCGATCGATCACCAAAAAAATTAAGAAAACAAGGATTTATTCGCTCATTGAAATTCTAAAAAAGCCACTTCAAAAAACGGAAGTCGCCCGAGGCGTGTGAAGAGGAAATTTATTATTCTTTCTCAGGAACAATAATCTCTTTGAAGTGCGAAACAAAACGCTTCTCATAAAAATTCCCAAACAAAAGGGGGTTGAAAATTTTCGGCTGGGAATGGAGAATACAATCTTTTAATCTCTGCAATTTCTATTTTCGGGGCGTTAACCGCGTGGGACGAATCCGCGCGTATGAGCGCGGGACGAATTGTACATTCCATTGTAGTTTAAGCGAAAACTTGAATAACTCGCGACTCGCTCATCCGATTCTCGCCAAATTTTCAGACAATACTAAATCGAATACAGGCTTTCATAATTTCAACTTAAATTTCCGTTTTTCTGTCTGCTAACCTCATTCTCATATTACTTGTAGCTCTTGTTTTGACCGTTTGAGTTGATTTCGCATTGATTTTTTGTAAATATTTTTCAAAATTTGAAATCTCCAGTATCAAAAACCTATATTTTCACTTTGAAAATAATAAAAAATCCAAATTGAACCTGACTTACGAGTGAGAAAAGGAGCGCAGCGCGAAGTAGGTCAGACTTAATCCGCTGCAGAGCGCTGGTGGTGCGCGATAATTCCCTGAAATTTTAAAGAGCGAGAGATTAAGGATGTGCAAAGGCGCATTTCAATTTTCAGATTTATACGATCAGTAGTTTTTGAACTATGGCTCTTCAAAGTCTTAAACTACATTGGAATGTACAATTCGTCCCACGCGGTTAATAAGGGTGTCCGTTTGGAAAATGAGAAAATGCAAAAGGTGTAAATTTTAAGATGCCCCGCGCTGTGGACAATGTGATAAGTCAAAGTTGATAACGCCCGTACTTTTTTGGTATTGTCTTGAAATATTTCGTGTAGGAGAAAAAAAAAATTATTTTTGGAAAAATGAGTGGAGGTGATAAAGCTTTCAAAGAGACTTCTAGAGCGAAAAAGGGAGCAATCGAATGGGTAAGATTTTCATGAAAATAAATTATTTTTATTATTATTTTTTTTTCTAAAAAAGGCAATTTTTTTGAAAGGCGTCATTTTGGGAAGGAAACGAAGAAGATTTTGTGCTGAAGAAAAAGTTGCATGTTGAAGATGAAATGGTCAGAATCGATATCAGTAAAGAGACAAAGAAAGAATTTCCCGCTGGTTTGCCGACTTTGTTTACCCTGGAATGGCTCTATTGCTACAAGACGCCGTTGAGTGTTCTGAAGCCGGATTTGTGCAGACTGCAAAATTTAAAAGTCATAGAAACGGAATTAAACAACCTTTTTTTCTGAAATTGAAAGCAAATTCATTCCGATTGAGAGATCAAACACTGCCAGCTGAAATCCATCCCTTCATTTTTCTCCAAATTCGTGCACTTGGAAAGACTAAATCTCGAAGACAATCAAATTGAAAAAATACCCAGCTCTCTTGGAAAGCTAGAAAAATTGCTGGAAGTTGATTTATCAAGAAATCAACTAGTCAGTTTTCCCTCAGAAGGCTTCCCTATGCTGGAATGGCTAGAAAAGGGATGAAAAAAATGAAGATTTTTTTGAGAATTGAAAATATTTTTTTTTGGAAATTTTAAAATTTTTTTTGAAAATTTTTTTAATTTTTTCAATCTTGAAAAAGACCTGACACGAAATCAACTCATCGAACTTCCAAATACAACGACCTGGAAAAACATCAAATCCTTTTGGGCAATCGACAATCAGCTCACCTCCGTGCCAGTAGAATTCTGCAACGGGAAGATAGATACTGTCAACTTTAGCAAGAACAAAATCAAGGAGCTTCCGGAAGAATTTGGAGATCTTCCGCTGATTTCGTTCTGGATTTCTGACAATGAACTCGGGGAGTTCCCGGAGTGTATTGCGAAAATGAGGAGATTAGGCACTCTCGATCTAAGGTAAATCAATAAAAGGTTTGAGCAACGATATCAAAGAAAATTGACGTCAATAAAACTTGGATCGTATTTCTAAAACCGGCTTTTTTCAAAACCATAGGATGAATTTGATCATTGGGGCTTAGACTAATCTATTAAACAATAAAAATTTATTACACTTTTTCATACTATTTCACTTATTTTCAAAAGCTTATCCTATAATCTTCTTTTTAGCAATAATTCCATCAAATCCGTCCCGGCCGAACTCACCAACTGCCGATTTCTCGCCAGCCTTGAACTCTCAAAAAACCTCATTTCCGAGATCCCGAATTCTTGGGGCAAATTCAAGCATCTAAGAAGATTTGCGATCGAGGGAAATTTCATCAAAACTCTTCCTTGGCAAATGCTTCTTTCTTCCAAATTTGACAGTATTTTTCCTTTTCCAAATTCTAATTTGACTCCTTCTTCTTCAGATTTTGCAGCGGGAAGATCTGACGATGGAGTATTTCTGGCTGAAAATCCCTGGGAAAATGAAGAAATCGAAAGTGCAATCAAGGAAGAGAACTTCGAAAAACTCAGAAAAATCATCGAAAAAATGGATTTTCCGGCCTCCGATGATGACTCATCCGAACTAAATCAAGAACCAGTCACTTCAAGAATGATGAGGGGAGAGTTTTGTTCTGAAAGTGTCAGTACCCTTCAAGGTACAGTCATTTTTCTCAACCAAAATCAAGAACCCTTAGATAACCCTACAATCATTTTGATGAAAGAGGACTCCGAAAAATTCAAATCAGCGATTGAGCAGTTTTCAGCGATGTTTCCAGACATTTCTCTTGGTAACCATCATCAAGGCTCACCCCCTTAATAGCTTCAGACACGATAAAAGATCTGCTCAAGAAAAACGACGGCAACAGCGAACAAACTCTGAATGAACTTTTGACAGTATCAAGTCGCAGCTGAGGGTTTTAATGTAAAAAAGTAAAACGGAATAAATCACTGATAAAAGGGAAAAATGTCTCGTTTCTTTTCGGAAAGTCGTTGGGGAAGAACGAAGGATCCGATGTACTCTGAGAGCATATTTTCACACTCCATTTGGATGAGCGGAAAATGCATGCCTTCTCCTGTTGCGGTTTGGTCAGCGATTTTGTCTGAAAAATGCAGGATATATTGGATGAAGTCAAAACGCCCCTACCCCCTTAGGGCTGGGGTCGGCATCGGTGCCTCGAATCATGGTGCCCCGCCCCGCCCTGTTGTTATTTACCGAAGCTCCTGCCCCGCCCCGCCCCGTTCTTATTTACCGAAGCTCCTGCCCCGCCCCGCGTGCCCCGTTTGCCACGTGTGCCCTGAGTGCCCCGCCTCGTTGTAAAAAACGGGGCATTCGGGCCAGCGGGGCGGGGCACGTGTCCCGGGCACCGTGCACCGATGCCGACCCCAGCCTTAGGGCTAAGCCAGAGGGTCATTAATGGGATAAACTTACTGTCAATGCATGTTGTATACATAGAAGGCAGCTCAAAAACCGTGAACATTGCAGCCGACATCACGAATAAAAACACAACCACTCTCATCTTTTACTCTTTCCAAAGAAACCTTCTTAAATTGGGAAGAAAAATCAATCAACAGGCCGTTTTTTTGTCCTCAACACCAGAGTTTCTTTCATCATGAGTCCGCAAATTGGAATAATTCGATTCAGAAGATACCCTGTTCATCGATCCTAATTTTGGATAAAACCGGCTTACGGTAGCTTTTTTTCCTTACTAATGGAAACTGATGCTTTCACACAGTATATTCTTTCCCAAATTTGAGTATTCTCAGAATATCATTTGTGGAGAAATGAGTGGATTGAACACCTTTCTGAACACCTTTCTGGACATCTTGCGATTAGATCTCGATCGCGATGAGCCGTCGCTATTATCGGTCCTTCTTGACGTAAATTTTAATGAAATATTGGTTCGTTTATTTCTCGGTATACAGCAGTGGATGGTTGGATATATTTACAAATATACGTTTCAGCATATAAGTGTATTTTCTGTACAAACTTTTTTCTTCTTATGTTGAAATTTTATGGCAGCAGTATTTTTTTGTTTGTTTCGTTTTCTTTTTAAATTACCTGTTTAAATCAACTGATTTTAGGTTCTAGAGCTCAGCTGGTTTTTGATAGCGTGGAATATTAAGGGCTTCCATTTGCTTGTTGAACAGTTGCCGGGCGAATTGATACAGATCAAGTTCGTACCTAAAATAGATTTTTTTGATGAAATTTAATAAAATCGTTGACTGATTAAGAAAAATGAGTGTTTTGTAAAAAATACATAACGATAATCAGTCCTAGCCGGCTTCTTATTGAGTAAATATAGCGGATTAAATGATTTATGGTCCGCTAATTAGCATTCTAATTCAATTCATAGACAATAAAAAACATTTTGCCTCTTTTACATCATTCGTTCCAGTTTTCCCTTGGATTTCATGATCAATTTGGATACTTACTTTAATGCACCAGAACGAAGTTTTGTTGCAACTTCATCTGGAAGAGTACGTTTTCCGATCGATTTCGTCTGGTTTCGAGTCGTTTGAATCACTAAAAAAGCACAAATCATTTCCATCTTTCTTCAAAATCCATACTTTTCGACTCGTATACGTCCAATGCGCCGCGATAATATCTCGGCAGCACTTTTTCAAACAAGTTCAATGTATCTTCAAACTGCTCCAAAACTCCAACAACGAAATAATCCTCCAGCATTCGCCTCTTCGCCACTTCGACCATTTTCGATTTGTAGACATCATCATCTCGGGCTAGTTGGGGAAGTTGGCAATCAGGGCCATTTCCACAGAAGAACTCGATGTATCGCCTTTTTCGAGGGTTCATTAAATTGGGAAATATTCCCAAAAACTTATGTCAGAAAATACGAAAAGCTCTCTAAAATGAATTTCTTAAATGAATATTTTCAATTTTTTTCAAGGATGGAAATTCAGAAAAAGACATCGTTAGGTAAATTTGAATAGTAAAGCTCATTGAAATTATAATCCGATCGGCGAAAAAGCGAGTAAAGGCTGGATTGGGCAAGAAAATAGTCTGAACCCTAAGCAATGGTTACGAGAGCAAGTCGGAGCATCCGTACTAATACATTCTTCCAGCGACATTTCACTTCCTTCTCCTCGCTGGCCGGGTTTTCGGCTCCAGCCATAAAGCTTTTTTCGGTTTTTCAATTTTTTTCTTCAAAATTTCTGATTTTTTTTCCAAATTTTTGATTTTTATTCAAAATTATTGTTTTTTTTTCAAAGAATTTTCATTTATTTTTCGCAAAATTTTCATTTTTATGCAAAATTTTCATTTTTTTTTGCAAAATTTTTCATTATTTTTTTTCGAAAATTTTCATTTTTTTGCAAAAAGCAGCTCAAACCGGCCCTTGAAATGATAATGGCTACTAAACCAATCGAGCGGCTCTCTGATCACGTTAATCATCGTCGGCTGCTCAAGTCCGAAGCTTAAAATATTTGTCAAAAGATTTGTCGGCGAATTTCTGGTGAGCGAAAATGAGCTGGCTTACCTGGTGAAATTGGTGAAAAAGTGGTGCTGCATGAAGAAGAATGGAGTTTTTTGGTTTTCTTTTATGTAGTTGACTTTTTTTCGCGTTTTCAAAGCTGATTTTTGAGCGAAAAATTGCCGTTTTGCCAATTTTTTCGATAAAAACGCTTTCCTAAACTTTGGTCATCATCAAATTCCATCAACGACGAGTCCATCTTCTTGTAATTGAAAAGATTCTTTTGACTCAATTTTCTCAAAATGTCGTGCATCGTCGTTGATCCCGACTTTGGCAGCTTGTTGTGGAAGATAAAATTGGCATTTGGAATCGAAAAATCAGCTTCGTAGTCGAGAATTTGAGGGTCAACGGGTGCGTTGTAGTCCCAATCACCTTAATCACCAGTTTTATTCAGAAGGAAAATGGGCAGTGGAGATGGCGGATATACGCTTTGTTTCTCCACAAATTATATAATAAGGGCTTTGCATGTACGCAGAACAAATCAAGTGAAATTGAGCGTTAAAGAAATAAACTCTTAATTTTTATTTTCGGAGACGTCTGGGCTTACTTTGTCTTTGAATTGAACCCTTTTGGCTTTTTGAACTTTTTGATTACTTTTGACTCGAAAATGAAGAAAAAGGTATAAATATCTTTAAATAATAGCTTCTTAAAATCAAACACGCTGATTGGCTGAAAAAAAGAATGTAGCTTTTTGATTGGCAGACGACTTTTTTATCAATTTTTCTCCAAATATAATACTTTACCTGGAGATAAAGGAGCTACAGTCGATTTGGCTATATTATCATTCAGTCCAACCGGAACTTGACTTGGCGCGACTCTCGGAATGAACGACAGCTTCTTCTCCTCACTCACCTTTTCAGCTTTTTCTTGAACTGAAATCGGCGCCGGCACTTCTACTGCCACTTGACTTTCGACAGGTTTCGGGTCGACTGGCGGGATAACCTCGATTTTTGGTTGAATTGGCTCGACGGGCTGAATTGCCATTTGTGGATTATTCATTTGGTACGCCGGCATTTGCATCATATTTTGCGGATTTTCGTAGAAATTTCCATCGTCTTGTTGGAATCCTCTGACGTCGTATTGTTCAGAATAGCCATAGACGGGATAAGCTCGGGCATCGAAGCTTCTTTCGAAATCTTAAATGATGGATAAATTTGTAAGTCCGCAATGATTTGTACCTCCCAGCTGAGAAACTTGCCGGGAGGTTCTTTTGGAACTCTATGACTAAAACAAAACATAAGCAGATTCACGTAGTAGTAGAGGGCCGGTACTTTTGATAGAGATACGATGAAGGTATGACTAGAAGTCGTAAGCTCATTGAAGGTGAACGAACTCGTGTGATATTTGAGTAATTATCGTATTTTCTATGTGGCATCCGAGATCGAACTTTTGAAATACTCGAGTGCAATTTCATGTCATAATCCTCAAATATTTCTTTGCTCAATACATTTTACGGTTTTATTGGAGAAAATTGCCCGATAGAAGTTTGAGTAATAGACTTGTTTTTTACGCTTGTCTTGAGAAGAAGCCGCAAAAAAGAGCGGCCGGCTCACTGGTGATATTTTGCTCGGAAAGGGCAACCCGTACCGCACGGGTAGAAATCACGTTAGGGCACGGAGCACCGTTCATTAGCGCTGCTGCGCCTGACTGTACCTGAGTACATGTACATTGGCTGGGACATGAGACTTCTGCGCCTCAGCTGCGAGCGGAAACTGACAAGTGTTCGCATCCCGGTGCGCACGCCGAGCATGATCGAGCAGGAAAATATGGATACAATTTAGAAATTCTTTTTTGATAAAAAATCCTTAAGGGTATCACTCATTTATTTTTAAAAATTATAATTTGCAGTATTTATGTTTTTAAATCAATCAAAAATTGTCTATTACAAAAAAAAAGGATAAAAAAAATTTAAAAATAAGGGTGTCAACGTCTTAATTTATTTTTCAAAAAGCTTATTTTCCACTTTGGGCTTTACCTCGTCTTTTAATTCGATAAATAAAGAAAAGCATGAACATGCATAGAAAAACGTGTAAGTGTTGCATTCTGTCTTCTCTCTTAACCCGCGCGTGGATCATGTTTTGAAGCCTGGTATTGGTGCATGTCCGAGACGGTGCAACCTTACACCGCCGGACAGAAAAAAATCGGCGACCTTCTTTCTAATCAATTACTAACCGCGCCGATGATACACTCAATCAAAATCCGCCTTTTTATTTCATATTTCGAGTCAAAAAAAAAATTAAAACGAGATTTTAACCCATCATCGCGTAAAAACCATTTTTATGGAAAAAACCCTTAAATGCAGAAAATTAATAAGCTAGATAAAAATTTGATCCAATTTGAATTTCGGCGCTCTAGATATTATTTTCAGAGAAAATTTTGTTTATCAAAGTTGTTTACCGCACGGTGGTCGGCAAAAACCTACTCAAAGAAATCAGTTTCTCTTCATGTTTTTTTTGTTAATATTTTTGTTGAGGTAGGAACTTATTTTAAAATCGCTCAATCAAATCATCTTTTTTTGAATTATTGATAGGGAGTTCTCAATTTAACGGACAGATGCCCTTATTTTAACGATATTATTTTTCCCCTAAACCCTACCTTAAGGGATCCCCCCCCGATTTCGTCAACTTTGACTTCGAACTACTTTTTTTAGGGCTGAGCTTTTTCCAAGTATGAGGGCTCATTTTAAAGCCCGTTTCTTAATGAAGAAACTCTAGTACAGAAATTGATTTTCATAAGGGGAAACACCTTGAAAAGACGGGCTGAAAACATTGATACTCGCGAAAAACCCCATTTTGGGCCATTTTCAAAATCGAACTAGTTTTTCCTGCTCTTAGATAGAGCCCTAAATCAATAATAACTGTCTTCCTTGATCCATGATCTACAATCTCTAGTACGGGCATGTGATTCCGTCAAGGATTGTAGAATTTTTCTTAACAAGATGTTTTTAACTGATTTTTGCCATTTTTTTGACTTTCTTTGCTCTCTAGCGCCTGTTAGTGGTTAGATATTTTATCAAATCTATTTTTTTCTTATTCAGTTTTCTCTAAGCTTTCGAAAGAGCCCTCATTCATCTGATTATGTCGACTTTGAAAAGTCGAAAAAATTGCGAATTTTTTCTAAGTAAAATTTTTCGTTAAAATAAGCCATTTTCAAAGCTCTCTCACGGCTTACCACGTGACGGACTTCCTTTGACATAATATATGAAAATGATCGCCAGACAACGGAGATTCCAAAATATATCACATAAAAGCTCTCGATGATATTTTTCAAATCGGGAGGGGATCCCTTAAGGGGGTAGAACTAGGATTTCCGAAAATACGCAATTCTCGACCGGCGCTCAAAGCCAGGCAAGCTAAGATATTCAAATTCTCTCTTCAGCTGAAGATAGAGCAAACTTAAATCTAACAACATTTTTCTTAAAAAAAATTTTCGTCAACAAATTTTGGCGGTAGAGAGCGAAACACCAACCTATCTCATCGAAAATCGCTATTTTAGCCTATTCGCGTCCTCAAATTTCTCGAGTCACGTGACTAGCCAAATTTTTTAAATTTTATTTTTAGATAGTTTAACCCTTTTTCTAGCAACATTTCTGAGGATATTACGTTATCATAAGAAAAAACAGGTTTTACTTATTTAAAGTGGCTCTCGAAAATCACATATTTTCGAAAAACCTAGTTCTACCCCCTTAACGGATTTTTTATAGAACATGTAAAAAAACCGTTAGAATAAGGTTTTTGAGAAAAAATAATTCTGCTAAAATAAGGGCATCTTCCGTTAAATTGAAAACCCTTTATTAATTATTCAAAAAATATGACTTCTTTAGGCTGTTTGAGAAAAACTCATTTATCAACTGGGTTCCCCTTATTTGATCTAAGAAAGAAACATCAACAAATTATCAACTGATACCCTTAATTTCACAAAATTTATATTCTCAAAAATTGTATCCATTCCAGAATAAAAAAATCGACCTAAGCCGTCTTCTGACAATTCCCATTTTCTCTCCGACAAATTTTCTTCTAACCATAAATCAAAATTATTTTTTCTTCAGCTTTTCATTTGCCAGCTTTTTCTCTATTTTTTGTCGGAAAATGCAAAATTGCCGGATTACGATTTTCGCGATTTCCCGTGGGAAGAAATTGATCAAAAAAGCTGACAATAAGCTGAAGTATAGATTTTTGTTTTCAGAAGAGAGAGGAGCGCCTTAAGGAAAACAACAAAAACGGCGAAAAATGGCGGAGAAAACCGACGCTCTCTGACTCCACCTTGTTGGAGCGCGAAGGTAAAACTTGAGAAGGGCAGATAAGGTGAACCGGTTAGACAAAGAAAGAGAGATTTAGGGGGATAAGAGCGTGTTATACAAAATGAAATATCACGTTTGATAAAGATTTTACATGAAAAGCTGCGAAATTGCGCTCTAAACAATATTTTCGAAATGAAGTAAAAAGAAAGAAAAATAATTTTTTGTGAATTTTTGATAATTAATCTTCATTCGTACCTTTTATTAGTAAATGAATAACACCCAAGCAAGTAAAAATCAAAACAAGGTCTCTATTAAATCTCGGATTTCGATAAAAACCACATTTCAGATACATTTTAAGATGAACAATTATGTTTTAAAAATGTTATTTGACTCTTATTTCCTACGATCGGATTAGTGTTTTATAGATTTAATACGAGAGCAGCTATAAATTTTAGTATCCGGGGTCGAAGTCAAGACATTAAATTGGCACGGTTACATTTTACCACAATAACTTATGTCTTTTTGACAAAAGAAAAAAGCGACTTATTTAAGGGTAAGGAATAAGGATACCCCAGAGAAATTTTTCGAAAATTTCAAACAACGTTTTCTCCATGTATACCCTTAGTGACCCGAAAGATTTTTGTATGAAAATGTAGCTAAGGAGGAGTTCTAGAACAAAAATAAATAAGCTTGGGGATACCCTTAATTTATGGACTTACAATCGTCAAACTTATGTTTCCAGCAGCCATTTAACACTGACACCCTTGTTTTAGAAAAATTTTTAGAAAAAAAGTCAGAAAAATTGCCAAAGTCGGCGGGGGATCCTAAAAAAAATCAACAAGGTTTTCAAAAATTTTTCATCATTTTTTAGCTAACCTTTTTTCGATAGAAAAAGCAGGACAACACCAACAAATAAAAAATAAGTAATTTGTTCTTTAAAAAATCTCGCTCTTCTGAAAATCCAGCCAAATGCATCTGAAAGCATATTTCTCGGACTGCCTTTTTGAAAAATGACTCGCATCATTTTTGACAAGCTCTTTATGACCCGCTTTCTTTGATATAATTGCTATATTCTGCGGGAAAATTATGCAGAGGAAAAAGAGGAAAATACAACTTTTTTTGTTGACAACGCTTTATGACCTTACTAATACTAATCATTCTTGCTACATAAAAATGACCCGGTCAGCTTTTTCACAAAAGGGAACATAAAAATATATGACTGGTCATTTTGTCACAATAAACATATTGTTTATTTTGAGTTATTTTGATTGACTTGATATTTTACTTTCTTTTCCCAGCGGTTTCACATGATTCCTAGAAAGCCTGAGTTTTGGCCAAAAGAGCCTTACCCTTAAGGGTGTCAACATCGATCCTGTTCAAAAAGGTTTCCAAAATCGATGTTGACACCCTTAATGAAAAGCCGCTTAGCCAGAAATATACTCTTCGTTGTGATATTTTTAATCATAATTATTATTACATTGATATTTACGAAGCCGGTTCGCGGCTTTATTAAAAAAAAAGCCGCGACGCGGCTTTTTTTTCGCTCTTTTGGACCCTGACTCAGGTTTTCTGAAAAGAGTCCCGAGACAAGAAAATTGGTACTTTTGTCAAAAAAAATATCATTTTTAAAATGATTTTTAAATTATAAAATTGAACTTTTTGGTGCTTGATTTTTCAAGTGAACACGTGATAAAAAAAAGTTGACGCTTGATAATTGTTTATGTTTCTTTTAATTGACGGTTGAGTTTTATTGAGGGTCCTCTCAGTTCTTAAATTTAACGGTTGATAAATCAGTCAAATTGGAAGTGTAACGTTGGCAATAATCAAATTTTTAAATCTGAAAGCGCGTCAAAGCTTATTCAAAGTAAAATAAGAATTACAGAATCGAGCATCTTCAAAAAGTATCAAAGAAACATAATGTTTACAACTTATCCTTTGAAATTGATCATTTTGTTTTTATGATTTTGAAAATACATGAAGTGTAAACTCTTTAACCCCCTGATGATTAAATGTTCATACTCAAATTAAATTCATACTTAAATTTAATTCAAATTCAATTCCATTTTAGCCGGCTCACGTTCTGGAATCTTTTTTTGAATGTTTAATTACAGGGATCAAATTTTTCTTGAGAAGAAGTGTTTTAAAATGCATCTTGAAGACAAAATTTAAGAGCCACTTTCGAATCTCAAAAATGGAGATCTTTTCTTCACGGTCATCAATTTTTTCTCTCTGAAATCAAGGAAGAAAGAAGCGTCTATAGATAGATGTTTGAAATTTGAAGTTGTTAAATTCGAGAAAGTACAGAAAAGCGTGTACTGAATCAACAGCGTTTTTACTCAGCTCGGCTAAGCAGCTGGTAAGCAAACAATTTCAAGTAAGCCACTCAAGGCCAAAATCAGACACCGACTACTTGCACCCAGCAGATCTCAAAATGTTTTACACTCAGACGCAACTTTTCGTAAATATTTAAAAAAATTGAGAGGAAACAAAAATTTTTGGACCATTGGATA